AAGAGTCTTGATGCAGAAGTGAAGAGTCTTGATGCAGAAGTGAAGAGTCAGGATGCAGAAGTCAAGGTTCAAGATGCAGAAATTAAGGTTCAAGTTGCAGAAGTCAATAGTTAGATATGGTATAACTTACGTGAACATTTTATGATATAGAACTGATTCCCATGTTCGCTCTCTCGCTTTCATGTCTTCCATTTCATCGACATCTCGTGAAGACGAACGAGTGCTATCGCCGGATGTTCCTCTTCTTCAAGTCTTGAACATCATCGTCCAAGCAGCATCATACCCTATGTCCTTCAACACCAAGCCATCCAATCAACCCCATCACCACCCCACTCCTAATTACCATGTCCTACCCAAGCAACCTCGCGTCAGCCGCACCCCGACAAGCCACAAGCAGCACCCGCTCCCACTCAGGAAGCTTCTCAGGTTCCTGATCGACCGACCAACCCTCGGACAGATCCCCATAGGAGATCAACTTCCCTCCCTCCGTCGTACACGGCCTCCTCTCCTTCCACTGCTCGCTGTCCGAAGACCACAGCACGCCGTCCCTGGTCACGGGAAGCTTCGCCAGAATGGGCACCTGGTCGCAGTACCCGCCCTTCGTGAACGAGCACCAGATCCCGCGCAAGAACACAGACATGAGCACCGTCCTGCGCAGCGATTCCTGGAAGATCCACGAGTCGTAGCAGTTGTCGGTGGGGTCGAGCTCGTTGAAGTAGCGTTTCCAGAGGTGGGCGGACCAGATGGCGAGCAGGATGTTCTGCCTGTCGGCGAGCCGCTGGAGGTCGAGGTCCGGGTCGAAGAGGCGGATGATCTGATAGACGATGAGGGCCTGGACGGCGGCGAGGTGCTCGGCCAGCGTCCACGTGTTGGCGGACGCGATCAGCGCGGAGATCTTGCAGTCGATCGTCTTGGTTAGGATGGCTTTGTTCTGCGGCGTCTTGACCATGTGGAGGGCGGCGATGGTGCAGCTGTCTTGGTAGGCTTGCGGCTGCCAGCCTTGGTACATGCGCTCATGGATGAAGGGCGTGGCGCCAGAGAGCGCGAGGGATGGGATGTAGGCGCATATTTTGTCGACGACGAAGAGAACTTGGGATTGTGACAGGATGGTTGGCTCCCATATCTGCCGTATCTGGGGCAGGAGGGTTTCGGATAGCCGCGGTGGTAAGTCCAGACTGAGGTTGAGGTCGTCCTGAAAGGGTGTTTCACGAGAGGAGGACGCACCCGAAGTGGATTGGAGCCAGGACGGATCTAGGGCTCGTATCTCGGGGGTGAACTGAGCGTCAGGTATTATTGATTCGGTTTGGTCTTTCGATACTGGTATGGTGTTTTGATTGAAGTCGTTTTTGTCCTCGTCGACCGGCACGATATCCGGTGTTGTCTGGCGGACGACAACTCCGACCTGCTGGTGTTGGTGCTGGCGTGCGGCGGCATTGGGATAGGTGCAGTCCAGATGCTTGGTGGAACAGCGCTTACACGACGGGTACCCCAGGTCACATCTTCGTTTGCTTTTTACACAGGCGAGACAGCTCTTTTTACGAGTGGAGGAGATGTAGCCAAGCATTTGAGGGCGTTAGTAGTAGAATGATTACGAGTACGATGAGGTTGATTAGTTAACTAGTGGTGTCACTGGTGTGGAAGGTCGGAGGAGAGAATTGCGAGTCAACGATCCTTTGCCGTCATGCGCATACACGCCGTCAGACATGGCCATGGATGATGGTCTTGGTCTTGGTGAGAGCATGGGATAGTTAGGTAGGTAGATTAAGCATGTAACCATCCATGCATGTTGTCAGCGGAGCAGGCAGACAGATACACAGGCAACGGGTAGATAGACGGGTATCTCAAACTGTCATACATGAGTAAAATGAGTAGGTAGTTAACTCACAGCTTGCGATGTGTAATTGTACCTGCAACAAAGCGAGGCCAGTGACCAACTCCGTCATCCGTCATCCGTCATTCATCCCAGCGTGCGTGCCCAGCTAAGGAAGATCCGCCGAAACAGTTTCTAACTTCCTTGGTTTAACCTCCTTCATAGTAGATCCGATCTACCGTGCAATGATAACAATAATCCTCGTGCTCAGAATAATGCCACCATTCACATCCAACCGTTGCCCTTCTCTTCCCCTTCCCTGACCGGGGATTATTCTTGACTTCCGAGCAACAGGCGGCTATCAGCCGTCGATGGCCCATTAACGGTGTCGAGCACGATAATTAACGAAAAGAAGACATGACATCCACCCTTTTGGCTGCATGATCAGTCCCGGCAGTGCGCGCGCGCATCCGCCCGCCTCATCCATGGATTGCACGTATCACAAGTACGACCCAAAACGTTTGCAAGTACACTGATCTGATCTGATCCGAGGAGGAATTCGAGAATGTTGACAAGTAGGAAATCATCATCATCATCATCATCATGTTGGTTCGGGAATCATCAGATTTGGATTTGGGTGTCAAGAATGGGTTAATCAGTCCACAGTCAGACCAACCACTCGTGACCGCCATCATCCATCATCCATCATCCACCGTTCGGAGCCCCGTCTAGAGCCAACACCACCACCACCACCATCGCCGCAACCACCGCAACCACCACAACCACGTTGCAAGACCCGGACCTGGCCTAACCTGAGCCATGGCGCGCAAAGTCTAGAACTGGAATAATTCCTTCTTGTAATTGCCTACGGAGTACTTTGTCATGAACAGTGTGCATTGCATACTTTTCTTTGTGTTTGATGAAGTGTCGGAAGAGGAAGACTAGGAAGAGGATGAGAAAGGATCATGGATGGATACGGGGACTGATGTCACTCGGTCAGTGATACTTGTACCACTACTAGTTAATTGGCAGTAGTAGTACCTTGGACAGGGCCATGACCCGAAGCGATGCGAGTCACATCCAAAGCGCTCGAGCCAGCATCGTGTCCTGTCATCATATGTTAATGGATGTGTTTGCCTCTGTCTCGTCTCTTTCACATGTCAATCTTCCCATGTCGTCTCGTCTCGAATCATCTCACTCCCCTCCGACTCCTCTCCACTCTCCACCCTCAGTGACCAGTCTCTTCTCTTCTCTCTCTCTACTTGTACACTCACTCGTCTCGTCTCGTTTTAACCCGGCCCCACTGGCCGCTTCAGCTACTCTCTTTCGCCATCTTTGCCCAGTCGTTGCGCCTCCGCTGCAACCAAGGCCCGCATCATCTTTTCTTCCTGCCCTCCCCCCATTATTTCTCTACCTTAGCCCCATCTCAGCCAGTCCATCACCTGAACCACACCTGAACCAGCAACAAATACTTTCACACACGTCTTGAAGACTGTATTGAATACATTGCGACATATCACACACGCATACATTCACACATCTACACAATAACTACGACTTACTACTACCCCTCCCCTCTCCTAACTCCGGCATCGCCTGACTTGCCCGATCTGACGACAACGATCAATCAGCGAACTCCCATCACCACTTTCAGTTCCGCAACCACATACCACTTACTTCCACTCCCATATGGCCGTCACGGGAACCGCGGGGGCTGATAGGGCCCGATACCTGCTCAACACAATACCCGACCGCTTCAATGAGTTCACCCACATGGACCAGATGACCTTCTTCCAGCTCGCCGATTGGATCGTCGAGAACGTCGAATCGAGTACGGCCAAGGAGGACATCAGCGTAGAGGAGAGCCTCTTCGTCTTCCTCGACATCGTCGCCCAAGGGAACAGCTTTCGGGATGCCGCCTACAACTGGGATCATGACATCGATCTCACGCAGAGGTAACGAGTCGCACCTCTCCGATGAAAAAAAAAGAGTCTCCAACTAACATCATCCATCAGAATCTTCCTCAACGTCATCAACGCTCTGAGAGTCCTCCGCGAGAAGGAAGACGTCTCGCCATCATGTCCGTCGTTCAACACATCAAAGACCCGATGGCGTGTCCTCAAGTCTTGGCGACCGGGTAAATTGAGGATGGACGGCCTCGTCAAGGTGGGCGACGATCGCGGCGACGGCCTCGACATCGCACAGCAGGACTTCATCGAGGCGATAACGGCGCTGAATAACTTCATCCATGAGCGAAAGGAGTTTTAGTTTTTTTCCCTCTTTTTCTTTTCTTGTAACGACTTTTTCCTTTTTCCTTTCTTTCTTTCTTCTGACCCCCCCGACGGTAGTGGTGGTCCTTGTATGACTTGGCATCGGGTTTTGGAGTTTCTGGCTCTCTCTTTGGTTTTGGGATTCCTGGCGCTACGGATTCGGGACAGTGTTGCATTGCATGGCATGTTCCATCGGACTTAGGTTGGTTATGGGGAGCGCCACCTTTGGGGTTCGTCGATGGCCGTGTTGTTGTCCAACAACAGTATCGCCATGCGGCTGTGCAGGATTTACGGCCGCGACGGCAACGGGCAATGGCAACGGTAGCCATAGCCCATAGCGGTTGATTCGCGACATCTTCCCCCACAACTTTGTCCGCATAGGTACCATATATCTTCTTTTCCTCAAAATATATGACGACGTATCATCATCATCATCTTCATCATCTTCATCATACCGACTCCACCAATCCCTTCTTGAGCAACCCCAGTCGCCCCCTCTTGATGTCAAATGCGTCCTCGACCTTCGCCTCGCTCTCCCCACGCTGCAGCCTCTTGAGCGCCAGCTGCAAGATCCCAGCATCGACATACGTCCTCCCCTTGAACCCCCTCTTACCCAACTGCTCCAGCTCACTCTCCGCCTCCTCCTGAATCTTCTGCCTGGAATGCAGTATCCGCAACGCGGGATTATTCCCCGGGTCGGGAAACGCCGACTGCGGCGGCGCGGTCATCATGTCCGCGAACTGATTCGCGGCGTTGCGCCTGCTGGGGTCGAACGACGAGGAGGTCGAGGGGTGGTACGGGTTGGGCTCGACGACGCCGATGGTGTTCAGTCGGGAGGCGAATGCTGGGTCGCGGGCATCGAGGTCGATGGCTGGTTGTGGTGGCACACAGTTAGTTCACGTCAATGACATGGCATGCCTTTCGCACTTTGGGATTTCCAAGGCGTTCTGGGATGTTCGAAGTGAGTGAATGAATGAATGCGTACCTTGAGTCTTCGTCTCGCTGGCTTGCGGGCTCGGGTGCACTGTAGGACCTGCTTGAGAGGGCCGGGCGGACGGCGGAGGAGGAGCAGGAGCATGGCTGGTCGTGGATTGTGTTGTAGTAGTTGTAGCAGTCGGTGGGACGCGAGTGGGATATTTGCGAGCGCTCGCACCCGCGGCACGAGCGCCTTTCGATGCTGCAGACCCCATTGCTGATAAAGGTAACAGAGAGGGAAAGATAAGAGGGAAGGTCGGTCGTTGGAGCGAGGTTATCTGAACGGAGCAAGGGAAAAGGATTGTTGAGATGCGAATGAACGTCACCTTTTCGAAATCTCGAAAGCTCGGGCCTAAGGCAAATGGTTGGGGGGGCTCCTAGCGGAGAGCCAATGAGATGCCCCCTGTTGAGAGAGGTCTCCACGCAACTCTCGCACTCGATATCCGTGGGATTCCGTCCCTGATATAATTAATTGTTGTATCTCCTGGCGATAGCGTGGATCTCCAAGGCAGCAGTGAAATGAGATATATAGCTCAGTACAGAGTAGTCGATGTGCAGTTCGGTGTGCAATCTTGGCGACCTTTTCGCTACTATGGCTGGATTGGGTCTTTGTTGCGAACGAGCGAGGAGCTGCGACGAGTACTAAGGGTAGATCATCCCGCCATAGTTCGTCCGAGTTGCAATCATGTGCAAATAGTCAGGAATCAGCATTACTTTTTTTTGTAGCTTGATACACTGCTCGTGAGCCGCACTCGTGAGCCGCATTATATATACAATCAATCACAAGCCAGCTCCAGAGCCACTCAATTGATCGACTTCACGGTAATGCCCAGCTACCAAAAACGCCAGCTCCAAAGCCTGCTTCTCGTTCAATCGAGGATCGCAGAAGGTGGTATAATTCAGGCTCAAATCTTCCTCCGCAAGTCCCTCGCTGCCTCCCACGCATTCCGTAACCGCGTCGCCCGTCAGTTCGAGGTGGACGCCGCCGAGGAAAGATCCATGCTGCTTGTGAATCTTGAGAGCCGAGGAGAGTTCGGAGAAGACGCTGCTGAAGTGGCGGGTCTTGAGGCCCGTCGGTGTGCTCCGGGTGTTACTGCGAAAAATAGTATCAGTCTCCATATTTCATATAGATCTGTAGGTTTCTTGAACTGTCAGGATTTCTTACCCGTGCATGGGATCACATTGCCAGACCACGATGTGGCCGCTCTCCTTCACTGCCTCGATGTGATGTCCCAACATCGCCTCCACCTTATCCTCTCCGTAACGTGTAATGAGCGTGACCTTGCCGATCTCCTTGTTCGGGTTGACGATGTCCAGCAGCTGCACCAGCTCATCCGTCTTCATCGACGGGCCGACCTTGATGCCAATCGGGTTCTCGATGCCGCGGAAGTACTCCACGTGTCCGCCGTCAATCTGTCGAGTGCGGTCTCCGATCCAGAGGAAGTGGGCCGCGGTGTTGTACCATCCCTTGCCGTCTGATGACTTGCGAGATGGCGTGTAGCCGCCCGGGTTCCTTAGGCTCCGTGTGAGGGCTTGCTCGTATTCCATGACGAGACCCTCGTGGCTGGTGTACAGATCTACAGTGTGGAGCTGGCCGGCAGTGTCTGCTCCGATCGTCCTCATGAAGCGCAGAGACTCGGATATGCTGTTCACGATCTTGGAGTATTTCGTTTGCAGGTCCTTGTCTCGAACATGGCCGAGGCCCCAATCGAGGGGATTGTGTAGGTCTGCGATCCCGCTCGCCAGTTGTCCGCGAACGTAGTTAAGTGTCGTGGCAGAGTGGAAGTAGGCGCTGACAAGACGTTCTGGATCCAGTGTTCGATTCGCGGGATCGAAGTCGTTGAGGATGTCTCCCCGGAAGCTGGCAATTGTCTTGCCGTCCACGACTTCGGTCGGGCTGGATCGAGGCTTTGCGTACTGGCCGGCCATGCGACCGATCCGGATGACGGGCTTGTTCATGCCCCAGATGAGGACCAGACTCATCTGGAGTAAAAGCTTGATCTTGGAGTCGATGGGCTCATCGGAGCAGTAGGAGAACAACTCCGCGCAGTCGCCTCCCTGGAGAAGGAACGCTTTTCCAAGCGCGACATCTCGAAGGTGTGACTTAAGCTTGGTGATCTCGGTCGGCGTCACAATAGGTGGAAGGCTTGAAAGCTTCTTTAATGCAGCAGATACGGCTTCTGAATCCTCATATTCCACCATTTGCTTGATCGGCTTCGATCTCCATGCTATAAGATTGTCAGAGTACAATTCTTTGGTAGAAGGGATACCACTTACAGTCAGGTGACCAATTCTGTCCATCACCATTGGCGCCCTGTGTATGACCCATCTTGCTGCTTTGTTGTCCTAAATCAAAGCTCGTATGATTCCTATCGAATGTAAGCCAGTCTGTTCGAATGCAGAGTGTAGAAGATGTTGTCGTTTGCAGTAGGATCAATGACTCATGTTCCAGGTCAGACGGTTCTGAAATTACAGAATGAGACAAAAAATCGCTATCGCAAACCAAGTGATGTAACTAGAAAGGGAAAATCCATGTGGCAGGTCATAATAGTGGAGTAGGGTGTTTAGTTGCAGGTTGTCAATTGAACATGGTTGTCCAGTGTAAGACTTACAATTATTCAACCTTTCAATGCAGCGAGAGGTCTCAGATCGTTTGCAGCTGATTCGAGTCGGATTTTGGAAGTGCTCAAGCTGGCAGTAATCGAACCTTCCAAGTACTGTGTCTCAAGAGTCATACAGAAAGAATCAGAAGAGTCACTTCAATAAAGCCATGTGTAAACGGAAGAATCCTCGCTTGTCGTGATTGGTGGACCGACTCCTTGGCGAAACACCCGTCATCGACTGTTCAGCCTCCAGGTTAGCTTCGTCTTTGAGCTCCATCTTTGTCTATTCGAAAAGCATGTAAGACATTGCCATCCCGTGGCAACACGTTTGCATCTGCGAGCAGAATCAATAACTGATACACCCCGCCTGCAACCATGGCCGAAGAACCGCAACCTTCAGCGATACAGGAGGGCGTCTCCGATCCCCATGCCCCGACGGCTACCGCTGAAGACCGCAAAGCAGCCGAAGCGCTCTCTTCCCTCGACGCCGTAGATGCCGACGATGGATCCAAGAAAGACATCGATTCGAAGGCATTGGGAGAGGCTATGAAGAATTTGAGTATCGATGAGAAGAGTGCGCCTGCGGAGAAGAAGAAAACAGTCAAGGTGGATGCTGCTGATGTCTCACTTCTCGTATGTTCTGCAACTATCTTCCTATACTAGTAGATTAAGTACTTGCCCTGATGATTTCTCAGGTATTGGAGCTTGAGGTTTCGAAGCCGCGCGCCACCGAGCTACTAAGATTGCACGATGGTAATGCTGTCAAGGCAATGTCTGCGTTTGTGACCACGCATGCATGATGAGAAACTTACCGCATAGGCAAAGGCACATTTCACACTTGATCACGATAGGGTAATGATTATTTTTTTATGACTTGACAACCTTAACCAAGTTACTGGTATTCATAAGCAAGGCGGAGTGGAGTATTGGGCCTTGCTATCGAGAATATACTTGTGATGCAACAGTGACCTGTCAATCATGCTATCACGGGATCAATGTTTTTGCAGTGCTGAATAAATCGTCCCCATAGATTGTCAGGCAAGAATGCGAACAGTAACGTTTTTTTCCGTATCTCTATCCCACATAGAAGAAGGCAGATTGTGCTACTCGAGAGAAGGCATCGTGTTGAAAGAAGTCATCGTGTTGAAAGAAGTCATCGTGTTGAAAGAAGTCATCGTGTTGAAAGAAGGCATCGTGTGCTACTTGGAATCAGGAGAAAGGTGTCAATACTCACGAATGGTTCGCTATTTCTTAAGTAATACCAATTGTGTGCTTGATTTGATCATTTGAAGTCACATCATGAATAAGACGCATCATACAGTTATTGTTTTCATTGCTATACTACAGTTGATAATTACAGCGAGTGTAGACAATCAGGGACGTAGGGTGTGAACAAGGCTGGGACCATTGCTCCAAACCCGAGGGCGAGTATGGATTTAACCACTGCTCAAAACCCAAGGCCGAAAGGGGGAGAGTATGGATTTGACCACTGCTCAAACCCCAAGGGTGAGTCTGGCCGTACCTCTGCTTCATCCCTCCCACGCCGGGCCCATAGCCACTGCTCAACCTCCTAAGAGGGAGTCTGGCTATGGAGCCTGCCTGATAAAGCTCCGACACTCCGCTAAGTATGTTTTCCAATTCCAAAGCACAAAACTAGTCCGCTCGATGGGGACGTGGGGTATCGTTATACAAAAAAGAAAGTCAATGAGTCGTATCATGCTTTTCCAGGACTCCAGATTACCACCCAACGCCTTTTGAAATCATAAAGGTAGACATATCCTCGTCCACTGCTGATTTTGTCGTTGTTACAAGAAAGGAAAAGCAAAAGTTCAAAATCGTACAAAACTCCGTAATGCGCCCTGAATGTTCGTGTCCGTTACGAAGTCCGTGGTATCATGAAAGGTGCGCAAAGATACCGACACTCTGCAAGAGGAGATGATTTTTGAGGAATTTACGAGAAGCGAAGTTTCTTCGGCATTCCAAAGGACTCATCGTCCTCAAGGTCCTCCAACATTCGCTTGCGAGTGGGCTGAGCCGTGCGAGGTTGGAAAAGAAGAGAGCGGCCTGGGCTCTGCGCAAGATATTTGTTGTTTACCGGGCCCGTGTATTTAAACGTACTGGGCCTTGCATTCCTCGTAGGAGTCTGTGCATAGAGCTTCCGTGTAGACTCCGGAACTGACAGCTTGGTTGGGCATGTCCTCATGATGTTCCTGGATGCGTTGGGGTTGAGCTTGTACAGTGGACTCGGCTTGGTGTTCTCCTTTTCCTCTTCGACGAAGGATCTGTCGAATTCGGAGCTGGTGGGGGTGGGAGGAGTGCTAGGCAGACTGCTGGTCTCAAGGCCCATGAAGAACTTAGAAGGTGTGCGTGCCGGGGTGTAGGCCTGCCTCTTTGGTTCAGGCTTTGAATGATTGTTGGGGTTCAGATCAACAGCATAGTCCGACTCGTCCATGCGCTTGTTGAACTTCTCGCAATCTAGGATAAAACCCAGATCGACGCACTTGACCTCGCCATGCGTGGCCGCGACCTTCTCCAACGTCTCGTCATCACCGTCTTTGAAAAGGACATGGGTGATTCCTCTGGTATGTTTGTCCCATTTGTCGGCAACAAGAGCACCAAGTTCCTCCAGAAGTGTAGCATACAGGTGGGCCTGGTCTCTGCCCTTGTGCTGAACATCACAAAAGAAAACGCTCCCTGCAAGCAAACCGTCGGGGTTGAAGAACATGCTCTCGGTGCTTGTGTACAGATAGGATTGGAAGGAGACGGACTTCTTGGGACTCTCTACTTCGGGCTTCTGAGGAGAGCGCATAGCAGATTTGTAAGGGGATGCGTTGGGAAAGCTCTTGGCAATGGGTTGAGGAGATGGGGCACGAAGAGACGGGACCTGGAGGGCTGGAGTCTGCCAGTTGGAGGCATGGAGACTTGGTGGGTTAAGAGTCGGGTTCTGAAGACCCATAGATGGCAGGTTTGGCACTTCAACGTTGAGAGCAAATGAGACTTCTGGCTTTCCGGGGGAGACATTTTGCTCGGGAGTTGTCGGATCCGACTGGAATGCAGTCCTCTGAGTAGATGCAGGGCGCTGCTCTGGGGTCGATGGCTGGCTTTGAACCTGAGCCATTGTGTTGACTGCCGGAGTAGTGGGGTATTGAGGAAACTCGGCAAGTGGGTTGACATTAGGGGTGGTCGGATACTGAGGAAACTCTGCAAGAGGATTGACGTTGGGAGTTGTCGGATATTGAGGAAATTCAGCCAAAGGATTGACATTTGGCGTGGTTGGGTATTGAGGATGCTCCGCCATGGGGTTAACATCTGGGGTGGTAGGGTACTGCGGAAATTCTCCAAGCGGGTTGACGTTGGGAGTCGATGGGTATTGGGGGAACTGGGCCAGAGGGTTGACATCTGGGGTGGTGGGGTACTGAGGGAACTCTGCGAGAGGATACACGTCTGGGGTGCTTGGGTACTGAGGAAACTCCGCAAGCGGATCTTCCTCTTGAACTGGCGAGGCTGGCTTGACTGGTGTCGCAAGGACTTCCTTCGCCTCTGCCTGTGATGCCTCTGCTTGCGATGCTTTTGCTTGTGATGCCTTTGCTTGGGTCGCCTTCGCCTGTGTTGCCTTCGCCCGAGTTGCCTTTGCTGGGGCAGCCTTTGCTTGTGTCGCCTTCACTTGTGTCGCCTGTGCAGGTGCCGCCTTTGCTGGCACGGCTGTCTTCCTCGGTGCCCGCTTTAGTGGGGCCTCAGTGATCGCAGCTGGCTTTTTTGGCGAAGCCTTCTTTGTCACTCTGGAGACTTTTGTGACTTTGCTTGCGGGCTTCTTGGTGGTAGGCGCGGCTGCCGCAGCGGGCGCCTTCTTTGCACGTTTGGGAGGTGCATTGAGAGTGTTGGTAGAAGTGTTGCTGGAGTTGGCGGCAGCAGTGCCCGAAGGCTCCTGCTTCGCGCGAGAGCGGGTGGTGACCATCGTGGAGAGTATTTTTCTGATGATCGTGTTCGGTTGCGGGTGGAAGTTGTGTGTTGTGAGTGTGAGGAAAGAGAGAGGGAGAGGGAAGCGTGATGCGGCCATTATGTTTGCGCGAAAGCTTGGCGTGCACTGTTGCTGTGGCAACGCGATAGTTTGGTACCCAGCCCCGACCCGTTTCCAGAAGCCTCAACCATGGTTCGACTGCTAGGATCTAGCCGAATCAATCTTATCTGCTCTTATCGCGGACTTCAGCACCTTTTCCCTCGCTCTTACCCCTCTCCCAGCCTCTATATGTCTCAGTGTTCACTCAACAATTCAACGATGACGCTGCAAGAACTACTCCGTATTTCATTACTCTTTAAAGGGCTACAATCCCCCCAACAGTCGGAGCACCATGTCACAGACCATGTCACAGACCACAATGTCTCGGAGCTTCAGACATTGGGACGAGGCTGGTATCAGTAACTTCCATCCCCACCCCCGTGATCAAAACCCTCCTTTGAGGCAGTACTGTCATACTCGAGACATCTGCGACATTTGTTTTGAGCCTTTTTATCCTTCTTATGTCTAGCATGTGATTTACTCCTTCGTTTGCGTTTACTGTGACCTCCCAAACTCTTATCCACTGGTCGTTTCCGGACGTCATTAAATAGAAACGTTGGTAGGAAGCATTCACCTCATACGAAGCAACAGCGCAAGCTGTCACTGCCGAACTGTGCGCGCGGTTTACGATTATTGGCGGCCTCGCAGTGCACGTAGTTACATCGATGTATTGCAAACACAAGCTGCCGTCATCGCCGCCAGAGACAACCACTATGTGCCCGTTCTCTAACAGTTGACTTACGAGTGTCTTTGATGCATTTTGATGGATGCGAATAGGATCTTTCCAAGTCAATTTCTGAGAATCAGCGGGCAGATTCTCATGTGGTCCGCGGACTGATTCTGGCAAAGCCCAAAAGACAGCATGCCCATCTGTACCTGCGGTCAAAATGGTAGCATCTGGGAGGAAAACTGTTTGGGTCAAGCAGGACGTAAAGTAGGTTCCCGTGGCAATAACACGCCATCTCTGGGCCGCTGTGACATCGTAGCTGTAGACCTAGGCAATTGTTAATAAATGAGTTGTGTATAACCTGTGAGTGATGTGTTTAAAACATACCCCTATCTTCGAATCAGAATACACCATCGAAATGAGATATCCGCCAGTTGAAGCTCTTTTCTGAACATCAAAAGACATTATCCTCAAATCCGGATGATCACTTTTAGGCGTGCAGATAGACTCGCACACAACACCTATACCCAGTGATGACGGTAGAAATCGCACTCGCCAGACGTAGAACTCTTCGCACCCACCACTGCTGAATAGGTACTCTCCGTCCTCAGACCATTGAAGATGTTGTATACCAGTGACGTGTTTCCTCAATGTACGCCTGCATACGAAGTCTCCGTCTACGTACTCAAAGATCTTGATGTCGGTATCTTCAGCACCTGTGGCGACGAGCTGCCTTGATCCTTCCGTAGGTGTTCTATTGCGCGCAGTTACCGCTTTGATTTCTCGACCGTGCCCTCCCGACCTGATCACAACATGGTTTGGTTGTTTCTGCGTGCGGATATGCATGGTAGACGCCCGTGTCCAGACCAGTGTGCCTCCTCCGTCTTCTGTAGACTGGGGTCGGAAAGCCCAGCTTCGATGCGACCCTCCCGTCTCGACGCTCATGATCTCTTCTTCCGATGTGGTATCATACTGAACGAACGCAACACTTGAGAAACCGTAGACAATGAGGTGGCTGTCTTTGAAATACAGACCCTCGATGTTCGGTCCTATCGCAAGCGGAACGTTGTGAACAATGGCAACCGAGTTTTCGGAAAGATCTACGGAATGAATGGCCACGCAGCTATCTCGACCGACGGAGGTGAGATATCCTTGGAAAGGTGTGTTGTCTCCAGACGGTGTCCACATCATAGATGTAACTGTCTCTTTTCCGTGAACTTGGGGGATGATCCTGATCAGTGACGCTGTTGTGTTCTGGATCTCGTCATTCATAGTTGCGGTGAGAGAGTAAATGGCGATGGAGCCTCCACGGAAGCCAAGGAAGATATATTCTGCCGTATCATCGTAGACTACATGCTCCATACTCGTGATCGTCGAGCCAGTCATTGATTCGGAGATCGACAACGCAACCTCTCGCACAAGGACGTTCTCCTCCCGCCCTGTTTCGATAGAGAGAAGGTAGGCAGCCGACTGCCCCATCAACGTTACCAACAGATTTACTACCCCAATCTTGCTTGTGGTGCTCGCAACGAACAAACTTCCAGCCTTTCCTTTGGTGGAGTAAATGTGCGACAATTTTGGCTGGTTCTGGCGATACATGTAGATGCTTCCGCGAGAACCAGCTACAAATGCCACACCAAGCGTTTTGTGGGCAGCGCAAATCGAGTATCCGCGGAGATCGTCTTTTTCGTCTAGAAGCTTGGAGTCGGAAATCATACCAGTGACTTCGGCATCATCCACATCAATCGACAGCTTTTCGAGATAGACTTTACCGCTGTTCGTGGTGAGCAATAATGTCTCTGAATCAACGAAAGCATAATTTCGGAAGAATTCTGAGACTTTCGACGACTTATGTGCCGACGACTTTGGAGATATTGATACGAGGTGTGGTTGTGTCTGAATGGCGACAATATCCTCTACTGTGTACTCGCCTGTACGGATGATTCCCTGACGATCAGGTTGTAGTGACGAGGAAAGCACTCGAGCAGTTATCTTGCTGTCCGCACCGCCGCATACGATATATGGGATGCCCGGGACTGGTTCGTATAACGCCTCCGACCATATATTTTTCCCATTATGGTAAGCCGCGCAACTCACTTGTTTTAGGTCAAATCGGGTAGGTCCTCCAATGCTTGCTACTAGATGCCATACTCGCGATGTTGCATCTTCTCCCGATGAAAGGAGGCAGATGCTTGCTCCAGGGACATCGGCATCGAGAAAGCGTGCTGTCCAGACGCGCGAGGTGTGTCCCCAACCAATTGCTAGGGACGGCGCACTCGAGACATCCATGTCAATAGCTTCGTTACTGAATCCAGTGTGCCGAGTTCTCGCCGCTTCCGAGCCAATGTCTGGTGTTGATAATTGCGATCCATCACCTGAGACGTCCCATATTCGGATCGTTCGGTCATCGCTGCAGCTAGCAAGTAGTCTTGTGGGCTTCTTGCTCGAGATGTCCAGAAACTCTTTCGAGATCTCCACTCCGAATATGGAGCCTTCATGGCCTAAGAAAACGTGGTGTGTCCGAGAACTGGAATGTCCATCAGGTCCTCGTGACCACGACCAATAAATGATCTCTCCGAAAGCTGTACCGGCAGCAATCAGAATTCGATCCCGGTCCTCCCACAGAACGTCTGCAGAATATAAAATAGATCGCGTGCTTGATGTTAGCTCTGACACCTTCAAAGAGCCCAGATCATGACTCTCTTCGCTACTTCGGTCGTGGTCCAATTTCAATTCTAGAAGAGCATCATGGGCGGTCACGGCAGCACAAGTAACGAATTCATCCCCAGAAGAGCCACCCTCGGAGGCAGAAGGTCCAAAGCAGAGGTCGAGAAGCCAATCGGTCGTTTTACAGATTGCAGTACAGCAGACATGGTCAAAAATGCTAGGTTCGACCTCGCCAACTAGTAGGGAGGAATCGATTCGCAACAGGCGAACGAGGCATCCTCCCCAAATAGCTATGAATGCATATTGGGGATGCTCGGCGTGGACGGCAATTCCATGTATTGCTTGGCCTTCGAAGATTTGTTTTGTTGCGAGGAATTTGAATCTGTGATACAATCGCAAATGAGGTCCCTCGGCGCAGAAAACGAGTGGCCCCAGAGTGCCCAAGGCGGTCACGGGAACACGAGTCGCCTCATGCTACATTCGTCAATGGATGAATTATTGTTCTGTGTAATGAAGCATTATTGACTTACTCGTCCGACTTGTGACATTGGTTTGGTGGCAGTGGAGAAGACAGTAGCAGCTGGGGAATTTTTGGACTTCTTGCTCAATAACTAAATTCAAGGCACGTAAACTTTGGGCCTAATTAAGTTAAAGTTAGTCAAACTTAACCCCATTCTCCCGTTGAGTCAGCAAATAATACGGTGCGATGGTACGAAAATCAATGTGTGGTGGCGCAAGGAACCGGCGGGGTGGGGCGCGAAGCTTCCATCGTCATCGCCGCCAATTTCTTCCCCTCTATCTAAATTCATTCCACCCCATATATAAAACAAACACTCCTCACCCCAAGTATTGGTTTTGCATCTCAATCCCTACAACGAACACAGGAAAATACCAACTACAATACTACAATCATGTCTCTACCAGCTGGTGCTAACATCAATGCCGAGGATACTGATAACTTCGAGGATGTATGTTCACACTGCTGCTAATCACAAGGCAAAACTAACCTTTGAACAGATCGAGAAGCAATTCGCCGTCAAAGGTTCGTTCGCCCTCCCAAAACCGTTTGGTCGTAGTGACTAACACAACTTCAAGTCGTGCGCCACGTAGAAACGTACTGGAGCATCCTGGAGAAAGTCCCAGGATCGAAATTGCGCCTCACAAAATTCGACGATGAAATCTACGAGCACTTCAAGAAGGACTTCCCAGAGTTTGATCCGAAGGCTACCATAAATGAGGATGAGATGAAGAGCAAGGAGGGCAAGGAGCGCTGGCGCAAATTCATCACGGAATATGAGAAGAAGGTTGACGATTACAACTTTGGCACTATGCTGCGGAACAATCCCAAAGAGGAGTACGAACAACACAACACCATCTTCGCAGTCCGCATGCAGTTCTACGCCATAGAGATTGTGAGGTAAGACATACGAAGCCTAAGATTCCGTTTCGCTACTGACTCCAGGATAGGAATCGTGAAGGATTGAACGACTGGGTGTACGAAAGGGCGCATCCCGAGTCCAAGTAATTAGCTTGAGACAATCGAGTTTCATTCATCAATCACCCAACAGTTTCGATTTGTTTGCGTCTAGCTACCCAGCAGCCAACCCTTTGCTAAGACAGCACTGAATGCGGCATGCTTGCTGATGACTCGCGTTAGTCCATTGAGCACAGCTTGTTTCACCGGATCTGTGCAGCGCCGAACTGGGAGCAATAATCAGACCTTCGTCGTACGAGGTTCTAGGCACAGGAGGTCTCGGGGCATCGAGGAGCATCAGCTACAATGCCGCAAGCAGGTCTACATATAATCCCGCAGAGCAAAAGAGTGTAGCAGGGTGCGGCCTTTGATATAGGACTAGGTAGATATCAACGTCACATCGGATTAGAGAATACCCCAAAAACTTGTTTTTATGCGACATGAATTACCAAGTGAGTGAATCAGCTAGTGAAGGTGTGGTTACGGCTCGTGGTGTTTCCGTCGCCAGTGCTGCCTTGTACTGCTGAGAACAATATGAAGGCCAAACAAAGCTCGTCGCGTGGCAACGGATTACTAGTCTACATCTAGCATTCACCTTCAAGCCGCAAGTCCATAACTCCAAACTATCCATGAACATAATTGGTATCTTTCTATCGTTTCTTGCGTTGATAATTTTCTAGCATTGATATCACCGCAATGACCTCCGCGACAGCACTGAGAGTACGCGAAGGACACAACGGAGACCAACAGAATGAGCAGAGTAACAATGATGCTCATCGGAAGATCTATTGGAAAGACATCTTCAGCTTTACTACTAGAAAGCATGTCATTACCGTCTGTGCCTCCGCAGCCTTTGCGACTATTGCAGCTCTAGTGATGCCAGCCATGGCAATCATCTACGGCCAGATCTTTCATGAGTTTGCCAACTTTGGAGCCGGAGCCATATCCTCAGCGGAATTACTTCACAACACTACACGATGGATAATATTTCTGACCGGGATAACTGCAGTGGGTTGGGTCTCGAGCAGTTGTTATTTCATGCTGCAGCTTGCTTTTGGCGAGCTCCAAGCCCAGAATGCCCGGCAAAAGATCTTCGATGTTCTCCTACGGAAGAAGATTGGATGGTACGACTTGAAAAACAGCGGCGTTCCTGCAATGCTCTCTGGAATTCAAATGTAAGGCTTGAAATCGAACGATACCAGTGGGCGATCTAACATCAGTGTTCCCCAGGCACGTTCGAGACCTCCAGTTATCTACATCCCAGCCTCTCGGCGAAGGCTATCAAATGGTTATTATGAGCATCGGGGCACTTGTGGTAGCATTCTATTCCTGTTGGGATCTCACTCTAGTCATAATCAGTATCGTTCCAGTCATTTTTCTCGTCATGGGGCTTCTCGGTTCACGTCTATCTCAACGAGCAGTGCAACAAGGCGAGAGACTGCAACAGGCAACTAAGCACGTCACAAGCGCTATCAGCAATATCGAAACTGTCAAATGCTTCAATGGCGAACGCTTCGAGCTTCGACGATTCATACTCGCAATCGATCGTGTAGGAACATTGTACAAACAGCAAGCCAACTTCCGCTCCTTGCAGATTGGTTTCATGCAACTCGTTACCATGGGAGTCTTTGTCCAGGCTTTCTGGTACGGCAGCCACCTCGTCGTCTCGGGCAAAAGAAACACCGGACAAGTAGTGACAACGTTCTGGGGAGCTCTGATGGCTATTCAGGGAATCACTGGGTTCATACCCCAGCTCATTGTGTTGCAGAAAGGAAAGGTAGCTGCGGCAGGACTGAAGCTTCTCTTAGAGGACGATTCGGAACGGAAAGAACAGACCGAGACTGATAGCGGAGATCACCCTCCCCGTTGCACAGGGGACATAGAGTTCAAAAAGGTCAGGTTCCAAGCGATGACATGCTCCCAGTTTTTAACAATCCCTAGATTTTCTTTTCATACCCTACTCGCCCAGACCAAGCCGCATTGGACAATGTTTCAGCGTTTTTCCCAGCAGGGGAAACCACTTTCGTCGTCGGCCGTAGTGGCTCTGGCAAGAGCACCATGGGGCACCTCCTCGTACGCCTCTATGACCCCCAGTCGGGCCACATATACATCGATGGCTTGCCCGCTGATCAATTGGCCTTGCGATGGCTGCGAGAAAACATCACTCTTGTCGAACAACATAGTGTCCTGTTTAATGAAACTATTCGCCGCAACATAGCTCTGGGCCGCGGAGACGGCCACGTAACAGCGAGAGATATCCATAGAGCAATCGACTTTGCTGTCCTCAAAGATGTGATCAACACTTTCCCACAGGGCTTGGATACTGCTGTGGGTATAAAAGGCAACGCACTAAGCGGAGGCCAGAAACAGCGATTAGCCATGGCACGGGCTCGAATACGCAATACCCCCATCCTGGTGCTGGACGAGTCGACCAGTGCCCTCGACTACGTAACACGATCACTTATGTTTGACGCCATTCGAAAATGGCGGCAAGGTAAGACGACGATTGTGATCACTCACGATATGTCGCAAATCCTTCCAGATGACTACGTATACATTATGAATGAGGCACAGGTGATAAGAGACGGATACTTGAAAGATTTCGAGGCCAAACCCGACCCATTGTCCTCTGAACTTCTTGAACAAAGCCAAAGACTAAAGTATGGAGATTATGGAGAGTCGGAAACGGACGATGAAACGGAAGAGATAATGTCTCTTTACGACGAATCCTGGACCACTTGTCACTCTACAGTCGCTGAAACTATATTTGGTGAAGCCATCGCGTCTCCATTCCTGGCACCGAACCGAAACTCGCTCCTCATGACGACCTATAGAAGGCAATCTACAGTACCATCCGATATATTTCGGAGTCCTTCACCAGGTGGAGAGACACTTCATAGAAACAGTGTATCTAGAGCCTTACCTTCCCCTTACACAGTGAACGATTCTCTCGGAGTCAAGCATAAACACTTCAGTAGACCTCTGTCGATCGTCTCCGATCCCAGGTTCTCACTCACTCAGGCACTTCCGACACAGAAGGAAACTTTCAACAAAACACACAAGCGTAACGACAGTGGTATGGATTCAGTCGAGTCCAACGACAGTACAACAGTTGTCATTCCTAGTACGACACTCACCATATCACATGTTCTGAAGACTGTATGGCCGGCTCTCGATTCCAGGCATCGAATCATGCTCATTTGCGCAATTTCATGCGCCATGGTTCACGCTGCTTGCACCCCTTCGTTTGCGTTTGTCTTTGCAAGACTGCTCTCCACGTTCTACGCTACTGCCGATCAACAAAAGCTAGCCCTCCGTTACGCTCTAATTATTCTCGGAATCGCCATACTCGATGGTATTGCAGCCTACAGCTTTCATTTCCTGTTCGACATCTGCGCCCAGCGGTGGGCCAACTTCTATAAAGAAGAAGCAATGCGACGCATCTTGAAACAACCGCGACAGTTCTTCGATCATGAAATTAATAGTATCGCGAGTATATCGGAATGCCTTGGTCACCTTGGAGAAGAGGCACGCAATCTACCAGGACGTTTCCTTGGCATTGTCATAGTCATGATTGCGATGGTATGTGTTGCCCTCATCTGGAGTTTGATCATATGTTGGAAGATCACATTAGTTGCTCTTGCTACGGGTCCTATCCTATTTGCTATTATGAGAGGCTACAACGCTGTCAGTGGACGCTGGGAGACCCGAACAAATGCAGCAAGTGAGGCGGTCGGCCAGATCATGCATGAAACATTCACCAGCATCAGAACGGTGCGTTGCCTCCAACTTGAGACGATTTTCCAGAGAAAGTCACGGATGGTCATCAACATGGCTCTCAAAACTGGGATCAAGCGCGGAATTTACATCGGTTCTATATTCGGACTCAACTTAGCCGCTCCCTACTTTGTTGCCTGCCTACTACTCTGGTACGGATCAACTGTCCTTGCGTCACGAGAGTTCACCATTACCAATATCATCGAGACTTTCACGATCATACTCCTGAGTGTCAACCAAGTCAACTACATTGGCAACTATATCCCCCAGATCAATGTCTCCAAAGACGCAGCATCAAGGTTGCTCCGATTAGCAAGACTGCCGCAAGACTCCCACGAGCAGGACGGTGACAGCGAGCTCCCCAACGCTGGAGACATAACCTTGCAAAACGTTAACTTTAGCTACCCAGTGCGCAAGGACCAACAAATCCTGACAGATGTTAGCTTAAAGATTCCAAAAGGCAGTTGTACAGCCATAGTGGGCCCATCCGGTTCTGGAAAGTCCACCATCGCCTCTCTACTGCTTAAGCTATATCCAATCGAGGCATCTGCCTATTCTCACAATGGTCGGATTACTATATCAGGGCATGATATTAAAGATCTCCAAACTCTGGCTCTTCGCTCTCATATGGCCATAGTATCACAAACCCCTGTCCTATTCCCAGGAACAGTGGCCGAAAACATCGCGTATGGACTCTCGCCTTCCTCGCCAATTGTGTCTCACGACAACGTCCGCTTAGCTGCGCAGGCCGCCGGCGTGGACGACTTCATAATGAGTCTATCCAACGGCTACCAGACTATCGTTGGTGAAGGCGGCACCGGCGTGTCTGGCGGTCAGGCCCAGCGCATTGCCATAGCGCGAGCTCTGATCCGCAATCCAGACATCCTCATCCTTGACGAAGCGACCAGTGCTCTTGACGGCGAGTCCGCCAACATCATCCGCGAAACTGTGCAACGACTCGTCGCGGAAAAGAAACAACCCGAGGAGCCTCTATGGCAGAATGGAACCAAGAAGTTCAGGTACAGACGTCAGAAACGGAACATGACTGTCATCATCATCACGCATGCGAGGGAGATGATGGCCATTGCTGAGAACATCATCATGTTGGATAAGGGCAAGGTGATCGAGGAGGGTGGGTTCGACGATTTGAGGTACAGGGGGGGTCCTTTCAGTAGGCTTCTACAAGGTAAAGGGGTTGAGGACTAGGCTTTGGAACTATCGCTGCGGAAGCCTATAGAGAGAGCTGAAGGGAATGGCGAGACGGGTCGACCGAATGAGCATTAATGGCAGAATGAAAATACACGGTGCTGCAACAATGCACATAAAAGTATGACCGAAATTGATTAGGAAAGCAATAAGCACTTTCGCTGCTGGGTATCATCTACATGCTAGCACTACAAAAGCACCCTTACCAATGTGATAAAAGCTAGAAAAAGAAAGCTACCCTCGTACAAGAAATAATGGACAGGTTCCGAGAGTTGTCTCTCATACCTTGAAATCTCTCCCCTCTCTCTCCTTCCTTAGAAACTGACCCAATCCAGCCATGCCTCCAGGAATCGCATGCTTCCACACTCGGTCAAGACGTATTCGAACTCCTCGTAGCTGAGCAAGCCCATACCCTTCCTCTCATTTATCTCGTCCTCGACCGTCTGCATGCTTGCGAGTAGGGTAAGGTGCAGGGGTGAATCCTCGTTGAGCGCCTCGACGCGGATCTTGTTTTCCAAAGGCTTCTGTGTGTTTTCTTGTTCCCACGGCATGCAATGTGATGCGGCGCGGATATCGATGTCAAGTCCGGAATTGTCGGGTGCGATCGAAAGTAAGAAGATGCATGGCTCGTCAGCGAATTGGGCGTCTAAGGGCGTTCCCTCTTCCGTGTTTGTTGGTTCATCAGGAGGTGGTGGCTGCTCTCTGTTATGGAAAGCTTCGGCATCCATCAGTGTGTCCTCTCCAGTACTACTGTGCACCTGGATAAACTCTGATCCATCCTGGGCGGTGCGAAGAGACACTGGCTGACCAGGGGGCGTAGATTCCCCACTTGAGGATCCATTTTCGAAGCCGGGGGCAGCAATTATGAAGAATGGACCGCGGCGGTGAGAATAATGTATGTATGTGACCTCATTAAATTCGTCTCGTGTGACGTCCAACATAGAGCTTGTGACGCTGTCGTCACAATCACTGCTGCCCGACATTGGCGCCTGCGTGGTTGGCAGATCTTCTAAGGAGTTTGGTCGGAACTGGGGCATCGTGGGGTCCCGGTAAGGCAAGGGTTCCGTCTGATAAGAATGATCGTGAACCTCAGCGCACACTGATGCGGCGGAGGATGATGGGGTTGATGACAACCATCCTTGTCCGATTGCTAGCTCAATAAACGCATCTACAATCTCGCGGTGGAGCTGCATTCTGAGAAGCTTTGCTTTCCACAAGTCCCAAGGCGTTGCCTCTTTCTTATAGGTGCCCGGCAGCTTATTGAAAAATTCCACCACAGCCTCCTCTAGATCCAAGATAATCTCTGAGAGGTGCTCTTCGACTTCGTCTTGATACAGATCCAAGGAAATCAGGTCTTCTATCAATGGACCGATAGAATCTTGGTCTTCTGTAAGGCGCATCAAGATGAATTTAGAGTACCTAAAGACTCCAAGGTAGTACATCGCTTTGTTCAAGACATCTTCTTCGTGAAACTCTTTCGTCACCTGATCAATCTGGGTGACTAATGTCCGACGTTTGGGCCGTGTGGCAACCGCGTCTAATGCGTTATCTTCCTTCTCTTGAAACATCGAGTTAAGGAGTTCGTTGAAGCCTTGTTGAGTGATTTGGTAGAGAATGTCTTTGCCAAGGTCCTTTTCAGGTTTGGGTATCTCGAATCCACCCCAGCGTTCACCAACCGGGCGAGAGGATGTAGAAGCATTTGAGCGAATCTCGAAGTCAACGTCATCTTGGAACCGCACTCTTGAAGAGGAACGCGAACCTAGAGTGCGCCCTGGGTCTGGGGTAGGCGATGCGGTAGGCTCTGCAGCTTCATCCTCGTCACCGAGCGGGTCCGACTCTCCAACACCAGAAGGGCGATGAAAACCTTCCTCTTCATCAATGTAGAATCGGCGTCGTAACCAGCGCTCGCTTACAGCCTCATCCTCCCTGGCGTTTGTTCTGCGACCAACATTCGTGCCTGGAGCTGTGAGCCGTATAATCTCCTCACGATCTTCAGTGTCATCCATGTCCTCGCCTAGAATTGGCCCAGACCCAACTTCATCATCTGGAACCTTGTTCTGTCGTTGCTGGGGCCGTGGATCCGGTATGCCATTGCGAGTGAATGCGGACCCTAGTGGCTGGCTCGAGTGTATTGTATCAAAGCCGCCCGATAATGAGAGCTCTTCTGCATTTTCAGATAAGTAGTTACGGGTTGCCTCTCTCTCGATAGCATAGAAAGCTCTGAAAATTCGAAGGACATCCTTGCGAGATATATAGCCGTCGCCATCCATGTCGTATCCATTAAAAACAATTCTTGATTTGATGGTTGTGTCACGAGAATGGAGGCCAGCAAGTCCCAGCACGAATTCTTCGAACCCGATTCGTCCGTTGCGATCTGAATCGTAGTATGCAAAGATACGATCGTAGACCAGGTTTGGCGCAGACATGAAAGAGGAGTATCGCGGGATGAAGGCCTGATTGAATCCACGCCGATCAATCGCCCAGCCAATCTTGTTTGGGTCTTCCTCCCATTCTACGCTTGCCAGACAAGTGAATGTATCCCATAATGCTTCAATTTCCTCATAGTCTTTCCCAGTTTGTTCAACTAAACGTTTCTTAAGTGCAGAGGTCACAGATAAGCTCATCAAATGCGGCCGCCCAGGGTACATCGCGTCCTGCTTCGGTAGCCCAAGATTTGGTAATGGAATCCGGACCTCGTAAAAGATATGTGTTTTGATGTGCGAATTGGTCGCTTTGCAGTCAGAGCACAGGTCGAAGTCATTGCAATTCGCACAGTGCCACCGGATACCACGAATCGGTTTCGTGTCGCATCCGTTGCATGTTATGCCCCGATGAATGACTCCTTCCTGCCTTGCGCGGTCCTCAGCAATATGGTATAACGTTCTTTGCAGTGTCTGCTCATGATCATCAAGCTCATCGTCGGAGAGGCCGTCGCTCTGCCATTCCAGCTCAGTCGCAGGCAAGCTTTCTCGATCGCCCAACCCAGATGGGTCCATTGCGCTTATATTAGTCCTATTTCCAGCGCCACCGTTACTACTGTATCTTTCGAGTGCCTGCGTTACAAGTCGGTCGTTGGGTACGATGTTGAGGAGTGCGTCAGATACGGCGTCTGTATCAGCTGTGGTAAGGGGACCATTGTGAAATACAATGCCAAGGATGCGATCCAGGCAAACATCGTAGAGCTGTTCAATCTGGTATTCTACCTGCTCGCGGCTGGCTTCAGGATGAATTTCGCTGGCGAGCAAGCGCAGCTCGTCTGGGGTGCATAAATGACGTGTGTTGAGTTCTATTTGGGCCCCGAAGAAGTCAATTGCCCCAAGCGGCTGGCCCTCGTCCTCGATTTGTTCGATTTGTGAGACAATATGCGCGCTTCTAGGTCGCTGCGGAGGCCTTCGGATAGCGTTGCTCCTATGGAGTGAGGTATCGGTCGTCGATGAATCTTGGGCAAGGACACTGCTATAAAGGAGGTAGGCCGTATATGCTGCTGCTGCACCTGTGACAACTAGGATCGCAGGTCGATAGCGAGAGAGGGCGATCGGGTTCGTGGTCGGCATGAGGAGAGACAATGCTCAATTCGAGCGCTCAATAGCAGCCAGCTTCGAAAGTGTAATGTGTTCCAGATCCCTTGCTCGTACGTCGTACCCAGCAAATGAGGAAACCAGTGAATGGGATACTGGTGAGATGTGCTTGCACATCTACAGCAAGTGCAGCATGCAAACCTGCTAAATGTGACGAATGCTGTTGTATAATAAAATAAAAATTAGAGCAAGTGCTCTGGAGGACCAGCAACTACTCATCGGGCATGGCTGTCATCGCTGGCAAGGCTTTGGTCGGGTAGTACCAGCGACCCCAAACTGTGAATGCCAGCTCAAAGCCAAAGCTTAGATTCCGATGTTATGTAAGCAATTCTCCGACCATCAATCCCCAATAAATTAATTGAATTGATTATACCTCATAGCACTATGCTTTGGGACATGCAATAATTCGCAATCTAGTCATTTGTATTCTATTCATATTTCATGTTACAATGGATTTAGCTCGGATTTCCTGTTTATCACAAAGCGACGGTGTTCTTGATTACACATGGAGATTCCTATTAAATAGATTCTTGGAATATTCGATCTACAAATACATCTCACAATATAGGCCGTGTCGTCGGTCCCCAAAGTCCTCGAAAACGCTCAAGATCTGAGATACTTAGAAAAAGAAATTGCGATTCCATTCTGTGTCACGAGCCTTTACCATGCCGAGTGGCCGCCATCGATGCGCAAATCCGATCCAGTCTGTGAATAGGGTTAGCGAAAATCATCCCTCATGTAGGAAAAGAATGATTGCTTACCATAAAACTGCTAGCATCACTTATCAAGAAGACAGCTGCGCCACGATATTCCTTTGGAGCAGAAAGCCTCTGGAGCATGTTCTGCTTCGGCCACTCCGTCTTGCGTTCCGGGAACTTTTCGAACAATGCTTCAACCATGGCCGTTACGATGTATCCTGGGGATATTGTGTTCACGCGGATGTTGTGCTCGCCCCATTCCGAAGCCAGGTTACGTGCCAATTGAATGACACCCGCTTTTGATGCGTTGTATGCCGGGCAGATGAGACCCTATGGAAGTGTCAGTGAAACCTAAGAAACCAAATATTTGAGACTTACCCTATTAGCGACAGTTCCCGACATACTTGCGATCAGGACAATACTTCCACCGTTTCCAAACCGGATCATCTGTTTTGCAACAGCCTGGGAGGTCATGAAGACACCGGTAATGTTCACTTCGAACATGCGATTCGCATCCTCTGCAGTGTATTCTAGAGCAGGAGTTTCTTGCTGGATCCCAGCAGCAGCGATCAGTCCATCTAGCCTGCCGTGCTCATTTGCAATATCCTCCACAATCTTATTGAGATTGGGAATATCCCGTACGTCAACTTGACAGTATTTCAGAGATGTTCCGAGCTCCTTCTCTGCTCGCTGGGCGATTACGTGGAAGTCTGGTGAAGGCTCGGGTAGACGGTCGAGGGCGTACACTTCTCATGCTATCAGTATGCGACGAAGGAACTCAAAGTGGATATGCAGTGTATTTACCGGTTGCTCCGCCCTCCAACAATGCCTCTGCCTGTGTCAGACCAAGACCACGGGCCGCTCCAGAGACTAGCACAACTTTGCCGCGCAAGTTGAACTCGGGAAGTCGCTTTTCAGTGCCGAGATATGGCTTTGCGGCACTATCGCCAGCGGGGGTGACGGGTGCTTCGTGTTGCGTCATGATGTGATTGGCGAATGTGATGGTTACAATAGGAATGTGACGGGAGGGAGGAGGGATGCAATATTACTGTCGTTCTGGAGCAATCACCAATTGGTACTGCAGAGTTATCTCCAGAGACCAGATCTAGAATATTGACAACGAGGCCAGGAGAGCAAGGTGAATGAACTATTAGGTGAAGAGCTCCCCCACTATGTTAAAGATAGATCAATACTGAGAAAGAGGAAGAACGAATTGAACATTTGAGGTAAAGCAGCGCCGATGGCTTTGGTTTTAAAGGATGATGAAGTGGAGAAAGGGACACCATCATATGATTCGAGACCAAGGTCATGACCTGGCGGAGACGGTCTCGGCCATTGAACGGACACGCTTTCGCATGGCGTTTTCTTACGGGAAGCTGAATATGGTTCAGCATCGCCAGGTTGCGGGGGGAATGTTGATGGCGGCATTTCCTCTTTAGGACAAACCGAGCACCAACCATCCATTCCGCGACTACAAAGCTTCTGTCACCAACTTACGCACAGTACCCGGTACAAATACACGTATGCTGAAGTTATTACTCTGTACCGTACTGAATGTTTTTTATTCGTGTTTGCGTGATCAAAAATAGCAAACAAGAGATTTCGATTCCTCGAGACGATGCCCAGGCTGAGGTGGGGGTCCTTCTGAAAGCTGAAGTTGCACAGCAGGGGGCGGCGGGAGGGCGGGAAGCCCACTACCATACTCCCACGACTCCATACATGCCCACTCACACTCGTGATACTTCGTGATACTGTGACTTCGGTCCATATGCATGCATTGAAACCATTCAAAACGAGAGAGCCAATCAGCCGGGGGTACGGGGAATTCTCCGCTACTTCCCCGCTTTACACAGAATACGGTAAGTGGACATCCAGACCTGAGGTCTCTCCGAATCTCTCGGTTGACTGTAGCAAACAATATAATCGTACCCCCAACACCACATATCGGTGGCTTCATTGCTTGACCACCCACCGGGCCCACCCGATAGATCATCCATATGAGCATGCTTGTACCACGAGAATCCCGCACTGCTCGCGTACAATGCCTGGGATTGCTCCTATCTCCGCATTCTGCTATCCATCGTTGTAACGCACATGTCGGATCCAAGATGACAGCGCCCGTTTTTCGTCTCCATTGAGCTCATTACATCAAACGTGCAGCGATGATCTGTCGAACCTCAGATATTCTTGCACCAAGGACGACTGGGCCTTCAACTTTTGGTCGACTACTGCACCTGCAAGGGATATCCAAAACGTTGTGGCAGCCTTGCTGAGTCTCCAACATTGGACAGGTCCTCCTTTCGTGCTCGTCACTGGCACGATACACAGCCGGAAGAGCACATATAGATCATCCCATGACCCTAATATGTACGATAGCCCCAATAGTTTGTTCTCGCAGTGCTTGATATGGACTCGTACAATCGGGCATTCCAAGCCCTTGTCTCACTCGATAGTCCTACGGAAAAGCGCCCATCAGATCCATGCCCGGTCATTGCAAAAAGGGCACAAGAGCACCGCGATGCCACGATCGCTGCAGTCCGACCCCCTCTCCCAGACTTTGACGGCCTCCCTCAAGATTCCTCCCAAGTGCCCAAGTTTATCCTCACCCCAGAGGAAATTGCCATAACAGAGTCTGATCCGGCAGACCTCGTGTCAAAGCTCACATCTGGGGCAATTCTTTCCAGAACAGTCACGGTGGCATTCCTCCGCCGAGCAGCCCTAGCTCAAAAGCTGACCAACTGCGTCACCGAGTTGCTCCCAGTCGCAGCTCTTGAGCGGTCGGCCAAACTCGATCGGTACTTCATGGAGAATGGAAGACCGACCGGACCCCTCCATGGCCTCCCTATATCCATCCAAGAGATGATAGGGATCAAAGGCCTGACCCAGAATGCTGGCTACATGGCCTGGCATGATCGGATTGCAGCGGAGAACGCTCACATCATCGACATCCTGATCAAAGCAGGAGCAGTTCTCTACGCCCGCACGACGCAGCCGCAAACACAGCTGCAGCTCGAGACGTCCAACAACTACTTCGGCGACACCGTCAACCCTTTCAATCGCAAGCTGACGGCCGGCGGTTCCCCAGGCGGCGAAGGTGCACTCATCGGCATGCGTGGATCCTGCCTTGGCCTCGGAACTGAATTCGGAGGATCACTCCGCTCGCCGGCCGCCAACAATGGCCTATATGGCTTCAAGCCGACTTCGCTCCGCTTGCCCACGGGAGGCTTCATGGCTTCGATGTTGGCCCAGGAGGGGATCGTCCCTGTGGTCGGACCCCTCTCGACGTCCCTAGAAGGCGTGAAGTTGATCATGCAGACGGTCCTTGATTCGCAACCTTGGGACATCCAACCGTCACTCGTGCCCATCCCATGGAGGACCGAGTCTCAGTTGGAGCGACTCCCCTCCGGTGAGAAATGTCTGAAGGTCGGTGTTATGTTCGATGACGGCGTTGTCATGCCTCATCCGCCTGTGCTACGTGCAATCAAGACCGTGGCGGACGCCTTGACCGGCGTGAAGGGCATTGAACTCGTGATGTGGAAGCCCTACCGGCACGACTGGGCATGGGAAATCACCTCGTCACTTTTTTTCTGCGATGGCGCGAAAGAGGTTACCGAGGACCTTCTCGCTTTGTCAGAGCCAGAGCCAGTACTTCCGCTGGCCGCCGACTTAATTCGTCTCACAAATGGAGGCACCGTCAATAGTATGTGGGACTGGATCAAGAAGCGAGATGTGTATCGAGGGGAGTACGCGCAACTCTGGAGGGATGTCGATGTGCTACTTTGCCCTGCTGTAAGTTTGACCCAGACAGTATCGATTTAGCCAACAAGCATACACGATAGAAAGCTAAACGAGTTCACAGGGACCGAGTGCGGCGCCTCTCATTGGGACTGCCAAGTACTATGGTTACAGTTCTCAGTGGAACCTGCTCGACTACCCGGCTGTCGTGGCACCTGTCACCAAAGTCGACCCTAAGATCGATACTGCTGATCCGAACTACCAGCCAAGGAATGTCAAGGACAAGGAAAACCATGAACTATGTAAGTTTTGCGTAAGTAATGAGTGCTGACCCCCATTTGGAGACAATTTAGCTAACATGCTACTTGCAGACAATGCTCAAGAATATGAAGCTGCCCCCGTAAGCATCCAGCTCGTCGCGAAAAGGTTCCAAGACGAAAAATTGATAGAGGCAATGGATCTCATCAAGGAAAAGGTGGGACTGCCGTTCGCATCGTTTACCTGAGTGCATATTCAACATCATGCCCTGGTTTCAAATTGACACACACTTTCAATATAATGGTAACCAATAAAATCATGTTTTTCGTTGCAGAGTTTCCCTGTCCGTATATGGTCTTGCTTCATCTATTTGCGTGAACGCTCGGAGGATGCAGCTTTAAACCAAGCAATCATGATGACCGATATCTCTCAGTCGCGGATATGCACTTCCCAATCCCTCAAAGCAGATCTGAGCTGCTCCTCCACTCCCTCCTCCACCCAGAAATGCCCAGCGCCTGCAATCTCAACATGCGTGAAGTCCGACCCAGACTCCTCGCTGATCCTCTCAGCCCAATGCTGGATCTTCTTAGCGCTTGTGAAAATATCTTGATCGCCATTGACCGCGAGGCATTTATGTTTGCCAAAGACTTCACTGTCGCCGTCTTTCTCTTTGCTCCAGAATTTGAGTCCCATGTTCGGCAACCCTGCCAGACCTGGGGCTGCTAGAGTAGATATCGGGAAGGTGAGGGGCGAAATGAGTAGGTAACGCACATCAGGCATCTCAATGGACGCCCTGGTCACTGGGGCGTTGGCCGTGGTCGCCTTCGCAATTGGGCCCAACGCTTCCTTCACCCTCAGATGGCTCATGCTACGTAATCTCGTGCCTAGCTCTAATCTACCGGTGCCGTCTACGCTGGACCGATTCTCTCTGCTGTTCCGCCGCTGCTCGGGACATGTCTCTTCGCCGCCCATCGTGACGGAGAGCTTGGCCTCGTGGCCGCGACCTCTACGGTAGTGGTAGTCTCGTGCCAGAGTGAGCCAGTCCTGGTTGATCTGTTCTGATAGTTTATGTGCACGGAGGATGATCTCAGATGCAGAGGACCCTTGTACCGGCGCATGGAAGGGTTGTAGAATCGACGGTATGGGGGGGAGACTGCGAAGGATCGTCGAGCCGTAGGAATAGCCGCCTAGGATGACGATTGGGTATTCGTCGGTTGTGTATGATGACGCTTCGGTACGCGGCGATGCTGGTGTTGACACCGAAGATTCCGTGGGTGTGTTTGCGTCTATGGACGGGAATGCGCGGAGTTGTGATAGATAGAGGATGAAGAGCGCAGCGAAGGAGATGTAATCGTCGGCTTCAGGCTTTCCAGACCAGCTCGTATGACCTTTCGAGCCGTGAGCTCCCCTGTATGTTGTTATTCTCTGACTGATTTCGGTGGATAGCCCACTGATGCACGTACCTGAAATTGAACGTGCCGACCACATATCCCAACGCCAGAAATTCTGCCACCACAATTCCGACAATGCGATCGTCATGGCTACCGCCCATGGGCGCGTAGGGGTGCGCCATGACGATTCCTCTCCTCCGCCATCGCTTGTGATCTTCGGTAGCCCCCGAGTGTACCTGTAATAGGATGCTTGGGTGGTAAATGCGGCAATCGAGGGGGGTATCGTCGTGGATGCTCGGAATCGTGAAGCTGTAGTGGGGTTCGGGCGCGTGGTGCATATTGGGTCGTACCACCTTGCAGGACCCAAACGCGAAGGGCGTTTATCGCATCGTCGATGATCTGAAATTTGTATTTCGAGGCACACGCATGTAGTCGGATTAGACGGCTGCGTTGTGTTGATTACAAAAGTATTAACCCGGTGCACGGTTGGGGTAAATAGATGGTTTGCCAATGATGTCAGATTGCAACCTCTCATACGACGCGCGGCGATGAGGCTGCCACCGTTATTGGAGCAAGCGCGACGGATTGTTAGCCAAACTTTAATTTCCAGACGTATTGGCACGTCCACAGTTTAAGCACTTATATAGACCCTAGACATATTCTCAAAGGGCAATTTCATGTAATTTTCAACCTGATCGATCGATACAAGCGGAACACGTTTTCAATTCTTGTTCGTAACTATGCTATAGAAACCTGCCCATTACCGTGCTGCGCATGATCTGTGGTCAATACTCAAAATTATCGATCTTTTTGTTATAATAGTCCCGCCAGAACGTGGGTACCTAGTCCGTATCAGTGTCCTGATGTGAAATCATTAGCTCTGGATCAGGATCCTCGTCATCAGTATCGAAGAATTTTGGCTTCGGAGTAATGGTCGACTTGGGCGGGGAGCGAGTAAGTCGAATAGCCGATGAAGAACCCTCGCCCTCGCTATCTGTGTGCGAGTCCTCTGCATCGACCAACGGTTTTGAGGCCTTTTCTTTCCCGTTGCTCTGGACACCAAGAGCGGCTTCGAGTAGCGTTCGGCCCTGCTTAAAAGCCTCCAACTCGGCGCCAATTGCGCAGACCAGGAGGTTCCAACCCTTAGACGATGCAGACTCGAGCTCTTTCTCAAGCCAGGCCGTCGTGGTGCCCATGCGAGAGAGTAGGTCGGAAGGGTCAGAATCATTCTTCCGTCCAGCAGCAAATTGCATGTAATCTTGGAGGCTAGACTCAAACTCAGTCACCTTGTTCACAACACCATCCCAAAGAACGACGCCTTCATCTAAAGCTGCCCGATCCGTGTCAACTTCTTGACACTTCTCGAGCAATCTATTGTGCTCATCCTGCCAGTATTCGTGCGCCAGCTCTAGCGTGCGACGATTAGGCGGCAGGGATAAGAATGGCAACTTCGACAGAGGAGCGTGGTTTGGAACTGGCGGTCGAGCCAGGAAAGTAGCCACGTCCTTATCCAACATAGAAAGCGATGACTTGTACGATGACATTCGAGCTTCGAGCGAGTTCTCGCCCTCGGCGATTTCATCCAGAACCCGACGGTGACGGCTCTTGAGCACCCGTAGCTCTTCTTCCTTCCTTCTTATCTCTTGCTCTAGCTTCGAGGCTTCACTTCGTAACATCTGGCCCCTGTCACCGTTGCTTTCGGTTTCTATGTCTCGAATCCTCCGCTGCAATCGTGTCTTCTTCTTCGCCCAAGCCTCGGTCCTCTCTACGATGACCTGAAGGTCGTGCAGATTCCCATCCAATATGTCTAACTCTTCATCTTTGACACTAGAAAGCTGTTGGATGCGTCTCGAGATACCTCTCCTTGCAACATTCAAGCTGATCTTCCTCTTCTTCTTTCTGCCGCCATTATTGGTTTGTCTATTGTCCCAGTTCTCAGCAGATCGCTCGTGATCACGAACACTGCTGACTGTCGGCGTGGTGCTGCCATTGGACACCAAATCATCGGGAGCGGATTCGTTGCCGCCTAGGCCAGTCAACAGCCCATCGGCCTGCGCATCCAAGAGCTCCTGGAGCTGTTGTTCAAGATGACGTGCTCTTCTTTGTATTGCTAGAAGATCGTCTGGTACGCGTGGTTGTGAGGATATGCGCTCGCTTCGTGCGTTCCAAAGGACAGTTGATGAGATCGGGGGAGGTATGCGCGGTGACGACGATGGAGATCTGTACTGGGGAAGCTCATGTTCGCGTGCATGTGGATCTTCGAACGAGCTGCGAAATTTTGGTGAGAGGGAGCCGAGAACAGAGTTTATTAAAGACATGTTGGTCTGTTTAACGATAGAGAGGAGGAGGATAATGCAGAAGAGGTTATGCAGACATGACTGTACGAAGTACTTGGAAGATAACGTTGTTGAATGCGCAGGTGAGCTTCCAGGTTGACGTCGTGAAAGCATGAGCGAATCAGCGGCCGTCCATATGATGACTAAGGCAGGAGTCACTGGGAGCATTCGCGCGAAAGACATGTGATTTCTCGCGATGGATGGCAAGCATCAGAAGGTGTCACCACGCGACCACACCGAAATCACCTGCTTCGTGAATAGGCATTATGTTCTTTGAGGGTCAACAATGTGCCATGGAGACAAATTAGTGCAGCGCAGCATGTATAATGTGTACCACAGTGCCTGAAGGAAGAAGCCCAAACAGCCATAGCAAGAATTCTATGCAGCACTAATGAACACCACACAGCATCAACCTGTAATTGCCTGAGAATTGGCAATTCCAATACGGAAGAATGGACAGGATATCGTGTCGTGTCTGCGTGTGTCAATGTACTTCCAAGCGCATTTCAAGTCGGAAGTGGAAGCATTTTAGCGCTAGCCCACATCCAGCGCTAGTCTCGCGTAGCCGCCAAGAAGTTCATCCCACTGTGCGCAGACCCAAATATTGCGAACATCACGACTTTCACGACTTTCGACGACGACGACAATACTGACCCACCCCCAGCACAGCCTTTGTGAGTACATCTTCTCCAAACACTTTCCATTCGATCTGCCTTTCGATTCGACAAGGAACCATTGCTAATTTTACCCCCAATTGCAGAAGTTCAACCCCGTCGAACAATACAACATGGCTGATTCCGGCGCACGCGGAGGATTTGGATCTCGAGGTGATCGTGGCGGTGACCGTGGTCGTGGACGTGGCCGTGGCCGTGGCCGCCGCGGTGGAAAGAGCGAGGTGCGATAACATTCATGCCGTCGAAACGAAAGAAACGAAAGACGGACTTTTTCCTGGAACGAATATTGACATGATGGTGTAGGAGAAGGAATGGCAGCCCGTCACCAAGCTCGGCCGTCTCGTAAAGGCTGGCAAGATAAAGAGCATGGAGGAGATGTACGTTCTGATTTTTCTTTCTGCCCTCATTTCTTCGCCCCGAAAGACATGTTGCGAGATCTCGACTCTGTACGACATGTTGGAGGGGCCCGGTTTGTGCGCCACAGACATATCGGAAAGAAGAAGATTATACCACACTACACCGCACGCAAAAACAACCATATTGAAAGATGAGTACTGACGGAACCACCCAACAGCTACCTCCACTCTCTCCCCATCAAGGAGTACCAGATCGTCGACTTCTTCCTCCCCAAGCTCAAGGACGAGGTCATGAAGATCAAGCCCGTCCAGAAGCAGACCCGTGCCGGACAGCGAACCCGCTTCAAGGCCATCGTCGTCATCGGTGACTCCGAGGGCCACGTCGGTCTCGGCATCAAGACCTCCAAGGAAGTCGCTACCGCCATCCGCGCCGCCATCATCATCGCCAAGCTCAGCGTCGTGCCCATCCGAAGAGGCTACTGGGGCACCAACCTCGGAGAGCCTCACTCCCTCCCCACCAAGGAGAGCGGAAAGTGCGGTTCCGTCACCGTCCGCCTCATCCCCGCGCCCCGCGGTACTGGCCTCGTCGCCTCCCCCGCCGTCAAGCGTCTCCTCCAGCTCGCTGGTGTGTCCGACGCATACACCGCCTCCGCGGGCTCCACCAAGACCCTCGAGAACACCCTCAAGGCCACCTTCGTCGCCGTCGCCAACACCTACGGCTTCCTCACCCCCAACCTGTGGAAGGAGACCAAGCTCTCCAAGTCTCCTCTGGAGGAGTACAGCGACGTCCTCCGCGAGGGTAAGAGGTATTAGGAGGTTTTTGTTCTTCTTTCTGAGGCAAGGTAGAAGAGGAGAAATGGGTCTTTATAAACTAGCATATCCGGGTTCCTTCAACGGCGTGGAGTAGTGCATTTTTGGGACCGCCTTCCATGTGTGTGTGTGTGTGTGTGTGTGCGTGCGAATGCAAAACAAAAAATGTCAGACACAAACTTCTTCATGAACGATTTCATTAAAACTTTTCCAAAACAAAAAGCCCACACGTCCTTGCTGAACATGTCATGTCTGTGATGTCTCTTCTAGTTAGACCTTTCCATCCAGCTCTACATCATCGTGAGGTGCCCCATCGTAGTGTGAACCAACTCACACCCACCACCACCACCACCCTACGGCCAATCTCATACAAACACACAAGACGCAAAAGGAACAGGGCAAAAAAAAGACAACTAGATGACATCCCCCAAGCAGCCCAGCCCTACTCCCCCACTACCTACCAACACCAACACCAACATCCTCTTTCGTGAAACCGTGTAACTACACACACACACACAAACACACACACACCGTCCTACCACAGTCCCAGTCCCAGTCCAAGTCCCATACAAACCCCCCATCGAAACGCCTACCTACCTACCTGCAACGCAACGACCTGCAACGCACCCTGTTCATCTCACATCCCACCACACAACGTGTACCACCCCTCCCTCCCCAAATGCCCTCGCAACACCCTCCCTCCCGTCATTATCTTCATGCTGCATACACACACCCGATCCCAGAACCAAAAACCTCCCACCCCATCCCTGAGGGAGAAAAAAAAAGCAAACAAACCTACCCCACACCACCCATGTCGCGCCTCCCATCCCATCCCATCCCAACAACCCCCTCAACGCTCAAACAAAAAAAAAGCAATGAAACAAGAAGGCAACACACACACACCCACACCGCCCCCTCCTCGAAAAAAGGGAGTGGAGATGGAAGAAGATGGCTGGTGGAGTGGATGGATATGCTGTCATACATTCTCTCTCTGTCTTCTATCACGAACAAGGGGAAGAGGAAGAGGAAGAAGGGGGGAGGGACTATGAAGACATTGAAGCATCGAGAGGAGGGTGGGGGAGGAGGACTGGTTACACGAATGCTGTTTTCTTTACTTTTATTACATGATAACGTTTAACGTCTAACGTCGTAAGGCTGAAGCGAGCTGTCAAGAAAAAGTCGAATTAATTTCTGTCTTGATAATACCAAATGTTATTTCTACCGAATGCAACGAATGTCGCACAACAAGGCTATGCCACGCCAGTACATACGAATGTCGCTCATACCAATATAATGATAACACCTTTTAGATTGTTCTTCTCGGCACAATTGAAAAGGAAGAATGTTATTGAATTTTTTTTCCTCTTGTCAACAATTGACTTTCTCCTTTCGGATGATAATGATGATGATGATGATGAAACAAAATCCGAACACGGGCTGGCTCTGTAGAGACGTGGACGCAAATTCGTCCCCGCGAGATAGCTAGTAATAACGAAATGGGGCCAGGCTTTGGCCAGGCAATGCATGAGACGAAAATCGAAAACCGAAAAGATCCAGATACTGGATGACGACACAAAATCCTCCCTGCCCCCCTCTGTTAGGGGGGGGCGTTACCCGGTTCCATAAAATAACGTACACTGGCAGAAAAGAATCAAGCAGTGGAGCAGTACAAGAAAGACAGGAAGCGGAACAAAAGCTCGACAGCGTCCAGGTGGAGCATGAAGTAGGAAAGCGTATGAGTGCCTCCCTGATAGCAGCCCAGCGCCCTCGTACACCGCAGAGAGAAGCGCAAGCCGAACCGTAGTAAAGTAGTGACAGTAGGAGTCCTAAAGTAATGACTCATGTGAAGAATGAAACCGAGATTCGTGATAAAAGCCCCGTGGGGACTGGTGAAGAATAAAACGTAGACGAATGGCAGCCAGAACTCGGTTTCATTAGCAATGCCGTTCGGCTGATCGACGCCAGTCAATACGTAGACAGGGTCGAACACCAGGGTCGTGCCCCCAGGGTACACAGGCCTACGTATCGTGTGCCCAATAACGCCGTTGAATATCCCTAACGCAACTAAAGGTTGCTGGTTGTGTGAAGGTAAAAGTTTTTGTGAGAGCACTGGGCACCTCTGGATTACGAAGAAGTCTATATGAGGGTTAGACGCAGCAAAATGACAAAGATTCATGGAGGCCTACCCGTCTTCTCCTTCCTCGAGGTCCACCCTCTGGACGTTGTGAAAGAACCTCTCTTAATAATTCATCATCCTTGTGTTTGTCGACATGATGAACACGCACGTGCCTAGAATTGTTTATTAACACACGAGATCCCACGAGTAAACAGAGCGGATAAACTCACCTTTGCAGATTATCGGGCCTTGGGTATTTATGTTCTCGATCAGGACAAAAGGGACAGACGTAACCAGGCGATGCATGTACTAGACCGTGACGTATCATCTCATTTTTCCGTTTGAAACCCTTGCCTCCCTCGGCACGCAAGCAGCCTTGAACTGGACAGTAGTGCGGACGACTCTGAGAATGAACATTTGCATGTGAGCTGTCGAAGCATTAGCATTCCGTAGGTAAATCAAAGCCACGCCGAGAAGCCATCAGTATAGAGATCAACTCACTTCAACAGATACTGTGTTTGGAAAGACTGGGCAGTGCATCCAGGGTAATCACACTTGTATCCACTAGTTCCGTGGGGTGGGACATGTTGTATGATCGGTCCACCAAATGGGGGTAATTGTCGAGTTGTCAGTGTGCTATCAATGCTCATACGATGGACTCTGGTCTCGATTGGTGTTGGCTGGGAACTTGGACTCAGGCCATCTGAACTCTGGTACTCGTGGTTCGATTGCAGATCTGATGCTTGCGAAGGTCTACGAGGGCTGAAGAGCCCGGTTTGTGATCCACCGGTCCGCAGGAATAGATCCTTAGACGTAGTCTCACTTGCAGCGCTGATGGGTGATGTGGCGTTCAAAGGAGGGAGTGTCGCGGCTGGGGAAAGGGAACTGATCGAGAGATGCCGGGTCGTCGGTGACTGGTTCGACGACGATACCGATTGGCGGTGGGCAAGGCTGTTCGACCTGCCCTGTTCTTGTCGTTCACTTATCACGGTATCTGCGATGTCATTGATGTGTTTTATGGATGGCAAGCGACGTTCCCGGTTGGGCGAATTCGCCGAATCTTGTAGAGGAGAATGTGGCGGCTGCAACGCAGGTAGTGTGTGACTGGGAAGGGCTCTAGAGGATGGTATACTCAATTTCCTAAGATGAGGGGAAGCGCCAGGGGATTGGCCTCGGGCAAAGTTGTTGGCGATCGACCCATTGCGCTCTCGGGTGGGGAGAGGCAGAGAATTTTCAGCCAAAGCACTGATAGAATTTCGTCCTGGAACTGGCTTGTCAAGGCCGGGGAGTGCTCCATTCGTCAGGCCTGGTGCGGCCGAAGCATCTAGCGGGGGAAGAGAGCGCAGAGAACCGGCGTCTATGCTCACGACCGAATCTCGATGATTGCTCGTGGCATCTTTCGTAGGCACAGATTGCGCAAATCCATTGGAGTCTTCGAGAGCTTTCTGGGCGGTAGCCTGTAGGGCGGATACTTCGTGGGTACTTCGAGCATGCGCCGATGGTTCTAACGTGGCGGGGAGCGTTGTGCTGGATTCAAGCATCGCTTCCCCGTCGCTTTCGTCGCTTTCGTCCTCTGATTCGGGACCAGAATTGTCGTCGAGGGGATCTTCTGATGCTATTTGAGCGACTTCAGGGTTGTTCGGGCCCAGGTAGCGGAGAAGCACCGTATCGCTCAAGCTGGCTTGGGTCTTTCTTCGTCGGTTAGACCTCCCACGTCTTTTTCGTGAGGATGGGGAACTGACGTTGTCGTTTGATGAGATTACAATTGTGGTCGTGATTTCCGGAAGAGGCTGAGTCCAAGGTTCACACTTGGGATTAAAGGGTTCCAGGCCGGGAGATCGTGGGGCTGCGTCGTATTCTTGATAGATTTGTGACATTCGTCACTGGGGGAGAGGCTTGAGAGAACAGCCTCAATTAAAGATGCAACGGGGTAAGAAGGGCCGAATGGCTCGAGAGATGCATCAGCATCTATATCCACGCGACTCGCGAGTTCAGAGCGTGGCTAGAGGCCGGAAGTAAAGAAGCAAAATGAGTAAGATGTTTCGAGGCGTTGGTAGGACCTAGCAAGTATCAGCAAAGTGAATGGACGAGATTGGCCCGTTTAGTGAACAAATGTTTAGCACGCCGGAATTGACGAGGATAAATGAATGAAGATGCATACTCGAGACATGGCAATGGGGGTTGGTCTTTATTGATTGGAAAAAACAGAAACGGAAACAAGACTGAATATATCTGGTCCGGAGACCAAAGCATTGTGTGGGGAAGTGCGCGGCGATGGTCCGAGACGCCAGCCCGTGACACCGGCCGGCCCATGTAACCCCAGACGAAAGCGCACCGACAGGAAGGTAACGATTATAGCTTGCAGCTGCGTCCTGAACGAGATGCGAGGCAAGATGCAACGTCCGGACGGAGACAATTGAGAGACGGCGATGGGTGCGTGCAACAGAAAATAATGAAAAAAAAAGAACGAGAGAGAGGAAGAAATCCGATGATGGGGTGGAAGGATGGGCGCGGCTCTGCGAGGGTGGGTGGGTTCACGTACCGAGGGTGCGACTGTTACCTTTCAGCCTCAAGGCGGTGGAGAAGGTTGCCGATCTCACATATGTCAACCACGGAGATGGGAACGGCAATCTGTAGCATGGGCAAAACGATCGAGATTGCGAGACCGTGCGCCAATGGAATTCTTCTTATGATGAACAGCGAGCGACAGTCAGGGCGATGATGAGTCGATGAAGAAGGCCGAAAGGGGAGGATCGTTGATGGAAGGAGGAGCGGCAGCGGCAGCGGGGCTCTCTTGGGGTGGGAAGGCAGGCAGGTAGGAATGTACGAGGCTTGGACAGAAGAGCAGTGGAAAGCAGTGCATACGATACGAGTAAGCCGGGGTAGAGGAGAAAGATGTAGAGTGTGTGCGGAAGATGGAGTCGATGATGATCAGGATGATGATGATGAAGAAGAAGACGGGGGAAGGAGAGTTAGTATGAAAAGCGGAAGAAATTAGGTAGGTAGTTAGGTAGTCAGAGTAGATGGTAAGTAGTAGAGAGAGGAAGCTCGTATCCTCCAGCTACATAAGATGTATTATTGGTCGGATCTTTTGTGAGAGGAGGTAGAGAGAGCGAGTAGAGAGAGAGAGAGAGAGAGAGAGGGAGGCGCAGTACAGCGGTTGGCAATGTGAAGCGGGATGGAAACGGGAAGGGGAGAGGGAAAGGGAAAGGGCACAGCACGGAATAGAGTAGAGTAGAGTAAGAGTAAGAGTAAGAGTAAGAGTAAGAGTAAGAGTAGGGTAAGAATAGGGTAGAGTAAGAGTAGAGTAGAGTAAAGAGAGGAAGGGAAGCTACAATGGGGTAGTGGTAAGGGCAAGGGCAATTACAAGGGCAAGAGCAAGATCAAGAGGGCAAGCGCCGCCGCAGCCAGTCAGAGTCAGATTAGGATTGGTAGTAGTAAGTAGTAAATAGTACGAGTAGGTAGAACAGGTAGTTAGCCGGAAGGAATTCGTAGAAAGGAAGGAGGGCAGGACAGGGCAGGACAGGGCCGCCTTTCTACCCGTAGCCCTCTATCCAACCGAGCAAAAGCGAAGCAAAGCAAAGCGAAGCGGGTGGGAAAAGAAGGGACAGGAAGGGAAAAATGGGAACGGAAGGAGATGGGATTGGTGGAGGATGAGGTAGGTGGGAAAAGGAAGGAAAGGGACGGTAAGGAAAATCATCATTGAGCATGCGGCTCTCCTGGAATATCGTCACTACGAGGTACGCCGTCTAGGTCATCACAATACCTATCCAACCAGGACGAGGACGGGCGAGATGGACAAACTGGGACGAACAGGAAAGGCAAGATGACGAGGCGGAGGAGCTCACACCAGCGGATTGGTGGTAACTTCAGCTAAACCACCACCACCACCACCACCACCATCATCAATTACCGGGGGCTGGGAATGGCTACTCACTAACTACCCATCCCAAGTAACTCATTAGTTAACTACCTACCTAGGTACTCCATACAGTACCAATATTAACAATGATTCCAGTCAGATGTTTAGCGACAGACTACCCTGTAGGAACGGATCACCAGGTTACTCACAGTTTACTACATACACAGTACAAAGTAGCCACAGTTGAATGGAATAATTATTGTGAACAAACGGCTGGGAGGAATACTTTGTGAACGTTGTCAATGTCAATGTCAATGTCAATGGAATGGCAAACAGGAACGGAAAGGGTAATAGCAAGCGGCAGGCGGCAAAGCGGTAAGAATGACTGCGATGGGGTAACTTGCAGGACATACTGTAGACAGTAGAATAGAATACGGAGACGGAGTAACTAACCACCAGCCAGTAGCCAGTAGCCAGTAGCCAGTAGCCAGTAGCCAGTAGCCAGTAGCCAGCAGGTATCGTAGCCTCGTAACGGCGGTACCTAGTCCCTGGACTTCCCTACGTAGAGGCTCCGTATTCATGGTAAATAGGAATTAAGCGGCCGGTGGAATTCCAATCCCCCGCCAAAACCAACAAACTACGAGGTAACATCATCCTCTTCTAATGATTAAAAGCCGTATTCTTCTGCTCACACCTGGGCTGGACTTATTACTGATACTTATTGAAGATAGGTACTGTTCGGATGAGGTGGGGGAATGGAACGCAGCCGGACAGACAGTGATGGCTTGTGAATAAATCTGCCCGGGTAGGTACCGGCAATAGTTAATTACTTACCCAGCACCCTGTAACCCTCCTCAGTACTTCTAGTACTCCGTAGGGTCGTATACTATTGAGCCTCTTCTCCGAGAAGTAAGTCGTCTTCCCCTCCCCGCTTCCCAATTGTCTAGCTTGTGGAGTCACTGGAGGTGGGAAGGGGTTACTAACGTCGTTCAGGGTTAGCGTCTCCGAGGCACCAAAAGCAAACCCGTTCTGGCGGTTGGCCTGGCCTGGGCCCTCGCCTGTCCATCACCATTCACCATTCACCAGTCACCGGTGCCACAGCCAAAGTAACCACTCGTAGTCAATGGACGTTGATACTCTCGGGCTTTCTTGTTCCTCCTCTTCTTCCGTTTGCCTTGCGCTTTTCCCCGCAGACGACAATCAAGTGGACTCCACTATTGTATTTTTCACTCTACGGACTCACTAACTCATCTCAATCGTCTTCGTTCCGACTTCCTCTCCAGTAACCCATCATCAGATAATCATACTAACCCCGGAAAAACCGTCCCACTTTACATCTCAATTCAATTCAATTCAATCCAACTCAACTCACAAAAAATTAAAGAACAATCAAGCACTCCAAACATCTCCAATCGTCTTCCCCATCACCAAGAAAACAAACGTACATATCCCAAACCTTCACCCTCACCCTCACCCTCACCCTCCCGATCTCCCCCGTACGACACCAAGAAAAAAGAAACAAACCCATCTGCTCTCCACCTACGCATCTTTGCATCATGACACACGCCCCGCCCCCTCCCCATACCATCATGACTTATTTTCTCCAGTAATTACTCCCTTAGCCTCACATCCAAAAATTCACATATCAAATTAATTACTTAATAGACCGTATACACCTATCCCCCCCCCTTAGCCTCTCCTACTCTTCCCTCTAGCTAAAAACACTAAGCCACATAGCTCAAGCAAATAGTCGGTCCCCATTCCCGAAATTTATCCTTTTCCCGGTGGCATGGCATGGCATGGGCATGGGACGAGGAAAATGGGGGGAACAATGGGGGAATTTTAGCACAGGGCACGCAGGGCACAGGTACCACGGCCACGCGACAGTCAAGACGGACAGATCTGGTTGCACCCACCCACCCACGGGTCACGGTTTTTTTTTTTTTTTTTTCAGTACGGAGCACACACTGTGCTAACTACAAACCTTAAAAGTATCCGGTGGGTAGGTAGGTAGGTAGGTATTTTTGGGGTTTTTGGTGTCTACCTAGGTACTTCCAAACTATCGCGAGCGTGCGGACTACAGTGCCCCGAGGGGGGAAAGTTTTTCTTCACATAGTAACTAGTCATGACGAAAGTAAGTGTGTTCGATTGCCATGTCTCGGACCGAGCCAAAGGACAGGATATCGTAGGAAACCGTTTGTCTACCTAGGTAGGTAACTGACTACGTGTTGCACTTTTGTGAGGCTTTTCGTGGTCCTAAGATGATCCCGTTCCGGAAAATTGGGAATATCCCGGGTTGTGCACGAAGTATACAAACACATAACCGAGGAGATACTCACATCTCCTCCCGACTGACTGTGTGATGTTGAACATCTACGGAGTACTTCTACTCGTTTGTAGCAAGCAATTGACGGGAATTGAGAAAAGCGAAGAGCGAGAGGATTCTGGGACTTCCAAAGGGCCTCAAGAAAGGGAATTCCGATTGTTGTTGATGAGTAACTACGCACGCTCAAAGATACTCCGAACCACTGTTGTTCGTTTCCCCGTCTCTGCTAGGTACTCGCCTTGCCTCACCTCACCTCGCCTCGTCTCGCCTCGTTTGGGGCCTCACCTGACCGGCCAATGCAAACGCCCACGCCTACTTTGGGAAATTCGTACGGAGTAATAGTGATAATTGAATGACAACGCTTTTTTCCCGTTTTATGTTTTGCATGTGTGTGTGGTTCGTAATTTGTGTATGCTACGTACAGACTATGTATTGTATTTTCCCTTCCCTTCCTGTTACCCACACGTTACCAGGCCTCCCATATGCCTGCGCGGGCTTCTGGCAAACAAAAACCTGTAAGCAGAGAGAGACACACTGGTGACTGCACATGTGCGCATCTGCATACATATTACGCCCTCACATCGCATACGCATCGCATGCTGCATTCATCCCGCCCAAGTCTCAACCAAATGTCTCGTCCAACGTCTCATTATCTTGCCCTACTCTGCCCTTTCGCCTTGCTCCGCGCCCTGTACACCAGTACCCGTGTGCGTGAGTGGGTGCGTGTGTACGAGGTCGCTGCGCCCACCACAGTTGATTGGGTCAGGTCATCGCCACCGTCATGATCCTTCCATCCTTCCACCACGTCTATCTTACATTTTGCCTTTCCCCTCCCCGTCGACACGTCTAGTTGTCTACAATTCGCTCGGTTCCGGGCATGACGTACAATCAGTAGGAAGTAGAAGCAGAAGAAGAAGTGAAAAGAAAAAAAAGGAAGCAAAGAAAAAGGAAACAAAATGGCACCGTGTCATGGCAAACAGGCCGCCCGCCATGTATGTTCGATGCGAGCCCACCACCCCAGGAAGGGAATATCGTGGCTCACCGGAACCCCCACCGTGCGGCTGAGTGAGGACGCGAGCAAACGTCCATTTGCGGGGCAGCACGAATGCAAAAAGCAAAACCCATTGGCCGATATTCCAGAATCGCGCCGACTCGCTAGCCACTCTATGCAAAGCCTCCATCCAATACCTTTTGGTTTACCCGAGCCTGCAAGCCTCCCTCACTTGCCATGGCCCATCCCCCTCCCCCAGCAGTATCTCTGGCAACGAGACCTCCAGTCTTCATTAGTAGTCCCAGCACTGGAGTCTCCCTTGCACACTGGTACGTGCGCAAGCTCCTCAGGCCTGTTGTGACTTTCCGCCAAATCCTGGGATCCCGGTGAACACTTGCCCAGGCGGAAGCTTGGGTCGACCAAAGTTCTCGTCAAGATCGAGAATCACCTTCAGTGCGTTCCGGCTGCGCAGATACGGCAATGGTGCCTTGGCTTCCGCGAGTCCTACCCCGGGTTCGACGTGGCCGCGAGGGCCATCCTCGTCAGCATGGCCCGGCATGGGGAACGTCCGCTGCAGCACCTCATATCCGGCCAGTGTGAAACCGAATTGGGGTGACGATCGCATAATGCGGGCAGGCCCGCCTTTGAAGAACGCCTTGAACCCCTCTTGTTGATAGATCGTCTTCGCTGCATGTCGAAGGCCCGTATACGTTGCCTCGCCCTTCCGTGCCTCCACCTGTAATCGCGTCTTGATGACATCGCACGGTGTCGTGAAATATGCAGCGGGCATACCCGCTATCGCACCAGCCGTAAGCATCTGTACGACGCCAAGCTGTTTCGTAGGGCTTTCGCCGAAGAAGTCTCGCTTCAAGTGGCTGTAGGCAGGGAAGTAAATTGCTGAGAAGGGCACTGCATGCTGTCAGTCCTGTGCAATCGACCAATCTCGACACAAAGCTTACCGTCACGCAACAGACAGGCACTGGCTCCCTTGTATAGACCGACCAAACCCAGATTGCGGACGATCCACATGGCTGAGCGCTTGGGTGTGCCCTCAACGTTCTTCGCAACCTCGCCCTGAACTTGCAATCGAATCTTGACAATCTCGAGTGGATTGGTGAAAACCTATCTTGTGTTAGATACCATCGTTTTTTTCGGATTCCACTGGTCGTGGGGTCATATTTACCACTTGGCAGGCACCGGCGGAACCACCTGCAAGCAACTCCCATCCCACCCAGATGTTGCCAGTATTCTTATCTGTGAATTTGCCTCGAACCAAGTCGTTCACCGTCAATTTGATGGCCTTCTCCGGCGCTACACCAACCAATTGAGGAAGGACACCCGAATAGAGTCCCTTGAAACCCTCGTTCTTGATCACCTTCTTCGCGCAATCGAGAGAGTTCTTGTACATGAGCTGACCGACTCCACTAGCAGATCTTTGGTTTTGCATTCTTGTCTTCACAAGATCAATGGGATAGACCATGAATGCACCAAAAGCACCAGCCAAACTACCAAGCGCAAAATGATGAACGGACTCCAGAATGTCGTGAAGAAGAGTCTTGCTGGTGGCGAAGGCTTTTTGACCGGCATCTGCTATCGCCTCAGCGCCAATGGAATATGCGGTGTGCCACGATGGATCAAGAACTCGTGCGAAGTCCTTGAGGCCCAACCTGCCCGATGGCTCGTCGAGTCCAGCGAAATGGAAGAGGATATCTGCCTCCATGGGCGTGTAGAGGTTGAATCGGCTTATCCTGGCCGCTTCGTTGAGGAAATCTGTGCGGGTGATCTTTCCATCGGAGCTCTTGGTAGTCGCGTTTCGAATGATGAGCTCTACCATGTCCATCTGCTGGATCATGTTCTGGAAAGCGCGTACGTTTGCATAAGAGATCTTGCTTCCGGCCGAAATGTTGCAGAGAGTAGCAAGGTTATCGAGGAGATAGTCGGAGAGCTTGTGGCTGGCGGTATCCTTGATGATCCTCTGGAAGTCCTCAGGCTCGATATATCCGTCCTTGTTCTTGTCGAAATGTAGGAATGCCTGACGCACTCGCTCTCCCTGGAGTCCTCGAAGCATCTGAGCAAACTGAGGATAGGTCATAGCATGTCTCCTATCTTTAGACCCAATGTAAAGCGTCGCCCACTCGCCATTCCAGTTGAAAGGCAGACTTTCCTCCCCCTTGTGTGCCTTCCAAACCTCGAAGAAGTCTTCAAAGTTGATATAGCCCGTCCGGTTTCTATCGAAGAAGCGGAAAATGACTTCGTACTCGGCGTCGGGCTTCGCCAACAAGTTCTGGAAGACGGCCCAATCTTGCAGCGTGACCTTGCCCTTCCTGCCGCGGTCGGCAACTTGGAAGAGAATGCCATATTGGTAACGTTTTATTTTGTGCTGAGAGAGGAAAAATGATGTTGGCATGGTATGACTCGACACGTTGCACAAGGGATTTTACTTACGTAGTCTTCGCTCTCAGGCGCAACCGCGTCGATGAATTCTTCTTCACCGAGATAGTGTTCCCCAGAGGCCTCGTCCTTCTTCGCAACCTTCATGAAGGAGGCGCGAGTGAGGTGTGACAACTGGGGTTCCTCGGTAGTCCCCAGGAGCACCTCACCCACCTGTTCCTTTACCGTCGCCATGGTGAGGGAGATTGGAGGTGGCTCTGCAACTTTTGAGATGACAATTGCAGGCGTGAAACCCGGAGAAGTCGAAATTTGGGGTTGAGGAGTGTTTGTGGAGTAGTGAAGCTCAAGGATGGCGGGTGGTGAGGGTTGATGGACTTAACGTTGCGAGCTCGGAAGGAGCTCAGACAAAAATATTGAAATGGGAAACCGCTATCGATTAGCGCCCACGCGCGCTCCGGGGGGGGGGGCGTGGAGAGTTGCTACTATTACTATGGAGTAACTACACCAGCATGTCAAAGAGAGAGACACAGACAGAAGGAACCAGCACAATCGATCATGGCCACCAGGCAATTGTCATCACGATCATTTCATTATATATGCCATTTGATCAGACTTTTTTGCTTTGTCGCCCCCTTTGTCTCGTTTCCGCTGGTGTTGTCATTAAATTCTCAGGACATTTTGGCACACACGGTCACGCAGGTGATGCGTCAATTTTTTCTCTGCCGTTATTTGTTGTTCTTGGTGTGTAATGTAATGGCAAAAGGAAAAACCCCCCCTCTCTTCCTTTCTCCCTTCCCACACCTCTCTCTCCCTTCGTGACTTACCCACACCGCCTGTCGTGATCGGCCTGCAGGTCCTCGCCAGAAGTGCCATGGCGTGGGGATAGATTGCCTTCCAAAGTGTTCGATTTGAGCCACAGACCTGGTCCCTACTGCCCACGGCGCTGCGCTCACGTCTCTTTCAGTCCAGCGTATCACTATTGAGGCTGAGAGCGATCTACATACACAAATAAATCCGATCTCCCAGTCCCTGAACCACGAGGCGAGGCAGGACAAGCTCCCGTCAACCGGACCTAATAAGAGTGACAGCTTCCCCGTCCCCTCTTCCAGCCCCTCCGATGGGAAATCCACGGCGCCTCCGGCGTTTCGGACGTTGCCGTCTAGTTGCCAGCCAGAGTGCAGCCCGCGTTGTATTTCCATTTTGAGCGGAGCCGCACTCTTCGGACGAAGCCGCACTATGCCCACTCTGCCATTTGTGCATACTTCGCCGCCCATAACTAAGGTAGCTTCCTAATGATATTCGCGCGGAAGTCCATCGAGTGGGCAGCATCGCGTGATGATGATCCTTACGTGCGCTCGGAACTCTCACTCCGATCAGGTGGGCTCGGGATTTTCAGGGACATGATTACGAACGCTAGATCCCTTTTGCGTCCTCATTCTAATTGTGGTGAACATGCGATGATATACAAAGTCTACAAGATAGTAATGCCGCGCTTTCTAAACTACCAATCGTCCAGGCTCTGCCTCCAATACACTCTTCACGCGTTGGAGAAAGATCTGACCTCTCTTCTCGTCTCCCTTGGGGACATTGATACTGAAGACATTCACGGGTCCTACGACCCTCTCCGCTCCACCGACCAGGCGAGCGGGGGCCGGGCGGGCGGCAGGCTTCTTTCCTCCGAGAATGTCGAAGATGTCTGGTTGCTTGACCGAAGTGATTCTGGCTGGACCCAGCGTAGTGGGCGCCAGAGAAGTGACCTGTGGTATAAAATGACCCCGCGAAGCCTTCTTTCCAGCCACCTTGTCCAAGCCTAGAACAGCATTGAAAAGCTCATCTGCAGAAGGCTTAGCAGTCTTGGACTTGGGTAGGTCCTCGTTGGCTAGCTCTGCTGCTCGGGCAATGAAGGTAGAGATGGGCAGGAAGACACCAATGGACTCCTGGACACGCTTCTGGGTCTCGACGACAGCCTTGAATGAGATTGGTAGCGCAAGTTCTACGGTAATTTCCTCGATCGGAAGAGTTTCCTCCAATGCAGCAGCGGGTTTCTTAGCTGGAGTCTCCTTGGGTGCAGCGACCTTGATGTTCGAGAGATCGAGGTGGGCCAGCTTTCCTATCCTCTTCGCAGATTCAGAAGCATAGTTGCCCTCGATACGGCCGAGGTAGGCTAGCACGTCACCCTTGAGAAGTCGCCCATTTGGTCCAGTCGCGGGAATCTTGTCGGCCTCTTCCTTTGGAAGACCATTCTCCTTCAGCAAATGTTGGACGGAGGGGTAAAGTGGGTAGGTCTGCTTTTGAGCCTTGCCTCCGGACTTGCTAGCACCAGTCGAAGAGGATGACTGTGCGGGCTTGGAGGTGGTCTCCTGCTTGGGCGCAGACTGCGATTCCTGCTTCGGTGCCTCCTTGGGAGCATCTTTCTTGGGCGCGGAGGTGTCTTCGGCAGGAATTTCGAGGGAACTGAGATCATCGCCGGGGTCTGCTGTGACTGCTATTCTGCTTCCAACCTGGACCGCTTTAGATCCATCTCCTTGCTGTGATATGCGTTAGCCATTGCTCTCCTGTGAATGGACCGTTACTTCCACATACAATGATCTTGGCCAGTACTCCGTCATCTTGTGCTTCTACATCCATCTGTGCTTTGTCCGTCTCAATCTCAAGCAGAACATCTCCGGCAACGAAAGAATCGCCTGCGAAATATCAGCGCTGTGTCTCTCCGATATCGTCTTACTCCCATCTCCGATTCGTACCTTCCTTCACCTTCCAGGTCGCAATGTTGCCCTCGGTCATGGTTGGAGAAAGCGCCGGCATATTGAAGTTCTGTGCGGCCATTGAGGCCTGTCCGGCGTGGAATGCTACATGATTGTCATTATTGATGAAAAGTCGGGTGTAATCATCTCAACAACTTACCTCTTCGGGCACCATGATTCCGCAACTGCTGCGATGCAGCTCGTGCCGATAGCCTACATGCTGCAGCAATTGAAGCCATCGAGAGATTTCTGACTCGAAATAAACGGTCGTGGAATCTGGACGTAGTCAGAGCGACGGGTACAGATTGTTGAAGAAGTTGTGAGCTTGTTGGGCGAGCTTCGCGCTTCGGAGACGCTTGGGCCACCACTTCCGGCGAACTTTCGAGGGACCGGAACGTCGAACATCATCTTCCCAAGAGGGTCACTCCACATCTAGGGCAGCGATCTGATCTGACGCTTAGAAAGGTATGCTATGCAATTAAGCTTCTGATATTCGGGATATTAATTATTCAGGATGTCCGCTCTTCCTCGAGGCTTCGCCTGTTTCGCAGGCAAGCATGCCTTCCGATTACCTTGTTCCATCCGCATCGCCATATTTTCTGTTCGTCCTCAATTCGCACAAGCACGCGCCGGCGCTCGACTCTTCACCCCTCCGACTATCCGCCAATATGTCAAAGCAACTGGCAGATTTCAGGCGAGAGCGTCGCCGACTAATCGATTCGTAATATCCGATCCCGTGCTACGAGCCGTACAACAGACTCGGCAACCCGTGCTGCTCTATCGCGCAGAGAATCGCACATTATACACATTTGGAGTTTATGCCTTTGCATGCAGTTTGGTCGGCGCCGGCCTTTTCACACTGAGATGGGGAAATGAATTGCCAAGAGACCTTCCATTCTTCGTTCAACCGACTTATTTCGTGGTCTCATTCATTATGCTTGGTATCGCAGCATACATTTTCTCCTCTCCGGTATCTCGATGTCGCTCCATTGAAGTTATACCCGGAACGCTCGGAGGACCAGTTCAATTGCGCATAAGAGCGAGAATACTGCCTTTCTTCAAGGACCAGGTTATCGTGTCTCCCTTCGGAGAAGTCACCTTGGATCAGAAGACATACCCTGTCAGTCGGGAACTGCAGGAAGCGCAGCGAGCGCGAAAGCAAAGCATAACAGACGGATTGGAGGGAATGTTCATCATTCCTCGCATGTGGGAGATAAGTGCGCGTTTTCTGGAGCAGAAGTGGACGTCGTTCTTCCTAAGATTCAAGTTCGCCGTGCTCCGATTTGGAATCGTATATATTGAGGCCTTTGATCGCAAGTGGAAAATTGATTGCACTGGTTATTTGCTAGAGGATGGCAAAGGTATGTTTCTAGCCACGTAACGCTGTTGCTACTCGTCTAACATGCTACAGCTCTTGATCGTTTGGTGCCGGAGGAATGAGGGAACTTGATGTTTGAGATACACAACTAACGCACCGAGCTGGTCGGAACGATCTTTCTATACCAATGAAAGCTCTTGAAAAGCTCAAGATTTATATTAAGAAGCTAGTAAACTAGTCAAAGGCACTGTATTATTCAAGTCCTGTACAGCATATGTATAGTTTCTGTTAGTGGTCGGTCGAGCCTTCACTAGATGATTATGAAGATAGTGTACGATATTGTATTTCAGTGCCCAGATATGAAGACATGGCAAGTTCCTATAAATATCTCTTGATTGCACCACTATTGAAATGTTGGTGATCCTTGCCTACAAAGTTGCTCAATGCTGTGGATTGCGAGTAGTAGAGTTCGAGTGTGGCGATTGGAGGCTCGTGGCATGCCCGAACGGGGAACTTGGCATGAACTACTACGGAGTCCAACAACACGAAATAACCGCTCTATCATGATTTTAGCTCATGGCTGCTCAACATGTATCGCAACAGTTTTTATGATAGGGAAAATCCCCAAGAATATTTTGAACTTATTCTCCTCCATGAAGAGCGCCATCTTGTACATGCAAGACTCGGTGCAGATGCTTATTCTACTGTAGGATGATGGTCTGATCAAGTGCAACACCATGTCTACCTAACCTCTGAGAACTCACCCCCACACAAAGGAACGGATGAGAGATAGGCAATATCCAAACAACCACGTTGAAATATGCACATAATGATAGATAAGATCATACGTAGTAGAGGGGGGCTACCTGTCTGACAACGATGTACATGGCGATTACATTCCTACCTGTCGGTCAATATCCTCCGAAAGCTGGTGCGAAACAATTTTGGAATTGATTTCTAGAAAGAACACGGTCAGATCGAAAACCTCATTTCGTTGTGAGATTGGGAATTCCCATGGCGGTACGGAGTCGAAGGGAGAAAAGGGACCTCGAGAGATGATCCTGGCGCACGTGCGTTGTCCCTTCTTCCCCACAACAGCCAGGGCACACCATGGGGACGGCGGCGACGTGACGTGCACCCCAAAGATCCTTTTAGCTTTTAAGCCGCAAGGGCTGTTCCTGCAGATCCACCGACATTCGATTGTATAAGAATACAACACTTTTGTCGTGTGGAATTGCCGTTGCAGGACAGGTCGAAGACTCCCGAAATGTGGACCAAACTGCCGTCTGACAGTCCCGCATGCCGTTTCATACCTTTATAGCGATATCCCAATGTAATTGCAGACGTAAGAATCGAATTCTATTGTTGTTGTAAAGCATCGCATAGATCGTTTTCCGTGGGTTGCCACAAGAGTATCATGTTCGGTGACGAATAGGGCTTGGGCTTGGCATTTGGCATCTGAGTTGCGCCCCGACCACGCGATTCGCAACATCCAACTTCAAAACAGCGACTACTGCACCGATCTACCCACCATACTCTGCATCACCTTTGCGATTCTCCATCCGTCCTTTCATTCCTAATACCGATTGTGTTCTTGTGCGCAACTGTGGTCTAGCGTTAGACTCCCCTACCGGCCATCAGTTGCGGCGCGTCTTGACTCCTAATACGACCAGGCCGCAGGCACAGCAGCGCAGCCCTTCATCGACAAGGTGCATCTTCTAACGCCATTCACCACAGTCGCAAATGCATGCATCATTATCTGAACCGCTAATGCGATACTCATATTGAATCTTTTGGGATAGAGCGGATATTGCCTTCCGTTCCTTCACCGCGCGCGAAGCTCATCGAGGTTTCGACCTTCACCCCCCACCCGCGTTAGATCGACTTCACCTCGTCCGTTCCCATGTCTAATCGCACGAAAAGGAAGTTCGATATCGACCCCAACGCGTCTGATCCCGAGGATCTTGACTACGACGCTACTGAGCGACGGGCCACTCCCCATCGACGACGCCATCGCCCAACCTCGAGCTCGAACAAGAGAGGCACCAAGCGAGCGCGCCGAACATACGCAGGCTCTGACGTTGATGACGACGACGAAATAGTCTCAGACGACTCCTTCACCGATCGCTCCGAATCCGAGGTTGAGATCAACCCAAGCACCGGCCGAAGTGTGCGTCGCGCTACCAAGAAACAAATAAAGTACGAGGAGAGCGACGACGACGCAATTCAGGATTCAGACTCCGACAGCGAAGGCGAAGGGGACGATCACGACGAACTCGGAAGCCCCGTCCCTCAGCGCAAGAGCAAGAAGTCGCTCATTGTGAAGCTGAAGATGTCGCAGCCGACGCCAGCCAGACACCTGCGCGCACGAACTGGAAGCAAGTCCATAGCACCGCGTGGTAGGACGCCAGAAGTCACAGGCCAGCGCCGAAGCAGCCGTCTCTCACAGGATGTCGAAGAGCCCATCGTTGCGCTGTCAGACTCTGGCAAGCACGTCACGGTTGTTCGTCAAGGAACGCGCAGCCCCGAGCCCATGATAGCTGCTCGTACCACTAGAGGCGGAAAAGGTCCGCCAGCACCAGAGCATAGTATCATCATGGAGGCATCGCAGGAAGCATCAATGGTGCAACACGACGACGACGACGATGCGGGCCCGCTAGACACACTCCTTGGTGGTGGCGATACTCAAGTCGAAGCTAGCCATGAAGTGTCCCCGGATCCGACTGCTCAGGCGCACAAGGACGAAGATGAATCTGATGAAGAAATGAAGGATGTCATCCAGGAGTCCCAACAAGATGCCGCAGCTGAAGACAGCGATGATGACGAGCCAATTACCCGTTCTGGTAGGAATTTAAGGGTGAGTTCACATATCTTCTCCAACCAAATCAGCAACTGACATGATTAGTCCCGTGGAAAGTCTGCCAAGCGAAAGACTGCCGCAGATGAAAGTAGTGATTTCGAACCTGCCGGCGACGACGAGAAGGATGAGGAAGAGATGTCCGAGTCGGATAGCGGCAAGAACAAACGCAAATATTCGGAGGACAGCGAGTCTGGATCTCCCCGAAAGTCAACTCGCACGCGAGCAAAGTCGAGACGATCCCAGAGGAGCAGACGCAACTCGGAATCGTCCGATCAGGATTCCATACTCGACCCCGATGAGCTAGCGGAAGAAGCAGAGGAGCTTACCACTACCAAGCGGCGCCGCCTCAGAAGGAACCCACCTGACTCGGATCTTGCGTATGATGCAGCGCCCAAATTGCGAGACCGCGCCAGAAACACTGTAGATTATCGTCTTATTCGACCCGAGCTCAACACCATGTTTGATGAGGAAGAGGGAGCCGCGGCCGCAGCCGCCGGAAGGTCTCGTCCAAAGGCGGGTGGTCGCGCTGTTTACCGTAGCCTGTTCAATAGCCAAGGTCCCTTTGGTGGCGGCATTGCTGGAGGACCAAACAATCCTGGAGCTGTAGGAGGCATAGATTCCGACAGCAGCGATGATGACGGTCCTAAAGCCTCTCGAGCTGTTGGTGGTGCCATTGGCATGACACCAACAGCAGCATCTGCCCCAGGCTTTGGAGTCCCTCAAACTCATAATGCCGACCCGCAACAAACGACAGGTGGCGGCTCCGGTGGTGGCCCAGCCAACTTTGGCAAAGTCCAGGACAAAAAGGCACTTGCTGATTCTGACCCTCTTGGGGTCGACCCTACTGTCAATTTTGATGGCGTTGGTGGGTTGGACGACCACATCAATAAGCTGAAAGAGATGGTCATGTTGCCACTGTTGTACCCTGAAGTCTTCCAACGATTCAAGATTACTCCACCTCGAGGTGTGCTCTTCCATGGCCCTCCAGGTACAGGTAAAACGCTGTTGGCACGCGCTCTGGCCTCAAGCGTCAGTTCTCATGGTCAGAAGGTTACGTTTTACATGCGCAAGGGTGCTGATGCTCTGAGTAAATGGGTTGGCGAGGCTGAGAGGCAGCTACGCTTGCTATTCGAAGAAGCGCGCAAGACACAACCTAGTATCATCTTCTTCGACGAGATCGATGGTCTAGCCCCGGTGCGCTCGAGCAAGCAAGAGCAAATTCACGCATCGATTGTTGCAACGCTCTTGGCTCTCATGGACGGTATGGATGGCCGTGGTCAGGTTATTGTCATTGGCGCTACCAATCGTCCTGACTCAGTCGATCCGGCCCTTCGTCGCCCTGGCCGATTCGATCGCGAGTTTTACTTCCCTCTGCCTAACCTGTCGGGAAGACGTGCAATTATCGACATTCACACAAAGAATTGGGAGCCACCCTTGAAGCCTTCGATGAAGGACCAATTGGCCGATTTGACCAAAGGCTATGGCGGTGCAGATCTTCGTGCACTCTGCACTGAAGCTGCACTGAATGCTGTACAGGGCACGTATCCTCAGATCTACCAGAGCGAAAGGAAGCTTCTCATCGATCCTACCACCATCAAAGTTCTCGCAAAGGATTTCATGATCTCAGTCAACAAGATGGTTCCTTCCTCTCAACGAACAGTCACAGCAAAGGCTGCGCCTCTTGGCAAGTTGATTGAGCCGTTATTGCGAAAGCCGCTCGAGGAAGTCATGAAGCGCATCGACGAGTTGATCCCCCGTAGAAAGAAACTTACGGCGTTAGAGGAGGCTCAATTTGATGACCGAGAGGATGAGAAGGGATTTGAACGCGAAGCCACACTTCGAGAGTTTGAAACAGGCAGGGTATTCAGACCCCGTCTGCTGATCAATGGTCTCCAGGGAATGGGTCAACAATACCTCGGTGCCGCTATCCTCAACAGGATCGAAGGACTTCATGTTCAATCTTTTGATCTTCCAACCATCTACGAGGACCCGACTAGGACTCCAGAGGCTGCTATAACGCAGCTCTTCACTGAAGTGCGCCGCCACAAGCCGAGCGTCATTTATATCCCGGATGTGAATGTCTGGTACGATACATTGGCTGGTACCCAGGCGATCAAGACTTTCAAGCTTCTACTACGGAGTATCAGTGCCAATGAGCCAATTCTCCTCCTTGCTGTTATGGAACTAGCTGATGAAAAGGAGAAACTCGATACCGCAATGATGGAGGATCTATTTCCCTTCTCAAAGAATAACCAATACTTCCTCCAGCGCCCAGACCAGCAAAGTCGGGAGGAGTTCTTCACTCATCTGCTTCAGTACGTGCGGATGTCACCAACAGACATCATTGATCCCGACAACCGGAAGAAGCGTACCCTGCCAGAGCTGGAAGCTGCGCCTATAGTAACTCCTGTGGTAGACCCCAAAGACTTGGCTGCCATGGAGAAGGCTCAGAAAAAGCAAGATCGCCTGACGCTCAACAAGTTAAAGGTCGCGATCCAACCAATCATGGACCAACTTAAGCGACAGTATCGAAGATTCTTCAAGCCCATTATTGACGAACAGTATTTTGCATACCTGTTGGTGGAAAGTGATCCGAACACCTTCGGCACAGATCTTTCGCCCGAAGAGCAGCAGGAGCAAGGAGTACAACGTCCATGGGAGTACTCTACGGATTCAAAAGGTTACCCCGTTCTTCTACATGTGGAAAGCGGTAACAAGTATTATAATCTCGATCTCAAGACCATTGAGGAGCGCTTGTCCAATGGTTACTACACCCGACCAAAGGACTTCCTTTTCGACATCAAGACTCTAGCAAAAGATGCCAGGACTTATGGAGACCCTGAAAGAACACTAAAGACCAATGAGATGCAGGCGAATGTCGAAGTTGATATCGAAGTGATCAGCAGCAATCACCCTGGCTTGGCGCAAGAATGCGAGGCAGTTTATAAGCGTCAGCAAGACAGAGAAGCCAAGTTGAAAGCAAAGGCAACTGCCGAAGGCAAGGAGTCAGCACCGACAGCAGAGACAGCAGCAGCTCCAGAGGCGCAACCCTCCACAACCACTGATGAGTCTGGGCCTATCAGACTTGGTGAACCCATTCCTGGCCAGTCCGCTATTCCTCCAGTCACACCCTCACGAGCAGTGCCACCATCAGGCCCATTGTCAAACGGCACAAGTCTTGGTGGTAACAGTAACGCGCAAACGAACGGATCGACTGTACCATCACGACCAGAGGAGGACACTCACATGACGGATAGTCAGGATCTCAATACACAAAACCAACATGAGTTCCAGACTCCAAGCCGCGTTGGCACACAGACACAGCCTTATACTCAGACGCAGAAGTCGCAAGTATCTGGCCAGACTCACATGGCACCAGATTCCCACCCTGGAGAATACCACAACAGCGCATCGACGACTACGTCTGGTCAGAAGACGTCGGATCGATCCTCTGGGGCAAAGATGAACACACAGAGCTCTAATGGTGTTGGACCTTCGGGTGTTCCCGATTTCTACGAGATGATGCCTCAAGCTGGTGGGTCGCAGCTACCAGATACGCAAGGTTCGTCCTTACCCCACCATCAAGCTCATTCTTCATCATTCTCGACTGACTCTTTCAATTTTGAAGAAGTCCAATACCAAAGTAGCGTGCCCTCCAATTCGCAATACTCGCCATCCTCCCAGCCGCCAAACCCGATGCCTGCTCCCGCTATCCCTCGTCATTCAACCAACATAGCTTCTTTGTTGAATGATGAAAGCGAGAAAACTCAACCTGCTCTGCTGATAGACGAAGACCGATTGGTAGATCTTCATCAGTCGCTAGTAAGGAAGACATCCGGGCTCTCTGTGGAGCAACTCGAACAAGTGAACGCATGCTTGATGGACACAATCTGGCACGCCCGCTCCGAGTGGAACCGTAACATCGTCAGCCACAACGTAGCCGACGCCTTTAATAAGATCATTCACGATATCGAGGAGATGCAGACTTTGCTCAAACCGAGCCAGACGGAAGCTCTTTATTCGCAGGCGCTTCCGCATACGCAACCTGGTCACTCGTATCCATACAGTACCGCCCAAGCAGTTCCCTGGCCTGCTGAGCATTCGCAGCATGTCGCCCCCGTAGAGCGACAGCCAGCGCAATTTGCCTGATTGTGCCTTCCTGGATACAACAGTGCTCTCTGATACCCCTTTCCTTTCTTTAGGATATTAAAAATGAACTGGCTTCTTCTTGCTCACATATGCTTCACTAGCAGCAACTAGAGCCACTGCAGCATTTACATTACCCAACACCATCATCTTCACGGCGCCCACTGGTCTATGTACACTTTTCCGTATTTGTTTTGATTCATTGGGCCTACACTTGCTTTTCCTTGCACACCTACTACACCTACCTCTTTGTACTATGAATGTTACAGTCAAGATTTTTTTTTTCGGGGTGCCCAATTGGCGAAAAAGAACCACGCATGCGCGGTGGGACGAAAGTACAGTCTACATATTGGGAGTAATTACAGTGGTCTGGCACAATTTTGGGCGGGGATTGAAATGGCGAGATTTGGTATGTGGTGGTGGGACCTGGATTAGGGGGACGGAAAGGTAGACCGCTTCACAATACACATGTTTTCTTCTCTCTGCATTTCCTCCGATTGAACAAGATCAATCCTGTGTGACGAACAAGACAAACATCAATAACTTCATTCTATCGACCTCGGACACCGCAAAGCCAGGCCCCCAAACTACGAACGACCACCTCGGAGAAATAATACCTGCGCTACTAAATATGGCAGCTGAGTTCAAGACATGCTTTGACGGACCATCCCGCAAGCCCGTCAGATGTACGCACACAACGACAAACAATAAATGTACTCCGTACCTAGAATGTAAAATGTAGACACCCTCTGGCTGCTGATTACGGGGGTATCGAAGCGAACTGGGGCGAAACTCTTCAAGCCATCAATCCATCGTATTTCGCTTAAGACGTCAGATCCTACACAGAAGAGTGTTCTCAACGCCCTCCCTTCCATGCAGTGTAGGACGGAAGGAAGGAAGGAAGGAAGGACGTGGTGAGCTGTGGGGTGATCAGCATGCTTGTTGGTCCTGTCCTGTGCTTTTGAGCGAATTGTTCTGGGGTTTTTTTGTGTTGCATGTATGTGATATAAGCGGGTGCGGATACTGCCGAGTGCGCATGCGTTTGTATGTCTGGGACGAGGAACGTGGAGTTGGTGATTGTCAATCAATACATTGAAGCATTATTGTAGGATTGGTTTTCCCAAGGTCAGCACACTGCGTGGGGGGGAAATGTTTGCCTGTTCCTTGCCTGTTCTCTGACTGTTTCCTCCCCTTCTTGCGAGAGAGCGCTTTGCTGCTGGTGCTTACCGCGCGGCATCTTTTTCGTGCCTGAGGAATCAGCAAGGGAGATTCTAGATTGCAATTTGCGAATCGAATGGCCGTTTGGGGAAGGAGTGAGCAAGTAGTCAAAGGATGACGGGCGCTGCTCTGAGGCCGTGCAGAGCGAGCAAACGAGCGAGCGGACTTCGCGCGCACAGGTATCTACTTTGTCGGTACAGCATGTATGTACATGGACGTGACGACAATGGGGAGCGAATACGGGTGAAGGATGGCTGTGTTGATGGCACCGATAGCATGTCACTGCGAATGGAGTAGTGAAATGGATTGTTGGCTTCCTTTTCCTGCGCTGACACGTGCGTCGTCGAAAGGGACGAGGTGGACCGTGAAGTTGATAGGAGAAATCTATGTAATACCGCTGATCACCAAGATCGGAAGTCCATTCGCCAGGTAGATACCCCGTAGCCAGCACGTTGTGGATGACCGATATGCGTCAGAAAATGGGCAGGTCCCGTCCCATGTACATGTACTTTGTATGCTTACGGAGCGCATGTGGTGGCTTTTTCCTCCACCGCGTCTACTACCTCTCGGATGACGTTGGCTTCCAGCCCGAGGCTCGTGTACTGTACGAGTTGTTAGTCTGTGTGGTGGTTATGTTTATATCTGACATGCAGCGGTATGCAGCGCTGCCGTCTCTCTTCGAAAAGAAGGTTTTGGGCGGCGGTGATTGGAGCAAATACAACAGCTCGAAGGTAATCAATGGCGCCATAAGAGGAGGAGAAAATAAGCTCCGCCATGTGGTGCTGTCAAGAAATAAACAATGAGGACGACATAATTGGTGTGTTTGCACCCTGGCGCAGGTCGCATGTAGAAGAGTGAAATAGAAGCCCCAATGTTAGCGTTTACGCAGGCTGGTCCTTACCAGAGGTAGGGTAATCTGTGCGCGTCGTTGGTCTGCTGCGTCCTAAAGTATGTACAGGCTCGTAGCGATCATGTTGGTATGTATGTATCGTGTATGTACATACAGTGTGTGGTGGTGCATCATTGGCGACGGTGTTGTGTTGGTGGTGCATGTGAGCGTGATCACATCCGTACGATCCGTCCCTGTAAACACACATCGGGCGTATTTGCCCAAGAGTGTTGACACCGATGCGGACCGACGCTGAATGCGATTCCGAGAATTGGCATTCTTTGGAGGGCACGAAGTTTGCAAGCAAACTGAGTCGTTGGTTGGCGCACGGCTACCCCCGATTCACATGTTCTAATCTGCTGCCTCGTGAGTCGTGATTTCTCGATCACCCAGCACTACTGAAACAGCGCATCAATCATGAATTGTTCCGCCCCGGGTTTCGGTCTGTAGATTGGCTTCCCTAGTGGAATCGTGGGCTAAAACCCGGCATTCGTTCAGTAGCGCTTCCTAGCATGCCGGGTAGGCCTTGCCTAGACCTTCTGAGATTGATTGAAGCTGTTCGTTGTGGCGGAACGTTGTGCCGCTGTAACAGCCAAACCATTAATAATTTAGACCATGACTGATTCTCGAATTCTGACTTGGAGACGCTGTTCCCCATGAGGCCTACATGGGGATTGCGGTCCTGAGGAACATTATTCCATCTAATTATGGTTCGTCTCATTGAACAACAGGGCAACTGATATCTTACTCCTGGAAGCTAAAAGGAGGAGTTAATATGGGCAGGCCGCAGAGAGACCGGTACACCTAGGAACGCATCCGTGCACGTGTTTCGTCTGTCACTTGGGTACATGCGAGCTTTGAGTTTCGTATTTATCGGAGGCTCTTAGTAATGGAATAATGGAGAGCGCTTTTCCTTTGTGGAGTGTCGCCGACCAGAGTCGGACAATTGATTATACGATGACATTTACTTGAACTACGGATATACGTCCTCGGATGAAGGCCCCTCGTGATAAGCTGCTCGCCTATACAGACGTATCTTGATTGTATGTATTCGTAGCTTCGCTCAGTCCCGATGCCTTGGGCTTCCGAACTGATCCATAACGTTTCCCAATTCGATTGACCTGGCCTGGCCGGTTTACTATGTAGGGCACATACTCGTAGGTAGAGGGAGATTCGAGCCATCAACTGGATGGTCCATGGTTTGTGTCTCATGGGCTATTCATCCAGCCAATGACGAGAAGCCGCGGAAAGGGAGCATGGCGCTCAACATAGCCCAGGCACTTGGCACCGAAATCTAGACATTGGCATTAGCATGATTATATCCTTGATCCTTGGACGACCTGAAGTTGGGGTACGAGGTCGGTCGGATACGAGTCGCATCTCGCCGCGCACTTGTTAATGCGTAGGTCGTGATGACGATGAGCAAACACTCTTTCTTCGTACGCTCTTCATGCTGTACACAGAACGTTGGATCTCTCAGTGTTACCAAGTTGTATGCTTGTTATGTTTGTTCTTCGACTAGTACTCCCTATGAGTGCATAGCAAAGTGACGGCTCGTCGTTCTGATTCGTTGTCGGCAGATTGATATGCTTAGTGCCGATCACTGTCTCCACCCCCGTACTCGTACCAATAAACCACACCTCCCCCCATTTCCCCCCTCACATCACGACAACCATGACAGCGACAAACAACGATGATAACAGCAAAAACAACAGCATCATCATGCATTCCGACATCTTCTAGCACTTTAAGAACGCATATTTGAATATCTTGAAACAATCGTATTTGTCCATCTAATTCATCTAATCGCTTGGCCTGTCATATCGTCATCTCTTCTGTACAAGGCTGAACCTAGAGAAGGAATAGGGCACGTACAAGTATCACTTTAACTCTTTAACCGAAGCCAGCGAGCAATCGCTGTATGGCCCAGAAGAGCGCCACGAATCCTTTCGAAGCAATGCTCTGTCTCCTGTATCCAAATCGGTCTCCCTTCCCCGGTAGTCGTGCATAGACCAAGCTAGCCATTCCTCCCTCCATCCTCGGCCATCCTATCAGATGATGGCTGGTCCCCTACCAATCACTTGTCACGGATGTCGATAATTGGTAATACTCGAACTGGACAAGATTCTTCTAGTAAACTGGACCCTTTTCTGTTTCGAAGGGCTGGCCATGAAAGACTGGAAGCTGGTTTTGTACTGTATATTCCAGGAAGTATTTATCCGTCATCTCTGGCAAACCTACTGCTTGTAGTAGCATCGGTGCAACTGTGGAACTTCTCGATAAGGGAGCCGCATTGTCAAAACCCCCCCATAGCCATCCTTACCTTACCCAATCTTCTCAAGTTCTCATCTTAGCCTGAGTGGCTGCCAGTGCATGTTGCCAAGCAGAACGACGTTGTAGAATACTAGAATCTGACATGGGGGCATTTGGTGCCCCAGTGCTTTCACCTTGAATGTGATGGCGCCCCTAACCCTTACAGGAATGCTGCCGAACTTGAGAGCACGTTCCCTCGCTGACGCTACGTTTCCTGTGGATTAGGTCGTTCTCAGCGTGGTCTAGGGGCCTTCTACGCCACGAGTTGCATGTCTTGGAACACTCATTTATCCCGGCTCACGACGCCCGCTGCCCGGCGAAATAAGGCCAGGGATCTATTTAGCGTGTGCCTGTTGATTTAATATCTTTTGCGCACGAGGTAATAGGTGTGGACCGTGTCGGTTGTGGGTGAGCACGGTCGGCAAATCCCCTCTCTCACTACTGTGACCTACTTTACCTTCGGATGCCCAGCTCACGATCTGAATGATCTTCCCTTGAGTCACTTTCCAAAACTCGGATCTCCAGGACTTCCAGGACTTCTTGCTCTAAATTCAATGTCGATACTTCAATACTCGCTATGATAACGAGTTCCCCTCAGTTAACCCTCTCTGGTGTGTAAAGCGGCCAAGGCGGTCTGTATACATTCGATATCACTTCGACATGGTGTACATTACTCCCTTGGACGCGGATTCAAGAACGCTTGAAAATCTCCCACCGCACATTCATCCCTGGTTACGCGCCGTCGTCGCTCTTGGATTCCTTTCATTCTTCGCATCCACCTTTCTCCTCTTCATCCTTGGGTTCCGCCTCATACAATGGCAAATGAAATCCAAAAGAACGAACCAGTTCGTCATATTAATCTTTAATCTTCTTTGGGCCGACATCCAGCAATCTCTCGCCTTCCTACTCAATGTCGAATGGCTCCGGCTGGACACCGTTGATATAGACAATCCAATCTGCTTTGCCCAAGGGTGGCTGGTTTCGACAGGAGATTTAGCAAGCGGTGTCTGGTGTTTTCTCATAGGCTTGCATACCTTTGCTTCTGTCATCCTGGACTTTCGACTGAAGCCTCGATGTTTCTTTCAGGTCATCATCGCCATGTGGGTTTTCATCTACGGAGTCAGTGCTATTGGGGTCGGAATGTATCAAAAGGAACTATACGTCCGCTCCGGTGTCTGGTGCTGGATTCATCATGATTTACAAGACCTCCGACTCTGGACCCATTATGTCTGGATATTCATCTTCGAATTTGGCACAGTCATCATCTATGCCATTATCTACACCGTGCTGATCCAGCGCATCCGATCAGGCCATTACAGCGAGTTCGAGGAACGACGAGTCAAGGCGATCGCCAATCTCATGGTCGCCTATCCCGTTGTGTATGTGGTGTGTACCCTGCCTCTAGCATCGGCACGCATGGCTGCCATGAGCGGAAGCCCTCCTTCTCTCGCCAGACTTTGCTTATCTGGAGCCATGATCACATCAAATGGATGGTTGGATGTTCTTCTATACACATTGACACGCCGCATCATGATTTTCAGCGATGAACCCCCCGCTGATAACAACGGCATCGATACTTTCTCCGCATTCTGGGCAGAATCACCAAAACGATTCGGCGCAGCATGCACAGTCGTAGCAAATCCCTCGGACCGACATCATCACAAGAGGACAAGGACATGGACTGGCAGAGGTGTGGTGGCCCTTCCCTCAAGCAACAACAGCACAGATGATTTGTACGGGCCTGGGGATAAGGATATAAAACTGGTGACCACGACACAAATTACCAGCGAGCCAGCACAGCCAGAAGATTACGAAGCCATGGAGGCCGAAGCCAGAAAGCACAGGCCCAGGACACCGGTTGGCCGGTGGAGCGAAGACAGTGCCAACATGAAAGATTTAGAGCTGGCTCATATACCCGATTGAAGAAAACTGGTTACAAGGACATCTCACCATTCTGCTTCTTGTAAATTTTCACACATCACGGGTAAAGGTTTGACGGTGGTTCGTCTGGTATTTAGCGTTTAGCATGTGTTCAATGACACGATGGAAGGATCTGCATGGGAAGGCGTTATATGTGTAGCACGGCGTTGCACACATTCTTTGTGTTCGTAGACGATGGCACGTCGGATCAGCATTCTCCGCGAGCAGTCTCTCAGTCACCTTAGTATGGTGAATATAGCATTCATCATATGGTAACATCCATACACAGTAATGTGTCGCACATACTGATTACTTTCAACTGTGACATAGCAGGGTTGCATAAAAGTTAATTTATGCGCTCCCTATCTTCCTTTCTGACGCTATCATTCATGGGGTATGCCACGAGCAAACACAACCCATCATTACCTATTGCAAGTATCCAGAACTCATTTTGAGCAAGACGAAAACGAGATCGACATTAAAAATGGTGCTACTAGCCTAGCCATAGCCTCATTGCTGATCTGAAGTGGTGCAAGCCCAGTTGTGAAGGAGGATTAGTATGGTAACTTCCAAGAGGCAGTTCTAGCCGAGGGGCTGCTACACGTGCAATTTTTAGCGCGCCGACTGTAAAAACCAAGTTGTCTAGCCCACAACAACAGCACGACTCTACAGCATTCTTCCACAAAATTGAAACTATAACGATGCCGACCGCTACCGAAACGAACTCGCGATCACCGTCTCCAGCGCCCGAGCCGCCCGTCGCCGAAGCCCCTGGTCCTCGCGCGCAAGGACTGATCAGAATCTACGACCAAGCCGTACGGGCAACATTAGACAAGTGTTCCACCAAGAGCTTTGGATCCTGCTTTCCGACGCTCGAAAGTCACAATCCCGATATCTTAGAGGATTTGCGCAAGCAGATCGTAGACCAATTGGACCGGGCGTGGAGGGCCAACTTCGAGGACATCCTCGCGCGGCGCGACGTTGTCAAGTCGATCAACGCGCTGGAACAGTGCATAGACGACGCGAAGCAGAGGAAGGAACGGGCGATAGATGCCGCAGGTGGAGGTCCTGTCGAGTCGCCGTTGCAGTAAGGCTCCTATGTCCCGAATGGTAGTACAAAATGCTGATTTTATACTTCATAGACCCCACACGCTTAGCCCCGCGGAAATCCACCTGGCGCATCTGATGCCCTTTCTCGAAAAGCATACGGAGAGCATGAATCAACAGCTTTCTACGACCCAGGAGTCGAACAACGAACTGCTATCTACAGTCACGGCGCAGCGGGCCGAAATCGAATCGCTTGTCCGAGGGCTCGAGGTTGTCATCCAAGATCTGGAGGCAAGCGCACAGATGATGGCCCAAGACAATGTACAGAATCTTGGGACGGAGATAAGGGATCTGGAGAACGAAATGAAGAAGTGAAACCTCAGACAGACTTGCATACTAGAGGGTGTGCCACAGCGCATACTTGTGGAATGATCCATGCAGCACTTGTGTTCCCAGATATCTTATCCTTGCTGAATACCTCGCGCTGTAATCAGTTGCTACTGGCTTCCACTAGGGCTCTATCCGCTTGTCTTGCTATCAGACAACGCAACATCAGAAGCTTTAGCTCCCGAGCCGCTGCTGGAAGGAACCAGACAAAGTCGGAAGATCAAACCGTACGGGAAGCGTCCCACGATTATTGCGGTGCGCTACGCTAATTATTCGCGGATGCGAGTCAAACGAACGTCAAGGGAAGCTCAAAGGAATGGCAAGGCGCAAATAGATCGATGCAATTTGAATCTGGGGATTCGCCGCTTCGTTCGACACACGGCAAGAGGCTACAGATGATGAGTAATTCTATGGGCTGGCTTAGGACCAAGTAATGGGACCTCGAGAGGTTTATGGCTGCTAGGCCTGTACAAAGAGAGTCGAAGAGGGAGGGCTCGCAGCCCAAGGCCAGGCAATGGTTGACCCTGACAGCGACATCTTCATGCGGATCAGGACCTCATTCTTTCCTAGTTCCGTTGGGTACTAAGCGCACAAGCATCGATCCCGTACGAAACATGGTCAATATCTTGGTATCTTGGACGGGGCTGTCATAGATTACATACTGGCCGAAAAGCAAGCCGAAAATTCATTCAAGCCCGATTACGACATTGACTGGGTCTGGCTAGGCGGACTGTCGCTGAGCGAGAACAGGATGATGGCGATAAGCTATGTGACTATAAACATCACAGACCACACTCGTTACAAAAACATTGCGCACGCGGCGGCATTGAATTCAGCCACCGGATGCAGCACAGCGGTACGACCATTCGGAGGTAAAAGGCGGGGCCCCGCGTGCCCGACTACCCATGAATTTAAAGGTTCAATTAATATCAAATTGCCCTATGTGGTATCGTACGCATTGTCTACCGGCAGCATCCCAATCTGTTTATATTACGCACCAGCAAAGATGGCATCGCAATTCAAGCCGGATATCCAACGTCAGAACGGCGCATGACTGTTCGTATATAACGGTAGAGATCGATAAAATGATACGGATTTACTGTTCACATTGCTGTTGCCCCTGTCCAAGTTCAGTGGCTGAATCGTCCAGAAAAGCGCCAAGATGAAGCTCTCAAGTGCCCTCAGCCTCTCGTTGGCAGCATCTGCTGTCAACGCTGCCGTTTTGCAACCAAGGCATTGTATGTGTATCCTTTGATCTTTTTGACTTTGACTGATGGTTGGCAGACACGTTTCCTGCCCTGACAGGATCAACAGACTGGCAGTATGTCCGCACGACAGCCAACTACCAATCCAATGCTGGACTCAGCGATGTTTCTTCTCCACAAATACGATGCTACACTACCGGAACCAAAGGTTCACAGTCTCAAACCGTAGCCGCCGGATCTTCGGTCGGCTTCAAGGCGAGCCCAAACATCTTCCATCCAGGACCTCTACAGTTCTACATGGCCAAGGTCCCCAGCGGTCAAAGCCTTGAGACCTGGGACGGCAGCGGTAACGTCTGGTTCAAGATCTACAGCGAGCCGGCTTCGGTCAGCGGTGGTCAGTTGAGCTGGGGAAGTCTCAGTACGTGCACACATTCCAACACAATCAGCGTATTGGATACGTTGGTTATGAAACTAGTACTAACCAAACTACAGACAAGGGCTCGGTCAGCGTGACTATTCCTAGGAACGTTCCTTCAGGCGATTATCTCCTGCGTATTGAACACATTGCTTTGCACCAAGCCAGTAACGTCAACGGCGCGCAATTCTACATCTCATGCGCCCAGATCAAGGTCACTGGCGGAGGCAGTGGCTCCCCCAGCCCCCTTGTCAGCTTTCCTGGCGCGTACAAAAGTTCGGACCCAGGCATCAAAGTAAATATTTACTCTGGAGCTACCTCGTACACTGCACCTGGTCCTGCTGTTTGGTCTGGTTGAAAGAGTGGCTTCACAATGTGATGGGATGCTTTTGGATAGGACTGCGCAGATGAGTTCCTAGGAGAGGGATCCATTGTTAACATGGGAATCCATCTTTAAGATCTAGCTCAATATAACATTAAAGACGTTTGCTACTATGCTTTGTTGTAAATCTGTTGGTCTAAATGCATTCTGGAAGATTCAAAAACAAATGGTTCATGGGATCTTAACCCATTATACAAATTCAATAATCAAGATCTTATACACACCGCTTCTAAGCAAACGCTTTTTGCCTCTTTCGTCGGTGAAGGTCATGATTCTTTATACTATGGCCTCACTAATTAGAGCTTCGACGATAGGTGATGCTATTGGCTGACCTCTGGGAAAAGTGCGTTTCAACGAGCACGATACTGACTCAAAGCAAGAGGCACGGCCCATGGTATAGTTCATAAAAGTATTTCAATGCGAACTCACCTGCTTCGTGAATAAGTTCATGTAATTAGTAGCCTACCGAGCGTATCCGCATTCAACTAGGTTGACGTGGGGCTAATCGACGTGGCTCCGCAGTAGTAGAGAGGGACCTCCACCCCGCGTCTCTACACTCACCAAGTTGAAGCCGGCTTGGATACTACTTCTTGGTAACACAACGTCAAAATGGCAGATGAACCATATTGGCTGGGTCGAGCTTCGGCGGAACAGCAGCGACTTGCGAAGCAGCACCATATCTGGACAAAGTACGCTTCAAATATTACCTCGGCACGTTGCTGTCTCGCACAGTTGTAGAAGCTGACCAACCTTTCAGATCTATTGGCTATCTCATTCACCCATCCATTGCAAAGACTCTACCGAATGATACCAAAATCGCAGACGTCGGAACCGGCACTGGCATCTGGATGACCGAGTCAGCCAAAACCACCCCATCGACCTACCAGTACGATGGCTACGACATCTCAGACGGCCAGTTCATGGACAAAGATGCCCTTCCCTCAAACGTCACTCTGCAACTGGGTGATTTCAAGAAGCCCTTCCCGGAGGAGCTACACGGCAAATACGACATGATCAACATCCGCCTGATCGTCATCTCCATGGGCAACGATGTCTGGAACTCCACTCTCCGCAACGTCCTCACGCTCTTGAAACCTGGCGGTGCCATCCAATGGATCGAAGGAAACTTCTTCATTGCAAGAGGCTTCCGTGGAATCGATGCTGGCTCGACCGGAGGCCACTATCTCACCCGCGTGCAGATTCAGCTCAACACGATTTTGACAAAGCGGTTTGGATACAACTTCCCCGAATGGACCAGTTTCTTCGAAGGTGAGGGGTTGAAGGACGTCGAAGAAGACGTCCTCAGCACCGATCGCTTGCCAGAGCAACGGACTGAGTTCACGGAGATTGGCATTGGTGCCGTACTTGGTGGCTTGAAGAATTTGGCGAGCATCAAGGAGCAAGGCTACTGGAGTGAGGAGCAAGTGGATGACTATCATAAGAAGGCTCTTGATGACAAAGACTCGGGGGCTTATCTACGATGGGATATACATGTCACAGTTGGATTCAAATCCAAGGAAGCATAGTGAACTTAATCTTCGAGGAAGTATATGTACCACTTCATCACTATCAAATGAAGCGTATGAGCTAGGTCTAGGATTGCGACAAGAGCGTATACCTAGCTGTTCACAGCAGTCGATCCGTATCCTTCATAGAGAACCCTGAGGGTTGCACTTGCGGCCCTTTTCTAAAGACGATCCTTAAAACATTCTTGCGCGTCTCCAGCAACAAGAACGTTCTAGACATAGGACAGAGATCCACAAGCATAACTAGGGACACAACGGTCTCCGTGTCCAATTGCGAAGTTTGTGATGTTTTTCAGGATTTGGTCCAATCAGATTGACGTCTCTACTAGTACCCGATAGTAAGCTCACCAAAAATTGGGACGGATATTGGTGAAACACCCAGTCGATTTACTAATTAGAGACCAATCACAACCCCGAAAAGGAAAATCCAGAGGTAAATTTTTGGGATTTCGCTACCCAACGGCGGCCATTAGACATGATCCCATTCACTGTCTCTGTAAGAACTAAGGACCATCTTTAAGCTCCCAAGTTTGGTACCTGCCAAGGTTGTTCCTGGCCCTGGTTCAATTCTTATCCCATCACGTCCCGTATCCCATTCCAGATATGTACCATTTTGACATTCAGGGATGTACCCACAACCCACACTTGACGATCGATGTGACGCGAGCGTAGAAAAGTGGACCGACTTCGTGTTCTGGACATCAAATCGAATCCGATTTTTTATCGATAGCGACGGTAAAAAAGCTAAGATGCGACATGACGTACGTCCGTAGTTCGCTATCGATCGACGCGACAGCGCTTTTTCGGCAGCTCAACAGATGCCCCAATTTAGCAACACTTTTGTGCTTTTGGAATCTTCCTCTTTCTCTTTTGAGATCTTATCCACCATTTTTGCTTCATTGAGCATTTTGAAGCTTTCTTTGTTAATGTATTGATTTTTTCTGTTCTTTAGTTGTCCCCGATTTCTACAATGAAGGTTATGCGATTACTCAATCGGGCATCTGGGAGCTCAGGTACTGATCAGTTCTTGGACCTTATCGCAGATCCCTTTCAGACCCAGGTGAGTGCCATGCTTCGAAAAGGTAGTCAATGCCCCGCTGACCCATGATATAGGTGCAATCAAACTCCATCTATGCTGCCGTAGTTTACTCTTTCGTTGTCTCTGGAGGGTTATTCCTCTTATTCTGCTTCCTCCGGCCACGCCACTCGCTTGTATACGCACCTCGAGCAAGACATGCCGACGAGAAGCATGCTCCAATTCCCCTTGGGCGCGATCCATTCAGTTGGCTACGCGCAATCAAGGATGTGAAGGAACAGGAGCTCGTGGACAAGATCGGCTTGGACGCCGTCGTCTTCCTTCGATTCCTGCGCATGATGAGGAACATCTTCATCGTGCTCACTATAGTCGGCTGTGCGATTTTGATACCGGTCACTCTTGTTGGAGGAAGCGATGTTTATGAAAACTACAGTAAGGTGGCAACATTGATGAAGGTATGCAGGCAGTTTGCAACGAAGCCTATTATCAGTGGTCTAACAAACGCCAGTTCACCCCGCAATACATTTTTGGTTCCAAATTCTGGTGGTATGTCGTGTGTGCATACCTTTTAGAAGCTACTGTCTGTTCCTTCATCTGGTGGAACTACAGGGCAGTCTTGAGGTTGCGTCGAGCATACTTCAATAGTCCTGAATACCAGTCCAGCTTACATTCTAGGACTCTTCTGGTGAGTCATCTGGATTATATCCCGTCTCTGTGGAATAAGCATACTGACAAGATGTAGCTCACGCACATACCCGAATCATCGCGAACTGACGCCGGTATTGCAGACCTGGTCGATCAAGCAAGACAATTACAAAGTGTACCACGAACTGCCATTGCGCGTAATGTCAAAGATCTTCCAGACCTTATCCAATCGCATGATGAAACAGTACGCGAGCTCGAGGCGCATTTAGCAAAGTACCTCAGCAACCCGGACAAGCTGCCCGAGAAACGACCAACTTGCAAGGTTGCTAAAGAGGACCGCGGTACTCATGGGTCGCAGCACGTCGATGCCATTGATTACTTGGCTGGTCGCATTGCTAGACTGAAGTCTAAAATCACAGTGGCAAGAGAGAGTGTTGACAAGCGAAATCCAATGCCATATGGTTTTGCTAGCTACAGCCATATCGAGGACGCTCATGCCGTTGCATATGCTGCAAGGAAGAAAGGGCCTTCCGGCTGTACCGTATATCTTGCTCCTAAACCGCATGACCTGCTTTGGCAGAATCTGCCTATGTCACGCGCAACTCGAAGAACGCGAGGGTTCTGGGATGGATTCTGGATGATTTTGTTGACTGCGGCTTTCATAGTCCCTAACATTCTTACCGCAGTCTTCTTGTCAGATTTCTCTCATCTCGGTCTTGTGTGGCCCGCTTTCCAGGACAACCTACAGGCACATCCTCTTGGTTGGGGTATCGCCCAGGGTATTCTGGCTCCGCTAGTCCAGACCTTGATGTACATGGCACTCCCGGTGGTAAGTACTTTGAACCCCATTGACGATCAGCTACTCATGAATTGTAGATCTTTCGACGCCTGTATACACACTCTGGTGATGTGTCAAAAACGTCTCGAGAACGACACGTCACTTCAAGGCTATACGCCTTCTTCGTTTTCAACAACATGATGATCTTCTCCGTCTTCGGTTCGGCCTGGCGTTTTGTTGCTTCAGTCATCGCTGCTCAAGACCAAGGAGTCTGGGAAGCCATCAGGTCCGCCCACCTCTTCTCCAAAGTCATGACTGGGCTATGCAACGTCTCTACCTTCTGGCTTACCTGGCAAATGCAACGAAACCTGAGTGCTGCCATTGACATAGTTCAAGCATGGCCGCTGATATGGGGATTCATCCAACGCAAGTTCTTTTCACCAACGCCGCGGGATCTGATCGAACTTTCGGCGCCACAGCCTTTCCGGTATGCCGACTATTACAACAACTACCTTTTCGTCTCTACAGTCGGCCTCGTGTTCGGCATGATACAACCAATTGTGCTACCCATCACCGCATTCTATATAGGCATCGACCTTTGGTTTAAGAAATACCTTCTCCAATACGTTTTGATCACGAAGACTGAATCCGGAGGCCGATTCTGGAGATTCCTCGTCAATAGACTACTTTTCGCAGTGATCCTGGCGAATGCCGTAATCGCACTTATTGTTGGTGCACAGGGCATCGGCTCGATTGACTCGGTTCGTAACGGAGGGATGCTGTATGCCATGATTCCCTTGCCTATCCTTCTCGCTGGATTCAAGTGGTATTGCAAAAAGTCGTTCGATACCAAGCTTACCTACTTCTCTATCGAACCCTTTTCGGATGCCGAGGGTACTTATGGTAATGACAAAAAGAGATTGAAGAGAAACGACAAGATTGCCGCAAGATTCGGCCATCCTGCACTCTACAAGCAGCTCATTACTCCAATGGTACATGCCAAATCTCAACACCTTATCAAGGAGATCTTCGGAGCCCATCCAGATGCCTTTCAAGCAGGACACCGTCCATCCGCCGACCATGAAGTTTCCTCCAACCCTTACGGCTACTCCGATATGTACCTTGCGGAAATGGATCCAGAACATGTCGGGCAATCATCTGACGCGCACCATATGCCCCAGGTGGAAGTCGTCGCTGAGGAAGATCTCGATTTCGAGAACTTCAAGAAGAGAGCGGAGTTTAGAGATGAGTTTGGCGGTGATGGGGAGCTTTATGGTCGACCTGATGATCTCGTTTCCAGGCCTGGGACCCCTTCTACCTTAGCCACGATGACGGATGCTGGTTTCTTCCCTCCAAATACCATTGGCGGATCAACCCGCAACTCCAGCAAGACCAAGTTGGGAGAGGACAGTAGTAGCCTTCAAGGAGACGTGGATCAAGACGGAACGTCCTATGAGCACGGATACCAATTGACGCCGCGCCGTGATCGCTTCGAGTCGGTCGATATTGACATACCATCCACACCGTTGGACATAGACGATGTTCTTGGAACGGGTGCGACGCGCGCCCAGAGCCATTCTACAAGCCATCATCTTCTGGCTGCGCAGGACGAGCCAGAAGACACGAGGGGTTGTTTCAATGGCTCGTCTTACCATGGGCAGGATGAGGATACGAGTTACGAAACATATAGAAGATAGAGGGAGCGGTTCTTTTGTATCAGCAATTGTAGCATTGCATCACCTGTACTCTGATTTAAGACGAATGTTGAGTGCATTTCTGATATTTTGAGTCGTAAATTCATATGATAACTACAATATTACCCATCCCGAAAGTGTTCATATAACCTGTTCTGTCCTATTGCCCGTACATGTTCGGAACTGCCACCTTCGAACGTAGAGGAGGAAAAACATGCATGCATCAAAGATTTTGGGGTTGAATAGGAGAAGACTGTTTCAGTATCTTCAAGTCAGTCTCTTCCATCGTGACCGGTCACATGACCGAGCACTGCCCATCAGGGATGTCGTCCTTATCCCGTTGAGGTTTCAAGCCATCCTCCATACGCAAATCTTCCCAGAAGATGCAACTTTTCGCGCCCACTCTGAAAGTATCAAAAATCTTAGCACATATTTCCAAGGCTTCCTTATTGTCATTAGCCATAGCTGCCATAAGCATTGAAAGTCTGCTATGGTGTCTGAAGCGGGGCGACGTAAGCTGGTACATCTGCACCCAAAGCGGATTACGAGCCTCCCGAAGCTGGTCCTCTATCTTCCCGAATAGAATCAGAAGGTAGCAGGTGAACCATACATAGTTGAGACTAGACATCGGGTCTCTGCCGCAGACATCGGCGAATATGTCAAGGCGGAGCACTTCGAGTAGAGCACGCCCTTGCAACTGTCCACGATCCTTCAGTTCCGAAACGCGATACGGATTGCGCATCTCGCGAGCTTTGAATTCCTTCAAGTCGGTGTCGGTAACGAGTCTCTTCGCGGCTTCCTCAGCCCCCTCGCTTGGTGCAAAAATTGGGGTCGCGTCTGACGCCTCGTCCAGCAGCTCGGCATCGGTCTGTCCTCGCGCTTTGGCGCGTTTGACAAGCTCGGTCTGCTTGAGTCGTTTTTCGCCAGTGGCAGGATCAATCTCTCGTTCGGTGCCTCTCAAGCGAAGCACGTATAAGTATGATGGCATCCTGATGACGCTGTCTGGAATTTGCTCGGGCACCCAGTTGGCATCATAGTATGCCAGAAGCGTCGATCGCTCCCTAAAGAAGTTATTCAATTCTAGATCCATAAGTCGGTGAATATCCTTTGTGCCTTTGATTTTCTTGAGACGTTCGCGCTCTCGCGCAGGACTGTTGTCGAATTGCTCTGTTCGAGCCAGGAATGCGCCATGAAAGTCGTCAGTCGGCACACCTCCGGGAAAGAATGAGTCCTGGTAGAGCACCTGAAAGAGGTGTAATATGCCTACTTCTTTTTTCAGATATTTCTTCTTGACGAGCATGTTGTGCAAGTGAAGCCCGAAAGCAGGTTCAGAAATGTTGTCCCAAAGATGCATGATCATGCGCTGATTGATAATGAGTCCTTCTACCAAGCCGGCCGCACAGAGCAATGGAGAATACTCCCACAAGCCATTGGAATTGTGTCTGGAGAATCGCGATGGCGGTATAGTGGCAAGACCGTTCCTGTATAGCGATTCGCCCAACCAATTGGCGAAATCACTTTTGATCTCATCAAAGATGCCAAAGTATCCCGCATGATGGTTCGGGTCTTGCTTTGCATTGGCATCTTTCTGCAATAATAGCCTCAATAAATTCACTGCTTTTATAAACCCGTGGCCGGCTCTTAGATGGTTGCGGTCTAAGAAGCGGTCGACGTCACGACGAGGACTGAAATTGCGTGGAGGCGGAACCAGCACATGACCACGGAGAGTATGTAGCGTCCAACCTCGAGAGGCAGTAAAAGAGTCTACAATGCATTGTAGTTGAAAAACATGGTGGGGAGGATCTTTCTCCGGACATCAGTGCTCGATTTCTGCATGGCGAGCGCGGTGATGTCGCCAGCAAACTCTTCTAATCCGAAGATTCGTCGACGATGACCCCATGGACCGGTCGTAGACCAGTCTACATCCTCATACACATGGTGCTCGCCTTCCAAGTTGTTCTGCTGAACTACAACGGAAGAAAACACATTCACTAGATCGTAAAGCCGACTGATAGTGTACAACCGGCGCCAGCTGACTCGCTCCTCGTTTGTGGCGCGTTGGAGATCAAATTCTGGGCTCCACCTATTGAGCTGCAATTGTAGCGCTTTGGTGGGTTTTCCAGTTCTGTTCTTCTGGAAATCAAGGACGAAAGTCAATAGATCGTCATAAGCGTGCACCCAGAGCTGTTCCTTTACATCAATGTATCTCTCCTGAACTTTCTCAGCCTGACCGCAATCGGAGACGCGGTACAGCCTCATGGAAAATTGAGTTTGGGCTTTTTCTCTGTCACCCTTTGTAATTGTTTGCATGATGGTGTCGTAGGATTCGTGGCCTGGGAAATCCGCAAACACGGCAATGCATGTCTGTTTGACCATGGAGACAGCGATACTATTCAAAGCCGCAGCCACGGCACCGTTGAGGCCATCATAAGCTACCTCGCGCCAGAGATCTTGAGTGAAGGATCTCAAATCCGCCCATTCCCCGGCAACTGCATAAACGGCCAGGAGATAGTCAGAGATGAGGCCATCTTTGTCTTCAATGATGCGATAGCTCTCGACGGGGACTTCGGCAATTGCAGGCTTCTCGGTGGATCCAGAAGCCGGTTTCTTCTTAGACCTCCTGCTTCGCTTTCCTTTCTTTCCTCTTCCGGCCTTCTTCTTGCGTGTTCGTGTCTGTGTTGGGTGATCATCGTCTTCTGATGAACCTCCATCATCCTCATCATCTTTCAATTGGCCAAGACTGAGAGCAGCAAATTTGTTTTGGAAGATGGCCTCGTCTGGGGCGCCTTCTTCAACGGAAGAGAAGTTACTTGCGCTTTGTGGGTCACCACCGAGCGCTACCAGAGCATCCGACAGTGCGTCGATGAAATGTTTATGGGTAACATTCTTTCTCTCAATTTCCGGGTCGGGGTTCGCGTCTGTCATCTGCTGGAAGACAGCATACATCGCAGATCGTGCTTTAATGACCCCCCCGAAACAGTTCAAAGACGGCGGGTGGCACTGGGTCGAGATGGTTGCTGATGAGGCTGCACATGTCGACGATTTCGGCAACAGTCATCTGCCCGGTGGAATTGATTGTAAGCGATGCATTCTCTTCTGCAAGTTTCCCGGATTGTATAATGCCGTTGGACGTGTTTATGACCCAATACAACAGTCGACTGGTGTCTTTCTTGTACGTGAGGTAGAGGTTGCGGTTCGCCATCATCAAATATGTTCCAGTATAATTATAATGATTCTGATAATGAATTGAAGAGCTGATACTTGAGCGAGATAGGCCTTGCCAACGATAACTGCCCAGGGAGCAAACTTCAGATGCCTCTCAGCCTGATGGATGAGGGACTTTGGGCATGATAAAGAGTAACAAGCTGCTGTGCCCGTCAGCCTCTTGGCACATGCTAACCGACGTCGTACGAAGGCTTGCAAATCTATTGAACATGGCGGAAGCATTTCAGCTTTTGTATTCCATAATTCTTTCTCAACCTTATCTCTATGTTCGACTTCGAGACTGAGATTATTCTGGCAGAGATACCATCGACAATGGCGAATATCCGCGCTTACTGCATCAGCGTGAATGTTATAGGTATTCGTCGCAAACGTTGACGATTTTTATGCATGATCAAAGTTGGAGAGCATCGAGCGAGTGTACGACGACAAAAAGCAAATTCACCCTCGTCAGCAGAAAGATTCTAGGCCTGACTGAAAACGTACTGATTCGTCAAATTTGGAGATTGTTATAAGCCACAATTAAATTGTCGCGAACTTGATAGTAACAGTATATCAGATGCTCATGATGACAGAATGAACACAATTACCTTCTCGTATTCTCCAGTCTCATGTGTCACCTGACCCTTCCTTTGGCATTTGCCTACCATTTAGATGCGACAAACGACGTTACTTCTAGGACTTGAATACAAAAAAGAGTCACGATAGCGCAGGCTAGGAACAAGTAATGTGAATTATTTTCCTCATCTATATTCTACAACAAATTTCTTTCTACATTAGTAGTGATGATAACCAAGCTCAACAAGGTTGCGGTGTCCTTGTGATGTAGTCCGGGCCAACCATACATTACTTCGCAGGTAGTGTATCACTACCACCTAGGTACACTAATCCGAAACAGGTAATCAACCTCACTACCTGCAAAGAAAACCAAGATGAATGGAAAAAGAAAAAGGATGGAAAAAGCCACCCAAGAGTAAGGATTTACTAATGGTATCTACTCAACGAATAACCTAGGAATGTTTCGCGTCTGTATTATCTGTGCATACTTGGCAGGGTGAGTTGCCCAGCTCGCATCCTGTCTTTACCTTCCACATGGGCAGACTGAAACAGTGACATGAAAGGATAAGGGATTGTCCACCTGCCTAATCGAAATCCGCTTCATCTTCAGGATTATTGCCGAGATAGGTCAAGCCTACGCAACTTTCTGAATGCTGTAATGGCATCTCATGTGAGTGGTCACGGACTTGGCGATCTGTTCGCTTGAGTCTAATCGGTCTTGACCTGGATAATCGGCAACCAGCCTTATGGACTGCATGACGGTATCCGTAGTTGGGGGGAAGCTGCCAATGGTAGCTACAAGGCATGATTGTTGTCATGTACTACAATTCGCATATGCAGGCCCTTAGTTCGGTGTTCTACCCCGCGAATGCCATACAACGCCGGGCTCACAAGAAATGGCGCCAAGTGCACCTCAGTCAAATCCGGGTACACAAGAGTTCTATCAAGAAACATGACGTTAGGTGCGAGTCGCTGCGATAAGAGAATGGAAAGTAGTATTGTAAAGTGCGGTCCTCTACTTTATAAAGATGGCGCGTGTCCCCCTTGCAAACACCTTAGATTTCGTCGACACTTTCCTCACTGCTAGTATCGTCAGGACTTGGCCATCATGGATCGTTCTCCGGAGAAACAAAACAATGCGTTCGATACCTCGAACTTCACTGATACCCGAAATGAAAAAGATGAACTCTCTCCCAATGGAAAGTCATCTTCGGCGCCTGCATACTCGAACGATTACGATGGCCAGACTGGAGAAGTATTCGACCCATATGGGGGCAAGAAACTCGGCATGGTTCGAGTACGTATGATCGGTCTGTCTTCGAAACATCATGTTGACATCTCTATAGACAGCTTTAATCTTCTTTACCAACCAGGTCGGAATTGGCATTCTCAGTCTCCCTGCCATGCTGCATACGATAGGACTGATCCCAGGCATAATTACAAGTGAGCCCTACTTTGCTCACTGAGCTTTGATAAAGATTTGTTACTGACTATCCCGGAGTCATCACTATGGGGGTGCTCGCGACCTACACGGCATACATTCTAATTCAATTCTATCGGAAGTATCCTACGATTCGAGATGTCGTCGATGTGGGCAGAATCATGGGAGGAAAGCCACTCGAGATTATTGTCGGAGCGGCACACGTGCTCAACTTATGCCTCATCTGTGCTTCAGCAAACGTCACTCTTTCGATCGCTCTGAACACAATTACTGAGCATTCCGTCTGCACCATTGGGTTCATCGGGATCCCCATGATCATGTGTTGGCTTCTGTGCATGCCTCGGAGCTTGAACTTTGCCGGATGGTTCGGTATTCCAGCTACGATCTCCATTTGTAAGATTCAAGCCTGCGACTCCCTGAGAACTCTGAATGTCTAACATCCTTAGTCACCTCTGTTCTGATCGTCGTCATTGCTCTAGCCGTAGGCGGTCCCGACTATGAGGGCACCGTGAACGGCGGCGGAGGTTATTGGGGCGAGCCGGCCAATGAACCACTGCAGATGCGACTTGGGCCAAATCCTGCTGCGACCATGAATCAGCAGTTTGAATCGGTTCTCAACGTCGCCTTCGCATACGCTGGCAATCAAGCATTCATCACGGTCATGTGTGAGATGCGCAACCCGTATGTCGTCTGAGACTCGCCACCTTCGAGAGACAAAAGTGCTCGATGTGCTAACAAGTCAATACAGAAGCAAAGACTACACCCCAGCCATCATCTGGCTCAATGTGTTCGGTGTCCCAATGTACGTCATTACGGCATGTGTAGTATACCACCTCACCGGCCAATATGTTGTCTCTCCCGCGCTCGGCTCTGCACCTGGTGTGGCTAGCAAAGTTGCATACGGCCTTCTCTTTCCCACCCTTCTCGGTTCTGGTCTAGTCTTCGGCCATACCGGCATTAAGTACATGTACAACGTAGTCATGGACAAAATGATCAAGACACGACACCGACTGACCGATAATACTCCACTTACATGGGGAGTCTGGCTTGGTCTCGGGACGCTCTTCTGGGTCACGGCCTTCATTCTCGCCAACGCTATTCCAGCTTTCGGTTCAATTCTAGGTATCTCGTCGGCACTCTTCGTCACATGGTTCACTTTTGGCATGGCAAATGCCCAATGGATCTTCATAAACTGGGGCAATCAGTTCATCAATTGGAAGAAGACATCGTTGGCACTTTTCAATTGGTTCATGATCCTTGGTGGGGCTCTCCATCTTTGCACAATTTATGACACTCAAGCTAATATCTCTGCAGCTTCGGCTTTCTTGACAGTCTTTGGCCTGTACACCTCGATCTCAGACCTCCATTCGAGAGTGCAGGATCCCAACGACCCGCTAAATGTATTTACCTGCGCAAACAATGCGTTGTTTTGAGCATCTTTACCTATTGTTGTTGTCTGCTACGGCATGAGCTGCACGATCCAGTGTCATGTCACTGCCGTTTACTTAAATTGAGTAAATAAGCACTACATACTTTGATTTGTCCGGGTGGAAGCACCAGGATATTTCTCTTCACAATTGTTCATATACCACATTCCCGTTCTAAGTACTGAAACCTAAAGTGTTCCTATATTACCATAGATGTAGATTGTGAATCACCGCGCGGTCAGGACTACCCGAAGAAGTCTGGGGCGGGCAAGTAATGGTTCACTTATTCATGCTCTAACTCCCAAAGTGTTGTATGAGGCATGGACACTGGTTGAAATTCCTCGATCAACGACGCAGGATAATCCCATTTCATATAATCATCATTCAGTTCATCACAGGTGTGAGTATGGCGTTCAAAAGTCAATATCCATCCAAACTTAGCCTTCATTGACTAAGCAATCGCACTCCAGCATCAAATCCATTTTCTCGGGCTAGGTCAATTGGCTTGCGGCCTTTTGTATCCACCTTGTCACGATCCGCACCGTTTTGCAGTAGAAATTCGATAGCCTCCTGACATCCATGCCTTGCAGCAGCATGCAAAGCAGTTCCAAGCCCATTGCCGGCGTAGGCCTTGAACGCATAAGGAAAATATTCCAACTCCAATTGGTCGATGGGAAAGTTTGCCTCATGTACAAGGTACTCCATAACCGCAAGGCGATTAGGAACCAAACCAGCGGCAGCCATTTGCAATGCATCGGTCTGAGTGTAGTCGGTACCATATTTCCGCAATAGCTTGATGACAGGCAACGGAGCGCATTCAGCGGCAAGTCCCGCGACCGTCTTATCATGTGCAGCTGTCCGGCCGATAGGATCTGCTCCATGCTCGAGGCACCACGCGGTCTGTTCGACTGAATCGAGAGCATGCCTATCGAGTTAAGGAGATTTAGCGACACAATTATGAGATGTTCGAAGAGTGTTCACAGCCAAAGGCCAATAAAGAATGGAGACATACCTGAGAAACGGATACATGTTGTTGTAAAGATAGTTGATATCCCCTCCATTGTCCAGAAATAGCTCTAGAACTGGCCATCGATGGTTGTGAAGAGCGACCAAAGCAGCGCTCAAAAACACCACGCAGCCTCGTTCTTCCATCAAATACTTGACAATCTCCGATCTCCCCGCTTCGGCAGCAACCATCAATACCTCGTGCAGCATCATAGTCTTACTGTCCGCACAGGGGACATTTCCCCATTCTCGTATACCAAGCCAATCCCACTTCGTGCTTTTGATGGAATCGCATCTCTGCATACACTCTTTGAACTTATCAAGATTCCCTTTAGCGGCAAGCGCTTTTAGCTCCTCGTAGATTCTGGCGACACCATACGAGCGAGTAACGAGCCTTCGGAGCATGTTCAACACCAAAGAAGGATATTTTTGGGTATATAGCAACGTGACACCTGCGACGCTTAGGCGGTGCAATGCAGATAGAGTGCGCAGGCAATAAGGTATGTAGAGAACGCAAGTAACCCTACTGTAGTCGAAAGAGTGTTATGAGAACCAAAACAGCTACTATTTCGGGATCAATTGATCGTGGGTATTCGATAGTTTTGAGACTGGATATACGGAGGAGAGTCGCTCTACTTGCGGTTTCGAAACCTACAATACTCAGCCATCTACGATGAAACTCGAGCCATCAATTAACGTCGTGTAATTACTATGGTCCACTCTCAAATCGGACTACAGGGTAGAGCCAGCCGCATGCAGGAGGAATCAGTTATAATACAGGGCGCATGGCAAACACGAACCAGTACAACATACCTTGTAGATTCTCTATGGTCAGTGCTGTGATTCTACAGTGTACAGCGGTAGGCAGAATTCTGTCGGAATGAACAAGACCAGTGTTCAATCTTCGAACGGTGAGAGACGTCTGCGCCTACTTGGGGTCTTTCAGCTTAAGAGGCACAGTAGCGATGTAGTACAAATGCCAACCTAACGTATACCCCGGCTGGTTTGATTGATTGGCTGACTGCTTTGATCCTTCAGAGCATTCATGAAGCACTTCATTTCCTTGGATATGATGTATACACTCCGTAAAAGTATCTCGAATCCTTCCTCTGAAGTATTCTTGTAGCATAAAATCTTTCTTAAGACGTGGTAGCTTGGTGGTTGTTACATATATCGTGTATAATAGCTACTGCAGCCTGTCTTTCAGTGATTCATTTTTACAGTGAAAGCTTCATTCAGGCTAATTTCGACTTGTCATATCACTTCTCATTATGTTATCTTCTGCACCTATGTCAGACCACTCTACTAAAATCTATGCCGCTGCTCGATCTCCTATTGGTAGCATATCCGCTCTCCGACTGCCCTTCAAACATATATGAATGTATCTGCCTTTCCACCAACCTACTTCAACAACTACCGTCATCATTACTTGACTTCACATCATTGATTTTCTCTGAACTGTGCACATAATCAAACCACCCTGATTTTCATTAATACCAATGAGCCACGCAGTTGTGAACAGTTGGAATCGGACAATGCCACTCATGGTTACACACCGACGGGCACAAAACCAAGGTCATACGATGCAGCCAATGCCTTAGCCAATGTAGACAAATATCCCCTTGATTACTACCTACAGCTCCCTTATAATCCAGAGGTGTCACCATTTCTAAACAACTCTTTCAGTCGCGGACCCTCGTGCGAATATGACTGCTTTCAGTCGCGGACCCTCGTGCGAATATGACTGCTTTCAGTCGCGGACCCTCGTGCGAATATGACTGCCCAGTTCCGGTACCCTTGTGCCCCGTTGCCCCATTGGAATAAGGATTTAGACATCCGCATACGCCCCGCATATATGCCTGAAACGTTACCTGTTGTGGACTAATCAATAGCGTTTGCCTGAAAAGGCAGACTCTAGAACCAAGCCTCTATAATTCCCCAAATGGTAGCAAAAGTGGAATACCTTCTTTGCTGAACGGTGTGTAGTTGTCAGGCATGGATTTGTCTAAGGCTCATTATGGTCAAAATATGGACACAGATAATGAGCCTTGGACAAATCTATGCCTGGCAACTAGCCCGGGTTGATCGCTCGATCGATAATGTCTCGTTATGTATACAGGGAGACTACAATCCATATTATCCCATCGTTTACTTACGGATGTTAGCCCTTTCGATGCATAGCCAGGCAGCATCACTGTGACTAACATTTCACTCTTTCTCAGAGAGATATGGGTAATTACCTAGATAACACAGTTGCTCACGCCTCTTCTAGCCGACCAAGTCAAACTGTATCCCCCGCCTACGTATAACAGGCGAGCAGCACGCATGATTTCTTATCGTAAAACTAACTGTCTTCTCTTCCCAATAGGTATGTTCATGGCAATAAGAACACATTGTCTGCTCCCTCATGGTGCCTACGTACGAAAAGGCTTAGGTATGCTTCCACATCAGGCACAGGTCTCTTCCTCAAGTCACTGATGCCAAACGATGAGCGAGGAGACGACAACGTATTGTATCTTGCTTCATCCTTTCCGACCCTCTGTAATCTGTCCTGCAGCCTCAAGTATGAGGTTGCCAGGTTCTGGGCCGTGATGGTGAAGCATTATATAAGGCATTCAACAGACACTGTACTCATCGCATCAGCTCTTTCAACAGCGTTCATTCCTTGCCTCTCTCACTCATCCACTCATTCATTATTTGATCTATTGTTCAAACAAGCCGGTCTTGTTTGTTTATCTTTCCCTTGACCGATAGCGCTTGAAATCTCTATTGATATAATTGCTATACTATCCTCGTATCTCCACCGCACGACTCGATAGCTTTCGAAGCACCAACCAACATGTTTGCATCAGTCAGATCCAGCAGCATGACCAGGCTTCTAGCCTTACTATTTGCTTTGCTTCTAGTCTTCAATGTCTGCACAGCACTCCCCGCGACGGACAAGTAAGTAAACCGCCATGCCCCCGCCCCCCCCTTCACTCCTCCGCAAAAGCTAACTTCCAAACCCAGTGACCCCCCCATCGAGGAGAAGCAATTGGCAACCCGCGGCAACGCACCGAGTACCTTCAAAGCGGACAAAAAAGTAAAAATGGGCAACACGCTCTTCTTCGCCGCCGAAGCGGGAGAGAAACACGGATCCGCGGGCTTCGACTCGTGCCTGGGGCTCCTGATCGTCGGCGACGGGGGCGCCATCATCGGACACTACAGTGCGACTGGCTCCGACATCAACAACGACTGGGGCGAGCGCCCCAATTCCGTCGCTGCGGCCGTTCCGAGACTTTTCAGGGAAAATCGAGCCAAGCTCACGCCGCATATGGAGATTTATATCTATGCTCAGCTCGACGAGAAGAAGAGGGTGAAATTCCAGACTCTGGTGGATGATATGCAGAGGCATATTGCTGGGGCGACGGGTGGCCATCGAGCTGTAGTTAAGACGTATTCGATAAAAACGGGTCGTGAGCCCATCGGGGGCAATTTCGTTGTAGAATACAAGTCAAAGGGAAAGGGATTCAAGGTTTCGTTCGCGAAATAGAGAGATTATGGACAGGCCTTCTGGTACATTCAGCGAACTGGAGTTTGGTTGCATTATATAGAGGTTCATGGGCAAACAAATAGATTATGGACTGGAGGTTATAGAGGGGACATTATAGAGGGGACATTATAGACTGGACATCATAGACTGGAGGTAATAGATTATAGACTACAGATTAGAGGTTTCGGGTTATAGATCATGAAATATAGATTACGACTCCCCAATTTTCAATTTCCAAACGCTTCCAAAGCTTCAAAGGCCCAGCTACCAGATCTCGTTCGTCAGTTCAGCGGCAAACTCTCACAACCACACCGTTCGGACGCTGAGAATGAGTTCAGTGTCCGTAGAGCAGCAAAGTTACCGCGTATATACGAGTCTCGAATGCCTAGTCTTCTGACAAGAAGCCACGAGGAACGGTCGCCTAGGGTGATCGTTGGTTCTCTGGATAATGCCGTTGGATGTACCCAGGTACATACGAGTAGCGAAGTACGTCTGGAGCTGTGAACGTATGTCTCCATTGCTAGTCGCAAAGTAAGTACGTCTTCATAGATTCGCATATCACCTCCCATCTTCCGCACAAACCTCATCACTAAATCCACGTGAAACCAACCATAAGCGCCTGTACAAGTGATGTGCATTTTGCAGGTGTATTTGCATTAATTATGTAATAAAGAAGAGAGAGGGAGAGAACGTCTAAACCTATACAGACACTTCCTCTCTCTTTTTCCCAAGTACTCTTCCCCTGGGGTCTATTTCCTTTCGTATGATAGTAACTAGTAGTAGTACAGTTGTATGATTTTCACCGCCTTACTCCTCGCTTCAAATGGGTGGCTCCGTCGAGAGTGGGCGTGGAAGGTAGGACGGACTGTCGAATGACTGGTGTGACGGGCACACCGAACGTGAGAAAGAGGGTACTCCGCATTCTCGTGCGAGCAGCAGCAGATATTCTCTTGTACAGTCCACCCCAAAGTCCGTCCCCTTCGATTTCAACAACCCCTTGAAGCGACGATCGGCGGTGATTATGGTGATGACGATAATGGCTCCCTTGCACTTTCGCAGAAGTTCGAACGACGGAACGAACAACGACCAAAAACCGGCCCCTGCCCAGTCCCGATTGGGTATCCTGATAATCAAAAAAAAAAGATGGGGTTTCGAAACTGAAAAACGCCATTTTGTGCTCCCAAAAATCCATGTGCTGATATGCAAAGAATGCAGATGGACAAAAACACATGGGCGAAAAACCGCATCCCATGTGAGGAAAATCTAATAAGGCGGGCGAGCTCAGGGACCAATAGCAGGACTCATCTCCGCGCTTTTGGGGTACTCCATCTGTTTGGGATACTCGTATAGCCTGTAGATATAGCGATTAGCTCGGGAATCCCATCTCCTCGACCGACGAGGCACTTACATGAACGTTTCATATCGGACTCCCCTCTTCTGTGTCCTCTTCAACCTGCCATCGCCAATCTCGACTCCGTCGTACAGGACGGGATCGAAGCTGACTTCCTTCCACTTCTTGACCAGTTCCCTCCAGTAGCATGCCTCAGCCGCGGGCGTCAGATACCTCTCGCGGAACGTCTGGACGCTGTTGTCGGCGATGCGCTTCGCCTTCTCGGGATGGGCCAGGAGGTCCTGCATGACGTTGTTCAGGTCGGAGAAGTCGCGCTCGACTTCGACGTAGTTCTGGAGAGGGCCGGTGGCGCGCATGAGGTAGTGGTGGTGCTGGATCCATTGCAGCTTGTGCGAGACGATGACGGAACGGCAGAGTTGGCGGTACTTTAGAGCGCCGGAATAACTCCTCCCTGTGTGTGTTGATGTCGTAGTTAGCTTACTGTTCCACGTTCCTTCGTGTGGGGGAAGATGGAAGGCCTGAGCCATAAGCGCGTCCACTTACCTTCGGCGTGCGCAATGAACATGTATCCACACTGGTCCACCGGACCCAAGAACTGGTCCTTATAGTTGGGAGTCGACCACGCCACTTGCCCTACATCACTCCAACTCTTCCCCCTCGCAGCATCTAGCAAAGCGCGCCTCAGCTTGGGCGCGAAGCTAATCTTGCCCCTCCAAACCAGTCGCTCGCGCTTCGAGTCCCAAGGCTCCACCGTCTCGCGCTGGCGCGCCTCGTCTGCGACCTCAGAAAAGGTGCCCAGATCCGGCATGTCCCAGCTCCAGAAGCCAAAGTCCGGAATCAGCCATAGCGAAGTGTCCTGCGCACGGCGTGCAAGGGTCCAGATGGGTTTGTTCGGCTGGGCAGGGAGGTCCTCTACCGAGAAGACGAACTCGACGTTCTCGATCGGGGCTTGTACGGGCGCGGAGGTGATGGCGCGGTGGAGGGAGGCCAGGACGGCGAGGGCCTTTTGGCGGTTGACGTTGTCGACGAGGTAGGTCTGCAGGACGTAGAGCTGTGTGGTGATGGGGGCGATCAGCATGTAAGGCATTCCATCTGGGGTGCGAAACCCTGTAAAGCTTATCTTACCTCTCCGTTATATATCATGGCACGCACCATGCCCTTGGATAGATTAAACGACGACAACAGTCGCTCCGTCACCTTGCCCAGCACGGTGCGCTGGTTCTTCGCCCTCTCGATGTCCTCGAACAACCCCGGGAATGCAACATGGCATTGGTCCTCGTCCAATCCGTAATTGTGTGAATCACGGCTGTACTGGAAGACCCATCTCTCCTCCTCGGAACCGATGTTGTGGTTCGTCGCGTTCTCGTAGAAGGCGGATTGGCTCGCGGCGCAATCGAGGCAGGTGTCGCAGGTGAAGACGGTGCTGTACTGGCAGAGACAGCGTCCGGCAGGGAGGACCTCCTTGACGAGGGTGGGCAGGGAAGGATTGTCGGATCGGGTGCCGTACAGGATCGAGCATACGAGGAAGACGATGAGGGCGCAGGCGGATGCTAGCAGGTAAGTGAGGGTGTCGGTTCGGCCTGCTCGCCGGCGCAATAACATTTTTTCGACCACTCTCATGAGGCGGAGAGCAGCAGAGTCGCTGCGTGCGAGATGAGGGAAGAATAAGTTATCATGGACGTCGGTGGGCGGATCCCAGGATGGACGGGAGGTTTGTGCCGCGAGCCCCAAGGAGGGGGGTTAAGACCGTCGCAAGCCTAATTCGCCAGGGACTTTCTGTTACTGTCGCTATTCACTTTTCTAAGAGTACGTGCGATGATGGGAGTCGAGGTCGAGTGGTCGTGGAGGGAAGGGAGAAGATCAGACCGAATTGGCGGACAGTGAGGCGATTAGGGAGTTCAGTCTACACGGTAGGTAGTTGAAGCGGTAGGAGGTAGGTGAGTAAGTGAGTTTGCTTGCGCGGCCACGGCATACGGGAAGCGGAAGGCTCCTAGCCACTCTGCCACTCCAGCCAACTACCTAACTAGTTGGACGCTTCTGTAAGCAGCCGGCGAGTTACAAAGTTGGCGGTAAAGCGCGTCCGTTCTAGGGAAATTAGTTCAAACTGACGTGCGTGCGTTCGTTCGACTTCGTTCTAGAGTAGAGGAGAGCAGAGTGGAGTCATTAGGAGACAAGAAAAAGGGGAGAGACATCGGAGACTCGAGTTCGTTGGTCAGTCAATCCCATCGAAATCGGAATCTCCGACCCCATAATAGCAACCGACATTGGAAGGGGATTCATTCAACATGATGAGGGAATACGAGTTAAGTCCTTGAAGCCATTTCCGAATCGGGTGCACGATCGATGTTTTAGATCAGATGCAACCCGCACTACATTACACCATGTGTACAAAGTTACGGTGTACACACACACTTCTCCCCATACAAATAGTGATTGCATATGGACGGAGTACTTACACGGCACATGATGGATGATACAAAGTAACCATCCCCATCTCTCCCCCAGCCCTTGCGAGGATATTCATGCATGGAAAAGAGCCTCACCACACACCAAACGAAACACAAACGCCCATCCGGCCCGATGCGTGTAACCATGACACATGCGCACATACGTTGTGACGTTGTTCGCAGACATCATAGGCTCTGTCCTCCGTACCATCATTCATTACTGATGATGATCTTCGATGATGGCAAGGTTACAAGTATACGATGCTGGGGGACAAAGTACGAGAGCACTCACTCGCGGAACACCGCGGCTCAACAATTCTTTCATGTGCGGACATCCTCAACCATCTCAACATGTCATTGCCGTCCGGCGCGTACGACGATATCAACAGAATGTACGGTGGTTCGCAGTTACGGACTACCAATTGTCCATATGTGAAAAGTGCTCGTGACTGTGACTGACTGTAACTCAACTCCCCTTCCCCTTTGCCTTCTCCACCCACAAGTGCAAGCAAACCGTAGCTAGAACTCATCCGGAACCATTCCCCTCAATTCACCTTCATACAAAACACCCACCTCAACCCCATCCTGCTCTGCTTGACCATTTCCGGAGGCCGCCGTCGTGCGTGAATGCAACATCACGTGACCCTCACCATTCACCCCCTCAACCTCAACCTCAACCTCAACCCTCGCACTCCTCGGACCTCTCAACCCGCCGTTTCATGGGTAACCCACTCTACTCTACTCTAGCAAGCAAGTCCAAAACGTCCCGTAACCCATCCACCTCTCACCGACCAATCCCCATTCACAAGACAACGTCAAAAACGCTGGGAAACTGGCTACTAGGCCACTGATACAGCGAATATCTGGTACACTAGCTAGTCTTCCGGAAATTACAACCACCCCCCTCCCCTCCCCTCTCCTCTCTCCTCCCGCCGCCAGTAACTTATTTCCTCTCCTCTCCAGCCATACTACTGGCTGGTACTCGTATGTTACAAGTACGCTCCTTTTTTCTTTCTTCCCGCCGCCCTTGGAATCGATCGGACGGAAAGGCGATCGATTGCACCCACAACCCCACGGGAAAAGAAGAGAGAGAGAGAGAGAGAGAAAATCCCGCAGTGCCGCTACCGTACGTAGTATAGTAGTGCGTGCTTCCCGTCCCCCAGTCTGCTACTCATACCATACGTAGTTTTCTGTAAAGTAAAAAGTCTGGGGCGATGTAAGATGTAACTTACCTCGGCACAAATGAATCTTCACGGCATGAGGTCGTCGAGGAAGGGAAGTGTATTATGAGGCAAGATATGTGAGGCGAGTTGTTATGGCAGTGATAATGACAAAAAATACATATATACGTATGTATGTTACTTGTATGTATGTATGTACGGCAGTTACTTTATCACACAGACAGACGGCCAAACTGAACCGAAACCAGACCAGACAATCTTGAAGCGCCGCCCCCACTCATGTGGTAGTAGTACTTAGATTGATAGCGAAAGAAACAACAATGCTGATGCAAGAGGAGACAGACAGATGCAGAGAGAAACGGTAATGGTATAGTGATCAACTTGGATAAGACAAGCGATGGGAAAATGCATGAGAGTGAAAGAAACAAATACAACAAATGAAAAAGAAGCGAAAGATGATGAATCCCCTTCCCGTAGTAGTATGCAGTCAGACAGCCTCGAATGATGATTGGTAAGAATGAAAAGTAGAAGAATTCTTCCTATGTGAAAAAGTGGTATATACAGAAGTGAATAGAAAATAATGCCCATCGAGGACTATGTACATCCTTCGAGAAGCCGAGCCCGTCTTCGGGCTCTGACATCAAAACGTTGAGAACAGCGACCAACAAGTCCCCAAAAAGGATGAGGTTACTTGTGATGTGTGTCGACCACTCCGGGTCAACGGCGCTCTTCTCGCCCATCTATCCCTTGGATGAGTCTTTTTACTCTCTAAATAGAAAGGACGTGCATGTCCTTCTGATCGGGCGTGGGTGGCATGCCCATGCCGAAGCCTACGCCGGCAGTCGTCTTGCCCCTCAGCGCGGCCAACCCACGACCCATCTCGCGCATTCGTTCACATCCTTTTCCAGGAGCCGGACGCTTCTCTTTGTCCTTGACTCCCTTGCGGTGCAGCTTCTTGTACAGCTGCTCTTTGCGTCGCAGACGCTTGTTTTCGAGTCCGATCTTGATGTCAATAGCCCGGCGGACAGGCATCTCACGGCACGTCTCATCTCCGTCCAAGTCGTCATCTGGTGGCAAGACTGACATGGGCGTTCTGGGAACAGAAGAAGCCATGAATGGAACGGGACGCTCAGCAAGGCCGCCCAGATTGATGTGCATGGGTTGACGATTTGGTGTCATGATGGCGGAGCCACGGCGTGTTGGTGGAGGTGACCTCAGACGAACCCCAGGAGCAGGGGACCGGGCACGCCTTGGAGAAGTTCCAAAAAGCTTGCGAGGTGGGGGAGATCGATGGACTGCTCGCTTAGTTGGCGGGGGAGATCTGTGGATGGCACGTTTTGTTGGTGGAGGGGATCGCAGGCGTCTAGGCGAAGCAGGTCGTCTTGCGGGACCGTTCGGCTTGCGTCCACGAGGATCGCCATCAAGATGGTCCATGGATCCATGGATCATGGCATATTGATCGCTCTCTGACACGATGTTGTCAGGTTCGTCGTCCTCGTCTTCCTCGTCCATATCAGGATCCGACTGGGGGAAAGTAGGGTCGATGTCTTGAGGGGTGATTCTGTGCTTGGCAGCACGACGACGCTCCAAGCAGGACATATACGCAGCCTCGAGTGGGCGATCTTCATCAAGGGTTCCACAGACGAAATCGGTGCTGTCGGGAAGCTCCGGGCTGGGTACTCGAATATTGACAGGGCGCGACTTTTTCCTCCTGCTTGGCTTCGGGGGCATTTTAAATCCTTCATCGCTGTCGTCAGATCCATTAGAAGACTCAGAGACAGTTCGGCGGGCGCTCGGTCGAATCTGCTCAAGATGTTCCACTGATGTTGCTGCTGTAGAAGCGCCAGGAGCCCACCAATTGAAATCGGAACCAGCATCGCTGTCGTCATCGGACACGGCGAAGCCCTCCTCATCATCGGTTTGGAATCCCTCATCAGAGGAAACATCCTCCTCTTCATCGTCATCGTCGAGGTCGTCGTCGTCGTCAAAATCAACGTCATCCTCGTCATCATCGTCAAGGTCCTCTTCGTCATCGAGAGCCTCCTCTTCAACCTCTTGCCCCAATTGTCGGAGGGTGTTCTCGATCCTAAGCGTGTCGGTGATGGTGAGACGGCTGCGATGGCAAGTAGATTCCTGTGTCCACTCCTCTACCTCTTCCTCGGAGCTTGCAAACTCATGGAACCGGAATGCCTCAGTGTGTGCAAGGTCCGAATTCGCACTAAGACGACGAGTTCGGTTTCGCGCAGCAGGCGATTTCTTGGTGCTCACAGGGGAGGCGTTACGGACGGTAGAGTTCGAATCACGGTGGGCTTTCTTCGGTCCTTTGGATGGCACTCTTTCGCGGCGTGCCGGAGGTGGAGGGCTGAAATTACGGCTCATCCGCGGCTTCTGTTCGTTGCATTGGGTGTCTGTGGAGATCTTGGTCGGACATGCGAACTTGATCGTGCATTTCCGTTTCGGAGGTTCCGCTGCTGATGATTCTGGTTCCTTTGGCTTTTCCACCGTCGCGGTCGCACGCGCGGGCTTGTCGCCGCAAGAAAATTTGATGGTGCAGCCACGTTTTGGTGCCTCTGTGGCAGGATTGGGGGTAGGAGTGGCGGTCGGTTTAGGCGCGTCCTTCTTCCCGCACGCAAAGGTGATGCAGCGTTTGCGACCCAGGGTGGCTTCAACATCATGTTCACTCGAGTCCGATTTCGTCGCTAGCTGCTTCTGCAGAGAAACGATATGTTCATCATCGTGGCGGACAACCGAGACTGACTGGTCAAGTGGTTTGTTGCTGAACATTGGGGCCATGTTGTGAAACGTAGCTGAGGGAAACGGTGGGCTGGGCGTGTTCGCGCGGGTTCCTGGGCTCGTGAGACCACCATCGCTTGTCAATTCAGCAGTGGAGGCGCTGTGACTACTCCAGGTAGAGGCGGACGAAAATCCTCGACGTAATTGTGAGTGTTCCATGTGCTCATCGGTGGGAGAATTGCTGTCCGAATGGAGTGCGCAGGTCAAGAGAGATTCTTTGCGTTCGCTGGCGGCGGGTCGTGATTTTGAGAAGGAAGCTTCGAAGGATTGGAGGATTTTGAGGCCAGATGGCCGGGGCGTGCGCTCTAAGTCTGGGGGTTCGTCCACGTCGGCCAGCAGCTCTTCTTCGGAAGACAGGAGGGCTGCACTATTTGTCGGCTGGTTTCGAAAGGCGCGCATTGCCGGGAGGGCGTTGGACGAAGCGTGGTTGTGTTCCGACTGTGCCATTGTTGCTGTATTGATGATGCACACTTTGGAGGAAAACCGGGCTTCACTATGGTTGAGTGCAGCTGGCGATTCAGGGAACAGGAATTCGTTCGTCCTTAAGAATTCGATTGGCGGTAGTGCGTGAGCGTTTCGAAATGTTGCGGATGCGTTGCTTCGCTTTAACACGGCGGAGTTTCGCAATTCCGGAGGGTGTAGAATAGAAAGTAGCGTATATTAGGAGAGAATGGAGGATATCCAGGTAAGGAGAATGTCGTGAGTAGGCGTTGTATCGTAAAAAGTAGTGGTGGTGGTTATTAGGTGCGGATATCGAATTGATACTGTGTTATTTGGATGCGATGCGGGATGGTACGGCGAGCAGGTAGGTGTGTGGAATATGTGTTGAGATTCGGATGTAGAGACCCGGAAGGAGGAAAAGGTTATAATATGAAGACGGACATGGCGAAGACTGAAGAAGGTCGTCTTAGAAGGAGAAGGGAAATGTGGGAGGAGGAGAAGGGCTTGCGAAGTGTCAGTGCCGTCATGTCATTGAGGTTGAGTTGGAAAGTGGGATGGGATGGGATATGGGTGATGAAAGAGAAGGGTAGGGCAGGGTAGGTGTGTAGGGTAGGTGGTGGCATGTACCTTGTCCGAAGGGTGTGGCGACGGCGGCACGACGGGGAGTGTGTAAGACGAGTGCGTGCGTGCGTGCGTGCTTGAATAATAATGCAGGCAGGTCTTGAACGGGCGGAAAGGTAGAGAAAGTCCGAAAGGTGGAAGTCGACAACGATGCAGCTGCTCTTGAAAAAAGAGTGCTACGACGAAGACACGACAGCAATCCGGTAGGTGGTGGTGGTGGTGGTGGTGGAGAGAGTGAAGAGTGAAGGAAGGATGATGATGTTGAGGAGGAGGAAGTCTTGAAAGGAAGAGAGAGAGGAAGAAAGATGAGGGAATTAAAGAGAGTAAAAAGGAAGTGTAGGGTGAGTGAGTGTAGGGTAAGTGCAAGTGCAAAGTGGGAAAGGGAAAAGAGGAGAAAATCGGGTAGGTTAGAGTGTGCAGACACTGTAGAGTAGTAGAGTAGTAGAGTAGTAGTACATAGACTGCAACTGCAGGGCAGGCGCGATGATGGTGGGTGGAAGGTGGGCGGTGGAGTGGAGTGGAGTTGGGAAGGCACGAAAGGGAAAGGGAAAGAGCGACGGGCGGGAGCCAAAGGGCGTTGGATTTAGCTAACGACCTAGGCACTAGGTAGAGGGAAATTTGGGGAGTGGGAGTGGGAGTGGGAGTGGGAGTGGGATGCCACTTTAGCGGGATCACTCAACTCACTCAGGTTACGATACATGTAATAATTGAAGGGCATCTCATTAGTGGTAGTGATCATTAGTAGAATAGTCCGTAGTATGCAGTTACTAACTAGGTACTAGGTGAGTGGTTGTGAATTAATTGGCGGGATCCGCGCAAAGGAATTACCAAGACGACACGGTTAGTTAACTAGTAGTAGTATACTCCGTGGAGACCAGAAGATATCGTACCAAGGCCAACCCATAGAAAACAAGCTCATGGCAAGCGCGCGTGCTGTACCCGCTCTCCCCCTCCCTCCCGCACAAGTCGAATTCAACGCTGCACAATAGACAAGCACAATTCCATTCTTGTGGATGTTTGAATATTTACTAACTGCATGTACAATAATTGTGAGTATCATCCATTCTACAGCAAACACGCCGAGCCAATATATGGGCCAGAGTCCGTTGCTTGGAACGACGCAACGACCAATGTAACCAATGCCGAAAGGGATAGGGTAATCAGACACTCGTCAACGTGCCTGGTGCGGCCAAAATTCATGCTGGACTGGACTGGCTGCAGGGCGCAAGTTGCCGGGTTACTCCTTTGATGGTAACTTTGTTCTGTTCCGTTTCGTTTCATTTCAGTACATTACATTACCGTTCCGTCGATCGTTGCCGTCTTCGATCGTGGCAATAGTTGCTGGGGGGAGAAAAGCACAGATACGAGGCAGGCAATTACTCGTACCAATTCTCTGCCATCATCTCAATTTCCATCGTGGATGAATCTTATATTCGGACTGTGCAGGAGAGGAATGAGGTTCACTATGACTGTACTACCGGTCGCAGCCTCGCAGCCTGGGCGCAGATCTATGTAGTGATACAGACAGCAGTCGGTAGATATTTGAAGGTGGATGAGATGAGATATGCATCGGAGCCAAGGAAAGTCAAAGATTGCTGCAAAGTAAATGTACATGCCACGACAGGATGGTAAGGTTGGATGGTTACTCCATACTGTAGCAAATGCTGTCTGCTGTCAAATTCGCCGCCGCCTTGTGAAATTTTCTTCTCTTCCCTATCCTTCCGCTGCCCTGCCCTTCTACCAATTGCTTACCAACGAGCACACATTCACAATTTTGAATGCTGACTCGGAGATGAATCGGCGAGGTGGTTAGTCATCTAGTCGTAAAGAAAAGAAAAGAAAGGAAGCAGAAGAGAAATGACAGAAAAGAAAACCGGAAATGGGTTGACCCAAAGGGAAGATCGCCAGGACTAGACCGGAAATAATGCTAGACTGGATACGCAATCCCGTAACCCGTAATTCCCCCCCCCCAAAGAGAGTCCGCACGTCCGCACTCGCAAGTCGCAAGTCGTAGCTATTTGTCGCCAGTCGCCAGTTGCAAGCAAGTCATTTCTGTCTGTCTCATTATCCTCATCGTTCGCAGTCTTGGTACACCCGGTACGGAGTACTCGTAATTAGTCTCAATGTTCAGTCTCAGCCTTGGTTGCATTCGCAACTCCGCCCGGCAACTCTTCAATCCTCTGTACCTCAACCAAAAGACACACAACTTGCCCCATCCGTCATCAAATTCCCGAATCTCTCAATTAACATGGATAGATTGTCCTTGCTCTTACCAAGCCCGCCAATAGTGAATTTCTTGAACCTGGTGCTGATCCACCTTCACGGATACAATACCGTGCTGTGCTCAGTGTGCTGTGCTCTGCTGTGCTGTATCTGAACCATGCTCCACTTCTCTCCACTCCACTCCGCCTCGCACACACCGTAATTATCACAATATGCACATACCGTACCTAGAGACAGAGAAGGGGGGATTGACAGATGTAATGGCATAAAAAGTAGGGCGGAATGTGGTAATTGGCGCCCCCCCAAATGTCAGAGAAATGTCATCCGTATCGCGTGTCTTCGGCCAACAGCCTCTCTCTTCCATTCGTCTTCCATTCGTCTTCCATCCGCCCGCTGCGACCATGTCAAAACTCACGATAGGACAAGCGGCTTCTGGTTGAAATTGGGGGTCCTCTGAGCTCTCCAATAATCCAACCAAATCCTCCCGCTTCGGCGACGTGTAGCTTCGTTGGTCCTAGCATCTGCATTTGCATCCTGCCTCCGTCGTTGCATTTACGAGCATCATCATTCCCAGTACCAGTCCAGTGTCCAAACCATCCTCCCCCATGTTATGTCCGAAGCTCGCTCCCTTCGCCTTGGATGCTCGACTAGACTCTCTTATGCCATGCTATACTTACACTTTTCCAATTGAGGAATGAAATTGGTTGCTTTTTGTCTCCTGTGTATTGCTTGCCCCGTCCTGTCCGCCTGTGCTGATTCTAACGTGTGGGCGCGCTACTCGCAACCTCGTTTTCTCAAATCGCGCATCCAACACACGCGCACGCGCACGCGCACATGCATACGCAAGTATTGTATTACTGTGTAATGTGTATATGCAAGCAAGCAACGCAGGTCAGCAAGCACGCACATAATGACAGACACACAGACACACAGACATCCGCGCGCACGCACGTAAACACATAAGCACCTGCAGCGGTACAACGTAGAGGAGGACCCTTATGTTTCCAAATCCGGTCGTTGCTGTGGTTCTGCCTATCTATCCGACCAACAACACCAACAGCAAAACAAACACAAGCATCTACAGAATAACGATTGATGATGATATTCATACCATTTGTTGTAATTTCTCATGGCTTTCATGACCACCAAACACACTAACTAAACACTCATTGTAACATCAACTGACCAAACACCGATACCACGCCTACGATGCTCGCTCAAACAAACCATCGACCCCTCTCATCTTCACCGCCTCTTCCAACCATCGACATCGACTCCGTATCCCAAGATCGATCTAACCGCGCCATTTAATTATAATTATCGTTTCTTACATCTCACTACTTGAACTTGAACTTACCGATATACACTCCTTCCATCGGAGAGTGGATCCTCTTTCATCCATGGTCATCTGACCACTTTGCACACCCCCTTCTTCGCTTCATCTTCGTCTTCGTCTTCATCCTTCCTTGTTCTCTTCTGGCCTATCAAACCCACCTCAAGCGCCATCAATCCTTCGACACCATTCCCAAATCACTCCTCCATACTAAATACAGTTCTCCTCTCCACGCTACGAGTCCAATTACCTCCCCACGTCCAACACACATCTCACGGTAAGTCCCGCCACCCCATGGCGAGCACGCGTCCTCAGGAGAATCCAAACAGAATCCAAGGCCAAAGTCAGTCAAGAGTCACCTCCCATCCTTTCGTTTACGTTTCGTCTCCTCTCGGCTCTAGTGCGTGGGTAGTCCAATCACCCAATCAGATGTTGCAAGCATTGTGTCTAGTCTACAGTATCCTTCCCGTCGATTCATATTCGTGCATTTCCTTGGAAGTTGAAGTCGACTCCTCGAGCGCCCTAACCGCCGCCGGGATATTTCTCAATCCTCTTTTTCACTACGGAGTACTGCTGGTGCTTTCGACCTCGCTACGAGGGGTGGGTGATGGTGCTGCGGTTGCAGTCGCGGTTGCAGATGGGGTGCGGGGAAGCTGTCATGTCCACCCACGATGGCACCACCCACCAACATCCAACCTCTGTATCGACCAATGATCCAGTACAACAACCCTTGAAGCAGGAGATATCCGACATGCATACTCTTGTTTGCACGCACATACGACACGGCGAGACCCCTCGCTGGACCCTTCTTCCCTTTACCCCTCAGCAGCGTTCTCCTCATCCACGGTCAGCAGAGCAAGAATCAAGGGAAAAGAAAAGCAAAGAAGTGAAGATGGTTGCACATCCATAGCTGCTGTATGGATTCATTCAGCCGTAAGATGCTTATTTCGACTTTGCTTTTACGCACCTCACGTTGCACGGCATCACGATCATCGTGTATGTACCGAGCATGTGCATGAGCCTGTGTGTCTATTCTATTACGAGGCACTTTGCTTTGCTTAGCATCCGCCCGCCGAGAAATACCTACAGTACCTTCCTTCAAGGGTCGCACTTCATAGGATAGGCAGGGCTGAGTGGGCGTGGAGCGACGGGCCGCGTATGTACTGTACTTACGAGTACTCCATATCGCAGGTCGCGCGTCGCATCTCGCAAGTCGCGAGCTCGTTGGGCCTCTCCGCCTCTACCAGCCATTCGGATGCCATACGAGGCTACGGAATGTTTTATCTTCCTGTATGGTGCCCGCACCAAAAGGTAGGCTGTAGTCAAAGTAGCCATGTGGATCGTGGGTTGTCGTGTCGTGTGCTCGTTGCAAGGTAGTTCCCCGCCGAGAATCATGCTTAGCCCCAAACGAGCAACTCGAATGCACGCACTGCCTGTCGCAGCCGCCGCCGTCGGCAGTGCGATTCTACCAATTGCTGTAATACAGATAGTTTACAAGTACAGTGCCGGAGTGGGTCGTGTCGTTCTGGAAATAATACAAGTCCATCACTTGTCTTGCTTGGAAATAACATGCCCGGCTGGCTGGCATAATGGGGTCCGTCTCTTGCGTTGCGTACCTAGTACATACAGTGACGTCGTTGTCGGGCCTCTGTTCCATCAATCACAACGTCTCTGCTCTGAATCTTGTTTCGCAAGAATCAAATTAAACATGCGATTACCACACGCCCGCAGTTTCCTTTGTGTGCAGTAACTCAACTACATCATCATCATTGTGGCAACTGTCAGACATGTCACGGCCACAGCCAAGGAATAGACGTTGTCTTGTACGCCTTTGTCAAGACCATTGGCGATCGGATACTCGGGTCTGAAATGCTTGCGAGCAGCAGTCCGGATGTTCGCCCGAGACTGCAATCATGTATCGCCATGAAAGCACCCCATCGTCACGGAATCAATGAATGAATGCATTTAATTTCCTACGAGGAGACGATTATTACTGACTGACTGACTAGGTGGCCTAACTCAATCATGACGCTTTCGGGTCAAATCTCTGTCGCGGGAAAGTGGTAATACTCGTACGAGTTCTACGTCCATCCAACACAACAATACCCGTACCTCAGAACAGCAGTCTTGGACCCTGATTCACAGCCCATCTCCTAGTGACGTACCTCTTCCCGTCCATTCACTGAATCGTGACAACACAACATTCCCAAACATGCACTCCGTAACCTATGCTGTCTCTCATGAATCGCACCCTAGAAAGTAGAGACACGGCGCGCCTGACATCGTCATCCTCATCATCAACACACAGACACACAGACACACAGACACACACAAAGAAAGTACCCTTTCCCGACGACACCCCCCGGCGCCGCAGATCATTCGTACACACGACCCACGTTTGTCTGTCATAGCCACCCACCACTCGTGTGGCGTCATGCACCGCAACTACCTATTTCGTAGATACTTACTTCGTAGGGCTGAGACGTGAGTGGGCTTTTTGACTGTGACAGCCTTGGTACTGTGCGGTGCGGTGCGGTGCGGTGGCAGGGCACGGAGAGCAGAGCATGGCGAAGGGGTGCGGCGTAAGCGTGTGGACGTCAATTGTCGGTACTTGAGGGTATGTTTTCGTTTGGGTTCGCTTCACTCACATACTGGTGGCTACAATTGTTGGTAAGTAGGGAGGTCTTTGGTAGGTAGGTAGGTAGGTAGGTTTTATGGTTCTGATAGGGCGAGGGGTTGGTGTGTGTCGCTGTGGTCGCTGGGGCGTGGTTTGTTGGGAAACCGACCGCGAGCGTGCGTTAGATACGTTGATGATAAAGAGGGAGGATGTTGTTCTTGGGGTTCTCGAGTCGATTCGTCTTTTCTTCCGATACTGTGGATTGCCTTTGTTGTGACTTTTCACTCGAAAACGTGGGGAATGCATATATTTAGTCGTGACATGAAGCTACGATCATGATTTTATTCTCGAAGAGAGTTTCTCGGGCCAGTCCGTCTTTTCCTTTGATACTCTGGGTCGCATTTGTCGTGACTTTCTGATCTGATAACAATGAGAAATGAATATATATGAGTCGTGATATGACAATTTAATCGTAACTTCACGTCCGTGTTTTGTACGATTGCAACGTTATATAAAACACCCAAAAAAGGCAGTTACTAAGAATATCGAGATTTAAATGAACAAATGATCGAATATGTATCAATTAGGTCTATAGAACTGGTCTAAAATAAAATCCAACACTTCAACCTTCTATGGGCGCGGCGATTTCTACCTCTATTAATGTCATCGGGATGTGGAGGGACCACTTCGCCCACAGCACCCGAACTCCATACTAACTAACCACATGCACAACGGCGGAACGAATCATAAAAGGACCTGCCTGTTCAGAACATCGTCTTCCCCAGATTGAGTGTAGATTGGCTAGTTCATTCCCTTTTTTTCGGGGTAGATCTGCTTGTGAGATTGCCGTCTGCTTTCCCCGCCCTTTTCGCAGAAACGGTATCGATGATCCCGAGTGTGGGGAAGAACGTCAACGGCGATGGATAGCAATGATAGCATTTGTTTGCTCATATGTGTGGGCTTATGCCTAAGGGAAACGGTTTAAAGCATGTATGATATCCACCACTTCGATAATCGACGTCCAATTGAGACCGACTCGTCGTGGTATATGGTGTTGCTAACCTCTTCGTTGAAGTTCACATAGGGATGGGAGAGAAGAATTATGTTTTGATATGCGGGTTGCTTGCTTCCGCGGCTCGGATTGTGGATTCTTGCTTCCGCGGCTCGGATTGTGTAGTTTGAGTTCGAATAGACTGTACGGTAGTCTGCAGATCGGCCTCTTAGTGCCTTGAACGATCGTGGAGGAGTGAAAGTTTTTCGTATATATGGATACACGACGCTGTTCTGTGGATGTCCATTAGCAACGCAAGCATCTCTTCGTTCTCTCCGAAGAATCGACTGTCACCTTGATTCACGACCATGGCACCTCTTCTCAGGTTCGGCATGCTCTTGACTGCCTTCTGCAGTCTCGTCAAGGCAACTCCCGTCGATGCATGCCCGCAAGACTACATCGACTGGCGAAACTTCAAAGCTAACGGCGTCAACCTCGGCGGCTGGCTCGTCCAAGAACCTAATATGGATCCTACATTCTGGTCGCAGAACTGCGGCAACGCAACCGACGAATGGACCTGCTGCGCGCAACTCGGCCACCAGTGCGGACCCATCCTCGAGCACCGCTACGCCACCTTCTACCAGCCCTCTGACATCGACAAGCTCGCCCGTGGGGGCGTGAAGCTCCTCCGCATCCCCACGACCTACGCCGCGTGGACTCAAGTCCCGGGCAGCCAGCTCTACAGCGGACGCCAGATCTCTCACCTCCGAGCCATCTCGCAGTACGCCATCGCCAAACACGGCATGCACATCGTCATTGACATCCACTCGCTCCCCGGCGGCATCAACGGGCAGACCATCGGCGAGGCAGACGGCCACTACGCCTGGTTCCACAACGCGACCAACCTCGCCTGGTCGCTGCGCGCCGTCGACGCCGCCCTGCGATACATCCAGACGTCCGGGAGCCCGCAGTCGTACACTTTGGCGCCCATCAACGAGCCCGTCGACAACCGCGACTTCTCGACGTTCGGATTCCCGGACTCCCTCTCCGAGGAGGGCGCAGCGTGGTTACTCGAGTTCATCGACGCGGTGCTGGCCCGCAGGGACGCCGTGGATCGCAGGATCCCGGTCATGGTCCAGGGCGGCTTCAGGACGTCGTCGTACTGGTTTGGAAAGTTCAGGCCGGGGACGAACATCGTCTTCGACGTGCACAACTACTACTTCGCAGGCAGGCCGACCGACTCGGACAACGTCACCGCGGTCATCTGCGACGACGCGAAGGTGTCGGCGGGGGGTGTGGGCGTGGGCGTGAGCGGGAAGTTCCCCGTCTTCGTTGGGGAGTGGAGCATCCAGACGGTCAGGAATAACAGGCTGGCGAACCGCAGGAGGAATCTCAACGCTGGTTTGTACGCCTTCGCCAAGTACACACAGGGCAGTGCGTACTGGAGCGCCAAGCAGTTGAACGACGTGAAGGTCGATGGTGAGGGCTTGTGGGGGGACTACTGGAACTATGAGGACTTTATTGACCTGGGAATCATCGCGCCCGGTGAGGGTAGGGCATACTGTGATTGATATCAAAAGATCGAGAAACAAGAGGCGTAGTCAACTATACCCCCCCACCATCGTGATAATCCAGAGTGCTCGCCTCTGACGGACGATGTTCTTTGCTGGCGTTCCGTCAAGACGTGCACTCCCTCTTCCCCTCAACAGACCATACACCGTAGCACCTATGATAGGAGTCGTACGGAAGTCTCCGTCCAACATCCAATCTGTAGCCTGTAGGTAACCAAGCCAAGTGCCCGTTCACCTCAGCACTTCGCACCTCGCACTGCGCACCTCGCACCTCGCACCCACACCCATCCCCTCGAGCATATCAGCGTTCTCTACTCCGTAGAATACCAAGAAATTTGGTCCTTCAAATGTAGAAGTTTTCGACGGAAATTCGAAAACCTACTCGATCAGGAAATTTGGTCGGCTTCATGGTGCCCTGAGAACGAATTGTGTCGAAGGGAGCTGCGAGATGTTGCAGGTGAATCATGCGGGAAGAGGCACACGGGGAAGGGGGAAACGGCTGGGAAGTCTGCAGGTCGGACTCTTCTGGGCGGTTTGATTTGCTTGCGGGCGTGCGCGCCGAGCCGAGCGAAACGACACCTTGCATGCTTTGATTGTGTTGCTTGAGGGACGATTGAGAGGGGTTGGTTGGATGATAACGACGGGAATCGATGTCTACACGCGGAAGAAGGAGAGGTCTGGACCTTGACGTCGATGTCAATGGCGACACATGTCATTCCCTTGCGTTTCATTGCAGTCATTGCAAAGGTTGCACGGCGCACGTTGGGCAAAGAGAGGTAACACCTTCAGGCAGAGACACAGCAAACGGACCATCAAACGGGCAGACGGCATGTAAGGGAGGTACCGTTTCGCCTGGATGCCTCGTTGCCTGCTCGTGTGTTTGCCCGTTTGCCTTTTTGCCTTCTTTGCCTACTTGCCTGCTCTTCACGTACTTGCTCGTTTGCCTTGTCTGCCTCTTGCTTTTCGGCATCCCTTGCAGATCAACGTTGAGTTGTCGTTCTGCCTCACCGCAATTCTTGAACGACGGAACACAACATGGGTCTCGACGCATCTTCCCCAAAAGAGTCTCAAAAGAGCCTTGGCATTTGGTCCTTCATGCACGCAGTTTTCGATGGAAACTCGAAAATGTACTCAATCAGGAAGGTTGAACACTTTGATCACTTGAACAGTGAGTGTTGTGGGACGCTGTGTAGACGAATTGAGATACGAGAACCCGACATACGTCTTGGCGTTTTGGTCCTTCAATTTTGACTGTTTTCGACGGAAAACTCGAAACCTTACTCAACCAGGAAAGTTGATCACTGGATCACTTGGAGAGCGAGTGTTGTGGGACGTTGTAGACGAATTGCAGTCCAATGTTTGGATACGAAAATACGATATAGGTCTTGGCATTTTGGTCCTTCAATTTTGACTGTTCTCGACGGAAATTCGAAGTCCTACTTAATCAGGAAAGTTGAACACTTGATCACTTGAATAGCCAGTGTCGTAAACCTTGGCATTTTGGTCCTTCATGCAAGCAGTTTTCGATGGAAACTCGAAAACGTCCTTAATCAGGAAAGCTGAACACATGGTCATTTGAACAGCCAGTGTCGCAAGTCTTAGTATTTTGGTCCTTCATGCAGGCAGTTTTTGATGGAATTCCGAAAACATGCTCAATCAGGAAAGCTGAACACTTGATCACTTGATCAGCGAGTGTCGTGGGACGTTGTGTAGGAGAGTTGCAAGATGCGGAACACGACATAGGTCTCGACGCATCTGCCTTCAGATCACTTCCTCATTTGGGTCCTTCGTGCAGGAGGTTTTGCAACACTTGAACAAGTGTCATGGGACGTTGTGTAGACGAATTGCTCTCGTCAACGAACATCGTCCTGTTGTGCAAGATGCTCATTTCGTCATAGGCCTCAGGGCCTGTGTTACTGAAAAGAAGGCAACCGTCTGCCTTTGCTCCCCAACAGAATCTTGGCATTTGGTCCTTCATGCGGGCAGTTTTCAATGGAAATTCAAAACCCTACTCAATTAGGAAAGTTGAATATGCAGGACGTTGCGCAGACGAAAACGCTGGAGAGTCCTGTTGTGCGACATGAGCCTCGGCGCCTTTGCCTTGAAAGGAACGGAGAATTTTGGTCCTTCATAGAGGGTTTCGACGGAAATTTGAAAACCTACTCCATTGGGAAGCTTGTACAGTTGCACGGCGTCGTGGGGGACGTTATTACTCGTCAATGGATGCACGTCGTCCTGTTGTGCAAGAATCCAGATGCGCGACACTACATATGTCTCATGCGCCTTTCGACTATACTTCCCTGAAAGAAGATGACTTTTGGTCCTCCAAAATTGGCTGTTTTCGACGGAATTTTGCAAACCTGCTCGATCAGGAAACTTGGATAGTTGCACGGCATCGTGGGGGCCGCTATCGCTCGTCAATACTTCCCCAAAAGAACGACAAATTTGGTCCTCCAAAATTGGCTGTTTTCGACGGATATCCGAAGACCTACTCAATTAGGAAATTTGGGCACTGGAATGGCTTGCACGAACGATATCGCCGTCCTGTTGGCTGTCGTCGTCTCGACGCACCTTTCCACGACTTCCCTGCAAATTTTGGTCCTTCACATGCAAGGGATTCCGAGAATTTCGAAGATCTACTCAACTAGGAAGTTTGGACACATGATCGTTGAACGCTGTGTGGGTGATATCGCTCGTCATTGGACGTATGTCCTCCCTTTGGTCTTGTCGTCTTGATGCACCTTTCGACCACTTCCCTGCAAAAATGGTCCTTCAAAATTGACTGTTTTCGACGGAAATGCCAGAGACCCACTCAATGAGGAAGTTTGAACACGTGAATGTCACAAGACCTTGCGCTGACGGTCCTGTTGTAGAATCAATATGCGCGACTCTGCATAGGTCACCATGCACCTCTCCAGAAAGAGCGACAAGTTTTGGTCCTTCAAATGTGACTGTTTTCGATGGAAATCCCAAAGGCCTACTAAATCAGGGAGTTTGGACACGTGAATGTCACAAGACCTTGCGGCGACGGTCTTGTTGTGCAAGAATAAAAATGTGAGACTCTGCATAAGCCACCATGCACCTCTCCCAGAGAGCGACAAATTTTGGTCCTCCAAAATTGGCTGCTTTCGACGGAAATCCCAAAGACCTGCTCAATCAGGAAGTTTGGGCACGTGAATGTCACAAGACCTTGCGCGGACGGTCCTGTTGTGCAAGAATGAAGATGCACAACTCTACATAAGTCACAATGCACCTCTCCCAAAAGAGCGACAATTTGGTCCTCCAAAATTGGCTGTTTTCGACGGAAATCCAAACGCCTACTCAATTGGGAAGTTTGCACTGTTTGCTCGTCGCGTTATGTGAGATTCAAAAATCTCAAGAGCGACAAATTTTCGTCATTTATGCATAGGTTTTCGACAGATATTCGAAAGCCTACTCAATTGGGAAGTTTGGAGACTTGGATGGCGCCGTGGGCTGTTGTGTGGACGAATCACCCGTCAATGTTTGAAAGGCAAGGCGTCCCACTGCGCAAGCCTCTCAGCGCCTACGTGCATACGTTCAAACGAAGGCGTACGTTGTGGTCCTGTCATGCAGCAACGCCAATAATGGGCGTGAGTGCTGACGGGGAACTCCGTAGGTTGAAGCAGTCCTGAGCAGTGTGGGCGGTGGTGAGGTGAGCACACTCGGTGATCCAACATCCGCTGTGAGATGAGAGGCATCGATTCCGTACTCCACAGAGTGCCCAGAGTGCCCCCATCAATCATCACTCCTCCGTAAATGAGACTCCGTATGAGATGCCATCACATGGAGCTGCGGATGAACATCTGCAATGCCGCCCTCCCCTCCGTATCGTCTGCCTGTGTCGGACTGACTGCGTCGGGCTCCGTTCGTAAATTTGTTTGCTTCGATCACCTCACCTCACCGCCCGTTCTGTGCTCCTGCAGCACAACATCAACGCAACGGAACGCAACGACAGCGCGGCCGCGTACGTACTCTGCAGATCAAGCAAACAAACACCTTGCCTTAATCTCACCTCCACGGAGGAGGACCGACCCGGCCACGACAGCCTTTGGTGAGTCAAGTGTGAGGTGGCACTGGTGGGGCGGAAGGGAGATCTCCAGCTTGGCTGCATATCTTCCAAGACAATACCAAGAGCAATACCAAGACAGGGAGAGTGCTGTGCAGCGCAAGTTCAATGCCGGCCCGCTCGAAGAGTTGCACAGGGTACAAGATACGTAGTAGATGAGGGCTGGACGTGGGATGGGATCGAATCGGCAGTCCGACTATTGTTTGTTCATTTGTGAGTTCCGAATGGGGTCAATATGGGAGGCTGGGCGGTCCCGTTTTGGTTGGCTGCGGCGATCGTGGATGGACTGGTGACAATTGAATGATCATAAGGGGAACCAGGCCTGGAATGTGGATGACACGCGCTATGTATCTGACAGTTAATTGTATTGAAAAGTTGCATTAGAAAGGTGTATGGTAATAATTCGAAACGTGAAAAGAAACCCCCCTGAATCTGTATACTCGTAACCAGAGCTTCTGCGGGAGGCAGCGCCATCCCCATGATTATCACCCCAAAGCCAGTTGTGATGCAATCCCTCTACTCTGCCTTCTAAGAATCGAGGCCGAATGGAGTGGGTATACTGAGCTTGCGCAAAATCTGAATTCTGTTACCCCTCTCCTTGACTGGTATGCTCTTCTTCCAGTTCGCCTTCACGAAGTCGAGCGTTCTATCAAAGACCAACTCCCTCTCCTTCTTTTCGTGCTTTCCGAGGATCTGAACGGGGAACTGTGTCCAGCCGTGTCTGCAATTGGGCGCGTGCCAGATCTCAAGCCCACCGTTCTCTTTCTCTGGATCCTGATTTGAAAGCTTGCTCTGCTCATCGCTCTCGGTCACTGTCGTGCTTCCACTTGCACTCCCATTCGGACTCGGTTTCGCTTTGAAATGTCCATCCCAATCTCCTTCTCTACCATCTCCAAACCGCACAGGTCCCTTCCAACCCCTCCCGTTCATCCAATCTACCCAGATATCGCTCTGGACCGCGAGAGTGTCCTTTTCAGGGAGCACCAAGAAGATTGCTGCATTCCTGGCAATGTTTTCTGGATCCACGAGTCCTGGGCTCGCTCGTGGGTGAGCACGGAGCCTTCTGGGTAGATATGAAGGGCCCATGATGCTGAATAGACCGGGCATTCTGGGCTTCTGCGCCCCTCTGTCCTCCGGGTTGAGGGCGTTTGGAAGTGTCTTTAGGGGACGCTCGTGAGGTAAGAGACGCGCATCGAGAGACGGATAGAAGAGTAGTAATGGGAGCAACCGTGGTTGGGCTTCAACAGGCGGCAAAAGAGAAGGCCATGGCTGCTCCGGATCGTCCAACTTGGTAGGTTCGCGTATAGGTGGGAGGCATGGAGAGAAAGTATCTTGCGGCGCGGTCGGGAGGTTGTTTAATGGTGTTGGATTCGCACATGTCCTGTCTATGGATCGCCGCGGTGATACCAGTGAAAGACGTCGTGGTGAGCCTATCGAGAATTGGCCAACACACGGCGGTACTGACATTGCCATATTCAATGCAATGTTTCCTCCTGCGGAGAATCCAGAAATGACCAATCTTGATGGATCCAGTGTGATCGTTGTCAAAGTGTCCAGGTGCTCGTCATCATGGCGTCCACTCTTCTTCCTTAATGCATCTTCGCGCATAAAGGAGTAGTATCTTTGAATCTCCTCTTTCAGCACTCTCCCAGCCTTCGAGCCACCTTGGTCATCTAAGATAGCCGAAAGGACGTCCTCAGCGTCGTGGATCGCAGCGGGGAACTGACTGAACGGCCCAATACGATACGACACGCTGATGACCACAGCGCCCAACTCTCTTGACATCATGGCTGCATATGGTGCCTGCTCTAATGGCGATCCCATGATGAAGCCCCCTCCATGAAAGTCCAACACTACCGGGACCTTCCACTCGGAAGCATCGCTCGTCGTATCGGCACCGTCATCCTTTGTTCCTGCGCCTGAATCGACCGGCCGAGGCGGAACGAAAACGTATATGGGTATGGCATTGTCCTTGCGACCGGGCAAGGCGATGATGAATGGATGTGGGCCTTTAGGAGACGTGATATGGAGGATCGAGAGGGGGACGTAGCGTGGGAGCTGTACGAGGGCGGTCCGCCATTGGAGGGAGAATGGGAGGCGGAAGAAGTATGCCAGCGACTGGAAAAAGCTGCTCATCGTCGTGATGAGAATGAGGATGTAAACATTATGCGATCTGGTCCCGTCGCAACCTGGGGGAGGGCCACCTCTTTCTCCGCTCTTGTTGCTGCTGGACAAAAGCTGACTGATACTTTAGTCGCGACCAAACATTCGGTTAGGCAGGAGTGACATAACCAATCGCGACTACGCACCGCACGTGGCAGCTGCGGATCTGCGGTTTCAACGGTAGACTGTATCGCCGTTGGGGTAACCCTGTTTTGCTGTAATTGGACAGACCAATGCACGTCATGCTCTGTAGTAGTCTTTATAATGCTCTTAAATTTCAGGTTTCGTTGCTCATAATCTTGAACAGTAGATATCTATAGGGTAAGTAGATTCATGGGAGTAATGCATCCTATCTAGTATACCTTAGGTCAGAATGCTGAGGTCACCGGGAAAGTTCAATTGCCTTAACTTGTTGTATATTGGGCGAATGAGAAGTAATACAGCCATCACGTCTATCGGCGTTCAATATCGACAGACAATGAGCGTGTATGCGTCGCGATTTGTCTTGGAAGAAGTTCTTCTTTGTGACATGCTGAGCCTTCGTAGAGGGCGGGGGAATTGGGTCCAGAACGAAAGACATTCTTTGTTATTGTTGAGTGCTAAGAACGATTAATCCCAACGCGGAAGGACTTGCCCTCAATTTCCGTCGACAGATGGGGTCGGTTCAGGTTAGAGTCTATTATGAGGGGAACGCTCGAGATCGTCGCTTTCACTGGTAGCATGGTATCGTTAGACGATGCCCGGCGGGCATTACTCTTCACGAAGAAATAGGGAGTTTCAACTCTGTTGCTACGGATGCACCAAAAATTTGTAAACATATTTTGTATTATAGAGCGCGGACATACCCAGCTAAACTTCTGGAAACTAATACTGCAAAGCTACCATTGCGAACGATCCCCAAACATGCCTGGAAAAGCAATCGAAAATAGGAATAAGATAAACAGGTACCATCCATAGAAGAGGAAAGGGAAAGGAAAGGAAGGTCACCACCGTCATCTTCATCTCCAACCTCCCCAGCTGCCCCCCATAGAGAACAAGGAAATCGACTGGAACGATGGAATAGAACACCGCTATGCTCCGTACCACATATGCATGTAAAGCGTATGCTCCCAGTATACAAAGTCAAGCACAATTGCATACATGTGACGCCTGGAACCGAATGTTGAATAGACTGCAGTGTGTACGTCAAACCCTCGTAAAACAAATACCATATACCATACTGTCTCAGAATACATCTCCTTCTGCGCAAATCTCTCCATAAAAGGGAACGAAGCCACCCGCTCATGCCTCGACACCAGTAATCATGCGGATAGTGCTCTTACTCGGACCCTCTCCAATGGCCCTCGCAGTACCCACAGCGCGCTTAGTACCTCGAATGCTGCGTGATAGAGTGTTCTTCATGACCGAAGTTGCATTGCGAGAGTTGGGCGACTTGGGCGACTTGGGCCCCTTGATTCCACCATTGGCCACTGAGCCGAACTCATTGGCGGCATCCTCATCGTCAGATTCTGGAAATGCCATGGAATCCGACCCTTCTGGTGTTGACAGACCATCCAACTTCAAAGGCTTGAAGGGGAGCTTCGACTGCGTAAAGTTCTTTCTCGAGGCGCTCCGTAGAGATGCAGGTGTGATATTGGGTGAGCCATCTGAATCAGAGTCCACGTCTTTGGCAGGACTGCCCGGGGTCTTAGAAGCAGCCGGGAGGAGTTTCTTTGCTTGCAGCGTGGGCGTATTGCGCTTTAGCATTGACTGAAGGCTTTTGATGGGCTTCAAGGCTCCTGGTTTTGACATGGGCTTGGGGGTTCGACGTTTGATGCTCACTGTGGTCTGGCGAGATGCCGTGAGCGAAGGCAAAGAATGGCGGGTAGCCTTGCGAATTAGCGAACGTCGTGATGACAAGGTCATCGATGACGACCTTCGCAGGGCTCGGTTCTCACGAGAGGCTCTCTGAGCCGCGACCTCTGCATTGTCCCTCTCAGCTTGAGAGCGGACGGCAGCAGTCTCTGCGAGGGCGTTCCTGGCCTTGGCCAGAGCAGCAGACCCAATTGCGCTGATCTTGCGCTTCTTCGGAGAATTTGGAGCGCTACGAGAGCCACGACCTGACCCAAATACTTCCTGTAGCTTGCGCTTTGTGCCCGCCACCAAGGAGGACACCATTGATTTCTCCTGGGTTGGCTGGTGCTTTGGTTTTGGTCCCAAAACACCACGACATGACCTCGTTCCGCAGCGACACTCCTGGATGTTCTTCGAGGAAAAGGGACTGCGCGTGTTAGTCACATGTACTTCAGCTGTGCGACTGAGAACTCACTCAAAATTATAGTCATAGGTCAACTCTTCTCCGGTCATGATACCGCGACTACCGGCAAAGAGAGCCATGCGGGGTTCACAACCCACGGTCCACTTGATCATCTCGCAGTTCGGCTCACAAGAATGGTTAACGAATCGTGCGATGGTTCCACGGGTGGCATCGATAATCATCTTATTATCGAAGCTCATGAGATAGTAACACTGGAGGAGGTTAGTAACAGTGACAACCTCTACAATCAATTATCACGCACTTTGTCTTTCTTGTAAATCTGCTTCATGCGTCGCTCGCACTCAGCCTGGGTGATGATTTCTCCGGCATACTCAACAATGATCTGGTGTGGCTCGAAGGTCCTCATGGCCCGAACACCGTAGCCGCGATCTTCCGTTTCCTGTACCTCAACACCGTAATCGTAGCCATTGCCCTTGGCGCGTTTTTTAAGTTGCGCGAAGGGACGATTGCCACATTGCTCCGGAGTGAGTCTACAATTAGTGCTATCACATTCATAAGCCATGATGCGGTTGTGACAGGTCTCGAGGCAACCGTCTTCAGGCTCGCAGTAGCAGGTGGAGTTGTCTTGCTTCTCCTGTTTCCACAATGAGGAAGCCTCGCCAATGAATCGATCTGAACTTATTAGAAAATATGCTCACTACACGAATGCAGACCAAAAGCTTACTCTTTGATAACTTTCCCCAACCATCCACTTTCACCTTGCGGGGTAGTGGATTGTAAACATCGAATGGAAGTTTGAAGTCACGTTGAAAGTCTCCGCTCATCATACGTTCGCCAGCAAACATAGGAAGGGGCAGGTGCTTGTTCTCCGTCTTCTTACTTGCTCGCCTCCGAATTCGGTTCTGAGCTTCAGACAATCTCGCGTCGAAATCGCGGTGTTGCCCGACGTACAGACCTTGCTGAAGCCATTTTTTCGTCACGGGCACAACATACTCCTCTTCTTCCTCTTCTTCGTCCTCCTCTTCGGTCTCCTCTTCTGTCTCGGCGGCTTTGGAGGCACGAGGACGCTTGCGTGATGACTTTGGTGTTGATTTTTTGGTGTCCTTTGCGCGGACTGTGTTGCTCTTCAAAGCGTGTTGAACCTTGTTCTTCACGCCAGACAGAAGCCCTGGTCCCTTGTGCGCCACAGCTTCTCCGACCGCGGCCAAATTGCGGATTGCCTCACGGCGAAGGTCGACACGCGACGATTTACGTCGCTGTGCAGCCTGCGCAGCTTCCGTTGCAAGTTGTTCCTCCGCAGGGTCATCGAACTCCTTGGGCTCTGATTTAATGCCTCTTTTCCTAGGAGTGACCTCGTTATTCGCGGGAGTGGGGGCCGGACCGTGTAAAACATTCTTGTGATGCTTCTCTAGATATTTCGTGGGCGTGTGGATCGCGGTTCCAGCGAGGATTTGGACGTTGTAAGTTGAGACGGACGCGCGAGAGCGGCGCGCGGAACGCCTACCCTCGCTCTGCGGCGCCTCCGGAGTCGGTTGCGGCGTGTCTGGCGATTCGATAATTTCTTGAGGTACCGAAGCTTCTTCTTGGACATCGACGTGCGTCTCCATCTTTGCCACGTAAGAAGTAACGCTGTGCTCGTCTCCGAGGCTTGTGGGAGGGGTTGAGGTAGGGGGCGACGCGCTGATGGACGAGCGAGGAGCGGGATTTTCGTCCACTGCGACGGCGATGCAAGACGATTGAGACGAGTCGGACGCGGGAGATGCGTCACGGTCCGCCATGATAGTCAGAGATGAAGTGTTGTGGGAAGGTGGTTGAGGAGAAAGGGAGGAGCGAAGTGAACGCGATGTGAGGTGTGAGAGTCTCGCGGATTCCCGGGCTACACTGCGAAAGTGTGGACGCGACCGGTGACCAACGGCCCCAAACACGGTAGCGAACACTCAGACGTGAGTACACGAAGAGTTATACCGTGAATTGGAGAGTGGTAGCCCACGACTGGTTGATGTCGATATAAATCCAGGGAAGGGAGTCCAGGTCCTGAAAGTAAACATGCCCGCTAGCCAAGACCTGTCAGGACCTCCCAGGAGCACCAATTAGCCGCCTCCAAACCTGATGACCCCAACGCCGCCCTAACTTTGGCACAGATTGCAAGGGCAGGTGTATATTCAAGAAAGACAGGTTAGAGTATGGGCCACTGTAGCATCTATTTTATATAAACAATTCGGTTTGGTTCGTTATAATGCTTGAGGGGAATCCCCATCGTATAGGCTGCACGCTCTTTCGTAGACCACAAAGGGTTTCCCTTACATGGTATATATCAGACCACACCCTGGCTTGATGCCAGATCGTGAACACAAGATACGATGGCGTGCGCGTGTAAGCAGCAAACGCAGGCCGCTCAGAGTCACTCATCGTTCCCATTGAACAATCACCAAACCCAATTCGAATACAAACAGAACGATGCATGCGCTGTGAATAGTCTCATTTACACTGTACTGTCTCCTACGTTTCTGTCTCACTGCGCTATATCCGCCCACCCGCCACCTCTCCACTCAATAGAAATACATGAAAACACGTGAGAGAGTGCTTACGACAACATCGTACATCAGCTCGTCAATTAGGTATATACGACAAACCCCCCTGATTATACATGTATATCTACTTATGCAGTAGTCGAGACCGGCTCTCGAGTTGGCCTATGGGATGGACCTTGAAAACTTGACGCGGCCTTGACGTCCTGCATCTCCATTCCTCCACCTTGCTGCTCAGCTGTCAAAGGAGCCGCTCGTTTGCCCCTTCGTGGACCAAATCTCTGGTCTCCTTCCTCATAGCGCCGCTTGAAGTGTAGGTAGGTTGGCGGTCGCGGGCGCTGCAGTACGGAAAGCCAATTCTTCCAAAGAGAACCTTGGGTGAATGGTCGATGTCGATCCTTCTTCAAGAATTTGTGAGAATTGAGATACTCTCTAGTAGTCTCGCCCCTACCCATCAGAAAGAAGTGATAGACGCCAAGGCTGAAAGGATAAGGGGAGACAACAACGCCATAGATGAACATGGCAAATGGAACACGCCACTCATTGATGGCTGCTCCGAATGAAGCATGGTTTCGCTCGCGCCACACGAGTAGGTGGGCTAAACTTACGCCCATCAGAAAGAGGCCCAATAGGGTGCTTGAGATAACAAAAACAAAGAAGTAGCGATAGTTTCGGCGTCCAACACAGTTGTTGAGCCAAACGCAATGGTGATCTTGCGTTTCAATGCAACTATCGCACACGCGACAATGATGAGCGCGAGGTGGCCGCCAAATATTGCAACTTTTGCAGTACTTTGTCGGAACCTCCATTGCTGCCGTTGGTGCATGAGCGGAGACGACCATGGTCCACTCCGTGGTCGGCGGGCCAAGATTTAGTGGGTCGTCATTAGGATTAGTTGGAGGAAACGGATGCAAGTTGCGGGGAAGAATCTGGACTCATTAGCAAGTCTTGAAAGACAAATCATTCAAAGGATGTATCGACTTACACCCGGATCTGTGGCAGATGCGTGGATAAATGAAGAGATACATATTAGGAACAAGTAGGCGAAGAGAATGGGTATCGATTGTGAGACATTAAGCCATAACCATGGCGCACTTGGGTTCATCTCATTAGTACTCAATGCCTGTCAATGAGGAAGCAGCCATCACTTACGAGAATGCAAAGAAAAGTGCAGCAGGAACAATGATCAGGATCGCCGTCGCGATATTCACGGGTCGGTCACGGGTATTTTGCAGACGGCCACCCCAGCAGAATACAGTATTGCCAGAGAAATATTGGTGATTCCTGCCCAGCTCCTGCTTGACAGCCTCTTTGACGGGCTCTGTCCTTGCCATGCGGGGCGACGACTCAGCGGAGGCAAGTTTTTCGTGTCCTTGCTGGGGTCGCATCTGCGAAGTCCTACCGTCTCGGCTGGGCAATATGAAACTGGACTTGAAGGATCGCGGAGACTTCCCCGGTGTGGGGAGTTTCCCAGCGTCGTTCTTGAGCGTCTTCGACAGGTCCAGGTGCTGAGGTTTTACAGGCCGTTGTAGAGGTGTGATGCTCTCTCCTCGACTGCGCACTGTCTCCGCGCCAGTCGGGGTTGTGTTGGCAGTAGTCCGGTCTGGTAGATATTCCCTATCTGTAATATCTGTCCCTCGAGATTGAGGTCGGTGATCGGGGTCGTGGTGAAGTCCGAGTGTTTGTACATGCTTGGTTGTGGGGTTGGAGCCTATGCTCTGGCGGTATGAGTTGCTTCCGAAGTCGGTCGCGCCTTCTGAGTAGAGCGATCCTTGACCCAGAAGGGACGTCGGTCTCTGGTTTCGTTGTTGTTGCAGTCGCTGCGAGCTCATGGGTCGAAAAAACCCATGCGCTGCTAAAGGAACGTGGGTTCTGCTCGCAGATGTCGTCGGTCTGCTCTGTCCTCCCATACTGCCCGCTACGCTTGATGTTCCCACGCCGCTCCCCACACCGCTCCCTATATTCAACCCTCGGCGTGAGGGCGGTGCTTGCGACCACCTGCGGTTGTTTCCTCCTGACTGCGCAGTTGCGATCGAAGATGGCCTTGAAGGCGGAAGGCCCGGCTCACCAGCGGGACCAGTCATGCCTGGGATCCGGCTGCCAGCAGAGCTACGATTTAGTGAATTTGGTTGATTTGCGCCGGCCATGGTCTGCTCTTCGTCGGCCGCCGAAGGAGGAAAAGAAGGATCGTGTACGGCTTGGTCATCGTGTGCGACCATGGGGGGGTTGGCGAGGGTAGATGTAGTGGGCGCCGACGGGTCAGCCAAGGGCGTTGTCATAGTGAGATTGAGGCGATGTCAGTCTCAGGAGATATTCTCATGGCAGATGCATGGCATCTATCTAGAAAAATTCAATGCGCCCGGGTGTTTCGAAATTTAAGGGAAGATTTGGTTGGATGTTCCAAGGTGGTGGTTGAGTGAAGCGTGCTGAAAAAGCAAGCACTTGCAGAAGCGAATGGCAAAGGTGAGGCAAAGGAACGCGAGAAGAGAGGTGAAGACGGCAAAGGGAGGGAATACAGGTTGGATGGCGAAGAGAAGAGAGCGAAGGTGCGCGCTCAAAAGAGCTCGACGTGACGCTTTCTGGGATAGGGCTGGATTAATTGTCGTCTCTTAAAAGGGGGACTTGAGCAATGCAAGACCATGCGTCGAGATGCGCACTGATAGGCTAACTCCAATGGAGTCTAGCGGGGTAGTTTGGGTTTGGCTGAATAATGACCTCTTGGCTTTGTGGTGGTTCGACGTCCCGATTGCAGCTTTCACGACCAACGTCACACTTGTTCACCACCACTGCGTCCCTCTCCACTCCTTGCGAATTCGACCGTCACATATCAATTGAAATCGAAATGGCCTCCATGCTCGCCCGCAACGCTTTCCGAGCCGCCCCCCGCCTCCGGGCCCCCGTCCAGCGCCGCTTCATCTCTGAGGCCGCTGCCGCAGACAGGCAGGCCAGCAAGGACGCCCTCAAGGCTGGAGCCAAGCGCGACCCCGAGCTCTACGTACGTTGGAATCAGGAAAGAGATTGGACAGCATATGGACTTAGGAGCTGATAGAACGGTTATAGATCTTGCTCGCCATCATGAGCGGTGCTTTCGGTCTTGCTGGATGGTACTTCGGTAAGCCGTCCTTATCGTCCGAGCAGATGCTTGGATATAGATATTCTTCTGTATACTTTGCTCATTGCGTATAGCCTCCAACCCTACCAGCTCGTCTTCCGAGCGCTCCGTTTATAAGGCTCCTGGCAGCGAGCCCTGGAACGAGGGAGGTTCGGGCAAATACCAGTACCACCCCGGTGGTGACCCCAATGCCCCCAAGAAGGATGCTCCTTCAGCCCTTAACGTTGTCATCCTCCCCAACGTTACTCTGCCAAAGGTAGGTCCTGCTCGAGCTTGAGAAATCGTTCAGGAGTGCTAATGTCTCCCCAGGAACTCCACGACCAGTACAACAAGTGGGGCAAGGACGGATACTAGATGCACACATCTTATTTCATTTAGTCTCGTTAGATCAACTCATAAGTCACCTGCCCCCGGATTCCCTTGCTGAGATGGCTACGCAATTCCTGTAGATAAAAAGAAGCTAGCCGAGACCTGTACCGAGTAGAAACAATTGGAGTGGTTTGCATTATTTCAAAGAAGCTCACAATGTCTGGACATCATGTGCACCGTCACAACATAACAGTAGTATACAGGTCGATGTATTGCTAAAAGTACAATGATTGAAAAACTCAAAACGCCCGGGTATTTCCTTATTCTAATCGAAATTTGTCAGGTCACGCCACAATTCCCATGAGCGCAAACACTGCGCCCACCAAGCTCCAGCTCAACCGGTCAGGCCCGACTTCACGACTTGCAGCTCCAGTAAATATGTCTTTTGGACCCGAAGCCGTTGCATTGCCACTTCCCGCCGGCGGGCTTGCAGTCTCACACGTAGCGTTCCCCGTCATGATGATCACCACGCCGGGATACGTGATCGCGGCGCCCACTTGAGGCCCCCAAGAAGTCGCATTCGCCATCTCAGTTGAGCAGTTCACGGCGCTATAGATTGTGGACGTTGGAGCAGGCGTTACTGCCGGAGGGGGCGGCGGTGGTGGGAGTATCGGTGCGAGGATGGTAGTCTCCGGTACAGGGTTTGGTGGGATGTTCGTTACCGGAGGCTCCCACAGTGGAGGTTCGGGCGTTGGGACATTCGATACTGGTGGTTGCGGTACTGGAGCGCTCGGTAATGGAGTAGGCCATATTGGAGGGTTCGGTACTGGAGTCGCGGAAGCAATCGGCGATAATGGAGGAGTTGGGGCGGGTTCATGGGGCCAAGTCGTTATCGGTAAGCCAGGCGCTGCTGCAGCACTCGACGATGGTATCTCCGGAAAGAAAGGTATGAATTGGGACTGTGATGTCGCTGGCGTCGCGTTATGGTGGGGGAAGGTATCCACATCAGGGGATTGAGGCGTTTCTCCTGGAAAGAATGGGTTCACTTGCGATGAGCTAGACGAGATCGTAGCTGGAGTCGCGTTAAGATGTATTCCAGACACCGAAGGTATGGGGTCCCCGAAAGGGTTTGGAAGGTTCTCTGGGATGGCTACAGATGACGGGCTTTGCGCTGGAGGTAGTTGTATGATATTGTTTTCCATTGCCTGAACAGAAGATGAGGCTGGTTTCTTATATTCTTCTTCAACTGGCAAGGCACCGCCGTCCAACATACCCGCGAGATCCTGGACTGGAACGGCTTGGGCTATAATGGGAAAGATAACGAGCGTCGCGTATCTGGACCTCATGATGAATTGATGCACATGAGAAATTTTGCAAAAGAGAAAAGAGAACCTGAAAACATCGAGATCTTAGGAAAGAGTGGGCTATGTACAATAATAATACAGTAAGGCGCAAAATGTCCGGGGCGGTAATCAGGGCAACTTCTCTACAGGACAGGCGGCAAAAAGCCCAAAGAAGACAGATTATTAGGATGACATACTCAAGGCCACGCGACGTCAGGTCTTGTTAAGGAACGAAGCCACAGATCTTCATAGATGCAACTTATACTGAAAAATGAGCTTATAGGATTCATGTATACTGTGTTCTGGTGCCGAAGTTGTAATGTTGGTGTTTTCAAATACATGGGTAGGAGAGTGTTGTAAGAATTTAATGTACAAGTAGGATTAACTGCAATTCTTGTCACAGCCTCATGGCATCCCTGCCCTTTTACTAAAAATAATACTGAAAACCCCAGTGCTGTGCCCAAGGTCAAAAACGTGGGCTTCAAATGGCACACATTAACGCCTTATGAACAGCTCTTTAGCCGTGTCCAAAATGAATCCGGGGTATCAAAATAACACACATTTCCTACACGCTCCAAGACCTGTCGACCAATTTTTTCTTTGATCCTGTTTTCAGTTGTAGAGAGGTCGCCCGTAGCTATCTTAACGATTTCAACTCGCATTTGACGCAACGTTTTGCAGCCGGTGCAACACTCAACCGATTGCCACTTTGCCGGCGCGACTCCCTCGAATGTCGAGATCTCGCGCTCGCTTTCGATTGGCAGCAATCTTACCCAATGCTCTCCGGGGTTTGATGGCCTCAGCTCGCTCGAAGTCGATCACCATGATGCTATTGTTTTCTTCATTCCAGAGAATGTTACGATTCTCAAAATCCAGATGCAACACCCCATTGTCGCGAATTTTCTGCTCTGCGACGGCTTTCTGTTGGGAAATGGAAGTACGATTCTCTTCGGAAAGATGTTGGGATAGAGGTTTTCCTCCAAAGCTCATGAACATCATATGATATAGCGGTATTCCTTCATAATAATAGGGCAACTCTAGATCGATGTTCCCCAGATGAACTGGTACTGTGATGCCCTGGAGTGACCGCAGGCGCTGGTAGAACTCCGCCTCTTGTTGAATAAAACAAGCATTCTCCATCGGACTTGTTTTTGCTGCTACGGTATATCCGTGCGACCTCAGTGTGACCTGGAACAAAGCGCCACATGCTCCATGCACGCCCTCAGGATAGCAATCGACGTCTCGGTTTTCCGCGAGCTGTTTGCGTATGCGAGTGCGGAAGCCTTGAGAGGTGATCGAGTGACGAATTTGTCCATAGTCTTGCATACTTTGTTGATTCCGTACATGGGCTTGCGCGTTTGGACACAATGGATCAAGAAATCCTCTCCGGGCTAGGCCAAGAAGGCATCTTTGGGTACAATACGATCGTTTCTGATTATCTTGGCTCGATTGATGGGTTGAACCGTCTGCACTCGTACCGGCACTCGTGCTGGTACTCGTGCCGGCTCTTTCAATTTTGCGGCCAGACCGAAACGGAATAGGCTTGCGACTTAGGGTTTCGGGATCAGAATCGTCACTATCGCTATGGTACTGATCCTCTGGTTCATCGCAGCTAGACGAAGTATTTTCAGCAGGTCGGGACGAATCAGGCTTGCGGCTCGGAGTGTCGGGCTCATGCTCGTCTTGTGGTGCGTGCCTCCTTTTTCGAAGCTGAATTGGCGACATGCGCAGAAAGCCCTTATGCTTTGGCGGTCGATACACTGATGACTTCGTATCTGACTTGAGGATTGTTTGCAGCACTTCGTCATAAGCCATTTCCCAGCTGTTCAGCTCATTCTCAGCTTTAGTCCGCCACCCCTGTTCTCTCGGGGACACTTGCAATGCCCGTAGCGTGAAGGCGAGCATTTGTCCAACGGCTGTCAGATGCAAGCGATTGGCAGACTCCGAACCGGCATTCCATCCAGTAGTCTCTCCCACATCACCCTTAGGGACAGAAAGGTAGTAGTACACAGTCCTAGGATCTTCGGGCACGCGCAAGAAGATCATTGCTTCGCCAGTAGACACGCAGCCGAACTCCACTCCCATGCGAACCATATAGGAGAATGCTTGTGTGATGACCGCAGCAACAACTCGGCTGAAACGGTCTTTTGGGATATTGGTCTCGCACTGGATCACATCTTTGAGGTCCATGTCATAGAACCCATCGTACATGAAATTAAGGGGCAATTTGTGTGGCGCCTTATATTCCATGACAAACGCTGCGGTTCGTTTGCTTTCCCCGTGCCCACCGATGTTGTATGTTGTATACGCAGATCTGATCTGGACGAGGACGTTGTCGGGGTGCAGCCACAGGGGTCGACGGAGGGAGTGCATCTTTCTCCGCTTCTTTTGCATCTTTCTCCGCTTCTTTTGCATCTTTCTCCGCCTCTTTTGCCTTTTCCTCTAGGCGTGGAGACCTTCGACGCCCTGTGGCTGCGGATGCCCTACCCTCCTGACTGAGAGTGTTGGAATGATTTTCGAAATCTACAGATCCCTGGAGTCGAAAGGTACGCCGCAATTTGGCGCTGTTGTATAGTTGCTCAACGATTAGCCGGACAGGAGTTTCGATGGTGGTTCGCAGAAAGTGGTTGAGATCAGACTCTGAGCCTATCAACTTTTTCAACGTTTTGCCATAAGCCTGCATGCCATACTTTGATGTGAAGCAGCGCTTATCAGCAAAATCTGACTCGACAAGCTTTTCCCATATCGCCGCCTGCTCCTTTGGAAATTCTTCCCAGAGCACGAGACGATCAGGTCGCAGCTTGTTGTTTGCATTCGCGGGACAGCCCTGAGTAGATTGCGTAGGATCAAGCTGAACAGCGAGATTGAGATGAAAATTCTCGTAGCAGGCATCTAGATACTCAGGCAGATTTGTATCGCGGTTTCCATCTTCGGCTTGTGCGACTCTTCGATCCGCCTCTTTGACTCTCCGATTCGCCTCTTCGATTTTCCGATCCGCCTCTTTGGCCGCCTCTTCTTTTGCTCTCTTTTCTTCGAAGTAGAGGCGCCTGTAGTCCTCCAGGGATGGGGATGCCATCATGGAGATAACGGGTTTGAGGGTCGCGAGGTCGCGATGTTTATTGTTTCGAAAAGACACTAAACTGCTCACAGTTAGTTGTCGCTAGGTAAAGGTGCTTTGCTTGGCAGACCTTAACCAGATCAGGCAATTTATCAACGCGCTAAGTGATGAAAGTCGAGCAGTTGATAAATACCACGAGGGTTGGATAGAACTTCATTCAAAGCGGGGGGAAATGGTTCTTATGTAGTAGACTTGTTGGGACTCTAGGCGTTGTTGGGACTCTAGGCGGCAGCATTTTTACTGGCAATGTCTGTGTGCGCGAAGCATGGGCCAAAAGAGTGAATGTGAAGTTGACTAGGCCATCTGAACTATGATCAGAACCGCACAGAGGCCAAATTGAAATTGTCATTGAAACGCTTTGACCGATATACATACAGTCTGCGGAAAGGATACACAGAGAGCTATCGGGGAAGTGGTTTAGCTCTCTAAATAGTTACCTATATCCCCTTTGGGATAATTAGAAGTATAATAGTTAAACAGTATATGAAAGTACGTAGTAGGCGTATCTTAGAATTACAGACTATGTTAAAATCTGGCTTGTAAGGTACAAAGGCAATATAGGATTGCACCTGCTTGTACCACACACGTGTCAGAATATAGTCACGCTGGGGAAGAAGGAGATCCTATCGGACTTCGTCTGAGCTTTGATGAATTGTGAGCTGGTGATCGGGGAGTCGTTTACTAAGTTCCCTTTATTGTACAGTTATCTTAGATACTAGCTAAACTACGGCCTCAGACTGACCATGGGCTCGTCGTATTGCTGCAACCCCATGTTTGCTGTTTGCACATCGGCTTTTACTCCTAGAACCGCGTGCAACATAACACTTATCAATGCTACAGTCAGCGTTACACTGGCCTTCGGACCTATAGGAAGTTCTGTATTACGGAATTACATAAAAAATGCTTCGAAGATCAAGCACAGCGCGCCATCGAAGCCATGCAGAGCGAAAGAGAATATGGTGACTCAGTCTGTCAGCCTTAGTATAAGTCCAAAATCAGACTGTGAACTTACTGTGATACAACTCTGCCTGACCTCAATGGCAATTTCATTTTGCCCTTTGTGCGGTTCTGATCATAGTTCAGATGGACGGACTAGTTAACTTCACTTTTATTTCTTGGTCCATGCTTCGCACAGACATTGTTAGACAGACATTGTTAGGTAGGCATTGTTCATAGAGTCCCTACAAGTTTATTATATAAGACCCATTTCCCCTCGCCTTGGAAACTTGATCCAGGCAGCAACCACTACCTCTTCCAGACAACAACCACTACCTCTCCCAGACAACAAACACAATGGCCGGCACATCACTGCACTACTTCCACAAGCTCGAAGTGGAAGCACTAGCCCTGATAGCAGAGGGAAACCTTCCCGGGTTAGCGCAGAAAGTGGAAGAGGCAAAGCAGCAAAGGAAAGAGTTAATTGAGATGGACAAAGAGATAGAGCAAAAAGGCGATGAGGTAGAGCAAGCGCTCAAAGAGCTACATCAAAGGATGAAAGAGCTAGAGCAAGTGGCAAAAGAGTTCGAGCAAATGCGCAAAGATATAAAGCAAATAGGCAAAGACATAGGGGAAATGGGCAAAGAGGATCGCAAAGAGAAGCGCAAAGAGATAGAGCAAAAGGGCAAAGAGATAGAGCAAAAATTCAGTGAAATGGAGCAGAAAAAGAAAGAGATAGGGCCAATATACCTAGGGATGGATCGAAAGAGCATAGAGGTCAAGGAGATGAGGAAAGAGTTCCTGCAAAAGGCAAGAGAGACACTGCAGAAATACAGAGAGATACAGCAAGAATGCAACGAGGAGCGACAGCGACGTAAAGTAGCCTAAAATAAAGTCCGCGAGGGCTGTTAGGAAACTGCTTTGACTCTCTAGATAGTTACCTACATCCCCTTTGGGATTATTAGAAGTATAGTCAAATGGCACACAAAAGTACGTGATAGGCGTACGTTAGAATTATAGACTGTATTTAAATCTGTCTCATAAGCTACTGAAGCAATCTAAGATTGCACATGCTCGTACCACACGTAAGTTAGGATAGGTTCACGCGGGGAGAGGGGGAGGAGGAGGACCAATGGAACATTCTCAGAGCACTGTACGTTATGTTGAAGAGTTAGATATCGGGCTCCTGATTCTTCTGTACATTGAATTTCGAATGCTTCATACACGTTTGGTTTGGGGCTGAAAGGATCCAAGCTAGGAAGTGTAATGCTCCAAATCTAGGGTGTTCAGATTGCTCACATTGCCTCTCAATGCCTGCGCTGACAGTGGTACTTTGCAGGATCATTTTCTGTGGAGCAAGACCTCGCGGGTCGAGGCCATAGATATTTACTTAAACACATACCGTTACTTAAAGGCTAGCATGTCCAATTCTATTTTATTTGCCTGCTAGTGAGCTACTGCAACAGATAGTTGGAAGGCACCGTGCGAAAACAAAATCAACTGATGATTGTGAATCAGTAACCAACCTCAAACTTCAGATACCAATATTTACATAGAAGATTATCGTGAGAGCTAGCTGGGATTATAAGGAAGAGAATTAATATTCAGGAGGTATGCACTGCCCCTGTTTCATCAGTGTGTATTCAATGCATGTGCTATGGTTAGTCACGGTGTGTCCGAAGAAGTAATCCGTCGAAGAAGCTCATGAGCTATGCTCTTGAGCATATTACTTTTCTTGGGATTTCAAGACCTATCTAGAACGCCGTATTCACGTTTCGGAACACACATAACCATTGGATGAGCCAAAGGACGGCGCTGCCATAAGCTCAAAGTTATGAAGTCATGTGGCAACGAGTTCGGATGTAAAAATGTAAAATCATCGCATTATACAATACTGGCTACATAGTGAAGGGCAGTGAAATGTGCGGTTTGATTGATTCACGTCGTCTTATTTTGGGTTCTTCATTTCAGGCCATATCGCACGTCCAACAGAGTACAATAGTAAGCAGCCTTGTAGTGAAAAACAAAGGCGACCAAAGCATTGTGCACGACTACAACGCAGCTTTACTTCAACAATGTGTTTCGCCACCCATGCATCACATCTGTGGATAAGTTGACTCACCCCATGTCTAGTGAAAGATCAAATCGGGATCTGTTTCAATGGAAGCATCACAGTTGCAAGAAAACCACATTTGAGAAGAATAGTATGTATTTGATTTGTTACAGCAGCGCCAACGTGCCATGATACGAGAAACAACACTGTCGCCAGAAGCTACAGTGCAGAACTATTGGCGAGAGAGTTGACGATGATAAGAGCCCGCGAAACAGACAGGCGGATTTGAATGATTGGAATGTTGCATGTAGTATGACGAATAAGCGTACGACTTCCTTGGATTCCCCCTCCTTGGAAATACACTCGTCGTTGGAGGAAATCCCGAAAAACTAGATCCAGAGACTCGTGCAGTTTGAAATGATAGTCGGAAGGGATTTGGAATGGAAATTGATGGGTGTCGTGTGCCTGAGGAGGACCGTGCTGATTTTTTGTATGAACAAGTCAGTTTCGTAGCCGTCCAGGGTCGACCTCAACTGGAGGAAAAGAGGGAAAAATGTTCCACCGAACCAATATCCGAGAAAAGAAATGAAAATTGAGGACCGGAGTGTGAAGTGGTTGGGACGAGTTGTGTGGTAGCGAGAGATGTCCGGTCAAAGCATCTCCTGGGAAACTCATCCCGGGTAGACTACACTCAAGAGAGTGCATCTACTGGGGTTGAACGGTGCACTGAGCACCGCCGATGACGCCCCTCTGAACGGTACATTGTGCACCGCCGATGACACCTCGCTGGACGGTGCATTGAGCACCACCGATGACGCCTCGCTGAACGGTGCACTGGGCGCCGCCGATGACTCCACGTTGGACAGTGCACTGGGCACCTCCGATGACTCCGCGTTGCATTGGGCCCTTCATTTTGATGGTGTTTGTTTGTTGTTTTTGGTTGAAGAATGAGTGAGTGTGTGTAGAAATGATCGGATGTTCTGGCGGATAGAGAAAGTGTCTTGAGCTGGTTGATCCACCTCATATTTATATCTGTCCATGTCCAACGTAGAAGAGATGCTTTCACGATCAAGGAAGAGTTACAGTCAAAGAAAGGCCTTGCAATGCCTGCAGAGAGATAAAGCAGGAGTCGTGCCAGTGTTCCTTTTTTGGTGTCGTGTACGACGATGCGTGGCCTTACTATTGTTCGCATTAGTATTGTTCCTGGTCCAAAGAGACCAATCGCCGAGCAATACTCCCCAACCACACAAACATTTACAAGTATATTCTTGCGATAGTCCTGAATAGGCAAGTGCTAATGGGTCGAATTCCAGATGTGATTCGGCGAAATGTGATTTTGCGTTGTTGTTTTGAGTTCCTGAACCAAACCACATGATGCGGGTGCGAAGAACGGAAACTATAGAATGGCCATTGGGAGCGGCCCACAGCTTCTAGCCTCCCTAAATTGCCATCCAAAGAGCCTCGATTTGTTGCTCAAAGCCAAAGAACAATCACTACTTCACTGAACCTCGCAGACCACTACTTGTCTCTCAGCTCGCCAAAGTTCCAGGCCGATCACCGGGCCAGGCATAACACTTCTAGATCTTATGCAGAACAATTGATGATAACCGTCGGGAGGAGCAACAATCGTGGCGCATTCTTTTAACATCTATCACTGCCCATACCACGTGCATGACAAGGCGTTCCTGGCGACCACACCAACAATTAGACAACATGAATTGGGAAGGCTAGTCTGCATGGCCCGAACCGGGTGCGATGCTGGTGTATTCGAGTGGCGTAAGATTCAATACAGTGACGTAGATATCGGATGATACAGCCACAGTTATTACCAGTCTACCCCATGTCCGTTGAAGGGGGCATGTAGCCATCCGACGGATACCAGTTGAATGGGTCCGAGAAGTCAAGCGCGGGGTTCATTGTAGTATCTATGCTGTTTGTCAAATCCAGCCAGCTATGTGTAGCAGCATTGCCTAGATGTGGAGGTGAAGCCCAGTTTCCATTCGGGAGTATGTTGCTCTGGCCTTGCATAGTACTATCCCACAACGTCTGTCTTTGTTAGCAGGTTGGATACTATATGCACACTGATTGACATTACCCAGTCAATTTCGGACGGAATATTGGACAAATCCACTGAGGTGGGCATTGAAGCCCAGTGCTGCGGCGGTAGTGATTCGCCTAACATCCCCATGGCTTCCGACGAGAGGCCTAAAGGAGTATTGCCAGTATCTGACTCCTGTCAGTGTTTGTATCAACTAAGATCAGCGAGATACTTACACTGATCGAACCCATTGAAAGATGTTGTTTGATTGTCAGGTTTGGGTGATACATGCTTTGCTGTCTTTTGGAGCATTGCTCTCAAGACACCAGCTCCGCGAGATGCTTCACGGAAACGATTCGGATAGTTTGTCCATATTGTGTGCGTATTCTCTAAGATTCCGAATAACTCACGTACTCGGGGAGAAGAAGGATTCGTTGCCTGTAGATGGTTCTGGAAGCAAAGTCAGTGAACTGGGAACAGTTACTAGCACAACATGAGAGCTTCAAGGTGAACACCACGACTAAGAGCGAGCAGACATTCATCAACCACTACACTTACCAGCTCAAGACAGAGTATCATAGCAGCAAGCAGAAAATCGTATGTGTTCAGTGAGCTCATGTACCACCAGACCTTGTTCAATTGCCCTCCAGGTTGGCAGGCATGATAGATGACTTGCTGGCTTTGCAATATAGCCTCGGCACTGTTAAGACAAATATTACGCGAGTCAAGGAATTTAGGATCAGATTGACCAGCTGTGAGATAGTTGCGATGCAAAACAATTCTGGTCTTCTGGTAAAGAAGCTCGACATTGAAGCGACCCATGATGACGAAAGGCTGCTCTGTGATGCACTCGTCCATGGGTTTGACCCGCATCACATCGGGAATATTTGCATGCGCCTCTTCAAGACGATCATTCAAAATCATGATATCCGAATGGCTTGGGGCCGTGATCTTTTGGGACAACTCAGCAGCTTCAGCAAACACACAACAAATCCGAAATTTGGAGATGGTATAAAGGGCCGGAGTAACCTCAGTGACTGGGCGCGCAGGCGGTAAAGCGGGCATATCGGGAGATAAATCAGAGTCTTGAAGGTTCATCGGTGCGCGAACGTCGCTTTCCACCCGCCGAATCAGGGTAGGGAGTCCGATAGCGAAAGATATCAGTGTGTCCCACATGTTGAGAACGTGCCAAATGCGTCTCCTCATCTCTCCGTGGAATGGGCTGATGTTGGTGAAATTACTTGGATCCCGATGGTAACCCATGCGCATAGCAACTCGCAATGCCACGCCATTCATGAGCCAAACCTTTGATTGGAGGTCATCTCTTCGAAGAAATTCGCAACATGAGTAGAGCATCAGTGTTTCGAGCATATATGACTGAGTCTTGACCATGTCCGCTAGGACTATGGCAGAAGACGCCAGCTGTTGAAATCGATTGATCGCACGAGACATGTCGTCGGCCTTGTTTAACATCGATGCGATGTTATTGCCATATAATGTGGTGTGCGCAACCATGCCTGGGTTTCGCGGTCCGACGATGATACCCATGGCCATGATACAGTATAGCAAGGCAATCCACATGATAGGTGTATCAGTAGGATCTTTCCAAAATTGTTTATATTCTTCTTGAAACGTGGGCGCATGTATAAGGAAGAGTAACGGGTCTGCACTGTTGAACCAGAGTGACAGAAGCCGGTCAGTCTCGTCCTTCACTGGCATCTCCTGGATCAGCATAGCTTTCGTTACTGGCTTTGGAATACCAAAGGTCACGGTAGACCGAGTGTGGAAACCGTCCCAGTCCTCGTCCCGAGGCTCTTCCGAGGATTCTTGTTCGTCCAAGCTCTCTTTCACTTCTTCAATCTCCTGAAGCAAGCTTGTCCAATGTCCAGCCCCCACATAGGTTTCGGAGCCATCACTTGTTATATGGAGTTTGCCGAAAGAGTCGACGTTAGGCCCATCCTGCGAGCTTTTGGAATTTTTATTTTCTCCTTTTATTTTCTTCGATTTGGTTTCATCTGTGGTTTCCCCCGCACCGCCTTTCTGGCACTGACCTTTTTCATTCATAAGACTTACGACGAGATTCTCCAAGTTCCTGATGCGGCCGCGCATGTTTTGCGCTTGCTTGTTTTTAGGAGGAGGCGGGACATATTTGCACTCATCGTGACGAGCCCTTTTTATGCATTGGTCACATACAGGGTGTTCACGATTGCACTTGAGTTTTCCCAATCGACATGGTGCACAGCTTAGTTGGGGCCGGGCTCGTTTGATGGGAGGGCGGGGCAAGATGTGATCCAGCTGGGGAGGGGAAGCGGACACCGCAGTGGCATCGGAACTGTTGGATGGACTCTGTTCCGCCATATCGATAATATCGCTGGTTTCTGGACGAAGGATCGTTGTGCTGGAATATTCCTGGAACCTTGGGACCTTCTATGCTGTTTGAATGCTCCAAGTTGAGGCCGAATGCCCCAATGTCGTTAGGAAGGCTGAGGCAGTTGTGACATATAATGGGAAGTCAAGTACTGAAGTGCGAGGAACGAGGGAGCGAACAGACTTTCAGTCACCACGCATCCATACAAGAACTTTAAGGTCTCTCTCTCCTCCTTTCGGACTTCTTCTCTAACAGCAGTGCTGACAGGAGTGGGGGCAAAATGTTTAAGTTAGACCTTCTCAAATGACTTAGCGCCGAGATCTGCACATCTGGCTCAAACCGCCCGCCCCGCACTTGGGGAACCTCCAACCAGTCACATTTGCCCATCTGCGGAGTTCCTCCTCACCACCGATACACAGCAAAGTGACCAACAACGACGACCATGATACCCCAGGTTGGCAGTGCAACTCGTCTGCTTTCCAGGTCCTCATCGATTTTGTCGCATTCAGCAGCCTGGCGGTCATCACGTATTCCTAGTGCCCAATTACTACACCGACGCACTCTCATATCTACATCAACCCCTCCCGCAGCAACCGTCCCAGAATTCGCATTTGCATTCGAGTAAGGCAAGGACATCCCCCGAATACGACTCCCAAAGCTTACAATAACACCAGCATCGATGGCGTCCTCGTCCGGAGTTCCGATCCTCTCCCTCGCGCCCACCAAGCCCTCTCATACCTCCAATCCCAACGCATACCCTTCATTCTCCTCACCAACGGCGGCGGCCAGCATGAATCCGAGCGCGTCGCCGACCTAAGCAAGAAACTCGAAGTCCCCCTCGACACGAGCAACTTCATCCAGAGCCACACGCCGTTCGCAGACATGGAAGAGTACAAGGACAAGACCGTCCTTGTGGTTGGCGGAGTGGAAGACAAGTGCCGCATCGTCGCAGAACGCTACGGGTTCAAGAGCGTCGTGACGCCAGGAGACATCCTCACAGCATACCCGGCAGTCTGGCCGTTCTCCCAGCAGCTCCTCGACTACTACAAGACGTTCTCCCGACCGCTCCCCGCACCCATCGACGCCTCTTCGCCGTCCACCTCCCTCAAGATCGACGCTGTCTTCGTGTACAACGACCCACGAGACTGGGGCCTCGACCTCCAAGTCGTAAAAGACGTATTGCTCTCCAAAAACGGCATCCTCGGCACCTTCTCGGAGAAAAACGGCGACGCTTCCCTCCCCAACAAAGGCTTCCAGCAAGACGGACAGCCGCCATTATACTTTTCGAACCCGGATCTGCTGTGGGCGGCGAAGTACCATCTCCCGCGGTTAGGCCAGGGCGGGTTTCGCGAGGCGTTGGAGGGCGTGTGGGCAGCGTTGACGGGCGGAGAGAAGAACGGTGTCACGCTGGACAAGATCGTAATGGGGAAGCCGCACCAGCCTACGTATGCGTTCGCGGAGAAGCGGCTCATTGCGCACAGGAAGAACCTGCTAAGCCAGTTCGATGGCAGGCTGGGCCATTTGAAGAGGGTGTATATGGTTGGCGATAACCCGGAGAGTGATATTTTGGGTGGGAACAGTTATAGGAGTCCTCATGGCACGGATTGGGTCAGCGTTTTGGTGCAGACTGGTGTCTATGTCGAGGGGACGACGCCGGCGCACCAGCCTAGACACATCGTTGGAGACGTTTGGGATGCGGTTAGCTGGGCGGCTGAGCGCGAGCAGTGGAAGAATTGATGCGTTTCTTGCATAGAAAGCGTGGAGTTGGCGTGGCACTAGATCACGATTCAGACGGCATAGGAAGTGCATATTGGATAATTGGGTTCTATTCATATCATCATAGGTTCAGAAACTATACACTACTTGACTAATTGTCACTCTTCGATACTACGCATTCTTGGTCTTGCTCCATCTATTTCTCGTCCCAGACAATGTTGTTGGGGCTACCGAAGATCTTCTGAAGGGTAGCGATCTGAGCGCCGATCTTGCCAGACTCTGCGCTGCGGGCGAAGATCTCGACGCTGGCAGAGTCCTGGTTGCCGACGGCGATCAAGTTTCCAGCCTTGTTGACTGCGAAGTGACGAGGGGTGAGGCCGCCGGAGGGAGCGAGCTGGACGAAGCTCAACTTGCCGTCATCGCTGGGCTTGAGGACGAGGAGGGAGTCGGAGTCGATCTGGGTGGAGTTGCTGGGGTTGGGGTTCTTAACCTTGAAGACGGGGGCCTTGCGGTTGGACACGGTGACGAAGCGGTTGTCAGGGGAGACCGAGATCTCTCCGCCCGCGGCGCCGGCGGGCGTGGCCTGGTTCGGTCCGAAAGAGCTTTGCTCCTGGATCTGGTTGAGGGTGAGGGTGCTGTTGGCGTAGCTGACTTGGTAGCTGGTGACCTTGTTGACAAGCTCGTTGATGACGAAGAGGTATGTGGGCGCCTTCTTGCCGTAGTTCCTGGTCTTTGGCTGCCAGAAAGCTGCGTGGCGGGGTCCGTAGCCGGGTGCGGTTACGAAGGACTTTTGCTCGGTGAGCTTGGAGGAGGAATCGATGCCGTAGATGCGGATGAGATCAGAGCCCAAATCGGGGAAGACGATGAATTTGCCCGTGGGGTCAATGACGGAGTGGTGAACATGGGGTGCTTCCTGCTGGGGCTTGGGACCCGTGGGCTGGCCCGCAAAGTTGAATTCCTGGAGAACCGAGAATGAGCCATTGGCATTGACCTTCAGGTTCGTGATGGCGGAGCCGCCGTAGTGAGCCACAGCAACAGCTCCGTTGTTGTTGAAGAATTGCGTAGACACAGGGCCTTGGAAGGGCAAGTTCGTCGTCGAGCTCTTGGTGAGGCTGCCGTCCGAGTTGATCAGGAGGGTGTTCAATGTCGCAGCTGCGTCTTGCCAGCCCTCGTTTGTGCAAACAATTCGGCTGCCGCCAATGGCAAGATCAAGCCATGTGGGTGCGCTTCCGCACTCCTTGTTCTCAGAGAGAGTCTTGAGAGAGCCCCCGCCTACGCCGGGCGTGAATTCGAGGGTGCTGACAGCTCCGACTGTGGAGCCCTCCGGGGCGTATGAAGAAACCCAAAGCTTGACAGCCGAGGCGGACGTCGCCAACGAGGCGATGAGGAGCTTAGAGAGTGCCATTGAGGCTGGTGATGTCGGTGTTGGAGTTGATGTGGTTGATGTGGAGGTCCGGGGTCTGTGGTATAAGAAAGGTCGACAAAGACCAGGAGTCGTTATATGGACTCGGTGAAAGTAGCGCAGGGAAGCAGATGTCGAAAACGAACGGTGTTCCAGGGCATGAAAAGAAGAATTCTTGAGGGTTATGCAGGATTTATAACAAACAGAAGGAAGCTTCACAACAGCAGTGGTGACTGCAGAGGCCATGACCACTACTTTTTTACCCACTCCACTCACCCACTCACCCACTATACAAGGTACTGTACCTACCGGGAGCTTGGTCTTGTGATCCGACGGAGTGTCGAATACCCAGGTGACTCGTTCAATTGGATGGTGATATTACAATTCGCCCGCCTTGCAGTATCGGGAGAATTGACCGGGACATGGACAGGGACATGGACAGGGAAGTTCAACAGGGAGATGATGCAGACAAGAGTACAAGCCTACAAGGTACAGGGCTAGAGGGCAGTCGCTGTCAGCAACAGGAACAGCAATAGCAACAACAAACGGCGTTGAACGGCGTGAACGACGCAACGACAAAAAGCAAAGTCAAAGGACAAGGGGGCTGAGGTGGAGACTGGAGACGTCGCCCGCGGTAATGGAAATATAAATGATGCGGCGCAAAAGGCACGCGTTTCCGCTGCGGGCCGTAGCTTATTGGAGCGCATAGATTGGTCAGAGGGCCTCTCTGCTCTGCATCTTCTCTGTTCCGTAGAGATTGAGCCTGGCTTTCTCTATATCGATATATTGACTTGGCCTTCTAAATGCCTGCCGAACACGCCCCCAAAACCCCTACTTTCCCGGTCCAGGCCAGCTTGGAGATGTCGCCTCTTGGCTGAGACTTGTGTTGCTTGGTTCTCACGTCGTGGCTTTCAGGCACAGTTCTGAGATTTGCGTCCTACAAACCTATGGCCCATCCGTATGATTGCATTGTGCTGACAGTAATTGTCATTGGGTTTCAGAAATGCAGTGGATGGAGATTGCGATGTGCCTCAAGCGGGTGGCTGTGAGCGCTTTGTCAATGCGGTTAAGTCGCGATCGGCAAAAGGGGCACAGCGCCCAACACCGGCGTTTGTGAAACAACCTACTAATAATAATCCGCGGGGGAGAACGGTGGGGACGATCATGGAGAGGACGGGAGGCGTAAGAAACGTCGTGGACGATGCGTATTGCTGGCAAAGCGTGTATGTATGTCTCTATCGATATGCTGTCCCAGAATACACAACCTTGCCTCAATTCAAAGCATCAAAGAACGTTAACGATTTTCTAGAATGGCAGAAATAGATTGATCTGTTTGTGCCTCCCCAGTAGTTGTGAACACATTGCTAAGCCCCTCAACTACGGTCATGCCTGTACTTCGGATGCTGTGGACATTTCGTCGGCGCAAAAGGCCCGCCATTTATCAACTTCCAACCGTGGGTCTTGCGCAAGTCGCCTAGGGCCAACACTGTAATATCAAAGTTCATACAAGTACAGATATTACAGTACATACACATCTATGTACATAGACCTCCTCAAGTTCTGTGCTTTTCTCGCGTTAATCGAACCTAATATTGCGCAAAATTGAAGGCTGGTTTGACACATATATTGACCCTGGGTCGATTTCGCGTAAAAGAATCTAACGATGCTCATATATTAACTTCGACGATGGTGACATCGATGGCCTCAACTCTGGGCTTGTGCATGATCGCACAATGTTGTAGAACATTCGCTTATCCTCAGTTCGCGCCAGGCCGCACGCCTAAGGAACCTCCGGACCTTCGGGGGATTACTACCCTTGACCATTGGTTCCCTTGTCGACGTCGACTTTGTACTTGGATACACATTGTCCGCGGCATGTAACTCTTGCTTACAGAACGAATTGTCCGCCCTAGGAAGTCATGCACCTAGAGACTGACCTCTAGCCACTACGGAATCTTTGACAGAGATATCGTGATAGTGACCATTACCATACCCAATTGGAACATACCCATGCCATTCGCTATAGATTGACGATCTCATCTTGTCGACGTTCTGACTTCAAGATCTCTGCGTAGACTATACCTGCTCACGGCGGTGCAATCAACTTCACGATGCGTCACTACTCGAAGAAGTCAATTGCCTTTCTCCACTTTGAAATAACGATGTGCTCAACTTACACCCATGTGAAGTTGAGGTGTAAATACACTCCAACTTGTAGCAGGCTTCAACTTCACTTCAGTTCGATAGCGTTTGCGATAACTTTAGTGCGTCTCCAACTGCTTCAGGCTTGCCCATGTGAGGGTTTATATCACCTACTAGACTCACCTAACTTGCCTTGATCGTCAACTTCCTCCATCGAAGTCTACCGCCCTCAAGGTTCACCGATATTTTGGATCAACTTGATTTCTTCTCTAACCATCACTAGAGAGCGCCACGGCTTTATCTCAGCCCGTTCCCCAATAGCTTCACCCATAAGATCTTCATGATCCATATAAGAAGCACTACTTCCCGGAAAGCTTCGATACCACTATCAAACTTACCCAGCATCAGCCGATCTTCTCTTTCTTCCGATATCATGACTGAACACTACTTCTAACGGCTACAAATTCGATCATATCCACACCTTCATGGCCTCTATTTGGTAGCTTATGGCAAGCTATAGAGAACACTGCTAATTTACAGTCCTTATCAACTTCATAATTCGCTATTTATTATCACCATTTATTTCCATATCTCTTATTTAGCATCACTCATCTACAGCCGGCCGGACTGGACTATCTCACGATATTTCGTTCGCCTATATCCTCACCGCCTCTGGGAATTCACCAGCATCACGACTTCTATGCCAGTACGACGAGTTCAAAGTATCATTACTTCTAGAAGTTGATCAACTTTACCTCTAGCACCAGACATCGATACCAAATCTACTCATGGGATGAAAACCAATATCCCTGCCATTCTCAAGAGATAGATATGGCAAGTTTCCTCGGCCGGCTACGGTCAAACGTGCAACTCTTCAAGCGAAAACGGCCCTGTTCTTTGTACGGGGACTCAGACGATGAGTCTACATCGAGGCACGCTAAAAGAAGAGCTGGAAGTCCAATAATCATTACTGATAGCGATGATGATGATGACGACGTGAAAGAAGTGAAACCACGAGGATATGGCGGCAGAGGATCTATTTTTGATCCTATCGTACTTCCAGAATGGCACAGTCCCAGTATCATCTCGGACGAGAGTAAGGGAGAGCTGGTAGAGATCTCGGATGATGAGGATGAAGACTGGGACTACGAAGACCAGGACGACGAAGACGGCAATGATGAAGAATCGCCGCTTTTCAAAGCTCCCGCACCTCTGAGTCCATCGCCACTGCCCAATGCTCTTCCATCACGAAGTCAAAATCTCTGGGCCGGTGCTCCTGGTGTGGGTGATTATGCCAAGGAAGAAAGTCCCATTGAGCGAAGCAAATTTCCGGCATTTCTGGATCTCATTAATGATTCAGACGCGGATAATGGGGATGATGAGAATGGCTCGCTTCATGAAGGGACCGACGATGAAGATGAAGATCATGTATTTTCTTTCACCGGCACGAGTAGTTCGCAACTCTCCCAATCTACCCTTGCTCTTTCTCAGGAGACGGATGTCACCTCGATCTCTTCAGCATCGAGTCAGTCCCAAGAAGCAACCAGGCCGAAGCATTCTATCTGGGCCACCAAGACCAAGGATATCGAGGCATTTTTCGCAGGTACTTCGTCCAAGCCCGGTGCCGATCGATACAGCGTTCAATACGACAACCAAGTGACACTTGACTTAGTCACACGTAAGAAGCTTTTCTGGTACAGGTACTGGAAGATCTGTCTACCGCAGATCCGTCGTACATTCAACCGATACCTAGAGCATGCTAATGCTTCCGACGACGAGCAATGCTACCTTTACAAAGGGCCCCGGCTGGCTAGCGCAGGACGAGTGCTTTCGCTAACTGCACAGTTCCGGCATAAAGGTCATATGGAGAGATTGACCATCAACGTGGGCCTCGTAGCCATGCTCCTAGACGATCGGATAACGGATGCTCACCGCAAAGGAATCGTCGAAGAAGGTTTCCATGCCTCTCACCTATGTGGGAATTGGACCTGCATTAACAGCAGGCACATAGTCCCGGAATTAGGAGCCGTGAATATCAACCGCAATCGTTGCTTTCCAAAGATGGAGGAGGCTTGCTGGCATACACCACCCTGTATGAAGCATCTCAAACAAGACGGTCATAATTTGAGATCAATACCGGCAGCCAAGCTCCTACAACCACCACGACCTTCCATTTACCACAATTCGTATGGATTCCATGATCTCTTCAAGTATTAGCTAGGAACGAATGTCCAGGGCTTCGATCCCATATGAGACTGTTATTCGGAGGAAAGGTACATGATGCCATCTACATACTATTTTAGTTTACGGACAATCTCATCATGAGAGGTTGTTTTGAATTATTTACAATCATATACTGGCTACATACTATGAGGATATTAGCAGGATTTCTCATACAGGCGGAATCATCTTATTTACATTTGATCTATCAACCTACGGTATTCATTGCAACATTACACTTGGAGAAGTGAAGAAACATATAGCGACTGCACATCATGCCTTCATCATGAGGTTCCGGTATGACCCAAAGCATAAGTTGCATGTGTGTTGGTGAGGTTCACTGTTGGGCCCAACAGACAAGAGGTACATTTGCATGGTACTGTCGTGTTTGTTTCCTTCATCGGGCAAACAAGATTGTTTGGCCGCATAGGGCGCCGTAGTAGACGCACGGAGTTTGTAGAAATACTTCATACAATAGACTAGTTGATGTTTGCTGGTCTCACATGGCATGGCCTGTCATCGCCAGGCTGCAACAATGGTCTGGGGTAGGGATAGCTCCATAGTCAGAGCTTCTGATTCCCAAAGCCTCACGTTTGGCCACAAGTACCATCTCAATTGTTCTGGTCGCAGCTGTTCGTCATCGCTCACGATTGCCACAAACAAATTATTGTCGCAAATGGTGAGCATAATTCACGGCTGGCAACTCTAGTACTAATGTTGATGCTGGTGTCTGGGACAATAATAGTTTAACCATATCCCAACTTCACCGCAGAGTGATTGCTAGAGGCTAGAGGTGACGGACTGATCTCAGGATTGATATCTTTTAATTGATACATAATAGATGTCTGATATCTGTGTGAATTGATGAAAAGATCCTGCGATACTGTCAAGCATCGGTGCATTGTTGCCAGCCTATTCAGGTTCAGTTCTTATTGTTACTTCACTCACTCTCATCTTCCACTACCAACCAACCTTCACCACTCCACTCCACTCCCTCCACCTCACTTCACTTCAACTTCGAAAAAATCTACTCCTTCCCGAGGGATTCAGTCTCATCCTAGTCCGGTATCATCCATCGCAACTGTGACCACAGACTTCTTTCCTTCTTCTTCTCTTCTTCACTTCCCAAGTTGCTACCTGTCGTAAAGAAGTCGAGCAACCTGCGCCTACCAAATTCATCTCCCCGACGCCCCAGCAACGCAATTCAAAACAAGCCATCTAACTTTGTAAGTATCTCGACGCCTCTGCCATCTGCCATCTGCCATCACCAATCCCACCACGAGCGCAGCGGTTTCCTCTAATCTACAGTCATTGACCAGCGCAATTGCATCTCTACAGATCGCTACGCTCCATCTATACGCCTTCAAGCTATACCGACCGAGCAGCCCTTCTCCAGATACCTTAAAACAGCCAATACAATAGTCTTGTCAACCTCGGTCACAGCTGTGACCCAAGCCACTTTCACACTCCATACAGTGGAAGCTCACCGGCGCCCTATCTTCCGCACAGGCCAACTTCATCTACAGAAGAGTTAACATCCTAAAGCCATGGCTCGCCGTCAAGACCGTGGAGGTTTGCTCAAGGAAGAGGAACGCCCTACCTCTGGCCCCATGTCTCTTGCAGGCTTCATCAGGCCAGAAGGTGGCCGCCGAAAGAATAGCAATAGGATTTGGCGACCTTTCCAGCTAAGCGATCTTGGAGATGAAGATTCAGATGATAGCTCCAACGATGTCGAAGAGATTGATGTCGAGAAAGACCCGGTTGCAAGCTATAAGATTAACAGAAGATCTACTAATGATTCCATTCGAGCGACCGCCGCTCCTTTCCACCCGAAGGCCTTCCTCACAACTTTGCTGCAAGCATCGACGACAGGCAAACAAAAGAGTGAGAAACCCCCGAGACTTCTCAACCCAGAAGCGGCACCCGTTGTATTCGCGAAGAAAAGCACTGAAGCTCCCGGCCTCACTGATGCAGGCCGCGACATCAAGGAGGAATACATTAGGGTGTTTGGGAAGCCCTTGCCTAACCCGATCAGCCTCTCAGGGAGTCTTGGGGAATTTGACGGTCAAGTCAAGTTCATAGGCCATCCAAACCATGATGTCTCAGCACACCAGTGGTCAGCAGAGTCCTACCAGTGGGTAAACATTGGTCTTTACTCTCACAGCCGTGGCAGGATTGAGGGATCTTTAGCTTCAGACCGTCTCCAAGCTTCGCTTGTTCGATTCAATTCAGTCGAATACTTCAAGACCGTCGCAGATCTGCGACAACGCCCCGGACAGATGAGGCCCCAATTCGAGAATACTCAAACAGCTAGTCAGCCTTGCAGTCAAAAGTCGACAGACCACCATCGTCATAGCCTTTTCGAGACTCCGTACTTCGATTCGTCTTCCTCCAGTGCAGGTCCCAGCCAAGATTCGCCTTCGCTCAACAATACCACAAACCAACACGCTGGGTCCAATTATGAGTCAACACGGGCAGATCTGGGAATGATTAAAATTGGCTCCAATCTCCTAGAAGACCCCTTCGTTGCCAGTAAAGACGACCAATTCAACACTCGCACAGAGATGGCAAGGACTTTCTACTCCTCCGACATCAGCAAGTCTGACTGGAACACCATTTTCCCTACGATATCTGCTCCTCGTGTTGCCGACACCACATATCCAGCACTTGGCAGCTTTGCAGAGCTTGAGAAACAAAACTTCATGCGTGATGAACAGCGGCGAATTGATGCAATGAGGTTCAACATTTCATCCGCAGGCCGAGCAAGTGACCACACTTGGCTCAATTCAACTCTATCCCACAATGAGGCTCCGCAACGACAGACAACTGAAGGACCATTCCCATTGTCGGGAGTCCAAAACAGCCACTTGCCGATCACTAGACCGACCGTCAATTCAAATCTGACTGTTCCGGATTTCTTCACTCATGATCACCGGACTTCGGTATCAAAGTCGCAGCCTACAGCCGGCTATACCATCGCGAATCCGCACCGCAACAACTCTTCTAATCTGAACGCAAAGGCCGCACCATACATTTCAAAGTCTGCCCTGCTTGAATCGTCAGACGAATTCGCGGCAGACATTCAAGCCTTGAGTAACGAGACAGCGAAGAGAAATGGCTATAGCAACCTTGAACGCCCGCTTCCAGATGCGAATATTCTCCGCGGCTGGCCAACATCACAAAATTGGAATGGCCCTTTCTTCATGGGCGATACCCCAGACAACTGTATCTCCCCTACCCCAGTGAGCAAAATCCGTTATGACGAACGCGGGGAACGCCTACAAGCAGCCAGTGCCGCTCTCATGGCAACTGCGTATGCGGAAATGAAGTATCGTCGCCATCAAGCAGGAACTATTCCCACGAACGACGGAACCAGATTCGAGGACACCCCAGTCTTTGTTAGACTGCACGATAATCTACTTCCGTATGTCCAAGAAAACCGCTCGAGCCGAGCACGAGACTACTTTACTTCGGCATGGGATTCGCGCAACGGCTTTCAAATGGACGGCAGGCGTTACGGTAACGACAGATTCTTCAGCGAAGGATGGCTTGGATCACCTTTACCAGCTTCGGATTTGAACAGCAATCATCGAAGTCTTAATGTAGACTCCTGGAACGACCGACCAATGTTCAACAGCCTTTCATGTCACCACCCTTCAGTCATCGGCAGTGAACGGGCCAACATGAGAGCACCGAGGATCCGCTAAGACAGTGAGGAACACCACCGATCCCTCATCATTTCACAATTCATGGAATTGACACCTTCGCGCGCTTCGGAGCTACTTCTTGTAGGAACAACTCTCACTCTGGGGAGTTGCATTTCTATTAAATCGCCGGAACTTTTACAATTTAACGATGACATGCTATCATGATTTCGACGCCTCACACGCCGCCGAGGTTCGTATCACTGGACTCTAGCATCTTTAACATTACTGCATTACCATTTGAACGCAATCCTCCCTACAAATTGCCTGGGGCTATACGGTGTGGATGAAGGAGATTAGATGTTGATGGTCCAAACCATCAAATGGATGCCTCTGTTCCTCTTATTCTTCGGCGACAATTCATTCCATCCCTCGAAAGCGATCTTCTGCCACTTCTTCAGCGCGGATATCTCGTGAACGGCCATGGCGAAGGAACTTACAGAGCCGGGCTTCAGGGTTGGGGTGCCACATACATAAAGCTGTTATGAGTAGCATAGGGGAAGGATTTATGGTACACAGTATAGATAAAGATCAATGGAAACAAAGATTATATCGATAGGAACAAGGACGCATCATTGATCGTGTTCGTTTGTAATTTGTGCTCCTGATACCGCCGGACTTGGATGAAACTTGAGCACAAGTTGTCACTATAACGACGATTGCATGCACATGCTGCGCAGAGATGCCTGGTATGGTACAGTTGTCTCAAAACCAGAGTGAATGAAAACATGAATGACGTCGCACTTAAGCGGAGTTAAGACAATGTGCACAGACCCCCACCGCGCGAGAGCCGCAAATGCGTCACTAGTTACCAAAGCTATCTTTCGCCATTCTTATCCCACCCGCAATAACATTTCTCTTCTAATATCCGCCACATGAGAATATCTTACAACCAACATGAATATGCAGCGGTCGAGCGAACACATAGTTCCAATAGCTGCTGGAGGACCATCTCACGTAAGTACAAATCAGTTTGCCAACTATCTGCCCGATGAAATACTTCTTGAGGTCTTGAACTACTTCCCCAAGGGCGCGGAATCACAAGGTCAGCTTGCAAAGTTCTGTAGCGTCTCACGACAGTGGTACGATGTTGGAATCGAAAGGCTGTACGAGGCTCCATTCATATCTGGCAAAGCGTATGATTTGTTCTATGCGACCGTCTGTCCAAGCAAGAACCTTCACATCAAGCGGAGTGATCTAGCTGGCCTAGGTTTGTTTACCTTCTACTGCTACTGATAGACTTTCAAGCCTCTTAACATCGTATAGTGAAAGTGTTGGACTTCTCTCACCTCGTCCATCAAGGCAGTAAAGCGCAAACTGCTCGCCTGCTAAGCCGAACGCAACAATCTCTCCTCACCTTCGTCGCACCGCAGGCCTCCTTCGCGATCAACTGTTGGGCCTCACTATCCAAATGCCACAAACTCCGCGTCCTAGATCTTTCCCTGGTTTCGGAATGTATATCATACCAGTCCCTCACGCAAACCCTCCGCCAACTCCCCGAACTCACCGAACTATACCTCCCCCGCTGCTCGAGCCGGTACGACTATAACGACACAAAAGGTATAGGAACCAGTGTCAAATGGCCGCTCCAACTCCAACACCTCACCTTGTCCGGAAGCGTGCACGGCAAACTAATGTGGGACATGGTCGTGCAACCGGAAACCTTCCCGCGCACGATCCGTTCCATCGCGCTATCGCACTGCCCGAAGGTGTCCGCCGACGAGATCCGCAAGCTCCTCAAAAGCCTCGGGGACCTAGTAACGCACGTGGAGCTCGTGGGACTGCCCGCCGTGTCGCAAGGCCGCATGAACGGGATCCTGCAGTGGGCGCCGAAGCTCAAGAACCTCACCATCGCGACGGACTACATCGACATGAACTTCGGGCACATGCCGGACAAGTTCAAGGCCTCGATGTGGAAGCTCGCGCAGCCGCTCGAGTCGCTCACGCTCGCGACCTCCGGACAGCGCGACGTCGACCCCTCGCGCGCCTTCGCGGCCGTCGACCTCTTCTCGCTGATCGACGAGCGGTTCCTGGGCCGCATGCGCTTCATCAGCGTCGCGCAGAGCACGGGGTGGGCGGCCAAGGACGACGGCGCGGAGGTGGAGGCCTTGGAGATGCTGCTGCATGAGTTGGACAAGGAGAATTGGGACATGAGGAGGTGGCACTATGAGGAGTTCTTGGGGCGATATGAGGGTGTGAGCTGGGGGCATTGGGCACTCTCGCCGAAGGGCAGGACCATGCGTGCGAAACTGAGGTTGTTGAAAGATATGTAGGTTCGTTCGCTTGTTTGGTGGTGCGCGTTGTACTCTTTTTTGAGCTTTTGGGTGACGAACTTTTGCGCGTAGGAAATCGGAGGGCATTGGGGAATTTCCTATGGCATAAAGGAAGCAAGCGCTTTTGCCCTTTATCTTTCAGAGTCGTACGGTCAACGCTCGCTTGCGACGAAGAAGACGAAGCCACGAAATCACGATGTGTTTGAATAACGAAAGAAGAAGCATGAGCGTTATCTGTCATTAGTAGTTTGTCTTGGAAGCAGGCATGTATGTAATAATTTTATTCGTCCCGTCACGATGATGGCTAGCGAAAGATTGCTGGTGTACTTGCGCATATCCCATCATCTCTCTTACTATGTATCGTTCAACCACATCGCACTCTCACATTCCCCGAACATCTATCAATATTCGTGCTTATACCAGAAAAAAAAGAGAGAGAAAGAGAAAGAGAAAGAGAACCGCGATGACATTCCCCCCGGTCTATAAGGAAAAAAACCCATGTATGAGTTTTCTTGAACTCGTCATCCCATCATCATACCTGTCGTCGTATTTTTTGTGTTCGCAAAAGAAAAAAGGTGGTGATTTTGTAACTACATACTCCTTTATATCTGCTCGCGCGGGCTCCGTTTAAGCACTGCCGTTCTGGGTGACCTTGGACGAGGAGAGGATGCCCCTGACGCCGCCCTTTGCACCGACCTCGCGGAAGATGGCATTGACGCTGAGGTCGGCGGCGATGTTGATCTGGACCTCGACCTTGCCGCCCTTCTTGACGCCGCGGATGGCGGCCTCGGAGAGGATCTTGCCGATCTTCCAGGTGCGCTCGCGGAGCTCCTCCTCCTCCTCTTCGCTGTCGTCCTCGTCGCTGTCGTCCTCGTCGTCCTCGTTGGCCTCCTTCTTGGGCTTGGGCTCCGGCTTCGTCACCTTGATGTGCCCGGCGCCCTCGGCGAGCTTGATCAGGACGTCTCCGCCCTCGCGGGGGGTGGAGATGATGGCGCTTCTTCGCACGGGGAGGGAGGTCTCGGCGTCGACGATGGGGTGGAAGATTCCGTGGGACTCGTCGCCGGAGATGCAGAGGACACCGACGGCGTGGGAGAGGTGGGGCACGACAGTGACCATGGGGTGTGTGCTCTGCTCAATGTCCTCGACGTCGAATTCCTGGATGAGGCTGGCCTGGATGGCGGCACCGCGGACGGAGAGCTCGCTGGGGTTGATGGCGGTGGGGGAGGTGGAGGGTGCGAGGACGGTGGTGGTCTCGGGGAAGGCATTGCCGACCGCAGATGCGATTCTAGGGGTGTGGGAGTTTCCACCAGCGAGGATGACCTCGGTGATGTCAAGAGGGTCGAGCTCGGCCTTCTCGACGGCGTGGGTTACGAGACGAGCGAAGGCGGCGAAGATCTTGGAAGCGAGGAGCTCGTAGCGCGAGCGGTTGATGGTGGCGGTGAAATCGATGCCGTTGGCCAAGCTCTCGACGGAGAAGTTGGCGGTCGTACCGATGGAGAGAGCCTTCTTGACGGCCTCGCACTCGAGCTTCATCTTTGCGAGGGAGCGGTCGTTCTCCCTGGGGTCTCCGGCGGATTTGTGCTTCTTGATAAACTCCTTGGCGAAGTGGTCGATGAGGACTTGGTCGAGCTTGAATCCGCTGACCTCGTAGTCGTGGAGGGTGGCAAGGACGGTGTAGATTCCACCGCGCGAGGCAACGACGGCGACATCCGACCTTGTTCCGCCCAAGTCTGCGACCACGACAATCTTGTCGGCAATCTTTGCGTCAGGGCGAGCATCGTATGCCAAAACAGCGGAAACGGGCTCGTTGATGAATTGGAGGACCTCGATATCGGCGTCCTTTGCGGCCTGGCTCAAAGCGGCCTTCTGGGCCTCGGTGAAGTTGGTGGGCACAGTGATGACGGCTGCATTGACCTTCTTTCCGAGATAGTCGGAGGCGGAGTCTCGTATCCTCTTCAAGTGCCTGGTGGTGATTTCTGAGACCGTGACATCGTTCTCCTTCTCCTCCTCGGAATCGCGAATCTTGAAAGAGATGGTGGATTCGTGCTGGATGGGGTGGGCGGACTGGTGGCAAGGGCTGGGGTCTATCGACTTGAACCTGGAAAATTTTGTTAGAAACAATGGGATAGCCAAAGGATACTCAGCACACACTCTTGTCCGAGGAAATCTCTGAAGTAGGCGACGGTGTTCTTGGAGTTGCGGATGAGCTGGCTCTTGGCCTGGGAACCGTGGAGTTCTTCTCCCTCTACGTAGGAGAGTATTGAGGGGATTTGTCGGTCTATCATATCTGTAAGCGGGGTTCTCGCCAGCCAGCCTTTAATGGTATGAACATACCTCCATCCTCATTTGCGATAACCTCAGCTTTGCCATCCTAAGCCTTCGTTAGAACCTCAATCGTCTGGAAAATCCTGGGATCCAGTCTTACTCCTGTGGTGAAGGCAATGGAGCTGTAAGAATTTCCAAAAGAGATTCCGATTGCGACCTTCTGGGTGGGGGTATTTTCTGCCTCTGCACTCATCGTGGCGGTTGTGTGTTTTTCTTCAAAATCCGGCGATGGGCAAAATTTAAAAATAGGACTACTTCGCAGAGTATCCTCGAGGTATATGACTGAGAAGAGAAAAAAGAGAGAACACTTGGGAAGGGTTGATCTAATAAAAACCTGGAGGGACCTGAACCTGAATCGACGCCGGAACAGAAATTCAAAAAGATTTATGGCCCTAGCGCGGGACCGCCGAGTCTTGGCATATCCGCTCCATGCAATTCGACGTTTCGCTATGCCATTATTGCGTAGCGTAGGGCATTTGTTGCTTCATTCACAAAACTTTCTCACATTTCCCTCTATTGGGTTCCACACAACATGTCTGTCTCATTGACGATAGTCCTCCCGGGTGACGAGATCCCCTCCAGCGCTCTCCCCAAACCCCAAAATCAGAAAAAGGCCCTCACGCTCGGTCCCGGCCTACGACACATCCCACCCGGCACCATCACCACCACAATCGCAGGCGCATTGGTGACAGACAACAAGAAGAATGCCGCGTGGATAGAATACAACAGCGGCAGGGTACGTCTGAATCCAATTCCCTCATATATCTTCCCTTTCATCACTTCAATTGGATCCTGCGATTTCTTTCCTTCTGGCTAACAACAAGGATAACAGTACCTCCCCTCAACCAACGACCTCATAATCGCAACCGTCAACACATCCTCCGGTGAGGCCTTCAACTGCTTCATAACGCCCAACACACCCCTCGCCACGCTCCCGCACCTCGCCTTCGAAGGCGCGACAAAGAAGACACGCCCGCAACTCCCACCCAACGCCCTCGTCTACGCGCGCGTCGCCAACCCGGGACGAGACTCCATCCCCGAATTAACCTGCGTCGATGCGTCGGGCAAGGGCGACGGGCTCGGCCCGCTGAAGGGCGGGATGGTGTTTAAGATTAGCTTGGGCATGGCGAGGAGGTTGCTCGCTGGGAGGAAGAAGGGGGAGGTGGTAGTGTTGGAGGGGTTGAGTGAGAAGGTTGGGTTTGAAGTCGCGATTGGGAGGAATGGGTATTTGTGGGTGGATGGCGGGAATGTCAAGACGACGCTTGCGGTCGGGAGGGCAGTGCAGGAGGTGGATGAGCAGGCGTTGGGGGAGAAGGGGCAGAGGAAGGTCGTTGAGAGGGTTTTGAAGAGTCTGTGAGAGAGGCCTTGAGATTCGATTCTGTGAATCGTTGAGACGAAATCAAGTCAGGAGATGTTGATGAAGGGCATTGGCTTGGGAAAGCGGATCATCATGTTCCTCACTCCACGGAGATAGCCAAGCTCGAAGTTGAGCTTGTACATGAGTCGTTCGGCCAGAGAGCCCCGTCACTACCTAGGAATCTCCCAAAGAGCAGTTTCGGAGTGACTATCCGGCCAAGTATGCCATAGCTTCAGTTTATGCAAGGCTGACGTCCAACTTTGGATCTCAATTGCCTGTTGAAGTGGTATCACGAGAATCAGAAGAGCTGTAGTCTAGGTAGCGACATGCTGTGCGCTTAGTATCAGATAGAGGGTCTAGAGAGGTAGGCATTGATCAAATCATATACCCAATATACAATGCATGACTTAGGAGAGTCTGCTCGGATAAAGTTTCGATTTTTTTAATAGTCCGATGCAATATGATCTTAGAACCTAATCTACTCAAGCCAACGCTGTGTGGCTCGATCTCCGCTGACTATGGCTGTCTCGTAGCCAATCTTTTCTCCTTTCCTCGCTGCTTGACGACCCATTTAACCCGACATACAGCTACCTACTCTAAGGTGTCTTTCAACATCATCGACATCACGCAGTTACTCTAAGGCGTAACACGCACAGGGTCCCTGGGGAACAAGCTCGCCATGCGAATGTTTGGCAGGCCCAACCAGAACTGCACGATACGCTCGAGGCCGAAGCCGCCTCCACCATGCGGCGGGCATCCATACCTGAAGCTGTCAACATAGTCCTTGGTACCGGCGCCGTTAGGGTCGATTGGGGGATCGTGCTCTCGCATCTGTTTAGAGAGCAACTCGGCGTCGTGGATACGCTGGGCACCAGAGCAGATCTCCTGGCCGCGCATAAACATGTCATATGAGTTGGAATACTTGGGGTCGTGTGGGGATGGCATGGTGTATGCGGGGCGGACGGCAAGGGGGAATTGGTCCAGCGTGTAGAAGTCGGAGCCGTATTTCTCTAGGACGAGACGACCAAGCTTTTTCTCCTGCGGAGTGCTAGGGGGTTCATGTTAGTTCGGCATCATGTAACGAAAATTGCAGGAAACTTACCTCAAGTCATCGTAGTCGTTGAGATCTTCGCCAGCGTCGCGAAGCATCTGTATACCCTCTGAGAAAGGTATGCGGGGAACCTTGCCAGCCTCTGGGAGCTTGAACTCGTCGACGTGGTAAACACTTCGGACCAGATCGGTCTCCTTCTTGTACCGCTTGTTGAGCTCGGTAAAGATGAAGAGCATGAGCTCCTCGAGCACACCAACAACCTCGTAATAGTGCTCCTGGAACTCCATCTCAAGATCGAGTCCAGTGAACTCGGTTAGATGTCGTGCGGTGTTGCTGTTCTCGGCTCGGAAAACGGGCCCGATTTCCATAACTTTTTGGAATCTACCCACAACAACGAATCAGCCTGCAATCTTCTATTGATATAAATAAATACACACCTTGAAGCAATGAGCATTTGCTTATAGAACTGCGGGCTCTGTGCTAGACCTTGTGTTTTTCAGTTTTTGGTTGTGTCGAAGTATGAATATGATACTTACATGCGGGACGGTCAAAGTACTTAACCTCGAAGACACTAGCACCACCTTCGGAGGCGGAACCAAGGATTTTGGGAGTTTGCATGAGAATAAAACCCTTTTGAGAAAGAAATTCCTGGAATAGAGCGCATACTCCGCCCTTAATGATGAAGATAGCATGATTGATCTTCGCACGCAAATCGATGGTTCGGTTGTTTAGTCTCGTGTTCAATCCGACGAGCGGCCTACCATCACTCTCCTCCTGCTTAGAATCATCCTCTCCCAAGCCCTCACTCGGGATCGGACGCTCCGCATCCTCGACCTGCAACGGCAGAGGAACCTCAGCTTTGCTCTCGACGAAAAGCTTCTGGATGTGGATCTCAAAGTCCTTGATAGTCGCACTCTTGATGGGCTCCTTGACACGCTTGACGAGACCCGTGACGGCGACGGTGCTCTCGGTCGACACGTTACCCGAGAACTTGACCATCTGCTTGCTGAGCTTCTCGCTCGCAGCGACGACGGCCTGCACGGTGTTGAGACCCTGCCTCAGGTTGAGGAATGCCAGCTTAGCGGACTGGACGCGCGCATTCTCCACCCAAGCTCGGAAAGTGATCTCCTTGTCCTCGAAATCGGCAATCTGGGAGAGGTCCTCGCGCTTCGTGCCGGTGACCTTGAAGTCCTTGGAGCCGGTCAAGGGAAGCTCGCCGTACGAGTCCTTGGAGACGTCTTCGGCGTCGGCTGCCTCTTTCTTCTGGCGCTCGGCGAGCTCGCGGGCTTTGGCGGCGGCTTTCTTCTCGGCCTGGGAGATGTGAGTGGTTTGTAGGGAGTGGCAATGGCGATCAAACCTTTTCCTTCTCCTTCTGGGCTTTTTTCAAGGCATTCTTGGAAGGTTCCTTCGTAGGGTCGCTGGCGCCTGCAGCAGCGGGTGCGGGTTCGGCCATTGTGTCGAAGCAACAATTGAAGACCCAAGGATTGTAGCAGATGAATTAAATGAAAGGAGAGCCTGCAATGGTAGGCGTGGGACGGTGGTGTTAAAGTTCTTGATATCTCGCGTGAGAGGGGACGTGGAATTCGTGGTGGGGCTAACGTCAACCAAAAGTTATGATTCATTTGCCCCGCCCTCAGCCCTATGACCGCACATGCCCGCAACGACTTCAAGGGCAGAATGGGAATTTTTTTTCCAGCCACCAAATCCTAGACAGAGGATGACTGTATCTTTATGACGAATTTAGAGAATCTGCCTAGAATTCTTTTGATGAGTTGTGACTGGCACAAATTGGTCTAATCAGTAATTTGAAATGATGGCAGGTGAAGTATCTGATCTTAATGGTTCAGAAGCATACGCTTCTTCCTTGTGTCATTATTAAGTGGGTAGTCGACGGTATATCTATCATACACACTCGAGCCCCATAGATTACCTCAATATTAGAACAGAGTACAGCCAATGCCACCACAAAAATTCGCTCCATACAAGCCCCAGATGAGTGACTAGAGCGAACCAAGATCATGATTCTCCCATTTCCCCCGGCACCCCTGGCACTACCGGAGTGAAGCGCTTCATAAAAACTGTCCGTCATAGGACTATAATCGGTAGGCAGAACAGAGGACAAATACACTAAGGGGCGGTCTAGATGGTATCGATTGATCGCCGGAACATAATGGATGAGAGTTCGAAGACAGTCCCATGCAAGTATGAGTATTCCACCCACAAGCTAGGTTTTCTTGTTACTATCTAGCTACTGTGGCGTATGCGGATATTTTGCGGCAGTCTACTACAAGTGTGTTCACTTCCAATACATGTAAAAGCGTGGTGCACAAAGTATCAAGAAACAAACGTTATCACCGCTGTGCTCTAGCTGATAGATTGGGATAGCAAATGCAGACTTGATGACTATTGCGGCGAGTCCTAGTATACTGCCGCCATATATGTGCCTGGCTTCCGGCGGTAGGAGATTGCAAAGGAGGTTGAAGATTAATGCTACTTTCTTAGCATAAGCAGCAAGTGAAAGACAACAAAAGAAAACCTGATCTACAGAAATGAAAAGCTCCCTACGATTTTGAAGAGAATCATGGACAGATACTAGAAAATGAGAAGCATGCATCAAACCAGCTCTTGCTTTCAAGTTTCTCTTGACGCTCCTCAGCCGAATCTCGATACTCCCGTAAGTTCATCGCTTTCTTATATTCCTTTGCATATCGTGAGGTGTGTTCAAATTCAGTAGCTTTAAACGTAGACAAAGTATACACCTTCTTTCTCAGTCCTTGTACGGAACCAGTACCTTTCATGTCACATTCAAATATCTCTGCCTCCACATAGTGCTCGTTGTCGTGTTCAAAGACTTCCGTAACACGGTAGAGGCGTCTCGTCGTTGGAACGATGTGGTTTGCTTTTGTTGGGAGGGAAATCCGGTATCCATCTGGTACTAGGCGTGCTCGTTCTTCTGGACCAACGGACAGTGCTTTGCATGATGGCTGGAGTTGGTGTTCAGGGATATTTGCCCAAAGTCGATATTCAAGCCCTGGCGCGGCTTCCAGCGCCTGTTCTGCACCTTGGAGCTGTTGGAAATCTGGCCAACTGCACTCGTGGCGGCTAAACCTTATTCGGGTATTAAGGTGACTGGACGGTGGGAGATGCTCGCTCTTGAAATAAGTCACCCATATGAGATGTTCACGTTGCTGAACTTGATCGATTTTGAGAATCTGTGCCTCGGTTAGATTGGGGCTTGATTGGCTCTGGGAAATGCATACTGTCTTAGAGGGAACAGGGACAGAGAGAGATGCTGAAGGAGAGGCGGGAGCATGAACCATTCTGCGACTTGCTGGAAGTAAGAAAGACGGAATTCAAGTGAATGCGAGAAAGAAGAATCGGCCTGCAGAAATGCAACCGGTGAAGGACTCAGCCTTGTTGGGACCATGCATGATATATCATTCTAAAACATTCACTTTGTCCGCTTTGAGATATCAGACTCGAACCCAACCTTTTGCATCGTTCTGGCGGGATGCAACGTAGGCCGAGATTGTGTCACCAAAACATGCCTTTGCTTCCTATAGGTTGAAGTGTGACAGGGCGGCACTTGCAGAGAGATCTATGAAGTTCTTTTCAGGAATATCGTGCTCGCGATGCTTAGGCGATGTTGCTTAGAAGCGGGAAAAGGCACTCGATATGCTCCTATTGGTAGATTAGGGAATGACACTTTAGGAACCTTGGGAACCTTGGGAACTTTGGGAACCTTGGGAACTTTGGGAACTTTGGGAACTTTGGGAACTTCCTATTAGACGAAGGGGAGGTGGCTTGGCTAATCCCAAGACGGATGAAGATCGCATCGCTTCAGCACCTCCTGCTGGGGAGCTCGCCTCGACAATATTGGTGCGGGACCCCTTCTAGCGCTGGGGCTTGCAGATGAGAAACTACCAAACTTCCCAAACTTCCTTAACTTCCTAATTTCCCTAACTTCCCTAATTTCCTGACATCTTTAACTCCTTTAACTTTCCTAACTCTTCTAATGCAGCCAGGCCAGCAAAAACGCATCTCAGATATCGCTTCGAAACTGGATATCGAAGGCAACATATCCTATGAGCATGAAGCTATACTCAACGAGCGACTGGTCCTAGCTTTTAGCTCGTTTCCCCGCCGAACGAAGAAGATTGATCGGATACATGTTTCAGCAGTGGAGCGGTCTATGCGAAAAAAAGCTAGTATCATATACAAGGAGGTTTTGCGATGCGCGCCTCACCAATTGATTCCTGTTATTCTAGCTATCTCGCCCTGGGCATGTAAGAGATTTAACGTTCGCGAATATCTGGCTCAAGAGCGCAGGGCTTTTTCCGCTCTTAACAGGAGTATTCAGAACGTACTGGATTATGTTGCCAGAATACACGGATTTGATCAAGAAGCTGCTTCTCATCAATGGATAAACACACTTTTCCCCCAAGGTGCGAATAGTCAAGGAACTAGCATGAAGCGTGCTAACAAGATGCAGCAGATCAAGGGATCCAGAGACCGATAACCCCAATGGAGAATGACGAGTGCCGGACCTTCCACACTGCATCCCGAGGAGAACTTCACATATTTGGACCGAGCATTATGGATAGATTACAGGGAGAGGAGGTTGCGCCAAACCTAACAAATTGTGTCAGAACCAGAGCCACAAGTGGCGTTTACGCGGATATCCTCATCTCCATAGACCTAAAATCGTATCTCGACATTGCTGATATCCTTTTTCCGCAAAATAGACTTGCGAGCCTGCTACACACAGAGATATGTGCTAATAGCGACAATGTTGGTTCGTGGCATTGCTAGTAATCTGGTGCACTGCTGACATGATTAGACGACTATTTAGAAGACCATGGCGTATACACCCTTAAAGGAGCATTGTGGCAGGGCGTTAAGCAGATATTTCCAACCCTGATTATTGATGCCATAGATGCTAGCGAGTTACGCATTTGGGAGAGGCAGAACTATCTCTTGTCCACAACGGATTGTGTCACCTTGGAAGTTCTGCGCCGAAGGCCTCAATGCGGTACTGTACGCTTGCGATTGGCGTTCCGGGAGGGCATTAGTATAGCGAAGGCAATATACTGACTGATAAATTATATAAATTCTTCTTTCCACGCCCCTCCAAGAACAAGTATGTCTACCTTTGGTGGCACAATAATTTCACCTCCTCCTTCTTTCAACCAAATGGTTTTACCACGAGTTGGATCCTTGAAATGTATCTCCTTGCAATCGCGAAAGAAGTACTTTGTATCACCTGCCTTCTTAGAACATTCTAGGAAGTCAACCGTAACCTTTTTGCCATCTTCAAAATCGTTTGCAAGATCTTTCCAACGGAATTGCTGCACCTGTGAGCTAAATCTAGAGCCGGCGTGAACAGGGTACTAAGGACTTACTAGCTCAGCACGCAGCAGCGTTTCCTGGTCACTTGTCATCGAGGCTGGTATTTTCCTTTGGTTACGGTGGTTGTCGTTTGGAGGTACCCGGCCGGGCAAGTTGCAGCGTTTCGATGGATCAGATAGTCAAGATTCAGTGACGAAAGTGTAGATCATGGAACCATATGATTTGACAGCGCGGCCGCCTCAGGCTCCCATACTCGAGGCGTACTAGCTGTTATGTCTCACAAGACCGACGGGTTGAGTGTTGGAAGTAACGACAGAAAACGATGACAATGAAAAGGTCGTGGGGCAGACATCAAATAAAAAGTCTGGGCGTTTACCCCTCGCGCTCACGTGAGAAGGGCACTACTGTATGTTCACGATTCTTATGTACAATCACGCTAACAAAAGGAAGGTAGCTTGTACTATGCTCCTATCTTACAAATATGTTAACAAACCAACAGTCAAGAGAATAGATATTGTGATGTAGCAGGGTATATAAGGCTAGTCAGAGAATATGTGAGAGAGGAAGGGCACTGCAAAATAGATACATCGCCCCATGCCTTACTGAAGGCGCGATGCGTGATTATAATCAAATGATCAGTGTACGGGCTGACGGTAAATTTAATAAATACATACAACCGAAGCCAGCAGGTTGATGTCCAACAAAAAAAGGCATGGGGTAGTGTCCGATAAGGAGTAGTTCATACATTCAAAACCCGTGTGGATCTTCTGGTCCTCACTTGAGCCTGCCATAGCAGATGGCTAAGAAGAATCTACCTTCATGCAGCCTAACCTTGTGTTTTCGATACAAAGAATACCAAAATCCAGAAGACAGCCTTCACCATGAAATTCCATCACACGCTCCCAGCGCCGCAAGGACCTCTTTCCCAGACTCAAAGCAGTGCTCGCGACAGCATCCTGCAATCACCTCACCAAAAAGTACATTGTCAAGCGGCGGAAAGATACCCTGGCGAAATTTGTCTTCCACACTTTGCTGGTATGTATCCAAGTTCCAGACATCAGGCGCAGGACGTGTGTGAAAAGGATAATTGCCTGTTGCAATTATGTAGAGAACAATGCCTAAGCTGAATACGTCAACCCGCGGCGACGCAAAGTCTGACTGTGGATCGAGGAATGGTGGATCAGGAATTAGGTCGCCGGGAAAGCCTAGCTCTTCACATCGGGAGCTACCAAAATCAGCAAGGACAATGTCGGTACTTTTCTGTGTCTTGTGAGGCAAGATGTTGTCAGTGCTTAGGTTGCGATGGACGATACCCTTTTCGTGAATATACGCAACAGCTTCAGCAATCTGAAGGCACCACGTCTTCCGAATTGCGTCGGTGAGTTGGTTGGCATTATTATCGTTGTCAATATACGATTGAAGGGTTCCACAATTTGCTTCTCCAAGTAATAAACCGTCCTTCAAATTCTCCATGCTGTAAGGCCCATGATACCTTAGCACCAAGATTAGCGTTGAGTAAATCCGTGGGGAAGACAACAACGTTATTACTGGATAATTCTTGGATGTACTCCCAGCCTCAGCAGAAGTGCTTTCTCTACCTCTATAGCTCTTTCGAATTCCGCTGAAAAATTGGCGAAATCTGTGATCCTTGGTGTCTTGAAAACCAAGCCATTCTCTAACCGATAGACCTTGGATGTTCGGCCATCCCCAATTAACTTCATTGAAATTTGTATGAGATGAGAGGTGTAAACGTTTGAGAATGCATGGTGCTAAACGGGCATGGGCAGGTCATAATAAAATGGGGTGAACTGGCCCAAGCTGAAACGGCAGACATTCACTAGCCAAATAGGGAGGTAAACATGGATCGGGCCGACGTTGCATTTGATTGGATACACGTATTGTATGGACATCAACTGATTGTACGAGTACAATAGAACCTCCCGTGTAGGCCTGTTGCAAGACGCCACCAATACTCGTCCCAAAATGTGCGCTGGGCGATGATCCCTGGAGCTGGTCTGCCTCATTCAATCCATGACAGGGGTAATAAGGAACGAAAGTACTCTGCCTCGCAATATTCCATCCTCAATCATCACCATGTATCAAGAAACTAATCTTCGCTGTTTCCAGTCAGTCGTGCCGATTTGCGTTTCACGTCACATACCCTCCATGAGCCGCGCAGGATCCTTCCTTCCTTGCTGATTTGCCTGCAACCAACGTGTCTGCATGGCCAGGTTGACCCTTCAATTCACAGTCTGTACCGTTGACCTCTTGGCCGAATTTGATGCACCCACACCCATAGTAACGAGTCGCTAACCTCATACTCGTACACATCTTGGAATAGAGTACGGAGTAGTTGACGACCGCTTGGACGAGAATTGTGGTAGAGGGTTGTTGATGGTTGGAAAGATGTTCAGCTGGTTGGATGTTCAACTTCAGATAATAGATTGATCAATCCCCTACTTATTTATATTGGTGTCTCTTCTCTGGCAATGTGCAAATAGTCCCCCAGCTTGTGAAGATGTAGGCCAAGCCGATGGCCGAAGATGGACCTACTCGTATTATCGAATCGCGCATGCACAACCTGATATTCTCTTTGTGCATGATGCAAGTTGAAGGACGAAATGCAGTACATTCTTCCCTAAGGTCCTAACCTTCCTATCCTTCCTACACTCCCAAACTTCCTAAACTTCTAAATTTCCTAAACTTCCTAAACTTCCTAGACTTCCTAAACTTCCTAAACTTTCTAACCTTCCCAACCTAAACTTCCTAAACTTCCTAAACTTATGCCTATGCTGGTTAATGCTTTATACATTTTTATATGACCATGGCGATATGGGAAGCAACTAGCAATCCAATTCGTAGAGAGTCACGTAAGCCACTCAACGAAACTTGACGACATCACCATTAAACCCCTCACATTGGGCATGTGGTTCCTGATTTGTCGTCTGGCTTCCCCTTCGCATACGACTAGCCATCGGATTCATTGGCCGCCGATACATCCTCAGGTATCACGCTGCGACTTTAGCAACAAAAGTGCAAATGACGACGAGGACAGTGGCGGAACGGATGTCCTTCGGATAGCGAGGGCAACAGCGACGACGATACGCAACTGAGCAACGGCGACGGTAAATTTGTGAGCCCCAGGAAACGCATACCCTAGTTACCAGAGGATGATAAGCGCGTGATGGAATGGAAGTAGGAAAGGGCAGAGTTGGCGTTGGATGTCTTCTGCATTGCAAGGTAGATCTGCTGGTGCAGTGCAGACTCGCTAGTATTCGAAGTTACGAGAGTAGAGTCAAACGGAAACATCGTACAATGCAGGCCCTAGTTTGGCAAAGATTTGTATGTGGAACCCACGCCCTCTGACTGTATCATTCAGTCTCCCACTTCCCTCTAATAATGTAAACCCCTACTTCTGCTGGCAAAACATTTCACCACCATCTTTCAATGGTACCTGCAAGTGGTACATCGAACAAGTCTTGGGACTGTCCTTGTTCGTAGAATCTACGTACACGAACCATGTAGTCTAGTCGCTCTTCACCCTGTGGTGCTGGACCCTCGTGAACTGGCCGGTGCCCCGTCATGATCATATAGATGATGATTCCCAGACTGTATAGATCAAGCTTTGGTGATTTCAATTGATCGTCTGTCAGTCATGAATTTATTGCACATCCTTGTTATTCCCTCTTGTTGAAGAAGCCGCCTCTTCGAGCAGCCTCTGGTAGCTCGGCTGGCCTGTCTTTACCTTCGGCGCTCGATCTCCACAGCAGCTGTGCCTGTTCACACCATCGAAAATGTTCCAAAAAGCCATCTCGCGCATACACTTTGTCTCGAGCCTCGAATGCCCATTTCTCGCCCACAGCGCCGATGATGTCCCTTTCAAGAGCAAGTTGACACCCAGCACACGACATTCCGTGTTCGACACTGCCGGTTACTTTATCGTAATAAGGAAGTGCACACGACGCCATAAATTTGAATTTCTTATTTCGTTCTGAGCTCGCTGGCTGGGCTTGTCCTAGTGCGTGTGGTTGCCGTCTGCGAATCAAACTAGCCTGATGGACAGAAACGATCGCAATGCGGGATTTGCGCACGGATTCCTCCATGGAATATATTCCAGGCAAGGTCTTGAATGACCTCAGTCGGTCTGACTCGGCCTTGGTGAGGCGGAATTGCTTTCGGAATGCGGCAAGAGTTTGCACTTGGGTCTGCGGAGCCTCTTGGAGGCATTTGAAACAGCATCGCGTCCACGTTAGGAGAGATATAAATCCGCCAAATTCGCCACAAAGACTACAAGCCTTTCTACATAGTGCGTCGTAAAAGTCGAGTAGAGAAATGTCGGTGGCAAGTCGTGTTCGTAACAAGGCGCAGAGAAGGTTCAGTCCATGCGAGACTATCTTCTGATACTGCTTGAGATAGTCCACCGTCTGTCTCGATCTAAGATTTGTTTGTCGGAACTTGAATAGAGAATGCATATCAAGACGGAACAACGTGTCATGCAAGAGCTCGAGTGGTAGTCGATCGAGAGAGCCGAGTCCCATATTCGAAGTCCGCTGGAAGGGTGTCGCTATTGATAGATGAATATCGACATGTTCACGAGGCGAAAACCAGATCACGGAGAGAGGGAAGTCTTTGCGATGGTAGGCGGCGGTTCGAACAATGGCATCGGCCTGTTCTTCGCCGAAACGGTATTCGGTGGCGGAGCGATATCCGCGAGGCATAACGGTAGCCATTCACAAAATGGTCGATATACTTGGGTGAAAGAGGCACTGGCCTTAGTAGACGTCGTTGGTGGGTGATGATCTCAACAAAGCGTTCGGCATATCACCCGTTATATCATGACCCGCACGACTCGTCGAAGAAACGCGGACGTCGAGCGTCATCCCCTCTCCGGACGGCGCTGCGTTTGTAAAAGGGCCAGATCGGCAGTGGTCGCCGATGAAAGCGGAGGTTGGGTGGTAGGAACGAGTATGTAAAGTTAAGAATGCAAGACAAGTTAGCTGTAATCAGGAGTCGGGGTTTTTTTATTGATGCTGCGCCGCGACGCGTTGGGGCACGCGATGTTAGACAAAAGTGGCGCCCGCATGTGTAGCAACACCAAGCCACAAATCATTGTGGGAGCCACAGCTTCGGCTTCAATGCCATCGGATACCCGACGAGCACCTCTGTGTTATTCCTATATCTACTCCGTATTATTGTCGCATATGCAACAACATGTTCAAGAACTCGGGCGAGCTTCTTGTTGGCCGCGGCATCCCAAAATGCCACATTCATCTCCTGCACGCCCATCTCCCCGTTCAACAGCCTATACTTGCACCAAGCTAATGTCGATTCTCAAGCGTATGGGCTTTATTCTATTCACTCCCTAATTATCATGATGTATGAACCCCAGGCTCTATATCTGCCAGAGACCCGTCTCTAAGCTATCTCTGCGCCCTTTTGCTCTTCGAAATCTTTCTTGGAGGCCTTGAAAGCTCCGAAAAAGCCAGAAATCCTAGCGCCTTTTCATCCATTGTGAGAGAGGGCGAAAGGGTTGAAGAAAAGGATCTCGCCGGTGGAAAATCTTCCCTTCACTGCAACTTTTATGCCTATGAACGTTTGTCAATTGCAGCTCCTGAACATTCTTGTATGTGGACTGGGTCTTACTGCAGTATCTGCATTTCTCCTACCCAAAAGTTTTATCATCATCCTGCACAAAATGACAAGACCACCCCTCCTTCAGCCCGTGAATTTGAGCGTGTCGAGTTAGGTCGAGTTTTTCCTTGAAAGGAGATGGGCAATCACCGCACTGATGAGGCCTTGAAGCCACGTGAGCACTGATAGGATATCATTGCTTGATGACAATGGAGTAGCACACTACTAACTCTAGTTCTGATTATGTCTGGAAAATTATCCATATCTTACAGCAATCATTAAATTCCATATGCCCGAATCGCTATGCTGCATGCAAACTCCATTTTCGACATCCCATGTCGATGACCGCCTAATCGGACCACTGAAACTTAAAAAAACCCTAAGAACATAATGCCGAAATCTCGAAAGTTGCCTTATGCCGTACTGGCAGACGCCTTGCTGTGCAAGAAAGGCCGGAAAAAAGACGCCCGCTCAAAGCATGTGATAAAAATCATGCACTGATCTTGTCCACTCATGCGAATGTCGAAGAGCGATTGACTGCAGTGGCTCCATCCCAAAGCTTGACTGTCTTGCCTGTAGCGCGCTCTGGGCGCTCTGACTCCCGGCAGCCGAAGATGTTGACATGATTGTCATGGTGTGCAGCAGCAGCAATCAGTAGACGATGGGGATGGAACGCAGTGCTTGCAATGGCGGAAGACCTGTCGCGAAGGAAGCCAGAGTACGGCTCAAATTGTGACACGATGTCGCCATTGTTGATGTTGAAGATCTTGATTCTATGACGTTGGGTACCGCTAGAAGGTAATTAGCAGTGTCAGACTGAAATGCCTTGGAAATACTTACGTTGCAAAGACAGGCGCATGTTCGTGGACACTCAAAGTCCTCAGTGTATCGGTGGTTGCCTGTATAGTCTTCACGCTCTTGTCCATTCGGATGTCCCAGAGCTTAACTTCACCGCTCCGACAGCCGCTGACGAGCTCGCGCTGGCCACCTCGCTGCAGATGAACATTGGTAACCCATTGCTTGTGCTCTTTCCAAACTTTGACCATAGCCGTTGCTGGCTTCTGACGCTGATCGTATACTCGAACCGCGCCGTCACCAAAGCCCGCGGTGAAAACGTCGCCTTCGACCTGGTCCGAGGTCAAGGATGTGATGCATGAACCGGACCTAGCCGGTATATCGCTTGTACATATTTCTGTACTGGCGTTCCAAACGCGGATGACCTTGACATCGCCCGCAACCAAGGCGAGACCTCTGCCTTGCTGCCAGTCAAAGACGAGACCAGCATTTTTGGTGCTTGGGACAAGATCCGTCAGGGCTCGGAAGGCAGTAACTAGCTCCGTCTTTCCTCTTGAGTCATAGTTTCGGAAAACTTTGAGTACGCCGTCTGAAGATCCAGTCATGAGGAGGGCTTGGTCATCTTCATTGATGAAACGAACTTCGCTAATCCTCGAGTCCGCTGGATTCCCATTTGAGAAGCTGTTGATCCTTTGGGTGGAGCCGGAGTAATCAAAAACATTAACCGTGTTCCGGTTGTCTGTGACGACTAGATGGTCCTCAAACTGGTGGAAGCACATCTTCATAGGCTGGCTCAGGTTGTCGAAATATCCTCGAGACACATCCCATCGATGTCCTACGGCAATGTCTTTTAGCGGCTGGGTCTCGGCAATGATCTTATCGTTGCGATTCCTCCTCCATAGGCGGCCATTATAATCTGTGCTACCCGGTTCGTCTGCTTCGGTGGGTCTCATCTGAGGTTCGCGGAAGTACTCTGCAGACCATTCGAAAAAGGAGCTCTGGAGGGGCAGCTCGGGGGGTGTCGTGAAATCTCGCGGGACAAATCCACGTGTAGCGGGCTCTTCAGTGACATAATATCTCTCTGGAGTATGCGGGCGTATGTCGCTTGGAGGTGCGTGGACGTCCTCCGTCTGCTTCTGTCCAGGGCTCTTCTGAGGCGAGGCTGGCGACTCATGCGCGCCCCAGAAGTTCTTCAATGACGCAGCCACGCTTCCCGTCCTCCGAAGTGGATTCAGTAAGTTAAGATAGCTGGGTTCTTTGGAAGGGGTGGGAGGAGCAGTCGCCTGCTGCGAGGGAGCTTCCTCAAGTACGCGCCGTGTACTCGCCCGCGACACGGGGTTCTTCCGGACCAAATCTTCATATTGCGGCTGCACGAACTTTGCCAAAGGCGACTCCAGGAGTGCGACGAGGACCATGTCGACTACCGAGCCGGCATCCCTGGCGATTTCTGGATGAGGATCGACAGACATGACCAACATTTCCTTCCAGATGGTAGCATATATGGAGTTTTGCGAGCAAGAGCTTGCTAGGGAAGGATGGCCATTGATGGATGAGCGTGTTTTCATGAATAGACCGTCTGAATCCCTTTCCTCTACTCTCGTATTAAGTTCCGCATTGCCCTCTTCCATGAAGTGTTCAAATGCCGCGACAACGAATCGGCTCCTGTATCTCACAATGAAGGTCGAAAAGAATATCAGCAGCTCTTTTCGTACAAGGCTGTTGCCGTCGGTGGTCATGACCAGAATCATAGACGCAATTGATTCTTCGATTTGCGCGACTTGCGACGTAACGTCGCGAATGCCCAAGAAGGCGGTGAGGGCATAGAGCATAGCCGCGCGAACCTCTGTTACCGGATCAAGCACCAGCTCGCAAAGGCGTTCGTGGGCCATGCAGCGAATTCCAACCCATTTCGCTTCCTCATAGTTGACCCACAACTTGCTCAAGCAGAGACAGGCCCACTGGCGCAGAAGAGGATTCTGCATGTCTTTAAGATGATCCAAGCAGCTTTCTACTAACTCGGTGCTAAGAGATGCGCGTTGGCCTTGGTTGTAATCTTTGCAGAACATCGCGACAATGAATGCGCACATGGCCCGGTGTTCGCTGGCGTTCGCGATCGGAATACCTGCACTGGGGTTCAATATATTGATGAAATACTGGTACCCATTGTCCTTGAGAAGATCCGCTTGGCAGGACTGGTCCACTGCTAAGATTCTAGCCCAGATGAAGACCATGACCGGCTTGAGTTCAATGGCTTGTGACTGCAAGAGCTTCAGCACATACGGGAAAATCCCGATGCTGAGGGCCAAGTTTACAGCCCAAGGCCCCAGGTCGAGAAAGCGCGATAACAGGATGAGCGCCCTGAGTCTGTGTACTTGACTAAGAAGAACTTGCAATACAATTGGTAGTTGCTCGGGTACCTTCTGCTCCACGGCTCCCTGTGTGAGATAAACTTCAAAGGCGGTTAATTGCTCAGAGAAGAACTCCGAGTGCCTGTATGAATACTCTTTCTCGCCCCGAGCTTCAGCTTGGAGGTCTGGGAGTTGGGCTAATATCAGCTCCACAGCAAGATCCCAGCTTCGCCATAGAGGATGATCATATGTGTGTGGGACTTCGGGGTGGGAGACGGGATGGCAATGATATACTCGCATGATCCTCTGCGCGAGTAAGAAATTTCGGAAAAGAGCAGCAACCATGAGATCCTGGCGGAAGAGCTTCTTGAACAATGGTTTAGAGAGGGAATTCCAGGCTATGGTATCGGTGATGGCCGTGAAGATCCAGTTCAATTCTCCGATCGGAGTACGACGTTCGGAGACTTTGCCAGGGATGTTATGAGCATCACGGATATTCACCTTACAAGGAAGGGGATTTTGTAGTATGAAGAATCTCACCGCCATGGCGATGGGATCCGTCAGGCAGGAGGTAAATATATCGGCGGGTAGTTCTGGATTTGTAGGAAGCGATTCCTTCTCCCTACAGGCGGCTAGGTGTATGCAATCGCTGAAGTCGACGAACTCGACACTAGGATCTCTTCGGCGTGCTTCCTCGAATTCGAGTTGGTGCTTATCCGCAAATCGGTTGAAGTTGCTGATGATCAAGCCGGCATCTGAACAGTCGTACACAAAGAGACTCGGCGCGCCTATCCAGCTTTGTAAATCATAGAGCGACAGAGGAATGTATTGTGTATAGTTTCTGTTGAAGACCCAGATTTCACCTGAAGAGGTAGGCTTTGGTACGCCATGTCCGTTGTAGTGAAAAAGTACCCTTTCATTCCGTGCATTTCGCCGCAAGGTTGAGGTGTACTTCCTTGTTTCGTCGGTAGTCGGGTCGAGGAGAAGTTTGTAACGCGTGCGCATGCTAAGCTGCTCATATTGTGTCTGTAGAGCCTTTCCGATCTGGTTCATGGGGGTGTGGCCTGGTGTTTGGGACGTCACAGTGGGATCTATCCAGCATTCTTCCTTGGCACAAGGGCTCGTTTTGATGACATCGGGTGGGTCAACGCCGATGTTGAGGCAGAGTGTGAGTACCGCCGATACCGTCTTGAGGCGATCACGCATTCGCCATTCCTGAAGCGGGAAGCTACCTGTTACATCCTTGGGTATTCCTCCCGTCTCGTGCCTCTTCTCCGTGAAATACATGAAGAAAGTGGATGTGAGCAGGTTGTTGTATTCTTCCGAGTTGAGCTGGTCGTCCCATCCATGCCTGATCTTGAAGTGGCCGTCAGAAGTATCGTCTTCCTCCGCCGGAGGGTCTGGTGCAGGGGAGGCATTGCGGCGTGGACCAAAGTCACTCTTCGCTCGCGCAAGGGATGGTCGACTAGTGGGGGCTCCGAGGGAGGCGCGTCGCTGGGGTGTTGGGGTTTGTCCATTAACTTCTTGGGAGGTGCGACTGTTTGAAGGATGTGCGGCCGCTGCAGTGCTAGGACGTGATGAGGTGGTACCCTGGGGCGTTTGTGAATCGTGTGGCGGACCCGGCGGTCCATTAAGAGATTCCATACCGGCGGAGTTTGTGCTACGAGCAGAGAGAGGTTGAGGACGTAAAAGGTGGACGGTATGCGCGTGTTAAGGAACTGGCACTTAAGCTGAGGTCGAGCTGGCTGCGATATCAATCTTTCTGGCCGCACCCATGACGGATAAGGCGCAGATGCTCTAGAGATGCAATAGTGGATGGCGTAGATAGCAGTAGAGGAAAAAAGGTAGAAGAGATGGTGGTGCAATGCGTTGCGTCACGTATAAAGCTGAGCGCTGGGTGCCCGGAGTGCTCGCGGTGAACCTTTTCGGTTGAGCTCGAGGGTCGAGGTGAGCTTGCACTGGCACACGTGCGGCCACCCAGAGAGGCCTCATTATGTCATCATCCCCAATTGGGTGGGAGAGGAGTGGTTGTTTGCCGTGGCCAATCAGCGGACAGTCCATGATCTGCGCCGGTCGCCTATTCGGGAAAAGACTGTGAAACAAGACAGGTGGGTGTATCTCGAATGCCTCGGAGGTATATAGCACTACATACAGTGTTCCGTATAGGTACTTATCAACAAGCTGTGAGTATTGCCCTGTAGTTACTGCTTAACACTCCATATCTCTAGGTACTCAGTACCTGTATATCTCAACAGGAATATACTCTGTGCAACCAATTGGCTCTCTGCTAACACATGATATACCTAGTTCATCCACCGTACACATGCAGACAGGTAAGGCCTGCATCTGCACCGCAATAATGTATGTGCTACACAGCACTGGACGGTGAAGAATAGGATAAGTCAGATGTGCATTTTATCCATTGATCCCCGTAAATCTGTCCCTTGACGGTGTCGAGGGCATGACACAGTAAGTGTATGTATAAGCTTGAACTATGTATGCTTCCCACTGTCCGTGTGCAAGCATTCATAAGAGGTACTGAGGCGAGCTTTTTCAGGTGAAGAATTGAGCACAGCAATCAGCAACCACAGTGCACTGTGCTGGAGGAGCCTGTACCGTGTAGGAAACTGCAGTTGGTGAAACAAATGCTCGGGAGTCTGAGCAAAGACTCCGCTTTCTTTGCTGCGAATTCATGTACTATGTTGGATTGGGTCTAGTATAGCCTGTTCTCCGGACGCCATCATCGACGGACAGGAATAGGGGGCAACCCGCGCAGACGCAATCGATGTGCGAATGCGACATTTGGTCAAGTCAAGCGGGATTGGGATTGGCACTGGCCCTTCAACGGTTCAGTCATGTTGATTTAGTGCTCAGTTGCGAATATGATCCGTGATCTGTCAACAGTCGCTACATATCGATATCAACGTGCGGTGTCCTAACGTTTAACGTTTCTTTCATTGTTTTCGCATACGCTTCATAAGTTTTTCTTCTCATTTCCACTAGAACATTTGAGGGCGACAAGGTTATTACCCCAAATCTGGTAGTTATGAAAGTTTAGCTCCGAGATGCCAGTGGATCTGTCGTACTCGTGCATGCAGCAAGGCTCTCTCCACCGTGATATGTACAGCAACCAATGATCTTCTATTCTACGACCCATCCTGGTCCCCCACCCCCCAGTCAGCCAAAGTGAGCGGCTGATCGGGTCTGCCATTCAGGGGAAGGGGATGTGAAGGGTTGCTGGTGGTATACGCAGTAATGGTAGATGGATGGTGGGAGATGAGCGTTGAATGATGGAAAATGAAGATGAGGGACGACGGGCGCCGCACACTATTGCGCAAGCTACACGATCCGTACGTGAGGCGTTCGTAGGTATAATCGTGGCACAGAGTACGGTAACAGTATCCTTACTGTGCACGGGAATCTACAAAGATTACAGTGTACTACCACAGTACCACTCAAGTATGCAGCGACAGGAAGTGCTACTATCGAACGCGGTAGGTCGATGTAATTATACATACCCCGTCAGTAGTCCACAACTACTGGGAAAGTCGAGCGCATTGCTTTCAAGATCCAGCAATAGTAACGCCTATTTGTTAACTATCCTTGGTCATTTTCTGTGCCTCCTTTCTCTCTAAGGCGTCTTTGTTCCTGGCCTAAGTAGCGTTCCGACCCAGAGTTCATGTATGCGTGTGAGTAGTAGTCAAGTCGGGGACACGGGAATGTCATTATTGTTATTTCGAGTACGATTGCAGTGAAAGTATATATAGAGTAGTGTAACGAACAGGAGTAACTCCTCCTCCTCCTCCTCCTCCTCCTCCTCCTCCTCTTCCTGACGCTGCTAGACCTGTTCTGTAGCGGTTGTTCCCCCTACTACTGTGTATCTACTAGGATCCATCCATACCTTACCCTTACCCACTTAAGGGCCAAGGCTTCATAGGACCTCCCATAGCGCACACTGTGTTGCGACTTCCGCGACACCTTCTGCCTTTCCTCTCTTACATCGCCCTCTGTCGCTCTCTGGGCTTGCCCATATTTTCCCTTCACGCCTCCCCTCAAACCGTACTTGAAGTCCTGCGGGCATATCGCTGACACGAGACATTAAGACACGCCGGTTAATGATCGTCACTCCGCTGCTGCTCATCCACCAGCCGCCAGCTTCACCAGCCTCCCCCCGGAACTCTCGATTTCCTCCACGCACCCACGATATCTCGCCCCTTTGCGAATCCACACCCACCACTCCGTCATCTCTATTGATTCCCGACCGAATGCGTCCTTGAACGGCGCTGGCAGCCCACAACTCGAGCCCCAGCCGGTGGTGATTCTCTGGCATCATGTCGTTTCTTTTCGGGAAGAAGAACAAGCAGCAACAGCAGCAGCAGCAGCAGCAGCAGCAACAGGGCAATGCGCTACCTCCCGCCTCACGAAATATATCTTCGTCCCACGGCCAGGGATCGCAAATTCCCACGACCAATGGAGCTAGCAGCAGCGAACAAGAAAAAAGTCGCGGCGGCCCTCCAAGGGAAACCCCTACTCCGGGTACCAGCGTGAATAACTCTCTCAGCTCGCTGCGAGACCCAGCTATCACCTCAAGCCCTGAGCCGAAAACGTTACGAGATAGAGCCGATTCAGATCATCAGGTAAGTTGTCATATATCTACTAATGCAGGCGTCGAACGAATATCAATGGCTGATGGTATGACCAGAACCCAAGAGGACCCCGAAATCCACAAGACTCGCCGTATCCTTGGTCCTCCCGTCGTCTGAACTTCACCACTTCCGCGAACCCATTCCCTCGGTATGGCGCCGCCATCAATGCGACCGCCTCCAAAGATGGAGTTCTATACATTATGGGTGGCCTCGTTGCCGGCTCCACCGTTAAGGGAGATCTATGGGTGACCGAAATGGGCAATGGCAGCTTGCAATGTTACCCGATCTCGACGAGCGGCGACGGCCCCGGTCCGAGAGTCGGCCACTCGAGTCTCCTCGTCGGGAATGCCTTCATCGTATTCGGCGGCGACACGAAGTTGGAAGACAATGATGATTTGGACGATACCCTATACCTTTTAAATACCTGTATGCGACTTTCCCCCAATCATTCAAGATGGCAGGCTAATTATGCGCAGCTACGAAGCATTGGTCGAGAGCACTACCGCAAGGTCCTAGACCAACAGGCCGCTACGGCCATACACTGAATATACTTGGATCCAAGATTTACATCTTTGGTGGCCAAGTGGAGGGCTTCTTCTTCAACGATTTGGTTGCATTCGACTTGAATTCGTTGCAGTCTTCTTCTAGCCGGTGGGAGGTACTTTTACCTAACACTAAAGAAGGCGAAGTGTCTCTACCGCAGGGTCGCTCGCCGCCGCCGCGTACCAATCACTCTGTCGTCACATGGAACGATAAGCTCTATCTGTGAGTTAATTGCTTAATTATCCAAACTCTTACTAACGCTATGCTAGCTTTGGCGGTACTGACGGAAACGTCTGGTTCAACGATGTTTGGACCTACGAACCTAGAACCAATTCGTGGACTGAACTGGACTGTATAGGCTACATCCCAGTCGCACGCGAAGGTCATTCGGCGGCATTGGTCAACGACACAATGTACATTTTCGGAGGAAGGACCCAAGAAGGAGTCGATCTCGGCGACCTTGCAGCATTCCGAATTTCCTCTCGTCGATGGTACATGTTCCAAAACATGGGCCATTCACCTTCTGCGCGTTCCGGGCACAGCATGACTTCGTTTGGCAAACACGTTATTGTTCTGGCTGGTGAGCCCAGCTCATCAGCGAGTGACAGAAACGAGCTCAGTATGGCTTACATTCTCGACACTTCGAAGATCAGATACCCTCCGAACGAAAACGCACCTGTGCAGCAGCAAGGGGGCGGTTCCCGAAAAATGAGTGGGGAGAGGAGCAACATACCCCAAGGCAAGGCAGGTTCACCACCGACGCGAGAAAGTGTGATGCCCGCGCCTGGGTCGTCGCGCGCTCCCGAACAAGGCCCGGGAGGTTCACGTCTCCCACGTGTAGCCAGCCAGGCACCCCCAGGCCCTCCGCCACTACAAATGCCTCCCCAGCCAAGAGCCAATGGACCTGGATCGGCCGGCCCTGGTTCAGGAAACGTCCCGAGGAACAAAACTCCTACTAAAGATACTCGCGCTTACGGACCACCCATCGACACAAGAGGTGGCTCCTTCGAACGAGAGAACATTTCTCCAATCGTGAGAGAGAGTCCCTCCGCCGGTGCTTCAGCTGGGCACGCGATGGTCAATGGTCAACGAAAACCGTCTGACCCAACAAATCAGAACCGCGAACCCAAGGGATCCATGGACACATCAAGATCAGGAAGTCTCGCCTCGCGAAACACATCCAGGTCGCACCGACAGCAACACTCGCTGGAGAGCCTTGAGCAAGAAACCCCAAGACGTTCCATAGAAGCTCAACAGCGTGCATTGAGCCGCGAAACCGATCAACGGCCGATTGATAGTGGTGTCGGCGCATCGCCAGCCCTAACGCAACAAAACGACGAGCTAGCACGTGAACTAGAAGCCGCGAAAAGTCGAAATGCGTGGTATGCATCTGAACTTGCATTGGCTCGAAAAGCGGGTTATAATGCCGGCACCTCGACAAGCCCTATCCTGGACGAGAGAGCGGCCGACATTTTCGGTGACGATGACCGACCTCTGATCGAGGCTTTGCTCAAGATGAAGAACGAGCTCGAACGAGTCCAAACCTCAATAAAGACTCAGGGAGACGATGCCGCGAAACGGATTGCCGAGGTAGAAAGACAGCGTGACGCAGCCATCGGCGAAGCCATCTATGCCAAAGCTAAGTTGGCTGCCCATGGCGGTGGAAGCCAAGGTGGCACGCCTCAACCTGACGGCGTTCGAAGCACAGCTACACCTGATATGGATCGTGTTGCCGATATCAATCGCCGACTTGCGGCATCGTTGCACTCTCAATCTGAGCTGTCAACAAAATTGGATAGGATCACGTTAGAGATCGAAGGCGAACGGAAAGCTAAGCAGCTGGCAGAGGAAACTGCCGAAGCGGCTCAACGCCGCGTCCAAGAGCTCGACACCTCCCACCAAAAGCACGCAGCCGAGTTGGAGAGCTTACGTGCAGAATTGCACGAGGCAGAACGATTGGCGAGAGAGTCATCGGCAAATGCGACCGAGGCTGAGGCGTCGTCTAAGCTGTTGGCCGTTGATAAGAACGAGTTGAGTGCACGTTTTGCAAAGGTTTCCGAGGAATCCAGAAATCACGCTGCCATACTGCAGTCATTACGCGATGCCGTCACTGCATCCTCCGAAAAGTCCAGCTTCCTAGAAAAGAAACTGGAAGAAGAGAGATCGGAAAGGGACCATCTAGGACAGAAGCTTGCTCAGCTACGCGCAGAACATGAGGATCGAACAACAGAACTTGAATCGGCATCACGAAAGTTGCGAGACGCTGAAGAGCTTGCCGAGAAGTATGCTGAAGAGTCTCGACTTCACCAGCAAGCTGTGCTCTCCGGTCTCGGTAAAATCGCCGAGCGCGATGACGACGAACACGAGGCGATGGACGAACGTGTCACTATCCTGCAGCAACAAGTCGAGGCTGCCAATGGCATGATTCGTAAGAATCAGGCTGCGGCAGATCAGGCATCTGAGAAGCTCCGCCGTGCCGAGGAAAGGATCGCTGGTTTGGAAGCCTACCAAGAACAGTCCAGCCGTGAAGGCTTGACTATTCGCAAGCAACTTCAGCAGTCGATGCGGGACATCCAAAACTCACATGCTGAGAAGGCTGAATTGCATCAACAATGCGAGCGTTTGCGCCTCGAAAGCAATGCTTTCGAAGTGCAACTGAAAACCCTCAAGAACCTCCTAGAAGAACGAGGCGTCAACCCAGTCGATGCACGACGGTCCCGAGTTCTCGACAGCCCTGGTTCCAGATTCGGTACTCCTGAACTCAACCGTGTTCGCGAGCTCGAACAGCAAATTGACAACATGACCAAAGCCCACGAGGAGCTACGGGGTGTTTTTGAGCAACGTGAACACGAAGTCAGTAAGGACTGGGAGGATAAACTACAGGCTCTCCACAACGATCATCAGGCGGCTGTCAAATATTTGCGAGGCACAGAGAAGATGCTCACCAAGATGAAGCAGGAGCTCGACAGATACAAGGAGAAGAGTTCACGACTTGAGGAGGAGCTCAACCAGACGAAACAGGCTGCTCAGAACTCCGACCGATCAGCAGAATGGGAGGCAGAGCGAGCTTCCCTCCGTTCGGAGTTGTCGACAGCTCAGGATAACATGAAGTCTACCGTGGCTCGTTTGGAGGGTCAGCTCGCGACGGTACAAAAGGAACTAGCTGCTGCTCAAGGGGAAATCGAAGCGGCTACAAAGAAGATGCGAGAAGCAGAATCATCAGCCGAACTTTCTCGTGCTGATCTTGATACTTTGCGCCAGCAGAACGAGAGCCTCGAAGAGCGAGCTAAGGAGGCAGAGCAGCGTGTCCAGGTCTTCCTTGACCAATTCGAGACATCGGTGGACAACTATCGCCGCCAGTCTCAGGTTTCTGTCCCAGAAATGAACGGAGCACAGCTGCGACACCGTACTCACGACAGCGTAGCGTCCGGGGAATCACTGTACAGTGGTAACGACGGATCCAGCACACCCGACGCGAATGGACCTGGCTCTTCAGCTACACGCAATTCCATGGCCCTCGACAACCTGGCTTCCGAGCTTGACGCCCTACGAAGCCACTGGGAAACGACCAACAAGGCCTACCGTCTTAGCGACCGATTTGATTTCGAGCGTACCCCAAATAGCGATAAGAACGAGCTCAGCGACTCGCTTGCGCAATGGCGGAAGCGCATGGACACAGAAGATAACGAACATGATGGCATTATGAAGGAAAACAAGGCCGGGCAACCACAATCTTCCAGCACAACACCCACCACCGCAACGGCACCTGCCGGCCCCACTATGATATGAGCTCTTGACGTGTTGAAACGTTGATACTTCCAAGTTTGGCGTCGGCGTTTTGATTTTGTTCTTCTCTCACTCCGTTAGCACAGTTCTGAAAAGCGAGGCCTTGCGCAAGTCTCTACCATTTCACTTCACGTGCAAAACGCAAGCGAAAGGCATTCCATTACTACATTCTGTTCAATCTGGCATGGTTCTCACGGCTTCCAATGTCGCCTGGGTCCGGGATATTGGGGCTGGGATATGTTCTCAATGTTTTACTCCGACCTCGTCTCAAACCTGTCCGCCTGGAGGAGGCGCTTCTTTTCGTACTATACCACTTTTTTTATATTCACGTATTCTCCCGGGGTGTACCTTTTTTATTCTCTCTCGGCCTTTTTTTTGCCCATGCTGCTGATAATTTTCTCGCACTCTTTTAATATCACACTGTTATCACACAAAACAAACAACAACTTTGGTTCCTTGCTCCCCATCGATCTTGATGGAAATAACCAAAGGAGCTTCTTCACTTTCGGGTTCTCTGACTCTACTCTACTCTCCTCTGACTGACGGAACGGCCTCAACTTATCAAGCGTTGCTGCAGATTGGCTGGCCTAGGCGCTTTTTATAACGGTCTTTTCTGCTGCTTTCTTCTGAATGTGTTTTGTCTAATATTTACACACTCTTTCCTTATTCACGAGGCCGGAAAATATGGAACACTTTTCTCCTTTTTGATGATCATGATTTTGCGTGTGAGTCTGTGACTGATAACTTCGTACCCGTCGTATTGTTGAATCTCAAGTGGAAGCAAGAAAAATTGATCTAAAAAGCCGCTTGCCAAACTCGTGAACCGTATGTCTCCTTCACGACTCAACGCCGTGAAGTCAAGATGCTCCCTCCCATCCATCCCTCCTCAAAATCCCAAAAGAGAAATTGGGAATACCCTCAGCCAAACAACCAATCATCCCACAAATCCCCCCAATCGATCCTCGCCTCCGGTCCCTCCTTCCCCTCCCCTTCCCCCATCCCGTGCATGGGATCCCCATTATCATGAACCGTAACACCCACCATCCAAAACACATTACCACTTCCCCTTCCGCCTCCTATCGCTGCAGCTCCGCCAGCTCCAACCGTCGCTGCCGCAGCCTCAGCCTCAGCATCTCCAGGATGCTCGTACGCGACCTCCCCCGCGCACCGCCCCAGCGCCTCGTCGACCATCCACACCGGCACGTCGCGCGCTTTCATGTCCATGTGTTCGATGGGGCCGCCCGGGCTGCGGCGGGGAGTTGTGTCTGTGCGTTTGGGGTACATCTGATGTTCGTTAGTGATTGATTTGGAAAAAGGGGAGATGGGGGGATGGAGGACGTACGGGCTGGAGAGACATTGTGTGGCGGGATGTCAGACAGGGTGCGTCGAGGATTGCTGTGGTGTGGTTTAGGGGTATGGTCTATAGTCCGCCATGTTAGCATTTGCTTTCCCGCATGAAGGACTGGGTTTTGGTGAAGAGGTATCGATCTTACATGCGCGTCAAACTCCGCCAACACCTCCCTCTCGTCCAGCCCATCCTGCTCGACGACCCGCAGCGCGAGGTCCCTCGCCCTCCAGACCTGCTGGTCTATGACCGCGAGCCCCCCCATCGGAATGTTGAACTCCGCCACCGTGTTGTCTCTCCGCGGGAGCTTGATCGACTTGGGCGTCTGCTCGGGCGGCCGGACGAAGAACTCGTGCTGGGTGATGGGCTGCATGACGACGGCGCCGGCCCCCGCGTCGTTGGGGCCGTCAGGGTTGTCGGGGTCGTTGTTGTCTTCGACGGACAGGTCGCCGATCTCCACGTCTTCGATTATGACTTCCTTCCGCTCGTCGTCATCCACGTCTTCCATTGACTCATCTTCATCATACTCGCCTTCAGCGTCATCATCATCGCCTTCAGCGTCATCATCATCGCCTTCAGCGTCATCATCATCGCCTTCAGCGTCATCATCATCGTCAGACGCCTCGTCTTCAACGACTTCCTCCACCTCATTAACACCAAGGTACACCCGATCCTTAACCCCGACCCCAAACCCCGGACTCCCCTCGCACAACCACTGCGCCCACGGCTTCAACCCGCACTTGTACCTCCCGAGGCGGAACGGGACCGGGTTCGTGAGCCCGTTCTTGCCCGTGTGGTGCACTACGTCGCCGGTTACGTTTCCCGTCTCCCCGCCCTTGCGGCCCTGGATGACGTGGTTGAAGAAGGCGAGCGCGGCCTTCCAGTTCTGGTTGAACTTCTCCGCGTGGTCGCAGTCTGGGATGACGCCGCGGGCGCGGTGGTCCCAGAAGGTGTGGGGAAGGGGTGCCGTGGCGTCGAGGAGGGTGTCGAGGAGGTGGAAGAGCACCGCGTGCATTTGCGGCGTGTCGGACGGGTAGAAGGTCGTGAAGTATTCGAGGAGGGAGATCGTGCAGCGCGTGTGGTCGTCGAGGAAGGCGGAGGTGCAGGGTTGGAGGGTGAGGTTCGAGGTTGGGGCGTGGTAGAGGAGGGCGCCGCGGCCGGGGTGGTTGGGGAGGGACTTCACGCGTCGGGAGAGGGGGATCAGGGCGACGGTTACGTCTTGGTGGATGTAGGTGTGGGTTAGAGATGGTTGCTCGCTGTGGTCGGATACTGTGATCACGGGAGGTGTGCTTTTGTTGCGGATGTATAGAGGGGTGGAAGGGTGGAACTTGGAGTTGGTAGGGATGAAAGCCCATTGGCTGAGTTGGTGCATATAAGTCGCCATGCTTGGTGGTTTGAGAATGAAGTATTTGTGTTTGGTTTGAGGGTGGAGATGGAAAGTTGTTGTTTATATTGATCAGTGGAGTTGTTGATGCCAAGACTTGACTTCACTTCGTCGCGAGACAGATGAGATTACGGTTTGATGAGTCTATACTGGTCTATGAGTTTCCTTTCATTTCGAAGTCAGTGTACACTGATGTGCTATCTACTCTACCCTAGCCCTGGCGTACACCGAGATTGCCGCCAGTTTAGTTACAAGTACCTCGACCTCAACTGACTGAGCGTACTCACTACAACGATCATGTTAGCACACTGTAACACTGTAGCATAGAGAAAGACTCACTTCTACCATGCTGTATGTTGCTCAGCAAAGCCTCCTCAAGCGCCGATTGGCTAATTCCAGCATCTATCTCTCATCAGTATCGATTTCACCAGTGACGTTCGCAAGAGTAACAAACCATCTATATCGCTGAAACTGCTACCCATACTAGGAGTGCCATCACTGCCCTCTCGTTTGCCCCTCCCACGCGGACTCAGTCTCGCAAGCTCGGCCCTGTGTCTGGGACTCAGGGGACCATGTCCAGCAGTAGATGGCCTCGGGGCATCGCTGGCGGAACTGGCGAGTGACGAGCTGGCGTCCATGGACTTTGGATATTTACTGGATCCCGCGGCTTGCCTGGACTTGTCGCTGGTAGGTTGATGATGGGGCGCATGCCTCCTTTTGCCAGCCGGGCCGGCATCCTTCGGACCTTGGGCGAAGGGCAATGATCCGTCTCCGCTCTGCGCGAAGTCATCGACGTCGTCTTCGGGCTCCTCGTCGTACGCAGAGAGCTCGCGCGGACGCTGCTTCTGAAATCGTGGAGGGCGCTTGAACAGCTGGCTGCGATGTGCAGGGTTGTCCAGGTCGTCCGAGTCGGAACTTGATGAACTTGAAGATGATGACGCCGCAACAGATACAGTACCTATGTCCTGGGAGTCTGCTTGATTCTGGGAGTTAGTTCGAATAGGCGCCGTAGGTCGCGGGCTGGTGATGGAAGGCCGAGCAGTGCGTTGAGACTGCGTCCGGAGCGGGATCTGCTGGGATGTTGCCTTCGATTGGGTGATGGTGTTGGTTGACGGCGTTCGAGACAGTGGAGGTGCTGGCGGAGGTCCCGACGATACTGCCCACAATCAGACTTCCTTCATATCAAAATAACAACATCGTAACCTACCATAGATACTAGCATCCCCTCTAGCAACAGGACTATCCCTCGGCCGTACCGACAACGCCGACGGAGTCCTTGAAGCTACACATCATGTCAGCCTCATTCTTTTCCGCGACCCACTCGACAATAAACAAACCTCTCGAGCCCGCGCTTCCAAGCCTCTGCATCGGTATGCCTCCAGGAACAGCAGAACCGGAATTCGACGGCATACTCGCACCACCGCCGCCTCCCCCAACCTTCTTCATCTGACTCCTCACATGCTCAAGATGCCGCTCATAAAGCCAGGCCGCCTGCTGTAGCAAGAAAGCCGGCGGGACCTGAAATCGTACTGCGCTGCATTGCATTCACCAAAACGTCAGTTCATTTTAACAATCTTCGCAGAATACCCACAACACACAAGGACGTGGTTGGTTTGCTTACAGTTCAGCCCCTAGCGATTGAACAATCAGCGTAAGTCGTTCAAGACGGAAAACGGAAATGGTAAGACGAGGGCAGGAAGGGGCTTACAGTTGAGATCACTTGTTTTGGGGGACTTGGAGATGACTTTCCATAGCGCGCGGTCTTTTGCTGCGTTCCAGTCCGCCTAAAGGTAGTTAGTATAGTATTCAAACGGTCTTTGGGACCGTGATGGAGTGAGTGATGCGGCTCGGCTTGGGGGTCAACGCACCTGCGGCGGATCGACGAAGTCGCCTCGCGCGAATGGGAGGCGTATGAGGGTAGTAAACTGTACGGCAGACATTGTTTCTAATCTTTAAGGGGTTTCTTATTGCATGTCAGTAAGTTTCCTGGGGGTTTAATAACGTGGCGGAGTTGGATGTTTGTAGGGAGAGTTGGCTGGTAGGCTACCGGCAGGCGGTTGTTGGGGTGAGGTCTGGGGAAGGGAAGGGGACGTGGAAGCAGACAAGCGTGAGCGAGGTTACGCAACGTCACGTCTTCACGTTGTCACGAGGCAGGTCTGGTTGCTTAGTCCCCTCTGATATATGGGATTGGTTTGTCTTGTATTTTCGTATTGTACATAACTACATGATTGGGGTTTAATTCTCATGCGCCGAAGCTAACAGAGAGTCCCTTCGACGCAATGAGCATCTCGCCCGTCTACCACTTCTGGCCGGTGATCTTCTCATAAGCCTCCTGGTACTTCTCCGCCGTCCTCTTCACCACATCCTCCGGCACAACAACGCCCTCCTTCCCCTTCAACTTATTCTCCGTGAGCCAGTCGCGCAGAAACTGCTTATCAAAGCTCGGCTGCGCCCTCCCAAGATTCTCCTCCCACGTCTCCTTCGGCCAAAACCGACTCGAATCCGGTGTGAGCACCTCATCAATCAACACCACCTTCCCCGTCTCCTTATCCAACCCAAACTCAAACTTCGTGTCCGCAAGCACGATCCCCACCTCCTCGGCGCGCTTCGCAGCCGCGCTGTAGATCTGCAACGACTGCCGCTCGATCTCGTCCGCGACGTCCTGCCCCACGATCTTCGCAGCCGCCGCAGGACTGATGTTCTCGTCCTTGTCGCCGAGCTCCGCCTTCGTGCTCGGCGTCCACAGCGGCGTCGCGAGCTTCTGGCCCTCGATGAGCCCCGCGGGGAGCGGGATCCCGTTGACCGTCTGCGACTTCTTGTACTCAGCCCATCCGGAGCCGGTGATGTAGCCGCGGACGATGGACTCAATGGGATACACTTGCAGACGGCGCACCTGCATGCTGCGGATGCGGAGCGGTGCGGCGACGTCGGGGCCGAGTTGGGTTTCGAGAGTTGGGGGGAGGCCGCTGGCGATGAAGTGCGTTTGGAGGCCGGGGATCTGGGAGGATAGGTATTGGAACCAGTATTTGCTCATCGCGGTGAGGAGCGCGCCCTTGCCGGGGATGCCGTTGTCCATGATCACATCGTAGGCGGATATCCGGTCGCTGGCGACGAAGAGAAGGGTCGATTCGTCGATGGTGTAGAGGTCGCGCACTTTGCCGGAGGCTACCTTTGGGAGGGCGCCTTTCAGGTCGATGGTCGTTATAGTTGTAGATGAAGACATTGTTGATATAGATTGTAGGTGGTAAATTCGGTGGTGTAAGTTGCGCAATTGGGAATTGAAGAGGAAGTTAGTCACTCTGTAGTTCCTTAATCGGCTGCCAAAAAGTTCGCAAATGACGCGCAGGCGGGGCTCTCGCGTGGCGGGGGTAGTGAAAGGTGGGTGGCTATTACCTGATATATACTAGTATACTAGAATGGATATTGGGTGTTCAATAAAAAGGGAGATATTTTCACTACAGCCCGGAGGACGTTTATATATAGGGATTGAATCACTTTTTTTCGGCGCTGCTTGAAACATTGCGGCGGTTACACAATGATTGTCCATAAAAGCGGTGTTGTCTTGGTTCACTGCTAACACTGTCGCAAACAGAGGTCTCAGATTGGAACAATTGTTAATGAATGTCTGCAAAATCTACGTAGTTTGGGTATATTGCAATCACGATTGCACACAAAAGCCTGGACCGTCATATTATTGTACATTGTCTATATAAAATGCGTATTTTGGGTATATTGCAATCATTTTTGCATAGTCGTTAGATCAGTGTGTATGTTCAATGTTCCTATGCGGGAATGGCAGCTCCCAGCGCAAGGGGAAGCTCGCTCTCCGTGCCAATGTCATCGAGCCCCTTGAAGCCATCTTCAACCACCCATTTTTGCTCGAAATTTCTGAGCACGTTGCATCCGTTTCCAAGGACCAGGAGGCCAGGAGGTCGGCTACCTTCCTCCTCGACAGCCGCGCACACATGTTCCAGTGTTGTGCGAATGACTCGCTGGTCGGGGCAGCTGGCTCTTTCCAGCACTGCGCAAGGTGTGGAGAGTGGGTATTTCTTTGTATCCACAAGGCTCTCAACAAGCGAGGACAGACGATGCAAAGCCATCAGGAACACCACCGTTCGAGATGCTTTGTACTCTGGAGGGTCGGGGGCCGCACCCTTCCGGCCAGTGCCGGTGCATATCAGGACTTCGTCTGCAACGCCGCGATGTGTAGCAGGAATATCGGCAAACAATGGAGCGCTTAGGGCACTCGTGATGCCTGGCAGCACAGTGGGAACGAATCCATGAGCTCGGAAAAAGTCGTACTCCTCTCCACCACGTCCATAGATGTACGGATCGCCTTGCTTGATCCGCACAACCACCTTCCCAGCCTTCAACCCTGCCAAACCCATCTCGAGGAGTTCCTCTTGCGCTTTGTCGGCATTTCCAGGGAACTTCCTCGCGATGTGTACAGTGGCGCGGCGGGGGACGAGGTCCAATATGGGCGCTGGTACGAGTTTGTCGGCTAGGATGAGGTCTGCGGAAAGGATGGCTTTGTGTGCGGCTCGTGTCAATAAATCCGGATTGCCAGGACCAGAGCCTGCAAGTATGATTCGCCCAGGCCGCTTGTCACCATCCTTTCCATTGTCCCCGCCCTTGAAGATGTTTGAACGAGAATAGTCGCGAAGTAGAGTCTCCACATCAGCATCTGTGATTGCAGCAAGGCGACGAAGCGGCCAGTACTCGCAGATCTGTGATAGCCAGCGCATTCTTCGGCCTCGAGCAGACTCGGCACTCTCCGCCAGAATCAGCTTGTTGAAGGTAGCAGATTGGCCTGAGTCTTCATCCTCGGCTTCGAGATCCTGCGAATGCTCGTGTGCGTGGTCCTCCTCCCAAATGCGTCGTCGCATGGTGCCCAGTCTGTCTACCGCAGCTCCAAGATTTTGCGGCAGCGACGATGCAATCTCCCGTCGTATCCTTGCCGATAGCTTACATCCCTTGCCCGATGTGGTGACTCCGATTTGAATTGGTCCGTCGGAATGGGTGGAGAGCAACGAGAATGAGCATAAGTTAGGGGCGTCGGCGACATTGATGGGTATTCTTAAGCGTCGGCAAAGGCTCGATATTTCAGTGCCTGGAGCAGGTTAGTATAAGTTTAAATAACAGACAGCGAGTCCCATAGACATACTTTGACTGCCTTTACCACCGGTGGTAACGAATACCGCGTCCACGACGCCATCAACTTCTGCGCGACCAAGCGTGGTCAAATCGTCTTCTGTGAATCCACGCTTGACCCATTGCACAGCACCCTCCTCTATCCGCTTCGACAAAGTGTAGTGAAAGGTGGCATCCTCAGGGGCAATGACAATGGGCTTTGCGCCCACTTCTATTGAGCGTGTACAGCGAGCTCCGGCGAGGGGATTGGAACCGATAATCAAATGGACATGATTGGTCGAATCGATTGCTGTGAGCAACGAGGGCGCCATGGTATGCAAAAGAGAAGGAAAAGACTGTGGTCAGAATCGAAAGAAAAGAGGATTCGAGATCAGGATATCAGAAGAATAATAACAAAATCAATCATGCGCGCATCGGAGGGGGAGAGAGTCCAGTCAAAGTAAAGACCAGTCAAGACAAATCGAAAATCTGGAGACCCCACCGCCCACCGCTTACAGATAAGGCGACTGTGACTTGACGGCGATTGCGCGATCGTTTCTTTCCTTTTTTTTGTTCCGATATCGATAGGCACTTCCAGAACGGGACTAGCGCGGGTAGAGTGCGGCGACCCTCGGAGAAGCCAGAACTCACCTCTGATGGTTCGCCTGGCGTCGCTGGCTCGGCTTGGGACTCCGTGGAGATGAACCTCTCCTTTGTTGTTGCCGCGGCTTTTGATTGGTAGGCCGAGCTCCATGCAAAAAACATAGAGTAATAAATCACACTACCCCTCTGGCCCATAATCTAGATCCTATCCTGGTCCTGATCATGATGTTGCTGATCCTGCTGATAACAAGAAATGCAGCGGAGATGTAGAATGTTGTTGGGCATTATTTTAATCTTCCTGACCCATGACGATATTGAGTGCCTTTCGGCTAAGCAAGATCGTGTGTTCGAGAGCATTCAGTTTGGACATGGCTGATATCAGAGAGGGGTCCTGGCTCTCGATTCTGATCTTCTCTTTCACGCGCACCTCTTGGCCTCTATACTTGAACGTCCGGTCGGCTTCATCGTGAACAGGTAGTCGTGCGCCTCCCAAGGCTACAGCCAGTCTATCTCGTAGGCTGAACCCAGAATGGATCTCGTCGGGATTCTGGACTTCGAGAGTCCGAATCTCTAACAGAAGCGCTGCATCGAACACGAAAAGGTTGAAAGAAACGTTGGGAGGCAAGGGCGGGTCGAAGATCTAAAAGGCCACGTTCAGCATTATATATCACGCAAACAGATCCCGTTACGCACCTGCTCATCCGCCGGTTGTTCCCACCAGGGCTGCTGAACGTCTGAATATCCCCTGAGCGCGTTCCTTGCTTCCTGGATGTTATCATGCAACAGTTGAAGCTGGCCAGAAACGAAATTGGCATTCTTTGCATCCCCTGTCCATAGGGTGACGTCTATGACATCTAGACAAGTATTGATGAAGGTTCTGACCGCGGTCAATTGCTGGATAACTAGGGTCGGAGCTTGAGGCTGGGAGGATATCGTGAGGTCGTAGGTGGTCGATCCTCGAGGAGGTGGGAGAGTTGACAGGCGAAGCTTGATGTTCTGTATTACTCGTCAGGGTTGGGTGCCTTTCCCCAGTATTGTGTCTCATAACGTACGCCCTTCACGATGCGAGTGCCAACGCGTGTAACCAGACCCTTGAGACTTTCCGAACGCACAGAAGTGAGGACCAAGGTAGAGCCGTTCTCAGAGGGCGCGAGTAGAGTAGCACATTCATCCAGGCCGGATTTCAGGGATTGGAGTGTTTCGCGAAGTTCGGCGAGGAGCCATTCGAGCTCACGAGCCTACGACTGGGTCAGCCTGGAGCGTTAGGATGCGGTGCGGAGGCTGATGCGTACTTGAGAGGTAGCCTGTTCCTGGAGAAGAGTATCGAGGTCTATGGGCGGCCAGACGGCGGTAGACATGGCGGAGATTAAGCGCGAGCCTTCAGATGGTGACGAGGAGAGGTGGGAGGTATGGGAGCTGTAGATTCGATGCCTCGGTAGGTATCCAAGGAACTCGTGGAGAGCGTTTCTACGCGCGGGAAGCTGGAGAGCTCGGGAGCTTGGGAGCTTAGGAGCTTGGACGTTAGGGAGCTGTGTTGGACCAGAAGGGGAGGGCTGATGATGACAGGACGGGAAAAGACAAGACAGAATGGGTTGATCTGGTCACAACGCATCATTGATCCATGTAGCGATCACAAGACAGAGTCTCCACCAAAGCGCCCGATCAAGAAACACTGCATTGTGAATTGCACGGGTAGACGTCGATTCGCACCAAACCTGACGCGGCGGATGCACATGAAAGTGAAAAGTATAGAACCAAACCATCTATGGTAACTACTAGCACAATAGCTTCAAGTCCACGTCCATTAGTTTGAGAATCTAAATCATCTTGATGATGCAGAAGTTTGGGAAACATCACGCTCAGGTGACCTCATGGGTGTCAGGCTAGCCTATGAGGTGGAAGAGTGGAAGATGCCCCCATCCCCGATTACCGCATTCGACAAGCCTCCTCAAGTTCCCGCCCAAAATACGTCACCGATCTGGACCTACGACCTGCTCTTGTTCTTGTCGGTTGTCAGTCTTATAAACAAATCTTGGTTGCCAACCCGCCATTATCAATTTCGCCCATGAAACACTTTTGATCGACCCCTCACCATTCCTACGAGTACATATTAATCTACGGATCTGCTCTGCTTCCTCCCGCGTGGACCTGGTCGCACTGCATCGCATCTGGGCGCATTCCTTCGACAATCACATTCCTCTCCTCCCGCTCTCAATATCTATCATACCGGGCCATACCGTACAATTCCTGACAGATATCGGCCATTAACTACTTGAATTGTACCTCATACAATTGCTACATTCATCATGGTTCTCGGACGTGCGTTGGCCCCAATCTTCATGATGCTTCAGCTTGACATTACATAAAGAAACAAACAATTGACTTCTCCTCTCCAGGCCCATTGATCGCATTGATATCCCTCATCTTCACAGCCGGCGGCATCCTGCTGTTATTCTTTACCATCCTGCCCGGCGCAGTCAACAGTGCTCCGTTGAACCAGTTCTATTTCCTCGAAGCCAATAACATTGGAAATATTCCTGGCGCCCGCGATCCCTCGCGATGGACTCTCTTCGCCATCTGCGGTGTCAACGGTAAAGGCCACAACGCCAATTGTGGAAGCCCTGTTCCGGCACTTCCATTCGACCCGCCGAGGAACTTTGGCACGAGAGATGGTATTCCGGGGCGATTCATTGGGTATGTATTGTTCAATCCACGTCTCCATGTCTCGTCGTTGTTGTCCATCTTACGACAACCCTTCTATACGTGGTTTGGTAACTAACGCGTCGAAACACAGAACGCACAAGTACTACTATATGTCACGATTTGCATTCGCATTCTTCCTCATGGCCCTGGTCTTCAGCGCAATCGCCCTCTTCACCGGCTTGCTAGCTCTATGTAGCAGACTCGGTGGCTACATTTCTGGTCTATCCACCGGCATCGCTACCTTCTTCCAAGCCATTGCAGCATCCCTGGTGACGTAAGTCCAACATTCTCCACCCATGTCCCTTAAAGACACGTCTTCCAAAAACATGTATACTAACACGTGACATTCAGTGCATGGGCGATTCAAGGCCGCAACGCCTTCAACGGCAACGGCCAGAGTGGCCGCGTCGGCACCAAGATGATGGCCTTCGTCTGGACCACATTCACTCTCTTCTTCTTGTCCACCCTCTTGTTCTGCTGCGGCGGCGCCCTCGGCCGCGATAAATCTTCCTCAGGTGTCACTCGTTCCAGGTCCACTCGCTCCAAGCGTAGCACGCGGAGCAACAGGGGCAGCTTCTTCGACAACGAGTCCCAGCGCAGGATGAAGAAGGACGACTACTCGTAGTGGCTTCGAATCACCACCACTACCACCAGCAGCGACAATTCAGTCCACCGGGAAATCAAAGAAGCCTTTCGAAATCTGGAAGCGCTCCATGGGACTACTCTATTCTAATTCTACGTTAATCTAATCTGCGGAAAGAAGGATGAAGACGGCAGATACTTGGATATCTTCCAATCCTTCCAAACCAACCAACCCTGGCCATTCACTCCAACACGGAAAGAAAAGAAGGCCATTCCACTCGCTCCACGCTGCCACTACTACCAATTCCAAAAGCAAGTCGATTCGACCGGCATTGAACGAAGCTCATTCCGTCGAAACTCGTTTGTACAGTTAATTTGTTCGACCCGCAAGCCAGCAAGCCAGCAAGCCAATATGCCTGCTTTCACTGGGGCTCTAGTACATGAATATATCAGTGTCATGATAGTTAATGATCTTGTAATTATATTAATATATAAATTATTATTACCACCTTCGCTAACCCTTCCACTACCATCGACACCTATATAAAAACATATCTCATCACTTTTAAACAACCGTAACCAAAATCAGTATATTTTTTAAAGACTTTTCATTTCATTCATCTACTACCTAGGTACCTAACTGACTTGCGTCATGTGAATCTACCTACGTATGTTTCCAATGTCATTGAAGGTATCCATGACATGCCATGGCATGCCATTCTCCAGGTTCATTGAAAGGTAGTTCGTCCCAGTCATTCATTCGTTGATCCGTTAATCCGTTACGCCAGTCATCCGTTACGCCAGTCATCCATTCGTGAAATCCATAAGTAAAGGCCGTTTAACCAAGTTCCCAAGTTCAAGGCCCAATTTGTTCCCCCCCACCGTGTACCGAGAGATGCAAGCCAGGAATATCGAGTGAAGGCCCAAGAGCGAGCGAAAGGAAGGGTTGACGACGTCGTCCAATCTCTCACAAGCATGAGCCCAAGCTTGGAGCCCACCTATACGAAATCCCAACTCATCCTGCCCGCCATTCCTGGCGCTGTAGCACCTCCATGACCTCCATCGGTACCGCCCACCACCGAACCTCCACCTACCGAGCCGCCGCCACCCCAAATTCCAACAGGTGCGCGTGCTCCTCCTACGGCGCCGCCCTCGTGGCGGTTGACCATGGCCCAGAGGTAGTCCTGATAGCTCCTGACACGCTCCGCACGCATCGCCCACTCCGCGTTGTCCTTCTGCGTGCCCCAGCGCCTCGCCAGCGCCTCTCCAGCGGTGCGAAGCTGCTCCTCGCGGAGCTGGTACTGCTGGTCGAGGAACCCTTCGGTCTGGCGCTTGCGCTTCATGGTTTCGTAGTCGTAGTCGTGCTGGTGTTGGGGTTCTCCTCCTCCTCCTCCTCGGGTTAGGCTCCGCCGGACGGCGTCGCAGGCCTCGTCGAAAGTGGGCTGCTTGAATGGACCAGCGTCGTTGAAAGTGGGCTGTTGGGCTGGTGGTGGACCGGCTTCGTCACGGCGACCTTGCTGTTGCTGATTCTGATGCTGGTTCTGGTCTTGGGACTGAGCACGCTGCTGCTGCTCCTGCTGCTCCTGCTGCTCCTGCTGTTCTTCCTGCACAGGAGGGGCAGGAGGCAAAACCCCACGGTACCTCTCCTCCATCCACGCGGCGATCATGCTGCTCGCCCAGCCGCCGACCCACGCGAGGCCCGGCGTCTCCTCGTACTCCTCCTCGCCATACAGCGTCTCCGCGACGTCGTCCATGGTGGCGGCGTCGCTGCCGCCGCCGCGCTGGATGAGCTCGAGGTGCATGCACTTGACGCGGGCGCGGCGGATCGCGGCGTCGAGGGGCTTGACGAGCAGCGGGTCGTTGAGGGTGGCCCAGTGGGCGTGCAGGAGGGGAAGGGTGTCGGCGATGGTGAAGACGTGGTTGGCGTGCGTCTCCGTGATGACGAGCGTGCAGACGGGCGTGGAGGGCTGCGCGAAGTTGTTGTCGAGACGGATGCGGAGGTGCTGGTGCATGTCGCGGATGGAGGCGAGGGAGGAGTAGTACAGGTCTTCGAAGTCTTCGAGGGGACGGTTTTTGGCGGATTTGCCGGTGCGGGTCATGGCGAGGGTGGGGGCTGGGGTGAGGGGAGAGGGATGGTGGTGATGGGGGTGGTTGGTATTGTAGTGGCTGGTATTGTGGGTGTTGTTGGTATTGTTGTTATTGTGAGGGTTGATGCCTCCAGCGGCGGCGGCGGCGGCGTTTGCATTCTGGACTGAAGGGCGAAGAGGGCTTGGAGACAACTTTCCCATCTCGAGACGGTTAAGGAGCATTGCCAGGCTGATTTTCCAGGAAACGGGCTTCTCGCTCTTCCAGAGGACAGAATTGGTGTCGATGGCGACGAGATTCATGCTGATGTTGAGAAGTGTTAGCTTTACGGCATCGATGGGGTAACCTTCTTCATGAAAGGGTATCTCAGCTTGGCAAATGGCCGGAGGGAGCACTGAAAACTTGGAGGCAGCATCTCCCTCCATCGCGGCGGCGATTGCGAATGCAATGAAGCAGTGTTTGCGTATGTTGTTTTGGTCGCTGGCCCCCCGTTCGATTCGGTTCGGCCGATGAGGGCAGATACCGGAGGGATTGATGGAACGAGGAGCTGCACGCAATGAATTAGCAATCTGATCAATTGGTATGTAGAGGTAGTGATGCGTATGGTTTTTGAGGGTGTAGGTGGTTTGGGGTGTGTAAACAGGTCGGGGATGGATGTTGTGATGGCAGTGTTGTGTTGTGTTGCTATGCCCTTAGCAACCCTCGTTCAGTCTAGCAACCACCAGGCTTCAATCTCCCTCATGCTTCACCTTCTCATTGTTATTGTCCTTGACAAGTTTACCTATTAACCAGGGGCTTTGGAGTCGTTGTGGTTTTGCTAACCGCTGGTATAATCTGCCAAATAGGTAGTTGACGTCCTTCATGTTGTGCGTGAGGAGCTTCCAACACTGAGGCATAACACAACGAGTATGCGAAGTATCAACGTCAGATGAACTAAGTTCCTCTCTAGCAGACTTTGCGGTACTCTGAGCGAACCTTGGTTATGTACAGAATGTTTACGGGCATGTGAAGATTCGTTTCTGATCATCCATCAATTGCGGTGCTGTAATCCCAAATTTAGAACATCAAAAAGAAATGGATTTTACAGAGCGATATTCTACTTCTTCAAATCTCTTGCCTCCCCTCTTGGCCTGTATCAACACATTCTCTATTGACCCCATCGTCCATTCTCGTCTCGATGCGTTCCCGATTATTTGCCAGGCGCCTCCGTTGCAGCCATGTCGATAGTGCAGAGATATTTTCCAATGTACTTGTTACCACCGCCGCAGTCGTCCTCATGCTCCTCCTCCTTGCATTCACCGACCTGTTTGTCAAAAATATCAATGATTTGCGTTCCGTTTGGTGAATCGCACCCCTCCATGTAATACTGATTTCCTGTGCCGGAAGGCGAGAAATAGGCTCGGCAGGGACCGTCATCAAACCAGTTATGTCCACTGAATGAATTTGTCGTACATGCTTCTCCAGCAGTCCAGGAATACGCACCAAGCATTTTCGGTTCACCTTCGATGAGTTCGTGGCCTAGTCTGATGGTTCTGATTTCGGGCGCTGCGACGGCCTTGGTGCTGCTGATTGGAGCACTAGGTGCAGCAGTGACGGACGAGGTGAGATGGAGAAGGGCAACGATGGCCGCATAAGTTGTGGTGGAGTGCTGCATCTTGAGAAAGGATGGGTGGAATAGAAGATATTCTTGACAACGTACAAGTGGATTTAAGAACAGTGGATCGTAATTTAAAATGAGTGTGTTGCTACGTTGAGCAAGAATGAGTGACTGTAATGAGTGACTGTAATGAGTGACTGTGCTGAGCTGTTCTTGACACTGTGTGATCGAACATCAAGCCTTTATATACTCTATAACAACATCCTCATTAGTATTAATTGTCGCTAATTGTGAGCATCGCATGACGTCTGTGTGGGAAAGGACATTGAAAACAGAATCGGACTTTGGTAAGCGTATAGTAGTCAATGTCACTGCGGACATCATTGTTATGTCGTACGACTAGCTGAAACCACAGCCCGTGCCAAGGTCCAGTTCTATGGACAGAAATCAGATTTCTGGATTAATCGCATTCATAGAGTACTTGCATTACATTGATTAAAGGGACATGGAATCACACGTCTTTATCGACTTGTTCCTTGACACTTTTCTTAGGTAGTAGCCTTCGGGGGTGTGTTTAATCGATCCGAAGAACGCCCGTCCTAGACCCGCACTGCTAACATGAACAAGCATTTGGTCAACAGGAAAAGGGTATATTTGAGAATGCGAAGATATGAAGAAGTGGCAGGGCTTGCAATGCAATGCTACGTGAATCGCCAAATCATACACTTTGCAATGATGGTGTACCAAGTACTACCAACACGTTACAATCATTCCATTACATCAATTCGTAGAGTCCTTCCACAACTGAATAATCGCCTATGTCCTCCTCCAGCCCAGGCGGGAGGACACCGATTGGAAAATGTCAGAAGCCCCTATACTAAGACCGACGACCAAGAGAATCGCGTTAAACCCTGCCATCATCAAGAACGGAGCTGCAGGTCCGGCGGAATCGAAAAGGGCCCCACCGAGCTTCGTCAAGAGAAGAATACCGAAACCCCCTAGCAAGCTATAGGTACCGGCAATGCTACCTTTCAGATGATTCAAGTTATTTGATCCAGAGCCGCGATCAGGGTATGAGAAATTGCGGCCTGACAAAAGAGGCGCGTCCTCGGTCGCAGGAGTGAGAGGAGGTGTACGAGGAGGTGTGGCTCCAGCCGATGGATGATTGGTACCATTCGCGCTTTCGTCTGCTGACATGTGGCCGTTGCTCGGCTGCTCGTCGTTGTGTATGCCATGTGCAAGAAGAGCCAGAGAACAAACGATAGCACCAATCTGACTGATACCCAGAAGGGCTACTATCAAGAAGACGGACCCAGACCGCAATTCGTTCTTAGAATCATCGTGATCAAAGTTGGCCAATGATGCAAAGGCTGCATATCCTGCAATCCCCGCTCCCGCTGCCGCCAGTAAAGGAGCATTGGTCTTCTGTGAGCGGGCAGAGAGATATCCGAACAGTGGAGCGCATAGTAGTGCGATAAGTTGGCTGACACCTGTCAAAGCAGCCGCGAGCTTATAAGCGTCCGGACAAGCGTTCTTGATATCGGAGGGGTTGTCAGGGTTTGCTGTGCACCGTCCGGTTTTCAAGAAATACGTGTTCGTGAAGAGGGGAATGAACAGTGAAATAGCAACGGATGAAGCGCGTGCTACGAAGCCTCCGAGATAGCCCAGTCCGATGTTCCGTGATTTGAATCCCAACTGTACGCTGGCGAGGAAGAGGCGAGGGTAGGACATCAGCGGTCGAGTTGATGAGCGCGAGTCGTCCTTTGGCAAGTTTCCGCGAACAAGACGCTTCAGCCCTTTCCCATCTTCGCCTGGTAGATTCCGCAATCCGAAAAAGCAACCCAAGGCAACGACCACTGCTACAGCTCCAACCACATAGAAAGCATCCGCCACTGCGGTGGCCGGACTATGTCCAACATGCTGGAAACGTGTGGGAAGTGGCAAGAAGACCAATAATGCGACAAGAGCACCACAGCCGGTGAACATGCCCACCAGCCCTGCGAGATGCGACGCGGATGCTCTCGCCTCTTTCCTAGCTGTGAACTCGCTTGAAGGAGAATGATCACGGAATCGAGCGGGCGTAATGGTCAATTCAGAAGATATGGAAGGAGCCAGAGTATGTGAGGGGCGATGGGTGCGCGTGGGCGATCTTGGGTCATTGGAGTCTGTCGCGATCGTCATGGTAGGAAGAATGGCCGTTACCATGGTCGCGCTTGGGGGTCATTAGTTAGGGTTTACTGGAATTTGCATCCAGACTCACGTCGCAGTTGCGCCCAAGCTGAAAAATAGTCGCGCAAGTAGCAATTGCGGGTAGACATTCTTCGCCTGTACGAAGACCCATAGACTGATTCCCACTATCGTGTATCCCAGAACAGCAACACTTCTGACGCCCACGCGGTCGCTTAGGAGGCCCCAGGCCGGGCATGCGACCAATGCCACGAGCTCATCTGCGAATCCAAGTGTTCCGACAGCATCTCCAACATTGTGGGTACGGCCGATTCGTTGCGTGATCACGAAGCTCACAGAGCTATTCAGGAACACTAAGAACGAGATGCTGAAGAGAGCTACTCCGAACAAGTATGCGCAGACCTGCGTGCGCGAGGCAGTGAAGCCGAGCATCGTCGTATTGAGATATGCAAATTGCTCATTAGAGCGCCCGAAGTGTGGTTATCGTGAAAGCATTGGTCGCGTCGCATCTTGGAGGCGATCAGGATGACGTTGTTGATTGATTGTAGGTCTGTGCACGATCACGTGCCGGCTCTCTCACCTTATCTGGCATGGAATGATTATCCAAGCTCGACATTGATCCACTATAAAAGTGATTACCTCCGTTGATGGCAATCCTGGGGTGTTGAAATATATTGGGACAAACTGTGGGCATGTTACGACACTTGGGCGCTTCTAGCGCAATTCTAGTCTTGGTTGGACAATGAAAACGACATAGGAATCTTTTCTAACTTAGATCAATAGCGTTTCTGGACTATGTATGCTACTCTGATCCCCTAGTCTAAGATTCTAGATATGTCCCATGAGCAGTAAACGTAAATACACGAGTATCTCACCTTACATGAAGAATGTTAGGTGGAGCAAGTGCCTCCATACAAGTGTCAGATACTTTACCAAAAAACAGCCATTTCGACTACCATGAATTACTCAAATCGTAGAATCATTTGGTTTCGTTCAAAAAGATAGATCCATCCATGGAGATCTAGCATGCCAGAAGATATGGGAAGTGCTAGGTTGGCCAGCTTCGAAGGGATTTTCCTTGCCAAACCACGGCTCTTTAGCGTGGTTACTGCAGATTACAAGTCCCCAGGCATGGCCTGGTTACTTAGGAGGGTCTATTTTGTATTCGAATCTGTTCTACATAAGACTATGGCTAAAAGCATTTCTTGTAGGGATTCTATGCACAGGCAGGCGGTATCATCCCTTAACGTAAATTTGTGAGATGATTTGGTGCCGCAAGCTACTGTGCCGTGCTGCTTAAACTCAGGATACGACATGCAATGTTAGGAATCGTTAGATGTCATACATGCCGTAGCATGTTGCTGTGTCCTGTCGCTTGGTCACCGGAATTTGGGTGATGTTGGAGATAGTCCTCTCCAGTGTGTAGTGAGTGGGTTTGTGCAGTACTAAAGCATAAACTAAATCGCCCCAATCTCGTCAATTTCTTTCGTTTCCTTCACTCCGAAGATGTTCTTGTTGGAGTTGAGGACGTCGGTGGCAGAAGAAAACGTTTGTTTCCAGCAACCCATGATGACCTCCTCAAGCAGAAGCCCTTCTGTGCTCGGAAATTCTCCTTTTCGAAATAATGTCTCTATAGATTCGTGGCTTTGGCCTTCGTAAGGGGTTTGTCCGGCGATGAGCTCATAAAGCGTAGACCCGAGAGCGAACAAATCCGACTCGACCGTGCTATCCGCCTCGGGATCTCGAGGAAGGGAGTGACTTATGGACTCAAGTCCCTGTGCTGGTTTCCCTTTTAATCCAAGGTCTGGCTGGTCGTCGAATCCCGATGCGTTGAAGTCGCTCAGTCGAGCGACAAGGTTCCCGTCTACCAACCACTGGTCGAGCCTGAGATCAGAATGCCGGACTCCCTTAGAATGGATATAAACGACGCTCTCGATCAACTAGTAGGCCCAACGTTTCAGATCCGTTTCTGTGATGCTTGCTCTATTCTTCCGGATGTATTCCCTGAGGTTGCCGTTGGGATAGAACTCGAGCTCGACGTGTTCCCTTGAAGGACCACTTGATAAACTTTTGGCGATAAGTGGGTGGCTGCCTAGGATGAAGTAGACATCAGCTTCTGTTTTGCATGCCTCCAGGTTCTGCTCTGTGATGCCTATGTCATCAACGAGTACATGACATTCCTTCCTAACGATGTTTCCAATGCGGTATGTTTTTGCACTCATGCCTACCATGAGCAGCTCGCGCTTTGGCAGCGTCTGAAGCGACATGGCTTGGGAAGTTTTGAACGGAGACAAAAGTCGTTTTACGGGCCTAAAGCAGGGCAAGCTGGGGCATTGATGGCTTCAACGGCACACTTTGGCTGTGGTACAAATGGAGATGAGACACGAAGACAGTGCAAGGGAGAAGCGCGGTGTTGTTGTTATTGTTGCGCACGAGGCTGATTGCTATGGAGTTGCGAATGTTGAGCACGCCTTGCTCCTCCTTGACCACAGACATAAAAACAGGAATAGGCAGCGGGAAGGGTAAAAAGCGATGAGGAGTTAAATGTAAAGTGACCGGGACGCTGAATTGCGAAGTAAGGGTACGTGACTGTGATTGGGTGGAGCTTTTGTCTTCCGAGACTTGGGTATTATTGGCTTGCACGCCTCCATTTTTGGTAAACGAAACTCAGCCCAAAATCGTTCATGACAGTCGCTCACCACAGTACCATAGAAATCGAAGGTAACATCCTAAACAATTTGAAAGGTGGTCTAGAAGATGCAGATTGAACATGAAGGAAATATATGACGATTGGGATTGTCAACCGAAGAACCACCACCTTTCGCCATGCCAGTCCGCTCAAAACCAACTTCCCTGGCTGCGGACCCAGAAACAAATAGGGACTCATCATTGCAGCCTATACACTGCGTAACCCCAGAGAGTAGAATCGTAACACTATAGTTCTATCACGATGGCTTATACCTTACCCCATCCCAACGGCTTGCCTTCTCCATGGTTTGTACCCCAGTATTCTCGAGTCTGCCTATAGTCACCCCGCTGCGAGCCCTCCTCAAACCAAGCCTTAACCTTCTTCACGCGTTCCTCGTCGCGAGGCTTGAGCTGGAACTTGAATGGCAACGGCTTCGCAATCAACAATGTTGTGAAGTCGAGCGTAGCGTCCGCGAGATGTTGGTTACTTTGCGGCTTCGTCGGATCCGAGCCTGGGTAGCTGTACTTGGACAGAATCTCGTCTTCCATCGTCGGCTTCTTCGATTCGATGCCGGCGCTCAACTCCTCGGTGGATATCGATGCCTTCTTGTTCATGCCCAGTGTGTCGGCCTCGATCTTTTCGGGATCCGAGACAACCTGGGGTGTGGTGGCATCAGAATTCGTTATTTCATCAGGATTCCTTTGCAGGTTGAAAAGCCATGCAATGGATCCAATGCCAATGAGAAGGTCCTCATCAGCCACGGTCTGCCCTTGGCATAGTCTGCGACCATATCCAAACTGCGTTGAGTTGATTATGGTGGGGTATTCTGTCAGTGGCTCTTTGTACGTCGGATAGCTGGGCTCGACCCATCTGCAAGGATTGAATGCTTCAGGGTCGGGGAAAAGCTCGGGATCTCGTGCAATGGACCTGGAGAATTTATCATCAATTCAGCTTCTCGGACATGTGATAGAGAAATACTGACCACTCAAGAGGATGTATGATACTGCCCTTAGGGATGAAGTAACCATTAAACTCATCGTCCTCGGCAAGTGCATGTGGGATACCTGTAGGCACAGGAGGGCGCCAGCGAAGACATTCTCGAATCACTGCTCTGAGAAATGGGAGATTTGGTCGGTCTTCGGCGCGAGGTAGCCGGTCACCACAGACGCGATCTAGTTCCTCTTGTAGCATCTTCAGGTACTGTGGGTAGAAGCACATGGCAAGACAGAATGTCTGAATGGGCGCGGCGATTGTCAGAGCTCCCGCGATGCCATGCATGCCAACGGCGAAGGCACCCTCCATGTCGTAAGTGAACCCGAACTTGCTCTTGTTCTCCAAGAAGGTCCTCATCCAAGACGTGGGGGCTCTCTTTTCTCGCATGTCGGCTTCGACTTCAGCCTGCATGATCTGGAAGAACATTTCCTCTGTGTGGAGACGGCGTCGCTCCCAGGCCTTCGCAGGGACCAACCAGTCGGGAAGATTCATCAGGAATGTCAGCCTGTTCAGCACAGAGCCCGTAGGCGAAACCACGATGAGTAGTTCTCGGGCTCGCTGCTTGAGTTCATCGCTTCCTTCGCTGTGGCCCCAGGCTAAGCGGCAAGTGATGCGCGCGACGAACGACTCCATAGCGTGGTTATAGCGGTCGGGTTCTTCGAGAAGCTCCACCAGCATGCGCTTGGCCTCTATCTCGGGGTATCGGTGGAACATGACCTTTTCGCTCTCACGCATGACAACATTCGCGAATTTCCTCTGTCTTGTCCACTTCTCTGCCTAGGTGTCAGACGACAGGGCCTTAGTACGGTTGACTACTTTACCTGTGTTTGACATCAACGGGAGATATTTGTACCCCGTTCGATTGTCTTCTATCAGAGCGGGCACGCAGGGACGTGCAGCATATATCAACCCTTTCTTTGCCATCATGTTTCTCGCCAGTTCATCTGTCATGATCCAGACGTGATTATGTCCTGCTAGGTTAACTTGATAGACATCTCCATACTCCTTACCCCATTCAGCAAACTTGATGAAACCATTCTTGACAGGTACATCAGGTATTGATCCGATGATGGGGTAGCCTAAAGTAATACATCGTTAATTATGTTACCCCAAGATGTATCGAAGGCTATCTCTTAGGCGGTAAGTATGTAAGGAAGTCACATTACCTTTGGGTCCAGGAAGCTTCTTCAGCCCAGCAGGTATTCTATTATGACGTGATATGCTGATCCATTTCCAAACCGCAAATACGAGAAGGGCACTGCCCACAGTGAGTAATGTCAAAAGAGCCATGACATACAGAAAGCCAAAAGTTGAAAAGTCGTAGGAGCCGTTCGAAATCAACACAAGGCCAGGGACGCAGCCTATGTATATCTACCACAACAGGAGCACGAGCAGGGGGCAAGTAATACTATATAGGTTATAGATCATTGTGGCGGAATTGCCGACGTGTCGCACATAAGGCGAGCTTGCTGAGTAGCAACGAGGTCTGAGATCCCGATCCGCCATTTGGCGCTGAGGCCTGCTGAGCATAGCATTTAGGCCTGATATGGCAGTCTGTGGAGGTCCTGCCGCGACCTGAAGCGCATCGTTCGTCATTAGCCTTCTCGCTTGTTCGCTATGCTTGAGTGGATTGGAGGCAATAGCACAGTTTGAGCGTGCTGGCCAAGTGGTTTTCAAGACTTATAACCCCATATCCGAAGTCCGTCTGATGCAGATCATGAACTGACAGATGTTTGATAGCATTTTTCAAGACCTCGGTGTATGAGCATACACAATGAAATGTCCTAGGGCATTCAATGGATAGTACCGAGAGTATGAAGGTAATATGAGAGCATCACTTGTACTCTGACAGAGCCAGATACAAGAGCTCGTATCGTGAGGACGTTGTATAACAATCATTCCCTTGAGATGGCGAGTGAGAGTCCCCTTTCGGCCGGTTATTGTGGCTAGAATTTGTTTTGTAATGAAACCCCTGGCAATTCTACATGTACAAGTACGTATGTTAGCACAAGCTGAGAAATTGGGTACCCATCCTAGCCACGCCGAACACACGCTGTTTTGGGTTCGATAGTATCATCCTCTCTGGCAAACTGCCGTTGACTCTTATGGGCTGAAGGACGGCGATCTTACACCATAGACAGAGTATGTTGCAGTTAGTCACACAGCAGCCCTGAGTTGATAGGTGATGCTGCGAATTGATGCTGCAAGATAGCCTGACGTCCCCTGGCCAATCGTGCACCTGCGAGACGTTGCTAGGATCATGTTAGGACTAGCTGCTTACGGCTACCGGGACATCGATCCCTGCAGTCGAGGTCGGCCAACTCAGATCTCCCGCGCCGACGACGAACGAAGCCTGCAGAGTGCGGAGACCCGAGACCAAAAGTCCGGAAGGGCTCTGCCAAACACCAGCTGCTGCTATTACAATTCCCCTCCTTCTAAAACTTGTTGACAACTTTAGTTGCTTCCCTAAGAGAAACTCTGAGACAATCCTTCACTATATTTGGAATCGAGCGCGCTATCAGCTCCTTTGGTGGCTGTTAAATGATCTACGCAGGACCAGTGCGTGAAGATGTGACATCAGATGCTGTCCCACGCAAACCCATGTGCACCAATCTATCCAGCGCACGTAGTGCCGGATTCGACAACTTGCTGACTCGTCATCTTGCTGTGGTTATTTCCCAATTGAAGGGAGGGAGATTGCTGGCCTGATAATGATACGTGCATGCACTCACATCGATTCAGGGGAGCTCTGATATTGAGATGTTTGATTCAAGATGACTAGATATTGGTAATAGGGCCAAAATCTGGAATGCACTTTCGAGAACTCCATTTTTCTGTTTCTCTTCGCTCGTCTGGGTGTTTCTGCTGCTATGGGCATCGGCCCGTTTGTCGATTGAGAAGTAGGTAAGAGTTTAGATGCGCCTTCGCGGGAACGACAAGAGAATCTTTGAATCCATTCCGAGAGGCGTCGTCTAATCCTGCCCCAAATTAACTTCAACTACTTGACCATGACAGTTGCCCACAAAGACCCTAGAATCTAAACCCCTTTCTATACGACCTGAGATGTCAATCAATCTATACAGATATGACAGGTAACGTGTTTCATAAGCGAGCTGGCACCCCAAGCGAGCTGGCACCTTTTCATGAGCGCCCCACCAGCGCGTCGATTGCGCGTAATGTCTCAACAACACAATATACAAAAGCCCTATACTGAAGCTG